GTAAGCCAAGTCACGACTTCCCGTCTTCGTGGGAGGATGATACATGACGCCTAGCTGGCGTACAGGAGTTCTAGCGCAATGGTAATCCTCGTGGGGGTTTACTTGTTGCAGTTGATGCCAAGCAGGAGGCAGCCGCCACGTTGTGAAATCAGAAGAAGGCAGACCATGGAAGGGAAAATATGGGTTCGGTGTCTTGGCGTTTCTTGTATTTGAGCTTCAATGGCCTGAATTCAATGAGTGGCTAGATGAACTGTGGGTCAGTAGAACATAAGCGACTAACAAGAACAAACTTGAAGCGCAAGTGATGCGACCGACTCCCGACGTTCATGTTTCTCTGTTTGATCCTGTCATCTAAACTTAGCAATTGCGTTCTGGATTTGCGACGGACCCTGAAAACCATCAGAAACATTGGAAGAGTTTGAGCTGTTTGGTCGTGAACTATTCGCAGGGTCGCACGCAGCACGGGCGTGCTGTCACAGGCCAACCGTTCTCTGACGTGGACCATGGCTCAAAACGGAGTGGCAGAGACCCCATCAAGGAGGGAGGGTTGCAGCGATACGTATACCAGCCAGCGTAGGACACTGAGAGCTAGCCAAATTCAAATTTCAAATACACGAGCATGTGGTCTTCTAGAAGCGACGCAAAGACTAGTAGTAATTTTAGCGGCAACTGGCATGGTCTTGAGACGGCAGCCGGGGCAGCGGGAGGCTCGAGGGCCGAAGGAGTGCCGGGCGTACACTAATGTCATATCCTAGTGGCTAGGATTAGTTATATGGCCCGATTGGCTAGTGGCTGTTGTGCATCGTCGAAGGCAGTTCGTAGTACTAATAATGACAGTTTCAAACCAAGAGCACGTGGGTGATATTGCAAGGTGGGTTGAGGTTCACCGCCGCTCTGGTGAGAATCTTTGCCATAGTATCCTCGATTTGGGCTGCATAGAATTGTGTCATGGCGATTGACAACTTGCATCCCGCGATCACGGCTAGATTCGGACAGTGAGCGGCGTTGGGGTTAGGAACATTGACATTTCAGGGTTGTGCTCGCGGCAGCATGCCGGGCACGATTGAGGGAACAAGCGAGGAGGCCTTGAAGAGGATCTCGAAACAACCGGGAGATGCGCCTGCAGATGTTTTGGCCGGTTGCGGTAAGGGTTGATTATGTATGGTGTTGAGTGGTGGGTGGTGGTGAGAGCGGAGCAATGTGGCAGCCGCAGTGAGGTACATGATGATATGGTTAGCGGTAATGGTAGGAGCGCGAAAAGGATCCGGTTTGGTGATGTTGATGGGCCCGTTTTTCTCCGCAGATTGCAAAGCAAATTCGGGGTTTGGGGTTAAAGAGAAGACCACGTTGGAGAGGCGGGGAGAAGGGAGGAGAATATGGGGGCGAATCTGGAGGAGTCTGGAGGAGGATGCGGGTGGCCTAGGTCGAGGTGGTAACGATAGACATCGGATTGCAGGGACGAGCCAGGGTGGAAGAGACGGCGAGATGAGGTGAAGGTTGGGTGGCTCCGCGTGCCTCGGAGAGGGCAAATGCCGGCCCAAGTAGCATCTGCATCCCAAATTTTATCCGACGTTTTTGTTGTGCATATTGGTCTATCTTGTTTGGATAGCCAACTCTGAAGGGACTTTTTGCAGGGCACTACTGACGCCAGCTATGGATGCTGGATTCCTAGAGGCTTGGCAACGGTTGAAATGTCGGCCATTGTCCGTCCCAGGCCATGGTCAAGTTGACGATTAGTTGGACGTAGACCGTAGCTTCCGTCGCCACGTCAAATCAAACATGACTCGAATTGAGTGGATGAACTGCTCTGGATGGACAAAAAGAATATGGAGACGAAGAGCATGGGGGTGGATTTCTCCTTGGTAAGCGTGGATGCTGGAACAAAGGGAACGAGTAGCGGCGTTTGAATGACAGTCGGATTGTTGGTGGTGGTGGTGGAGGTGGAGGGTCGTAAAAGCACGGGGAAGGAAAGAGTCGGAAGATGGCCGAGACTCGAAGACTGAAAAGTGGATCATGACCGGCGTCGGTGCTGCGACCAACTAAGAAGTGGAGGTACCCAGTTGGCTGGACTTTTCCGGGTTTTGGCAAGCATTATGGATGTGGACTTACAGTACGTGTAAAAGACTAAAAAGGGTATATGCACTTGCACAAGCAGCTTGCAGCAGGCAGGGACGGTGGTTGCCCAAACGGCGGAGAGTATCAGCAAGTGACAGTGGGGGTGGGACTGTGACCCGACGACGGAAAGTCCAAACGGGGAGAGCTTGCTGTGGTACTATCTGTATTAGAATACGTATCTTCACGGTGTTAGCGGGGCAAGAACAGGTCCAGTGCACGGCCGTATCAGACGGGGTCAGTTCGAGGCCCCAACAGGCCTTAAACAAAAATGCAAGCTAATGCTAGTAGAAGGAACCTGGACAGTTAGGATTGGGGGGAGAAAGAAGGAGGAGCAACTGGAGCCCGTTGCATCGACCATCCAGGCTTGCAACACCACGAGCGCATCAGTGCGCGAATTTGCAGCCCGGACGAGCACCATCATTGGCCAAGACATGCTGACTGACACAAAATGGTCCCTACCCTCCCCTTATCAAAGTGCCACCAGTACAAGCAGTCTAACTGTTAGCATCAGGCCACAACGCTCGTTAAGCTTAATTCCCCAGCATTTCCGTCGTGGTGCAGCCCCCTTCCTTTTCCTTTCTTTTACGGTGGGAACATGGGACACTAGCGCAGTCCATTTACCCCCCAGTTGCACCCTGTCGTCAAATTTGTCAAAGCAGTTCGTTTGATCTCGCGAACCGTTCGATTGGGAACAAGACGACATTTGACAAGACGACGTTCATTTTCGCTGCTGGGAGGCCAACGTCGTCAATTTCGTCAATAGTGCGGCGACTTTCCCCTCGCAGCGCCGAGCAACTTGGCGTAACGGGATGGCTTGCCGAGAAGGATACAAGCACTTTCTTGGCAGAATCATCGCCCGTTGTGTCTTGGCCTACGTTTGTGAACGGCGCCATCCCTGCACCTACCTTGTCTTGGTGTGACTAGTGATTAGCAGGTGCGAGTGAGTGAGTAACCACTCCGGAGGGGAGGAGGCTACGGAGGCGCACCCTCCCTCGTCAACGTTTTTTTTTTCCAGGCCGGGACGGGATGGATGGTGGGAAGGAAGGAAGGACCGGGCAGCAGGCAGGGGTTGTTAGACGATGGGGGCCGGCAGTCGCTCTTGCTGTTTTTTTTTCTCTTCCTTCCGCTTTCTCTGTCCTTACTAGGCTACTTCCTTCCTATCAGAACTCGGAAAAGGAAGCACGCGTGACCATGACAAGACTCATGCCTCCCTGTCCACTATGGTTGACCCTTTGCGTTTACTTCAAATCGGTATACAGATTGACGAAGCGGAAAGTACGTACCAGCCCATGGCCGCTACCCTTCCCTTTTCCAACTTGGAATAACTCTTTGTGATGCAACGTCGCTCTCAACTTTCCCCGTCGGTCTTGCCCCCCCTCCAACCAAAACACAAACAGCCAGGACTTACTTTTTCCTCTTTCCCTGTAACGGTTTTGGGCGCAAAGTTTTTTTTTTTTTTTTTTTTTTTTTTTAAATTCTTGTTTTCTTGTTTCGAGTCTGAATTTTGGTCTCTCTTCTCACGTGTTTTGAAATTAATCTTTTGCATACAATGATACCCCGCTTTTGGTTCTGTCATTGTTACCGTTTCTATTCTCAGCCTTCTACCCTCGCTCTTCTGTCTCCTCCCCATCCGTTTCTTACACGGCTCTGACCACCAAAGCACCACAACCTGATGCGGTCCAACCTCATCGACATTGCGACATCGTCTCCTGTCTCACGACTTCTGTTCTGATTTTGCTTACCCAGTTCTGAGCACCCTGACCGAAACCACCAGCGCAATGAAGCACGTGTGACATGCTGTGCGCCTCAACCGTCATCATGTCCCCCTTGCCAATGCGGTATGGGGTCCGTTATTCAAAGAGTTTTCAACAATAATTCCAGAAGAGGGTGTTTGGCCGGCGAATCCAAGTGGAGATCATCAGCTGTGTTGGATCCCGCCCCAGCTGACATTGCTTCTCACTTTCTCACCTTGTCGCAACGGGGGCACATTGCTGCCATCTTGTCATTACATACGCATGCATATCCACGGCCTACTCAAACAAGCCCCCCCTGCCCAACATTGTACATTATAGCTCACGGCCCTAGAGATGATCCATCATGTGCCGGAACGAAGCCCGTTTCCCGTACGCGCGGAATCCCGTGTGGGTGTTTCCTTCCTTGCACTATCGTATGCAATGTCCCCTCCCCAGCATGGCTGCCGCCGTCTCGTAATCATCATGATCCCTAGCTCCAACCCAACTATCCCCTACCTCCTCTTTGCCCCCCTTACCCACCCCTACCATGCACCTCTTCTGCCTCGTGCTTCGACGCCAGCGCTAGCACCACCAGATGTGCTTCTCCATTCTCTCCTCGCATACTCAAGGGCTCCTGGTCTTTCTCCTCACTCCCTTTTTCCCCCCAACCCCGCATCGCCAGCTCCGACCTCTCCACGCATCCACGAAGAACACCATCCCCCTCATTGGCTAGCCTGTCTGCACTAATCTACACGCCGGACTGCAGCGTTCCATCATGGGAGATGATCGCTTCTCCAAACCGTGACAGAGTCGGTGCCATCCCGGCCACCCTGACTCTCAACATTGAGCCTTCTTTGTGTGTTTCTCACCTTTCCTCTCGAAACTCGATCCACCATAACCCCATGTCTGGTGAACTCTTGGCACCGACACATTGGACCGTCTGGTGATTCGCCCAAGTTCCCGGCCATCCATGGCCCTTCAAAGTATATAGAACGCCTCTCTGCCTTCTCATCTCAACCTTTTGAACTCTTTCAGTTGTGCCTCATCCTCCTCACCCTCTCTCCCAGTCTTCTGCCCGGTATTTCTCTTGAGCATATCAGACACCGTCCTAGAGGAGCTTCTACACACCCGAGCAACACTTAGACATCCATAATGTCTACCGGTGAGCCTGCCGACCCCGTCGCCAAGGGCGTCCTGGCTACGGCCAAGCAGTCCTTGAGGGACCTCTTCATCTGGAAGCAGCGCACTGTCGTTGTCACTCCCGACGGCGAGACGCACACAGAATGGCAGGACCCTGATCCCATCAAGAACCCCTTCAGCTTGATGGCGCAGCTCAGTGCTCGCGACTGGCTCTTCTTCCTCTGCGGTTTCTGCGCCTGGACCGCCGATGCCTTTGACTTCCACGCCCTCTCCATTCAGACCACCAAGCTGGCCAAGTACTACGACCGATCAAAGACCGACATTACCACTGCCATCACTCTCACCCTTCTGCTCCGCTCTGTCGGCGCCGCCTTCTTCGGTCTGGCTGGTGACAAGTATGGTCGCAAGTGGCCCATGGTCCTCAACATGATTATTCTCGGTGTTTTGCAAATCGCCACCATTTACAGCAGCACCTTCCAGCAGTTCCTGGCTGTCCGAAGCTTGTTCGGTCTGTTCATGGGAGGTGTCTACGGAAACGCCATTGCCATGGCTCTTGAGCACTGCCCGTATGTCAACCCGAGTCCTTCCATTACTTGAACACAAGCTAATATACCCACAGCTCCAACGCCCGTGGTCTGATGTCTGGTATCCTCCAGCAGGGTTACTCCTTCGGCTACGTCCTCGCTGCCTGCGCTAACCTGGGTGTCGGTGGTGCCGTTGAGACATGGAAGACGGTCTTCTGGATTGCCGCTGGTATCTCTATTGCCATTGGTCTCATCCGCATTTGCTTCCCTGAGTCGCAGCAGTTCCTTGAGGCCAAGGCCCATGGCAAGAAGGATGCCTCAGCTGGCGCTTTCTGGAGGGAGACCAAGAAGATGCTTGCCCAGGAGTGGAAGATGTGCGTCTACTGCATCATTCTCATGACCTGGTTCAACTACTACTCCCACACCTCGCAAGACTCCTACACTACCTTCATGATCGCCCAGAAGGAGATGGCCAACGCTGGTGCCTCCCGCGCTTCCATTCTCATGAAGGCCGGTGCCTGTGTTGGTGGAACCATCATCGGCTACCTTTCCCAGTTCTTTGGCCGTCGCCGCGCCATCATCGTCTCAGCTCTCATCTCTGCTTGCCTCATTCCTGCCTGGATCCTTCCCATTGGCGAGCGCAGCCTTAGCGCTAGCGGCTTCTTCATGCAGTTCTTCGTCCAGGGTGCCTGGGGTGTCATTCCCATTCACCTCAACGAGCTGTCGCCCCCTGCCTTCCGCTCGTCCTTCCCTGGTATCACTTACCAGCTGGGTAACATGATCTCGTCTCCTTCTGCTCAGATTGTCAACGCCATCGCCGAGAAGACCTTTGTCACCGCTCCCTCGGGCCACAAGGTCGAGGCTTACGGCCCTGTCATGGGTATCGCCACGGCCATCATCGCCCTCGGCATTGTCGTCACTACAATGTTCGGTCCCGAGCGTCGCGGCCGCAGCTTTGAGCATGCTGTCGCCGGTGTTGAAGGCGAAGTCGCGGAGAAGAAGGTTATTGACGAACACGACGAGGAGAAGGGCAGCATCGATGCCTCCAACGTTGAGAATGCTCGCAAGGAGTAAAGACTTTTTGTTTGAAATGTGCTGCTAGAAATCAGCAATTCCGACTACATGTCAACATGATTACAACACCATCTGGCTTTTTTAGGATTTTTGGAATATGGCAAGAGAAGGCGCAGAAAAGCCTTGATGAGATGCCACACAATACCCCCATAGCGCGCTAGCTAAAAGCGCGAATGATCATCTGAACGAAATACAAATATGATTTAATTACCATACATCTCTAATCTGCCTATACTGTGATGTTTGTTTTTGAACGCCATGGCGGGCGCTACTCTGGACAAGCTTTGGCGCCTAGCACCTCGCCCAGCACTTGGCGTGAAGCTTGGTGAGCAAAGTGCGAGCCCTACTGATGTCTTGACTTTCGGGATCTTAGTCACCGATCTCTTGGTGTCTTGGTGTCTTGGTTGTTGAAGTATATGAACGCCCACTTTGCCCAGACCAACAACCGGCGCCATGGGCTCCACCATGACAGGGAAAACAAGGCATCCCAGTAACCGGCGGTCGGCTACTTGCAGTGGTTCAGGCGCCGTCTTTTTTCTGTCGTGCCTCGAAGGATTTCTTGGGGATTCTTCTGCCCGGCAAGGGTCACGACTCGATTTGAGAAAGTTGGCCAATGTCCTGATCGGGCACCGTTTTCTGAAGCAAAAAAGCTTGGCCCAATTGAAGAGTTTTTTTCCTTCTCTCTTGTCGTTTCTTTTTCAGAAGGCTTCTTAAGGTTTGTTTTTATTATACAGGCTATTATCGGTTCATTTACATTACCCACTTACCGAAATACGCCTATCAAAATTATACAAATTGCATCGCGGCAAAGTTTGTTCAGTGACATTGTGGACGCAGAGGTGTCACTGCTGAACCTGCATACAGGTATCACACATCTTAATGAAGGAAAATAAAAATTTTCACCAATTCAATGGTTTGATTTTTTTTTTCTTCTTCTTCTTCTTGGTGACTCACACACACGGAATTAACCGTATCCCCAGACAGTTCCCTCCCCCGCTTAATCCTCCCTGTTGTTGTGATAATTCCGTGATGTCGAAAAGCCGTCAAAATCACACCACGAAACCCGCCACTCTGACATTACATCACCTCATTTCTTCCCCCCCATACTTTGCTCCCCCGGATTGGATCTGGGAAAAAACCGTGTCAGCTTCCCTTCCCCCGAGATCTGCCTACGCGTTCCCCATCCGGGGTTCATCTGTTCTTCAGCACGTTACCGGTTCATACCTTATTCCCCACGAAACGATGCGCGCTGTCGCGGGTCCGTTAAGATAACACTCGTACGATGGGCGGGACGGTCGCGACGGGGCCGATGGTTACCCCCCTCCCCTCCCCATTCCCTCCGTTCTCAACCCCAACCCCACACAGGGGGGTGGAGGGGAGGGGGAGACAACTACTAGTAGGGCGGCGCTCTTTTGGCGTCGATGTTTTTTCAATGGGTCTGGGCTGGGCCCCCGACCTTGGTCGCTTTTGCCCCGTTTTTCGCAATGTGAAAAAAAAAAAAAGACCAGATTGTCCCGGTTCGGTTGACTACTTCAAATCCACCCTCCCAAGCAGTCATGGATCCAGACCGAGCGATTGGGCGGAGCCCTACACAGAGCGGCCTTCTCTCCGCGCTTCGATGACAGGTCCAACATTCGTCATGTAAATATGTAAAAGGATGTGATGATAATTGTTTGACGCTCTGGTTTCTTGAAAAAAAAAAAAAAAAAGTACGAGAACCCGAGAGCTTGGCAGAATCCATTTTTTCTTCGTTCCACTCTGGCCGTCTTGGACATTTCGCCTTTTTTTTGCAGGTTTTTACTACTCTGGGCAGATCCTGATTTGTGACGACGGACAACGTCCGTCTTCGTGATTTGGTTTCCTGAAATGGATGCGCCGAGGAGCTACGGAGTCCTAATGTCCCGGTTCTTTTCTTTTTCTACCCATTCTGAGGTATCCTGGTAGAGAACTAGTATTGATGGTTATTTTATTGTATTTCTGTTGTGTGTGTGTGTGTGTGTGTGTGTGGGATAATTGCCCAGTTTCTGCACAACTCATATGAATATGAAGATGCCATCGGTTAGTTTGACGTGTTGAGAACAAGAAGCACCTGAATTGTAGGTTTTTTGCTGCTACAACGACTCAAGTTCGACATACGCCATTAACACTGGAGCTTATACTGATGGCAACTGCTTCAGATGCTGAAACTTTGGAAAGAGATGAATCGCCATCTTCTATTCAGGCCACAATACAACCATCATGACAAAAGTCCCCCTCGCTTGAGTACCGAAATCATCACCTACCCCGAAAACACTTGGGTCTCATTCCCTGAGCAGTATATGCCCCACTACACTGACTCTTAAGCTGTCGTTAAGAACCACCTCTGCCGTCTTAGACGTGTCTCCATGCCTCGGTCTCGGTATATTCCTCCACAACGCCGGAAGACGCGGATGCTAGAGTCGACATAGAAAGTCGGAAACCACCTCGCACGCCAAACGGTGTGTAACCCCCCCCCCCCCTGGGGCGTATTCACGCGGCTACTATTCAGGGCTTGCCATTGAAGCGGCCTGGTATTGCCTCCACGTGTTTACGTGCCGTAGCCAAGGGCACGATGCAACGAGCCGGGCGTCAGAACCTTGCACCTGGGCGCAAAGTTCGATGCAGGGCGCATGCAGGGCGCGCCCGCCGCCTCCCAGGGGTTCCCCCCCTTCCGCAGGATGTGAAATGCACCATTTTTAGGCGCGCCATGTACTCGTGCGGCGCGAGAGAGAAGAAAATTTCAGCTCGACGGAGGTGAAGCCCGACACCCTCGGTTTGGCGTTGGTCGGTGGCCTGATTCCGGATCTCCGGACGAGCGGGTGCGGGCCGCTGGTTCCGAGACACCGGGTGCTGCTTGACGTGACCGAGGGCCGCAGAGCCCGTCTTTGGGCGCAATTTGCCTTTTTGCAACATACGATTTATAACTTGATCGGCTATGTGATGTTAACATGGACGTGTATGTTAGGTCGCCAAGCAGTGGATCACGGTTCAGATTAGGTGTTTTTGCTGGGAGAGTTACATATAGGCCAAATCTTGGCATTGTATCCTGAGCGTTGTACGCGGTGAGACCTTAGCCTTGAGATCCCGAGATATATCATCTACCCAAAGGTAACTTCAGAGAAAAGCCAGGAATGCTGCGTTGTTATGCTCGCTTGGAAAAACAACCCTCGAAATACTAGGCACAAGGAAGTACCTTGGGTTGTATGGATCTCGTTCAATTTTGCTCATACCGTCTAGTCAATCTACTATGGATGCTGACCAAGTAATCATATCAGAGATTTGAGTTCAAGTGTGGCTTGAAATTGAACCTGTCTCAACGGAGATTGAAACGACTCAATATGTTCAAACATGCATCAAGCGGGGAAACTGTTCAGTTGATTTGATGAATCATTAAATTTCATAACAAGTATAACAACATGTTATTTAGAACACAATTTTGAAAAGTTTAGAGGCGACCTCTTTGAAGAAGGCAAAACTCCAATTCCACCTAATTACATGAGCTATCGAAATCCGACGGTGACAACAACTGCTGATCTAGTATTCGTCCGATATGAGTTTTATCGATGGACTCACAATTCCTTCTTATCTTCATCATGAGAACCTTCATGAACTGAATCAGGCCTGCATCAAATTGGCCAGCACCGGTCGGGCCAACAATAAGAGCCGTTTGTCCATTTTCGCTTTTCTCTTTATTCACAGGTGATTCAAATCCAAGGAACTGGCGGATCTCAAGATACTCCTCAAAAGAATCCGCATACATCTGCCCGGCGAAAAGATTCAGCTCGGTAACCAATTGTCGTGGAAGGACCCGCATTACTGGTTGCCGAGCGATCGTATACAGATCAAGAGAATCGAGAGCCCGAAATCCTGTATTTGGCCGCGGAGCATAGAGGTGTAACGACACAAATCCTGATTTCTGAATCGAGGGCAGCAGTTTCTGGGCCTCAAAAGGACTGATGATCATGGCGACGTCAATGACTCCGTTGTATGATTTGGTTATCAGGATCCATTGAACAGACCGCTGATAAATATCTGATAGATGTCCCTTTTCAAAAGGAACTATAGTCCGTGCAAAGTCTTCCGTAACTAAGAGTCCTGGAGGGAACTTCTTCGTATCAAAGTGGCGTGATGCGCTCGTTTCAGCGAGCGCCTGGAACGCTGGCATGCAGCCCTCGGAGTCTCTTTTGATGAGGCCACTGGAGATAAATGCTTGAATATCCGGGTGAATACTGTGTGTAGCCGGAGTGGCATCAGGTGGCTTTTGTACTTCTCGTTCCTGTTCTATCTCTGGTGATAGTTCACGCTCTTGCTCCTCTCGAAATGTAGCTGATTTGGGATCGGCCCCACCGAACTGAAGGAGCCTCTCAGTGATGGCATCCACCTTTCCATCTACTGCTGTCCCGTTACCGACAAACGCAGCTGGATCATCTGGTTTGTACCTCCGTTCGAGGCTTTGGGCTTCATCTTCCAGAAACTTTTCTGCCAGAGTCCTGTCAACCACAATCGAGTTTGCCACGAGAGCCTCTTTCCACAGCTCAGCATGCCGCTGATGCCGTCGCCCTTGGTTCGCCCATAGCCATATCCCGCGCTGGATGTCTATCCAAGTGTCCGAGATGGCCCATTTAAGGATGTGTTCAACTGTTAGATCCAATTCGTTGCAATCAAATCGTTTCATTATCTTTTGTCGGGTCTCGTCGGGAACACAAAATACAGCCGTTTGTCCTTTGCCTAACTGCCTCATCCTCATACAAGCTATGTAGTTAAGGAAACATCATTTTTAGCTTTTGATCACAGAACCGGAAAGTGCTAACTTACCTTGCACCAGTCTGTCTTTGGTCAGATTTGCCCCGAGAGTCACTGCGGCTCTGTAGTGCTTGGGAAGCTTCAGATCTGTCCCCCGTGTGTGAGCCTCGTCAAGGAAGACAAGGCAAACATCAGTTCGGCTCAGAAAAGGAGATGTGTGTAGTGGTTCGATTCGGCCCTTGCGATCAATCACAGAGATATGATCGTTCTCGTCACAGAAAATGACCGCTTGGGTACTCTCAGTATCATCCATCATCTCGAGCCACCGCTTCGCAACCCCAACGTTGTCTAGTTCCAGAATTTGTGCCCCTACGTCGAGAATGACGCGCACAGGTGGCTGCAGTTTGATGACTGTCTCAAGCAAGGTCTCCGCATCGGATTTATGGACATCTGTGCTAGGTGACATCAACTCGACGGAATTCTCCTCTTGAAGAAGATATGTCATGACCAGTGCATTCGTATGTCTTTGATCAGGAAGGTCGAGTTGAGTGACTGTAAAAGGCAAGAATGCTCGAGCATCACACGTACCGCTGAATCCGGTAGTAGGATGTGCCTTCGTCTCGCCAATGTCCCATCCTGACGCAGACAGTTTGTGAGGGAATTCTTTTAGTTCTTTGGTGAACACAACATGAGCAAGGAAGTAGTCGACCGCACTCTTTGAAAACCGGAAAGAAGGAAATATGTGTTCGATGCACTGAGTGCGATCCTCTAGGTTGACTCCCGATACCTGATGGAATGCCAAGGGCAGTTTGTCGCTGTCGGACACCCACGCACGATACTCCATGTCTGCCTGATCAGAAAGCAAAAGATGCCTGAGGCTTAGGAAAAGCTCTTCGTCAGTCAATCCCTCATAATAGTAGCAAAGAGATGTAAGAATTATAATGATCTCGGGATGACTGAATTTGGCCCGTGGGGCAGGGTTGTCCTTTGCCCTATAGGGTACGGCTAGCCGTGTCCTGGGTGATCTGTTATGGTCCAGGCCAAAGTCCACCCGCCAACGTTTCTGACAGAAGACGAATGCGAGTATCTGGCAGCCGATAAGTCCACGCAGGAGAAGCAACGTATCTTTTGTTGACGCTGACCAGATGATCGAGCTTTCGACAGCTTCGATTTCGGCGTGTGAGGGAGTGGCCTTTGAAATGTAGTTAAAAACTGCTTGTTGAAGGGTTTTCGGTTGTGTTGCTATTGGAAGTCCTATTGTCCCTGCCTGACTGACTTCCTTAGCTACTTCGTAGAGTAATGCCTCCCTGACGCTTTCGCTGATGATGCGGGTTCTAGGAAAAGATCCTTCATGGCGCTTTACCAACTCAACAGACTTGGGGTGACTCTTTTCGACTTCTGGTACCAGCCTTCTAAATATGTCCAAAACGTTGTGAATGCAAACCCACCTAGACGGGCTATACTCGACCGGTCGCTGTGTGCCCATTGTGTAGACTAATTCGAACTTGACAGAAAAGTTCTCGTCGCTCTCATCAACGATATCCTGAGCCCTTTGGTCTAAAAAGTGCTTCATTTGTAGTAAAGCATGGCTGGTGGTTAACCTGCCTGATATAGCCCTTTCAATCCCCATTAGTTGAAAGGACAAGATATGTTCCGGTTGCAGTAGCATCACGCCTCTGAACTTCACACAGTCCTGAAAGATAGCGTGGAGAATTTTGGCCTCGGACATTCCAATTTTGACCGCACGGGTAAAGGGAAGGTGAAAAATACGCCTATTGAGCAAGCCTCCCAATTTGAGATCCAGCATTTGTAGCATCTGTTTCGACTGTGGCTTGGCTACAATGACCCGAACAAGTCGTGAACCGTCCGCCAGAGCAGCCGCAACTATAGGGACGATGACTGAAGACTTTCCTTCGCCCATATTTAGCTGCATAACTGCATTCTTTCCGAGAGGTGGATCTCTCATGCTGTTCGCGATAATTTCTTGGACTTCGCGAACCATGATTCCAGTTTCCACTTCCATGAGAAGTGTATCTGGGAAGTTTCGAGGATTCCAATTGGTGTGACCTGGATTGCGAAGCTCGTTACTCAGGCCAACTGTGTCATCTAATGAAGAAAGCATTCGCTCTGCTCTTTGAAGCTGCGTGAGTGCGATTCCATACTCAGTTATGCAATCTTTCCATGTGTTGGATGTGATACTAGTGAAGTCTTTGTTTAGCCTTTGGAGGAAGAGCATGGGAGAGTGCCTTGGTCTCTGGTAATAGCTTGGGATCACGGTATGTAACCGTTCTTCCGTGTCTTTTGCGTTGAAGACAGCCTCTACCATACACTTGTATAGCCGATCAACCTTGTCTCTGCATAATTGAAAATAAGTAACAGCCAGAATATCGAAATTCTCCGGCTTTCTCGTTATCAAATCAGGCTTTGAGACAGATGCCACTAGGGCGTCAAAACTGAGCTTCAAATCTTCCAAATACTGTCGCTCAAAAGACACCTTTGCAGCATGCTTGAAGGTTTCAAGAAGTTCTGAAATAGGCATGGGCATTACCCGGCCCGCGGGTCCCACGGGTACCCGCGAAATGGGTCGGGTAGTTATGGGTAGTGCCCGAAAGTTTTACTATTACCCACGGGTACCCATGGGTAAAGTGGGTTTGGGTAAAAAAGCCCACGGGTAGTAAACTGAAGGGGGGCCCACGGGTTTGGGTACCCACGGGTGTATACCCGTGGGTAGATTTCAGTAAGTATGCATCACGAATTTTAGACATCTTTTGTAGTAGCCAGCCTCAAGAGTGGATATATTGCGCAACGAATAGACCTGCTACCTTGTTACTCCTAACTTCCGAACGCCCTGAATGCCTTCAATTAATCGCCTGCATTTCCCAGACTCGGGGTCGAACTACTTGTCTCCGTGGACTCTGCCGGCCTTCAAGATAGCCTGGACGAGATGCAGATCCTTCGGCTTAATGGTGACGCGATTGGTGTGGATCGCAGCAAAGTTAATCACTAGATAGTTCGTTCAACTCGATAAGAGTTTGTAAGTGAAGCTTACTGTCGAAAATACCAAAGAGAAGAGACTCCGAAGACTCTTGAAGAGCGCTAATAGCAGTCGCCTGCCAGCGCAGGCGCTTGGAGGGGTCGATGTCATCGCAGATTTCCTTCTAGAGTCGCTGGAATGGGGGCTTCGGAATCAGGAAGTCAAATGTCTTCTGGTAGTTCCTGACCTCCCGGAGAGCTTTTGCTAGGTATTAGGGTTAGTGTGTAGCCATCTTTTGTAGCAATCTAGACTTACTGCCAGGGCGCCAACGGCGTTTCTGCTGCTCCTTAGCACTAGGCATAGTCTTTCGGGCTATGCTAGGCATTATATTATAAAGTTAACCATGAATCAGGTAGGACTCCTAGAAATATAAGTCTAGGTCTAATCAATATAGAATCTTTTATAGATAACTACTGAACAGAGGTTTTCAAAGAGATTCTTTTTGAGAAAAAAAACAAGAAGCCGCGGCTGCGCACAGACCACTTTTTGGCGTATTTTGTTTTTTTTTTGTGAGGTTCTGAAGCTTTAGAAAACTTCTCCCTAGACAATACTACAACCTACCTCTACTACTAACACCTAGCCGTACCGACAAGCCTCTCAATTAAGGTAATTTGATACTTTGATCTCATAATTATTAGTTTTGACTTATTAAATCAATTAGGGAATAGTAGTAAAATATGTCCTCAGGACAGGATCGCGGTACGTTTACACTAGCTTTGTAGCAATCATTTGTACTAATCTCTTCTAGGCCGACCGCTTGGATCTGGTGCTGGAGCCAAGCGTAAAGCTGAAGAGGATTATTCCGACAACGCGCACACCAAGAAGTCTCGTCAGCGCATCGATAAGATGACTAAGAAGCAGAAGGCACTTGATCGCTCGAAGAAGTCGATCAACCAGCAGAAATCCCGCAAGCTTAAAGCCTTGAGGGCTAAAAGCTCCTACATCATTGCGTCTGCTGATGAGCGCGCGGCCCTTGAGGCTAGGGAAATCCAGCAAGTTGATGCACGATAGTGAGTTCTTTTTTATTTCTTTTGGTGTTTCAAATCAGTGCTCAAGTGCTTTTAGCTTCCTCAAAGGCAACCATCCAGACCAGCTGCTAGCTCAGATGACTGGCCCAGTCTCGTCTAGCTCCTATAATATCGTCGATGACGATGAAGACGAGGCTTGGGAGGATATCCCTTTGAATGAGATTGATGAGGCTACCCAGGAAAACCTGGATGGAGTTGAGGGCATGCTCAACTTTGACGTTGACCTTGATAACCAGTTGCCGACCATTAATGTTGCTGAGCAGTCGAATGCGATTATCGACAAGATGATCTAGGTAACTGGATGACTATAATTAATTACTATAGCAATAGCTAACAAACAGACAGGAAAACCAGATCCGAGAATACCAGTTCTTCCGTAATACCTGGGAGATGACTCTTGAGATACTTTACATCAAGGTCAAGCGGCTGAACAGCAATCCTGCCTTTACCCTAGCTGCGATGGAGGATTATGGCTTCATTCGACCTGGCTTTAAATTTCCAGTAGCTGGCGACATCTTCACCAAAGAGGAAGTGCTTCTTTGGTTTGCACTCGCTAAGTACTGGCACCTGAACCGCTTGTCTAAGAAGAAGAAGATACGCCTGGTTCTTAATTCTTCTGTCAAGAAGAAGAAGACGTAAGTGCTTAATTGTAGCAATCCTTTGTAGTAATACTAATATTCTCAGCCAATTCGCACTCGCGCACCGCCTAGCCATCAAGATTCAAGGATCTCTCTTTACTACAGCTTAGCGCCGATATGCCTCTACTCCAAAGCCTTTAGTGAAGGCTATGTTCTCTGAGATCAGTGACTCGATGATTAAGAAAGGTGTTTGGGAGCTTCTGGGCCCTGCTGAAGTTTGGGAAGAGTTTACTGCTCTCGATAAAACAGCCAACATCTTATCTGCGATGGATAAGAAGTTCTCAGCTATACTAAAGCTGATACCATTCTTCCTGAAGCTTGACCTTGCTCGGGATAAAGCGCTATACAACTGGCGTCAGGTCCATGAGTTGGCTCAGAAGCTAACTCGTTTGCTTGACTTTTCTCTATAATTGCAGATAAGCATAGCGAGAGGGTTTGTTTGACAGATTAAGAATTAAGAATTAGCAATAAGGCTAGCATGAATAAGGACATGAATTCTCTCTAGTCTGATTCTCGTATTGTAGCAATCGTTTGTAGTAATCTACAGCTGCTAAAACAATCTAGCACTCCATGCTCCCATCTTCTTCATTAACTGTTTAACTAAGTCAAGATCTTTCTTCTGCAAAGTTACTCTTTTAGCGTGAATAGCACAGAGATTTGCATCTATTAATATTCATGTTAATATAATAGTTTGAAGATCAGGATAGGATATCTTACTCTCGAACATGTTGATTAGAAACTGTTCGCTCATCTCATGGAGAGCCTCTATAGCCATTGACTGGTAGCGGATCTTATGGCGGTTTCTTAGTGGAAGATCAAGTGTTATTTCTCGAACTACTCTTGCGAAACTGCTCCGCGGAATTAAAAGATTGGTGGTCTTTTGATATTTTCGAATCTCACGAAGTGCATTTGCTTCACATTTCAGTAATTAAACAATAAAGAGTTACTTCTTACTTACTACTAGGCCTCCATCTACGAACTTTCTGGCGTTTAGTGATCTGGACGGGCTTTTTTCGAGCAGCTTTTAGCTGCTTCTTTGGCGCGAAGTTCAGCTGAACTTTCCGTGCAATGGTTGGTGGTTGGCCAGTATCTGTTCGTCTCGCCAACTTCGTCGCAAAGTTCCGCTTCAGCGGTGGTAATTCTGGTTGACTCAGGTCTGGGCTAGCCTGGCTATAGTAGGTTGCATGACTTGAACTTCTTGGCAGAGTCTCCCGAATCTCTGTAATTGGCTGTTTCAGGGGATTACCCCTCGCTGATGATGAGGGGTAACTATTTGGCGGTGAAGAGCCCTCCACTGTTAGCGGAGAGCTCTGATCTGACACAGGGCTAGTTGATAAGCGAGGCATTGAAGGATGAATGTAAGTAGGAGAAAAAACAAGTCGAAGGAGAATTCAGAGCTTTTAGATTTGTGTACGAAACGTATTAGTCAGAAACCCTAAAATAGAAATTTACGTAAGGCCATATAATCAAATGTTTGTATTCATCTTGTAGTAATCCTGCAAACTACTTCCTGTTTACACTAAAGGTAATTCTTACTACGTATGATGTCGAACTTAATTGCGTCTGACCCTTTTGGGCTAGACCCTTTTGCATCCGATTGTTCTGCTGCTTTCAAGCTCGTAAATTCTACGCAGACTCTAACAATTAATACTCTACCTTCTGGTTTATAGATATAGTCGGAAATCATTTTATTTGTTATTGAGACTTTCTAGACTTTTCTCTCGTTTTTCAAAACCCTGCTATAGTATCTCCAATAGGTAATCCTTAGCAAACACATACCGTTGTCCAAATCCCCTCAACCTGAACGAAAACGCTTCGCCAAATCCTTATGGACTTTACAACGCCGAGTATCATTCTAGGATTACTTTCACCAAGGCTACTATATAACATTAGGGGAGCCAAAATTAGTCTACAAGCACTATCACCAAGTTTTCAATCATCTAACAATCAAAAACTCTGGTATAAGTGCTATGCAACGACACCTTGCTGCAAAGTCTTGTAAGACTCGACGTTTAGGCGCAAACCAGGTGCCTGTAAGTTTTACAGGTCATTATAGCAATCATTTGTAGTAATCGCAATCTAGGGTACCTAATTGAAAGCAGTCTCGGAGCATTAAGCATTAGTTTACTATATTGTTAGATCTAACTTAGCGCTTAATACTGTTGACAACTTAAGTTTCCGGCAATTCTGTTTATACCTAAATCCTCTCTACTACCTCCCATCTCGAAAGACGCTCCGAAGCTGGATATCCGAGGAGGCCTTACGCATTCAACACCATACTCTTTAGCTAATTCCGCCTGGTAGCTATGTCTCTCTGATGATTGATATCTGGAGTACACCTGGGTTAAAATATTCACTGCTTGGTGTTTTATGCCATTTTATCGACAAGCACTGGAGGTTATAACAGGTTCTTCTTGGTGCTATTGATATGACAGATGGTTATACAGCCTCTAAGCAAGCAACGGCTTTATCGACTCTGTTAGAAAATATTCGCCAGAGGACGAAGAAGACAATTCGATTTCAGACAGTCTCTGCAGACAACGCAAGTTCTTTTAAGCCAAAAGTCCTAGCATAAGAACTTGCAAAAGGGTCGACATCCATAGTATAGCCGATATATCATATTCGCTGTTTAGCCTATATTTTCAACCTTGTTGTTCGAGCGATTTTTGAGGCTCTTCGAATTTCGATGGTAGAAGCCTCTACAGAGTTTGAGCCTTCTACTACTCGAGCTAAAGATCAAGAGGACTCTGACGATGATTTTGATACTGAAGATTCTACTGCTGGGGAAAATCCTTTTGGAGCTGTTATTCAAAAGGTTAGATACTTCACCTAGTTATAAGATTTTATATTAACATATATACCTCCAGATTCGTGACCTCGCAGTTTCCCTTAAGCTTTCTAGTAAGAAGACGCAAGAGTTTCTCGACCTCCAGAAATCGACTCGCATTGGCCAGCGACCACTACGCCTCCTCCGCGATGTTAAGACAAGGTGGAACTCTACTACACTTATGTGTCTCCGCGCAAGAGAGCTTAAAACAACGATTTCAGCTTGGGTTGAAAAGCACTCTCTACAGGAACAATTCTCTCTTGTGGAGACCGATTGGGAGGCTCTTGATATTCTGCTTGATATCACCAGCCCGTTTTTACTCTTTACAAACATCCTCAGCCGGTTAAATGACCTTACCCCTGGTCATACCTTTACTTTATTACAAGTTGCAACAGTTCACTTGTACTTTTGCGCCTCTGCACTTAAAGATAAAGTTACTAGCAAAGACTTTACTTAGATATCAATCCTTCAGGCTGCTACGAAAAAGGGCTAAGAGAAGCTGGAAAAATACGTTCAAAAGCTAATTGAAGAGGATTCCTTCAAGGTATATGGTATTGCAACTCTCCTTACCCCTGAAGCTGGGACATCAGTTTCGAGTACTTTTGACACGCGATTCCAATTCGCAAATTACTTCGAATACCTTCCTTCTTCAGCCTCACTTCGAACTCGAGTACAGCAAGAATTTATCGAGGTATATACAAAGCAGTACCATCAAGATTCGGAACGCCATACCAATACTCAAAAAGCTGCAACTGAAGGACTCCGATACACTCTGCATAGTTTACTATCACGCAGTCCAAAGAAAAGGGTATTTGTAGCAATCTATTGTAGCAACTCACTGTACTAACCTATTATAAGGGCAAAATGTCATCATCCCAAGACGCACGAAATATCTGTAATGACTTTTTTAATATTGGTAAGATAAAGACTCATATCTTACTAGGCTTAACAGCTAATAACTATATTTAGTTATGTTCCCTGATGAAACTGTTCAGCAATTTTGGGTCCGCCTAGACAATAGCTATCCCAGATTCCATGGTATTTGTCGCATGGCTCGAGACTTCTTATCTATTCAACCGACGTCAATACCCTTAGAGCGATCATTCAGCCTTGCTCGCCATATCTGTCACTACGCTCGGTTCAACCTTTCGGCTGATACTATTTTTGATACTTTGACTATCAAAATGAGCCAGAATAATGAGGCCTGGCTTTCCCAAACCACACTTAAGGAAGTTCTAGATGACACGAATATCACTGAAGCATCTGAAGAGCGCCAGCATATTATTAGAGAAGCTTTTAACTACTCTTCTCTATTGGATAAAGCTGATATTCAGAGATATCTGAAGGTCTCTGATGATCTTACTAAGATCTCTATTACTGCTACAGGAGATGCTCCCTCCCCGCCTCCTTACGAAGTCTCAGTAGAAGAGGAGGATATTAGCGATAGAGATGAGGAGCTGCCATCCTTATCTAGCTCTCAACAGCCAAAACTATCGAGTCAAGTTTCCCAACTTAGCAACTCACCTACGCCTTCTGTATCCCAAGAACTCCCAAACTTCTCCGAGCTTGGGGGTCGCAAAAGGAAGAGACTTACTCGGCTAGATCTTGTCGAACTCTCTCCTGACGAGGATAGCGATTAAATATACATTGTTCCTCTGATTTTACTCCGACTTTATCGTATTATTCTCTATTAGTTTCTTATATTTGTAGTAATCTATTCTAGCCATCTATGTTTTATGTAACTTACTCTTTCTCCCTATAACTAACTAGTTATATTTTCTTTCTATCTTAGTTACAGTATTTCCCGCGTTTCTTGTGGGTAGCAAAATTACCCGTGGGTAGTGTAACCCATGGGTCGTTTTACCCACGGGCCTTTCAACCCGCGGGTAAATATAGTGGGACTGCCCGTGGGTAATTCGGGTTTACCCAAACTACCCACGGGTAGTTTTGGGTACTACCCATACGGGTACCCGCGGGTATTACCCAACCCTATTCTGAAAGCCGCTTATCCGGGCTCGAAGTAAGCTGCGGACATTCCGCGCTCAGGATCCAGTCTCTGGCTTGGGGAGGAAAATGGAAATTTCTCCAAAGACTTCATCGTAACCGAGGAAGCCAGGTTTTCGCTTAAGCGTCCAAGCTTTAGTCTTTAACTGGGGGCTCGGCATCACAATTGGCACATCATGAGTTGGTGATTGACGGGCTAGTTGCCCCAGGTATTCCTTGAACTGGCCATTATCGAACCAGCTCTCGAACAAGTTTTTGATCGAACCTTTGACCACGTTCCAATCGATGTAATTCGGCCATGCGGTCATTGCTGTGGAATCCTCCTCGTGAATGTCCTTTGAGCCAGAAATAGCTGGCTTATGCGGAGTTCTGCTAGGCCATTGTTTCCGTAAACAGGACACGACGTGGTTCTGACAGGCGGTTCTTTCGGAATAGTAATCCAGGTTTCGTAGCTTCTGGAGGCTTTCAGAATCATCATTGAAATTAAAATGTGCGAGAAACCGCTCAGTAGATAGTCCATAAGACGTGAACCCTGGTTCAATAGCGCTACGGACTCTTTCATTCACGTATTCGGTCCCCTTTGAAAGGTTGAAGCTGTCAGCTGAAGGTGCGGACACTTTTTGCAGTGTGGTATCTGTGTGGAATCTAGCAAGCATCTGAAGTATATGTATGTCAGAGATTTCGACAAATGAGAGTGTGACAATCCAAATCATCGTTCGGAACCTGTTAACAGCATGGAGATTGCGGTGTAGAAGTATCCAATTCTTCTTTATGTAATCCAAAGAACCCAGAATCAAGTCGGAGCTGTACATGACACCTTCGGACTCAAATACCCTGTCGTGGCCGAGGACTTTAGGGCAAGATGCAAGAAAGGTCCAAAGATGATTCTCTAGGTTTACCGGAGGTGGCTGAAAGAGAGAGATCAGCCCAAGGTAAAAATAGCGACCAATTTGAAACGCCCTGGTTTTCTGACTGGATTCAGAAGTATCCCTGGACTTATATATAATGTCATAGTCAACTTCGTGGCATTCAGCTCCAAATCTCGACACTCGGAACGTAGAGGAGCGGATGCTATCTCGTTTCAACAATTCTGGGACGACATGATCGAGGCGGGGCGGTTCAACATATACTTCTGGATGGAATAGTTTTGATCGTTCTGCGATCTTGAAAACAGAGACAACATACTCGAGGAAAAGGTTATGTTGTGCTAAACACCCAAGGGTACGCGACCACGTCACTGTCTGCATGACGCGCTCATGAGATGGGTAGTAGGTTCTCCCAGGTGTCAACAAAGCGAGGCGTCTTAATATGTCAACGTTCTCAGTAGTGAGCCAATCAATCGACATGATGGAAGCTGAAGTAAGTATTGACAACGACGACTCTGTTCCACTTTGCCGTGTCAACGGATCCGGTAGACCAAATGATGTCAAGGCATGGAGATAAGCGATAAAAAGCTTGCTTTGCCGACTGCTACTGATAATTCGGCCGAGCTCATGGTCCACTTCATAGGCCAAGACCCTGGAAGATTCATCCTTGGAAATTGTGACATCGACATGATCTGCCGCTTTCCGATTTGAGACAGTGCCCTCTGGAACGAGTACTTTCCGAGCTAAGGAGAGAAGGCTGTGCCGGGGCTTGTCGTGCTTGAGAATTAACTTATCCCGTAATCCAACGAGGGTTCCAATGGCTTGATTCTCATCGATGGACATGCCGCGGAACTGCCTGGACCTGACTAAGGTCTCCCCAGACTTCAATGAGAAATCAAGTCGACGCCGCGGAAGATCGAGCTGTAAAGACGATTCTCGGCTATGATGAGATATGTGGATCCATGAGGAATCTTCCAGCGGCTCCAACAGACTCCCAAGTAAACGCGCCGATGGACTTTTGATATTGACGAGCGAAATCTCTCCGCGAACTAGCTTCCACACATTGGTGTCGTTGAAGTGCCTTAACTGCCAATTGGTCGCAGAGTGAGTCCAGGGAGTTGAGATGTCGCAGAACTCAATATAGCTATCATTATAGTTGTACCAATGGATGTAGTTCTCTACAAAGTCGATGGGGAACTTTCCTTGAATATATTTGTGTGGTATGAGTTCCAACTTTGAGTCCTTATTTCTGGCTTGCACTAGGAGATCAAGACTTGGCTCCCTGGGATCCTTCTCCATACCTAAATGAATACTATGCCCAGCATGTAGTCTCCTCGATGAGAACTTCAATCCGGCGACTGAGGTGGGCATGATCTCTAAAGACAAACGTCCGAAAAGTGCCGCGTAGATAGGATGTTGTAGATATTGACTTGGAAGATGATCTAAAGGCATCCCATTCACAAGTAATTCTCCAGTCACGAGGCAATAATGAACTGGAAGTGTCTCGCCTGGCACGCCAGTGCTCGTCGTAAGCCAACAACCATGCCTGTGTGACAGAATGTGCCACTGGTCGCTGCGTTTGTATTCCGACCAGGACTTAGAAAGCGCGTCATCAAGCGCACTGGTCTTTTGTATGATAATTTTCTCGAGTAGGACTTGATACGAGTGCAGACAATTCCTTTGCCATCGAGAGTATAGGTGTTGCAGCGGCGTCCCAAGAGTCTTCAGGTGCGAATGACAGCTCTCTTGAATCATAATAGCGCATTGGATGAAGATTGATATGTTACTGCTGTTTGAGAGGACGTTACTTCGGAAAGCGTCATCGACGTTGAAAGTTTCAGAACAAATCAATGCAAACTCCATCTCTCGCTTCTGCATCAAGAGTCTTTCCGTTTCACCTGAGCTATTTTGGGCCTTATCTTTGAGACTACAGGCCCAAGCAAAAGTTATCCGGCGAGCCTTCTCCAAGTATTCGAAGCATTTTGACCGTATGCTAAAACAAGTCGTTAAGGAGAGCAGGCGAATTGCAATAGAAATAAAAGTACACAGCGCAATAGAAGATTGCCAATTCTGTTCGAACCGCAACGTCGCTTCATTGAGGCCTTCAAGAAGTTTCTCGCAAAATGTGACATCTTCAAAAGTTTTGTGAGCCTCTCTCAGGATATCACCGCATGATGGGCCTGCCTGGTAGATGCATTGAAGCGTGGCCAACCGTGTTTCCGACTTTCTGAAGTCCACAGATGGAGAAAATAGCTGAACTAGAATATTGCTCCATTGCAGTCTGAATCCTAGTGGAATCGAGCAGAGCGCCTTGTACTCGTCCAGTGCCATCTGATCAGGGCAATTCGACTGCGTGGCTATGACAGTGTTGGGTGTTGGGCCATTCGGCTCTGAAGCCGGCCTGAACAAAAATCGATCCAACGATGAGGACTGCTCTGGCATTTTGTAGGTACAGCGTCGTGGAATCTCTTGGGTTGGGTCAAAACTGGTGAGCATGCTACTTCTATACTCATTAAAGTACTCGTAGTGAAGAGCATTATCCAGACAAACTTGAAATGTGGTCGCAGTCCCAACCGCTAAAGAACAGCGATGAGTGACAGTATGAGGTTTATCTTGAGAAAGAAGATATACATGCTGCGAGGTGATGTTTCTGGAAAAATACTCCGAGAGCCCTCGATAGTTGCCCAAGGTGTAACGATTCCGAGGATTATGTCCGCCGTGTTGCTTGACTCTGAAAACGGAAAAGAGGGCGAAAACAGTGGCTTCTCGCCAGTACCCGAAAGATGACGGCAGAGATAGCTCAAAAACCACGGATTTTGCTTCCAACTGGCGTGTAGGCAGCGGCCACTCATGTATTTGGATAACGACGTTTTTGGCATCTTTGAGGCAGCGGTGTTTCTTGCAGCTGCCACTGTGCCTGGTAACGTTTTGATACAGTTTATGGCTGTAGTAGGTTTCATAGGTGCAAGATAATTGGTTATATTCCCTCATTATGCTCTGATATTTAGCTTGCAACCTTTCAAATTCAGCATGTTTCGCACCTCGGTCTCTTTGTGCCTCGGCTTGAATACCATTGAGCAGGCTCTGGTGCTTGGCTGATTGGTTGAAATACCGGACAGAAAAAGAGTTTTGTGACCCGAAATCAGTATAGATATTTGGAGCAGGAAAGCGAGATTGTTTGGAACGACAGTGAACATATAACTCCGCTCGATGTAATCGGGCCATTTGTTGCCTGAGTGGCAGGAGAAAGTTCTCGAAAATGTCATTCGGGATACCGGGGTCATACTCTAACAGCATTGGATACAAGACTACGGCCATTTTGTCGCAAGCAATCCACAGCTCCAGTATTGTAAGTAGCATGATCGATGTTTCTTCTGGGTTTTCCAAGTAGAAGTCGCTCGCAACTACATGATACCCCTCTATAAGCTGGCGAAGCTCAGCGCAGGCATCTGTGTCTTTTTGGTCCATGCGACGTTTTAACCAGTTTTCGAGGTGATATTCGACCCAGACCTCAAAAGACTCCAAGTTAAAGGTCAAGTGTTCCCGATCGTGTGTAAAACTCAGGTCAGGAAGGGTTTCTGGTCTAGTCTTGGCCAGAGCCCAGCTTGGAGTGAAGTCAGAGGGCTCAGTCGTTTTTTGCCGGTGGCAGAGCTGAGCCAAAAACTGGTCAAGTTCAGGTAAGTGCATGATGGTGTCTTTTTCGAAATCCAAGGTTCTCAAGCGATCAAGGTTGAGAGGCGGAGCGTCCCGCTGCTGGATTGCCGACCATCTCGCGGCGAGAATCTCGTTGGCGCGACACATTGTCTGGCGAACGTGTGACAGCCAAAGCCCTTCACGGTCGTCTTCCAACTTGTGAAGACGCCGTGAAACTTTTGCGTTCATAAGAATGAGAGTCTCTGAAGGTATTTCGTTCCCCAGACTCTGATTGAGGATCTCTGCCACGAGAAACAGCATGAAGATTTTGTAAAGATCTTCAGACAGCCCCAACTCCACACATCGTCGACCAAACACAAGCTGCAAAGCCACTCGAATCAGCAGCCACGTGGGCGACCTACGCCATGGGAGGTGGCAGTCGCTCCAAAGGACTTCTTCTCTAGTGTTCTTCCACAGCCTTGTGCCAGGCAGGGGGCGTCCAAGGACTAGCAAATAGGCGTTGAGGAGTTCGGTGACTATCTTGGGGTGTGTCGTATCTCGAATCTCTTGGTGGAGCTGCCCTGCTTTTTTGACCAATGGCTGAGTGTCGGGAGCGCTTTGGCTACTCATTTGTGCCAACGTTGCAGCTAGATTTTCTATGAAGCCCTCCTGACAAGTCGTTTGAAGGTCAATGGCTATAGCGGAGCCGGGAAAGCACCTGCGAAGTCGACCAATGGTCGAGACGACAGCCTTGTTCTCTGGAGACAGCTCGAATGTTTCGATGTGCATATCGCTGATTGTCTTGGTAATTAGGACTCCGGCGTTCTGCGCTCGGATATGAAGCGGGACGACTCCGCCTGTACAACTGTAAGTTGATGCACCTAAGTCATAGGATAGCATGCGTAACCTACCCACACAGTCAAGGTCCCGCAAAACTTCACAGAGCTCGAATTCACTAACAGCAGTCGTGCCTGCAAGATCGATATGAACTCGAATGAAGGCTTGAATCAATCCAATCGCTGACTGAACAGCCGCTGACTCTTCTTTTGACACATTATTTTTGAACTTAACAAGACAATCAAGAACGCATGAAACAAGTGCCGTCTCATAGTGAACACTGAAATCATCGGACTGAGGAAGCTGGGGAGGAAGGAAAACATGATGAAAGATGTAATCAATCTCCTGGTTAGCCATGTTGGTGATATTTTTTTACTGTAAGCTGTTGGTTTGTTGAGGAATGGTTACCGTGAATAGTTCAGAGGCCGAATTTACAGGAGCAAGAGACAAAAAGTCCATGATTTCTTTCTCTATCTCAAGCTGGTTTATCAAACCACGCTGGATATGGCAAATTTTCTCCATTCCCAATGTCTGTTGGCACCATGATATGACTGAAGGTTCTTTGGCGGAGGGCCTCCAACATAGAGTTCATCAACAGCATCTCGTGTCTGTTGGTTCCTTCTGAAATCGGTATCCACAGACATTTACCAGCATCCTTTTGGAAAAATCAAAATAAGCGGTGTAATGCTACTTACATCGGTACCTTTCAGAGAGAGCAACAAGTCGCATGCAACACCTTCCCTCCAAATACCAGGCTCCTACGCACCAGCCAAGTGAGTTCATCCGATGCCACAGCTTCAAAATTCAGAGAACGTCACTTTCGCCAATTACGGATCTGGGTTCCTTCATACTTTATAATTCGACTTGTTGGGAAATCATAACGTCCCACACCCACTTCTGGGCACCCCCCACATTTGGGCACCCCATTTACACCAAAAACGCCGTTTTTCGAAATTCTATATTAAACTAACTACTATACTTACTAAGAAAAGAAAATATATATAAACTATGTTAAGTATAATTATAGCCATCTAATTTTTTATAAAGGTTTAAATATAATAATAGTTATAATATAGAAGTTTAAAACTAAAAGCTTTAAAATGTTAGTAGATACTAGTAACTTACTAGTATTCCTTAACATTAGAAAAATATATTTTCGCTTATATATACTTATTTAAAAAATCTAGGAAATTAATATTTATACTTATTAAAAGTATATAATTATATCTAAAAGAGATTTAAAAGTATTACTTTAGTAAATATAGTATAATTAAGGGTTAAAATTCTATAATAGAAACTTTTCTTAAGGGAAATTTTAAAATATTATTCTAAGCTTAAAGAATTTTTTACTAAGTATAAGAATATATAAATCTACTATATCTTACTTAAAAATTCTAATCATATTAGTTAAATATCTCTACCTATTTTATATATTAAGATATAGGCTAGGTAAATTAGTATTATAAATGTTAAACCTTGAATTTATAATACTTATTATTAATAATACTAGTATATAGCTACTTAAGTATTATAATTAAGTCTTAATCTATTTAATATATATTTATTCTCTTTAATAAGTAAAGTATTTAGTTTAATATAGAATTTCGAAAAACGGCGTTTTTGGTGTAAATGGGGTGCCCAAATGTGGGGGGTGCCCAGAAGTGGGTGTGGGACGTTACCACACATCTAGGCCAGTCCATCATTCCAAATACCTTTCTGTTCCTGGGAACAGGAATGAAACCCATCGGTTATCATCGAGTCGCTTAAAATGTCCCGATGTCATCTTCTGGGTCCTGATCCATTATGCAAGGAGGAGGTGAGTGTGGGAGGTCATACCATCACCGCAGCGAGTGGATGAAACGACGGTAGGCCTCCAGCCTCAATCTTAATCTTGAAGTGCATCTCCAAAAAAGAACAAAGTTGTGAAAGAGCATTTGGCCGAGATAACTCCAGGGCATTCTACCGAAAACTATCCAATCGACTGCCACAAGGCAACGGGTACACACCATTCCATTTCAAAACCTATGATTCTCCAAATACTAATACACATAATGGTCATTATTCGACCAAAACGCACCATCAGAATAGGGTTGGCTAGCACCCCACGTGTCACGTACCTGTTGTCCTGTGGCAGTCGATGAAATGTACTTTTGTCGGTTCTGATAACATCGACGTACCTTGTCTCAAAATCTAGGCTTAGTATCTCAAAGTCTAGATAAGACTGGTTCTCGGGCCTCATGTCAGAAATCCAAAAAAATGACGTGATTCCAAAACACATGCTTCTCCTTTCAATGCACTAAACAATCACTTGTTCGTTTCACAAAGCTTTCAGAATTCAGATCATACAACACGTGAAAATGGTCATATTAAAAGCATGTGAGAGAAGTATTAACATGATTCTCAAATGTATTTTTGCCATTACTGTTACATAAGGCTTTCCCATCTTTCTAACTCTTTCATGCGTCTATATCGCTGATGCTTGATGCTGTCTGTTAAGCCAAGGGCTGTAATCGTATTCTGATGTGTGTGCAAAAAAACCTGCTCCTCTGTACTGTGATCCCATTCGTACCCAATGCTACAAAACACCGGAAAAAAGAAACTTCTCACAAAAATACCATCGCTCCAACGCCAAAGTCAAACCCAACACCAATAATTCTGCGCCATTTGTTCCAGTCTCCGAGCCATATTGCTCCTTCGCAAATGCTTTCCCCGCCCTTCTCTTCTAACGCAATTCTAACGCAAGAGTCTGCTGAAGTCATACTGTCGCTTGAGCTTGCTCCAATTTTCCATGTGAACCGCCTAGACTGGCAGATAATAGTCCTCAAGTCAGAGGAGCCGATCTATGATAGAGTGTGTGTGTAATTTCTGGCGGTATCCGCTTTATGACGACGCACAGTTTAGAAACTAAGCAAGCCACTGCGCCGCTTTCCGAAGGGGTAAACCATGAGAGCACTGAGGAACAGGCCCACAGTAATGCCAATGGCAACTTGGATAACACTCAGAAGAACGGCAAAGGCAGAGTTGCTGATGCCGGAGGTGTCCGCCGTGGCGGTACCGTTATTGTTAGTAATCTGATCCGCTGACGTCACTCCTGCAAGAAGGGACCCGCCAGCGGCGATACCACTGGGCACCTGCACAAAGATAGCGGGCAGCATCGCTGCGGCTGCTAGACCGTATCCAATTGTGCGCCTGCGCTCTGGTGGTGCCTCTTCGGCAGGTTTTTCTGAAAATGCCGCGGACGTCGGCGTCGTGGGGGCAGACTCTTCGGGGGTGTGAATGCCGCTTGGAGTACGCTGGCCAGACATTTGGTACATATCTGGCCGAGGCCGCTCGTTGCGGCGGCGGCTGGCACTGATGAACCGAGGCTTTATCCGGAGGTCGAACCAGTCGAGGAAGTCGAGGAAGAGATTATGCACGTGGCGTCCAAGTCGGGAGTAGAGGTTAGCGAGCAGTCCGACCGTGAGGGCGCCAAGCATGTTCGAGATCTGCGGGTTGCCAACGAAGAAGTCGGATGAGTAGTTGTTGACGAGGAAGCCGGCTAGTGAGATAGCGATCATGACAGGCATTTGCTTCCATTTCGCCTGATTGATGATACAGAGACACAGGGTGAAGCCTGGGACGAAGAGAAGGTACCACTGCCTGTTGAGGGGATTCTGACAGGTGGTCCTCGATTCGGCGTGTCTGTCGATCATACCGTACAGCGCCGTTCCGATGGTGGTGCCGTAGCCCAGGAAAAGCGTGTAAATCATGGCGTAAACCATGCGCACGCTGCCGGCCACAAGATTGTGACTTTGCAGCTCCAAACTACTGCAGAGAACCATGTATCCAGGCAAAATCAGGGCGATAGAGCTCTGAGCCAAGGCAGAGAAGCAAAAGAGGTTTCCGTTATTAATGGAGCCGAATGCTCGAGCCAGGAACGATGTGACGATAGCAGCGGTGATTTCGAACACGTTGGCGTAAAGTTCGTTGCTGGGGGCGAGAATCAGCTGCATACATCCGAGGATGCATCCGAGAATGAAAGCAATCGGTAGATCGATGAATCGACCCTGGAAGGCGAAGGGCGCGACGCATGCGCTCGCAAGGCCGTACACAGGCACTCTCATCCAGTTGTTAAATTTGATGCCTCGATCCATGATGTTTTCGAGCATAATGGTGGCCTCGTCAACGCTGATTAGGTCGTGGACAACTCGCTTATAGATGTCGTGGACATCGCGTAGCTTGCCGAGATCAACTCCGTGGACTGAACGGACGATCTTGACCTCGGTGGTATGGGTGGCGCTATCGTCGAAGCTAATGATCATGCATCCTGGGATGTAAAGAAATTGGCCCTCGATTTCGAGGACTCGCGCCGACATCTTCATGTACTCCTCCAAACGATGAGTTGGGGCACCGTACATCATCAGCGCTCTGCACAGCTTCACCAGATACTTATGTCTAGAGAGAATCTGGGCAATGTGCTTTGTGATGCGGATCTTATCCTCAGACTTGGACTTGGGCGATGAGCCGCCCCAGACGCCCGACTTGCGCTTCTTAGGCTTGGGGGCCTCTTGCTTGATCTTTTCTGAAAAGCCAGCAGAAAAGCCGCTGGAGCCAGGCGCCATCATGGTAGAAGACGACTTGAGCAACTCTGTCAAGGCCATGGAGGATCTAGAGCCTTGGGCCTTGTGGTAGTTGAACAGGCCGCTGCTGGGCCGCGATGGACGAGGCGAAGCCGGAGCCGATGGCGGGGCCGAGGGGGGTGCAGAGGCCGGGATGGATCCGGGCGGCGAGTGGTTGGGCGTGGCACCACCGGGTGTGTTGCGACCACTGCTTCCCTCACTACCATTCTCGTTGTATAACTTGAGCAACGATGAAAGAATACCGCCGTGATACTGCTTGGGAGGGGGGACGTAATCGTGGGCATAAGACTGCTCCAGGGTTGGCGTTGCCGTGCCCGACTGAGCTCCCGGTGGTGGTTGGTACTTGAAGTAGTCATTGGGGGCCTTGTTCCCCTTCTTGAAGCGCTGAGTATGAGACCGTACAAGGTTCTCGGCAGCGAGGTGGGAATTTTTCCTAGGACGTGTCTTGGTTCGGCGACGTGAGCTATTGGTAGCGTCCACGCCAGTGCTCATGCCACCGACACGATCCAGGCCTTCATCTGTGTCATCGCTGAATGGGTTGTATGCCGCATTCAATGAGTTCTGCCGAGAGGGCGGCGACGAGTAGTTTTCGATACTCACGGCCAACCTATCGGCACGCTGGCGGGCCTCCAATCCAGATCGCTGCTGTCGTTCACCAGTGCTACGCTCGGCGGCATCAGCCTTTTCTCTCTCCTCGGGAGCATCGTAGCTGGTGTTCCGGCGGAGGGCCGGCCGGGGTCTGCGGGGCGTTTCCTCCTGATTCTCTGAAATAAGCACTTGGGTCAGAGCACGACGCAATTCACCAGCGTCTGGGGCGCCGGCGGGAACATCTCGCCTGGGCGTGTCGAAGGGGTTAGCGTTCGGCTCGGGTGACATGGTTTGCGAGAAGTAGTCGTCGTCGATAACAATACTAGGCGGCCTATTGTCGCCTTGAAAGCCCACACGCTTCTTCTCTTTTCGTGCTTGAGGCGTAGCAGATTGCGGGTGCAACAGAGGAGGGGTCTGAAGCTTCTGCTGTTGCTGAGATTGCTGCTGCTGCTGCTGCTGCTGCTGCTGCTCTTGCGACTGCGGTGGTGAAGGGTCTGCGAAGGGAGAGTTGGCCATGGCCGACGGGGGGGAATCGTTCGACCTGTTGGAGCTCTCCTGCCCCGAGTCCTGATTGGACCCTGACATATTGTCGAAAGGAGAAAGTGATCGTCGGGCGGACTGGTCGGGACGGTTTCCTGTTTATGTGGTAGGATTTGTGTTTAATATACTTTAGGTACGAGTACAGGAAAGGCCAGGTTCGAGGGTAGTAGTTCTTGGCCGGCTTGGAGAAATTGTTGGTAGATGGATGTCACTCTAAGTTATCAATACCGACTCGGGTGATATCGTATTCGTCTTGGTTCGTGTGTAAGCAGGTGCTCAGTGGACTTCACGGATGTAGCGGTTACGAGCAGAAAGGGCCATCTTGTGATGAATAGAGTAGAGAAAGAAGGATCAAGAGGAAGAGAAATAAGTTGAAGGGTAGAGTAGGAGGAGGAGGGGGGAGGAGGGGGAAGATCAATGGAGCCGGAGAACTGGAAATAGGCGGAAGCAGCGGAGAGATAGGACGTAATGAATGGCAAAAGCAAAGCAGAAGGGACGGACGGGGGAGATGGGCGAGATGGAGACGACGGACAAGCAGCGACCGATGGACCGGCTTGGAATCTCCACGGCGATTGCATGGTGGTTTCTAGGCCCCAAGGCGGCGAGGGGCTCAGGGTGCTAGTGAGTATGCGGTAGTGTTGCGCGTATGGCTTATCACACAAAAGTCGAGAATATGTGGTAATTCTGGTGACGGCTCGACAGCCTTGAACCATGTTTGATGTCTACTCCACGGGCCCTGCAAGGCCACGCCCGCCCATCCACGCCATGGCCCTGTAGCGCAAGGTCTCGTCCTGTTCTTGGCCTGCCCTGTCAGTCGCCCGGGTATGACCCAGGAGGGGGGGCGACCAGAGGAATGGATGCCGCCATAAAAACACGAAGGGTCCCACAGCAGGCGTCAGAGAGAAGTGGAGAGAAAGAGAGTTGGCGATGGTGGTGGTTGAAGAGAGGGAACACGATTAGTGCGATTAGGACTTTGTTCTCTCTATACGCACTCTAGCGTGCATATGGGAGTTTGCGCTAAGGGGGGAGTAAGCGGTACGTATCTTATGCCCTGCATACTGCCACTAAGCACAGATCTGGTGTATTCCTATAGTGGGTGAATACTGTGTAGATGTGCTATAATGAACAAATTAAGATACTTCGTACTGCAAAGTACTTTTACGTACATAGATATGTAGAAATCAGAGTATATGCTCAACTCAAGTTTCTGCTCTCATCACTCATTAGAGCCGCACATGTGTTCAAACTATGAACTGATTGACTAATGGCGATCCAATGCCGCTGCTGCAAAGGTTGCTTGTGGTATGGGCGTGAAAAACGACGAACGGTGTGAACCCCCAATTCTCTTCTCTCTCTACCCCTGGAATACCCCTCCACCCTTTACAGCCTGCCACAAGACACCCCTGTCTTGTACCTGTCTCTGCTGTCCTGCTTCCCTCCTGACCGTGGTAATAGCGTGTAGTGACACTACTACGTACATAGTAGAGTGGCATGGTGACCCCCATGCCGTGAAAGCCCCCTGCACTGAGCCAAGCAAGGCTCTGCTGAGCTACCCGCACCACCGGCGCCTATCATTGCCGTTTCTCACAACCTCTGCAGGCCATCACCTGCTGTTAGCGCTGGCTTACCGGCCACACGTGTGTTGACCAAGACTCGCTGTGGAATCGTACAATAATTTTTTTTTTTTTTTTTTTTTTGCAATTGTTGTTTGTGTGGTTTGCCCTTCTCGCCTGAGATGAGCCGGTATCAGCTCGGAAGCATAGTCGTATACGGACCAAAACCCCCTCCAAAAAAAATATGAGACAAGACGACCTCAGGAGAGGTCGTGGCATAAATCCTTCACAGATACCCAGTTTTCTGACCTCAACATGGCTCATCTCACGGTTCCATACGCATTGCGACATGAAGGGTTCCCTGACATTCAGCAGTCGGGCTGAGTTGAGCTTGGACGATGAGCCAATGGCCATTGCAAACTCCATTACAAAACATTCTTTGCCCCTTGAAAGAAAAATTCGTCAAAAAACTCCCCGAGCTCCCTCCATCTGTGAGATGAATGCGACGGTAACCCTGTCGGGGCACCGAAAAAGCTAGCAGCATCTTAGCACCTTAGCAAGCCAAGCTAGTTCCGTCCCAACTCTTCCATGTTCGTCGCGCTCTCAACAAACCTCCGACCGGCGCGATCTGACTGACTGACTTAGTTCGTTCCGCTACTGATTAGTAGGTCCGCCGCAGGTGTCGTTGACTGTGCGGAATTTTCTAGGTGGGTGAGACAAGGTTGGCAGCAGCCGAAAAGAGGGTGTGAAGCACTAAAGGAGCGTGTTTGTACCTCAATTACCAGATGCAGTGAAGTGATACACTCACTTGCCAGATGGTCATCTCGCATGCGAATCGCTGCTTCGTAGGGCCGATTCAGATAACGACTTTTTGCCTTTTTTTCTGCGTTGCGATTCGCCGCTTTGCCTCAAGCTCGGCTCATTTCTGATGCAATTTTTTTTTACTGAATCTTTCTAGATGACACTTTTCTCCTATTCTCTCGCTCAAATCTTTACCTTTCGGCCCCTTTCCAAACCTTTCTTTTGAGTTCTTAGGTACACCCACCAAACGGTTCTAACTCATGTCATCATCACTCAAAGCCGCCTGGCCAGCCGAAGCACACTATGTGTCAGGGTATAATGTTCTCCTCTTCTGTATCACAAACCAAACTCTGGCAAAAGATACAGAATCCGTAGAAATATGAGAGTAAAGAGCACAAATTGTCACCTTCGCATGACTCTCACCAGCCAAGCTGCCAATTGACCACCCACTCCCCCTGCTAGCTTCAGGGCTTCAAAGAGGTGCAATCAGGGCACTCCCCTGGTCTCTTTACAGCTCAAGGGGGGCCCTGGTGGCGTAGGCGATCTGAGTCTCCCGGGCCCAACATCCGGACGACGGAACCTGGCGGTCCTCCCACCTCCCACTACACACCCTCTTTACGCTGTCTGACCCTGGGTCCCGAACCACCGGTGCAGCGGTAGCGAGCTTGGTCTGCGAGACATGACGTAGTATTTCCCATCCATCCCACCCGTCCCGGACTCGGATTGCCAACCTGTTTCCCCCTTCTCTGGAACACGTCTGTTTCTATCTTGGGGTTTGCGTAATTGTTGACAGGACACCATCAGAGTAGTGTCACGTTCGGGAGAGGCTCTGCATCTCGCCTCTCACTGGACGACAACGACGTAACATCATCTCCACTGTCACATGGAAAAGCAGGCACCTTGGAACCATGATGATCTAGCATTAACTTGTGTTTTGTTGAAAACCCTCCTGCTCCAACGGGAACTACCGGCCGCGTGTGTATGACTACCAAACCCTGGTGCGATCTTCGCCTAGCCTCCCCCTCTCAAATCACAATCTATCATACCTCGACGGTGCGAGCACTCGGTAGGTTCGCCTGACACCCGTATTTCAATAGACAATGTTTCTATCCTGAGCGAGGCTGTGGACGACCCCTATTCACCTCGCCCATCCATGCATTGAGCCAGCGTGGCGGCTCGTCAATCATTCATGCCGCACCGACTCTAAATTGCTAATCTAACCAAAGCATCTCGGCACCGACTCTTCACCCTCCCGCGCCGCCGCGTCCGGGTCACCGGAGCCGGACCTGTCGTTAGCCTCCTAATCATGCCATGACCTAACACCGCAAAACCACGCACCGCCACGAATCACTCCAAGCCCATCGCCAGGGTCACCCCTCCTCCATATTCTTAAAACAGTTTCGGGCTCTTGGATTCTAGACTCGAGCAGCAGCACGGGAAGATGACAAGGGGGGGTGGCCACACACTATCTGAATGCGCTGCCCGCAATCAGAAAAGGAAAAAGAAAAAAGTGCTGATGGAAAGCACTTTTTGTGATCCTTGAAAACGCGTACCCCGTGCTTCGAACAGCGGGACAATCTCTCCCCACTGAGGAGTGGATTTATCGACCGTTCCAGCTTGTGTCTCGCTCGTCCGTGTGATGACAAAAACGTGTGATGACAAAAACCATCTGCTCTCGTCCTCTCGTCCCTCCCCGTCCCTCTTCTCGGCTTTCCCAAATAGGAAATCCCGGGTCTTGGCTCCATTATTTTCCCATCACACCTTTTTGTCCCCATCACGATGTACAGAGACCGCGATTCACCACTTTCTAGCATTTCTTAGCCCATTATTCCCGGGTGCTCTCGACAATCCCACAGCAAAATTCGCCTCCGGGGCCCCAATTCGCATGCTTCTTCTCCGCTCCCATGTTAGCCGTTAAGCTAGATTCGGTACGGAGAGCCGAGCGGAATGGAGAGGTTGCGGGCTGCACCTCGCAGGTTCCATATGCCAAGGTGACACCGCCGGCGGAGCAGAAGGGTTCAAACTGCCTTTTTTCCCTTCCTAAACTCTGTGTCTGTCTCTGTCTTGCATGTATCCCATGAGAAAGAAAAAAATCTCAATCTGCCTCGTGGTTGTGAATTCCATCTGGCTCCGCCAGATCCCCCCAACCATTCCAGCCCAATCCCGCTCCACATGTTAAAACCCCCCCCCCCCCCCCCCCCCCCCCCCCCCTCCTTCGACACACCCTATGCTGCTCCTCTCGGATCCTAGACATGATGTGCGCATGGAAGTTTTGACAAGGGAAGCAGTTTGAAAGGCCCTGCTTGGGCGAAAGGAGACCTTTCAGCAGTGGGGTGGGTGGTGTATAACCCTATTTGTCTACACTACCTGCGATAAGAACCAGTTGGCCCGCACAAATGTCCACCACCGGAGCAGAGAAGTTTTAAGATCCCAAAAATAATATGAGACTTTCATCTGATTCCCGGTCATCCTGTCACGTCCGTCGAAACAGAGGGCCGCATCTTCGGGTGCCACTCTGCGGGTTCTGCGTCGCACACCCGGGAAACCGCAGCCGGTCTAGAATCATCTCTTCTCTGCTGTTAAAACTGTTTCTGCCCGAAAGGAAAAAAAAAAGGGACAGGGGGTTTTGATCTTCCATGTTGTATGCTGTATGCAACCTAACGGCACGGACAGATGCGGTCCGCTAAGCTTTTACACGTTTTCTTTCCCTCCTTTTCTGTGCAAAATCATCTCGCATTGGATGACTTACCCGAAAGCTTATCATGAAACGAGCTCTGCGCTGGCAAGGTCAGATTTTGAGGGTGGCCTGTTATTTATGACAGGACGCCTTTTTTTTTTTTTTTTTTTTTTTTCAATGACGCTTGCACGAGATTGAAAGCTCTAGATATGAAAAACCTTTTATGGTGTTATCGTTGACTCACGCTACGTTGTTGAGTTTGGTTCTACAGTTGATTCATAAACTTGACTCGAAGTCTCCCAGGGTACATGTCGCGATTCAGGGGTAGCTACCATTTGACACTACATAGTATATTGAGTGCTGCTCACATGTGAAAATCCAATCCAAGAGCTCTTTGAACGCGCGTCGACTTCCCATCTGGCCCCTGACGAGCTCGAGGACAATGCCGCTCGAGCTTGCTTACACTCAGGCTCTGCTTCAAATAATGATTGCGATATTTATGCCAAAAAATGCAAAGCTGAGCTCTCATGAGCAAGGGGTTGTCATATGCTTGTTGGTAGATGACACGTGGGCCGGCATGCCGCCGTGATAGCTCGCTGGAAGTGGTCCGCTGAAACTGTGTTGCCCCCCCGTCGTGGCAATAGGTTGTGATGCCGGGCCCACATGATTTTGATATCCAAGAAAACACCACATGTTTCTTTTCTCTTTGCATCTGGTGCCTTGTGAAGACGGGTATTACATGTTGAACTACCTCACCCATTCGAATGGGGCTGTGTGTCCTTGGCGCTCTCTCATCACAATCTTATTTCACGCCTTGTCATCGACCTGTCTCGGTACACACCGTCTCAGTAGCATCATGAGTGGCCCGGATGAAGCTATCGTGAAGTTGCAAGCTCCAAGCTTTCTGCATATTGCCGCCCCATAACCCGAGATTCCCGCTGAACGTCTGAATATGACAAGTCACATTGCCTCAGGAGGTAAGACAAGTTTGATGAGCCATAAGCAAGAGCCGCAAGAAAACTCAGGGGTCGCAGATTCGAGAGCTGCAATTTCTCGTCGCGGCCCAATGATACATGGGCCCCTGATCATATAAGGCTTGTTCACCATACCCCAGCCCTTGCGGGCCTTTGTTTTTGACAGGCAGGGTCAAAACCAAAGCGGTGGATCTGTTCGGGGAATTCCTCATTTCGGGGGATCCATCGAATAATTCTCCCGTGATCTTCGGCAGGTTCCAAAGAAGTAGAATGAATACTGCATTGCCATAGCGACGTGCTCACTATTTTTATCTTGTTTTGGTTTCCCTTACCCCTGATAACAAAGAGTACAGCTTGCAGTCCAGCTTCAACAGCTCGTCTGTAACTGGGCCGATAAAATTCAGCTCTTTGAACAGTCTACGGTTGAGCTAGGTCTTCACATTCGGATTTCATTGCAGGTCCTAGGTTATTAAGGGTGCTGAAAACAATTATACCACTCGATACCCATTGATAAGACTATACAATTAGTGAAACAACAAAGAGTGATGCGAATTTAGCATTAGATATTTGCGTTGGTCAACGCGAACATGTCAGGAAATGCCAGGAACCTGCAGATAGCCTGAACCTGGCCAATGTCGAGTCCCCTCTTCGTTTTATGAGATGTTGGCTGTTGACTTACACGCCCTATCTCTAGCGCCAAATGTCCTTTTTACTCTCAACCTGATTCCAATGAGACATAACATATTTGACTTCGCATAGTAAGGTATTTGGTAAGGTACTTTATAACGGTATTTGGTCGAAATTCAATGATCTTAAATTACGACTATCTATCAGAAATAGCCTCATTTCCATCACCGTTCTCTAGAGATGCTGTGACGGGATCAAAAGCTTTGCGGAGGGAGTTCGTGACGAGAACGCTCAAGTCGCATCTTCGACACCTTGAAGCGCACTTGGTTCAATAAACTGAGTAATGCTTTAGATGTTTTGAGACCTTGAATTTGACTTCTTATTCAAATACAAGAGTTCCCATCAATCTACTATTCTGTTGAAATTCTCTTATATGTGGCCGAATCCGTGTGCTTGTATGATTTGCTAGAAGATTATGTCTTAAAGTTAGCAAGATAATTTAAAGTTTGGCGAATAACTCTGCGTTGTTATTTCACTCTGGGCTATGTTACAGTCCCTTAGGAAGAGCATGCGTCTGGAATCGCTGGCTTGCCATCACGGCAGAGTACCATCGCCTTTACCCTTTATCATTTCCCAAGCTCGTACATGAGTGGGCTAACTCGACATTTTTTGAAATGTGGTCCAGAGAAGCGCCAAAGATGAAGATTCAAACGGCTTTGGAGAAATAGTTAAGGGCGTTGAGACCGTGAAACTATTGATATCCGTACCTAAGCAATAGCTGTGCTCTGTTGACCAGATGCTGCTCCGTTGCCCAACCCATACAGTACTGGGACGGGCCGCAACCGTCGAAGAGCTGAAGACTTTACACAACTATCTGCGGTATGGCCTCACAAGAGAATCAGTGAATTGTTGGCACTTTGTAAAATAATTTCACCGCGGCATTAACGCGGTAAAGGCACACCCAGAGCCAAAGGTCCCACTAGGTCTTTTGGACCTCCTCTCGCATAATCACGGCTAAGGATCAAGTAAAAAGTCCATATGGGAATAACAAATGTAAGCAGGCATCATGAATATCGTCCAATTCTTTCATCAGGATCTTCAAATCTAGGTAACAAGGTGAACGGACCAAAGCCAACGGAATATGCATGCCATTTATCTGTGTATACCGAGGGGCGAGAAGACAAAACAGCGTCTCAGCGACAGAAATGAGCTACGAAAGCCTAGAAGTAAAATTTTAAAACCCGATATCATGTGTGAAATTGGAAAATGACTTACCCTAATGCAACTGAATTAACATGTCGATCATCGCTTTTTCGTTTGACCCAGCAGCTTTTACTTCAAGAAATGTTTTCACTTGCGGTTCTCCTGGATCAAACAACGATGTAAGCAGTTCAAGATTAGCAATTTTTTAAATATTGTGATTTAAAGAAGGTCTCGTCATATCTTTAAGGTTGTCAGACTGTTTGTACTCTCGGGAGAAGGGAAGAAGCATCTTTTCAGAATTCACCCTAAAGCAACATGCTTAATACATTTAGTATCCCTTGTAACGTCGACGCTCTTGATGTCTGAATAGATGTCATTACATTCCTCGAACCACATGGACATGGTCATTAGTAAGTTGTATGTAAATTATAACCTTACGTAACTCTCCATGTTCTCTCGTACAGACGGTAGCATTTGAGCAACGACTGAATACAATTTAGGGACCGTGGTCGCTAGATTACGAAGATTTCATGACGAACATCCATCGCCTTGGTTACTTTGCTTCCCCTCTTGCCAATACGTCTCCGTAATTCGGTGGACGATGTCACAATGCCAATGATGAATGGGCTTACTCTTCAAATGAGCTCATTTTCATACAGGCTTAATACATCTTACCATCAAGCTAACCTTCAAGATACTGCACAAGTTTCAAATGGCTAAAGTTCTTTCAGGGAATACTCTGGTTACATGTGTTGAGATCAGGTGTTCCGATACCAACGCTGAAGCTTCGTCGGTACAGAAAACATGGGAACGCCTCAACCGAAGAACGAGACAGCTACTTCATCAACTCAAATCGGAATAACTTGTGGAACTTGAAAGATGATTGTGAGCGAGTCAAACCCCCTGTTTGCAGATTCTACCGCATGTCCTTGGCAATACACCTGCGATGCACTCGAGTAAAACGCTCAACAACGTTTACATCATACACGCATATTTTGCAGAGAAAGAAACAGGATCGAAGCCGGTTCTGATATAGCCAACATCATTGACACGTGCTCACGGTTCAACATGATTTTGAAAAGCTGAGACGCCCTTCGTACACATTGATCAGTTCTGTTGACCGAGGAAACGGCCCTCGCCGTCCGAGCAGTGGACTACGCCAAGGGCAAACTGCGCTCAGTGACAATAAATCCACAATAATGACCCTACTTGCGTCCAATAACATCGCCTAGTTACGTGGTTGTGATTGCGGAACTTCCAGCTGGGGTCGTATCGAACAGCCGAGCCTAGCTGAGTTTGGCAGCTCCCAACGGGCAGTCGGTCTTGGCAAAGGTGATAAGCTTAAAACTCCTGCCGCAAGCTAGCCATTGCTCCGAGGGCAACATGAACGAGCTGCCTGTTTTTGTACGACGGAGTATTGCGTGCAATGACGAGGAGACCATCCATGGGCGAGATGCCTGTTTAGGGAAACGGGTCCTGCCGTTATGCCTGCTGATCCTCCACACCCCGAAAGCGACGATGGCAAGTCCTTCGGCGTCTGCGGAGGCCTTTGAGCTTGCATATAAGGCGCAACAGCTTTCGCTTTCTTGGCTCCGAGTAGTTGGAATCTGAGTCGTCGTCCACATCTGCCATCGAAGCCTCCTCCGATATGCATCTCAACGCTGCTCTTGTCGTTCTCGCGGCCTCCTCCAGGCTCGCGCTGGCCAGCCCCGCCACGGACAAGCTCCAGATTGACCCTGCACTTCGCTTGATCAAGACGTCTGAGACTGACCCCGGCACTTGGGTTACAGACGAGGAGAAGATCGCGAACTACGTCAGCAAGAACATCGGTTTCATTGACATCACTGACATCAATGTAAGCGGTACCACTGAAAACCATTCAATCAAAATCTAACCACAAAAAGGATGCGGATGTTCTTACCGCACTCTCAACCCCGCCTGAAGCTGAGCTGGCTGCCAGACAAGCCGTTACGTATCCCACAGCCTTGACTCATGTTTCCGAGGCAAACTCCCTCATCTCGTCGGTTTCCAACACTGGACCGCAGTCTTGGCTCAAGACGTTGACTGAGTATGTTCAAAGACATCGCTGTCGGCTCAAATAGAGAGATTCTTACCAAGATCCAGCTTCTACAACCGCTATTACCGTTCTACATACGGTACGCAGTCTGCTACCTGGCTGTTTAACCAGGTTAAGACCATCGCTGCTGCGAACTCGGCCATCACTGTCACGCAGTTCTCCCACTCTTTCAACCAGCCCTCCATCATTGTTAAGATTCCCGGAACTAGCTCCAACCTTGGTACGCAAGATCAGCGGCTCTTCATCTAGCCGAATTTCAAATGCTAATCTCTCATTAGTGATCGTCGGTGCTCATTTCGACTCCACTGGTGGCTCTTCTACCGCCCGTGGACCTGGTGCTGATGATAACGGTTCCGGTGTTGTGGTCATCCTGGAGGCCCTGCGCGTCCTGGCCAATGCTGGCTTCAAGCCCAAGAACACCCTTGAATTCCATTTCTACGGCGGCGAGGAGGGCGGTCTTCTCGGATCTCAGGCCGTCTTTGCAAACTACAAGTCTGCCGGCAAGCGGGTGCTCGCCTTTGTTAACCAGGATATGGCTGGGTACTCTCCCTCTGGCAAGGTTTCCGTTTACACCGACTACGTTGATTCTGCCTTGACCTCTTATGTCCGTCTCGTTGCCACCCAGTACACCGGCAGCACGCCTACCAGCGACACCTGCGGATACGGATGCTCCGACCACGCCAGTGCCCGCTCCAACGGCTTCCGTAAGTCAACCTTTTCCCCAGGTAGTTCTCTTCGGCATGTTAACATGAGTTTGCAGCTGCGGCATACGTATGCGACGAGCCTGTCGATACCTCAAGCCCCTACATCCACAGCCCATCAGACGTAAGTACTTATTCAGTGTAACGTTAAACGAGGATATAATTAACATGTGATAGTCTTATGCCACCATTCAATGGCCTGCCATTCTTCGTCACTCCAAATTCACGGTTGGATTTTTGGTGGAGGCTTCGTACCTTTAAATACTAGGTACCTTGCGGCTGTATTGAATGCTAGATTAGCCCCTCGATCTAGTCAATGTCAGCCTTTCGGTTCTGCTGGACACAGCAACCTAGTTGACATTTTCCGTTTGTCATGACCTGTGCCACCCTGATGTACATTTCCCTCTCCGCGATAACCTTCCCCATTTGGCTCGCTTTTCCGAGGAAAACTTGGCTGGTCACGTTTCTCCAATAGCCTCCGCCGATCGGACGTGGGGTAGCTCAACAAAGGTTGCGATAAAGTTATCAGCATTTAATCGGCAGGCCCAGATGGTCTAGAACTAGCGTACATGTCATGTCTAAGGCGTGCTCTCAGGCGTGCTACCCCACATGCAGTCTAAAACATGAGACACCAGGGTGGGATCGCGTAACGTAGGTGTAAATATGACTCTTACCTGTGCCGTTCTCGGCCAGCCCCTCGCGGCTTATGTATAAAGAAGACCTAGGGGTTTTGAAAGGTTTACTCAAGGATGCACAACAAAAACCATAACCTGATTCACTTACCTGCTGAGTTGGGCAATGGGTAATTCTGAGGAACAGCCAAGAACGGCGCCGGCTCCTACACCCGAAGCCATTGAGCTGAACGCTTCGCCAAGTGTCCGTTCTAATTCCAGCCAAAGAGATCCTGAGTCGAGCCTGCAAGCATGGCTCTGTGTTGTGGGATCCTTTCTATTTCTCTACCCATCCTACGGTAGGCATATGCTTCCAATCCATGTAAGCAGCCTGAAAGAACTACTTTGATGCTGATGAGAACTGCAGGATTCATGCAATCTGTTGGGACTGTCCAGTCTTACCTCCAACTGAACCAACTCAGCTCCTTTTCAGCTCGTGATCTTGGGTGGATTAGTGGTATCTTCACCTCACTTGGGCTTCTACTTGGCATTCAAGCCGGGCCTCTGATGGATGCGTACGGCACGAAACTTTTGGCGCCAATCTCCGCGGCAACAATGGTCCCGGTGTTCTTCCTCCTGGGAGAATGCAAAGAGTACTGGCACTTCATTCTCTGCTTAGGTGTCCTAGGCGGAATTGGTGGTGCTCTTTCATCAACTGTCGCACTTGCCGTCATTGGGAAGCTTTTCAACCGTCGACGAGGACTAGCAATGGGCATTGCATTGTCGGGCTCTTCTTTCGGAGGAGTTACATTATCAATGATGTTTAGATCGCTCCTTCCAAAGTTAGGCTGGCAGTGGGCCATGAGAGCGGCTGGGTTTCTAGTGCTCGGCGTAATGTTTCTCGGTGTTTTGTGTTTTCTTCCGTATCCTAGTCTGGTTACATCCTCGTCGTCGGCACCCGTTGGAAGGAAAGCGGCCACGCTCAACTTTTCAGCCTTCAAGTCACCCCCCTTTGACTTCATGACCATGGGGTTGTTCTTGCTCGAATTTGTCTTATTTGGCATAACCGGCTTACTTCCCACCTTCGCAATTGCTGCCGGTTTTCCCTCCAACGTTGGATTCTCACTCATTGCAATTCTCAACGGATGTTCATGCCTTGGGCGCATCGCATCGGGTATAGCTGGAGATCGATTCGGTCATCTTAACGTTCTTCTTTTCATGATCATCTTCACCGTTATTTTCACTACGGTGGTTTTAGTACCTTTCGGAACTAAGTATATCGGAGCTCTGTATACGTTCTCGGCCTTGTGGGGTTTTGGTTCGGGATCGTTTCTTTCTATAACACCGGGTAAGTGGCACTCTTAGGATGACATTATGTGACGTTGATGCTAACGAATGAACTAGTCTGCCTTGGAAAAATTTGCGAGCCAAAGGACTACGGAAGATATCTAGGTGAGTTTCCTTGAATCGCACCTCAATAGCCGTTCACTAACAATTTATGCTTAGGCACCATGAATTTTGTTGTCAGCTTTTCTCTCTTAATAACAGTGCCAATTGGAGGACAGATGCTTGAATCCATGGGCGGAACTGCGCTCTCTGGATTTTATGTGGCTATCGTCTTCCTGGGAGGCGTTTCGTACTTTGCTGCAAGGTCCCTTCTTGTTGGTGGATGGTTTACACTTAACACCAGAATTTAATACAGTTAATTTACGGTATATATGCCTAGGTGGTATGCTAGAGAAGTTGTGCGGAACTGATTTACATCGTCTAAATTGGCGCTGAACCAAATGAGCAAACATGGAGTTTAGATGATCTAGATTTAGAACGAAAAATTAGTTCTGATCGCTTATGAGGAGTTACACAGCGATCATTCTTGCCTGGGTAGACACCTAGACATATGAAAATAATGATTTGGGTCCTAGTCTTCATTGCCAGTTGCCAAGCAAAAAAATGTGCAACTCCAAGAATGGTTTGTTCCAACTGTCAAGACTAGGGGCGAAAGGCTTAGGAGACGTAGCGCTGCACGTTTTGGAAGCAGCTTGTGGTTGGGGAAACTGTCATTGACGCCCTACTGGATTTGATGACGCAAGATACGCTAATCGGGCCACAAGATCCCCGTGGCTAACCGGGACAAACCACCGACCATCGGATGCCCGGTGACCCTCCTCGACAATTCCTTACCTTAGCGAACGGCTCCGGGAGAGTTGCTCCACTTTCAAGGCTCCAGCTACCCTTCGGGGACAATGATGCAGACCGAGCGTGAGGAGATGCCCAATGTCTCCGACTGTTCGGCCTTGCCCAGACGGAAACTTAGTCACGCATGCCGCTCTCGGCCTCATGTACAACGCATAAAAGCCCAGTAGTATTTTGCCAACCTCATCAATTTTCCCCATTTTTCCAACTCATCGCATCTCAAGCTTTTGCCAACCTTCACGTCCAAAACTCAAAGGTTCGATCTGAAAGTAAGAAGCATGGGAGACGCAGAGGGCCTTTCATCGGCCTCAAGTAAGACCAAATTGAGACCACATCCATTTGATCCTTTGCGGCCTGAAGAGATCAGCAATGCAAGTCACTTTACAGGCCCCTTTTCGATGGATTTTGCAAAAGTCGCAACGGGCTGACGAATTGTGTAACTCATAGGCCGCCGACATTACTCGCAAATCAAGAGAGAATGAGAAAGTATTCTTCAGAGCTATTTCACTCGCGGAACCCCCAAAAAAACAGATGGCACTATTTGTTGAAGAAGAGAATTCTGGCACCCAGGCTCTAACATACCCCACGAGGCGTGCAAGAGTCCAGGCTTACCTGGATAAAACATTGCACGAACTTATCATCGACCTTGACAGCGCGACAATCGTATCCGACACCCCTCTGCAAGGACGACACTCGTACATCGACACCGACTTTATGGCTCAGGTTGCAGCAGCTTGTCTTGCTGACACAATGGTTCAAGAAGAGATCAAAACTCTCAAGTTGCCAGAGGGAGCAACGGTAGTGGTTGAGCCTTGGGCTTATGCGACTGACGGCATGAAAGACATGACCGATAGGTGGACCATGGTAAATGCTCCCTTGATATTCTCTGTGTGACCGTATCACTAATGATCTTAGGCTTGGTTTTATATGCGCCTTTCAGACAACCCCGATGCAAACTACTACGCCTACCCGCTTGACATATGCGCTGAAGTCTCCAACTCCCTTGAGGTGGTTAAAATCTACCGTTTGCCATCGGAAGAGTCTGACAAAATTCACGAAGAAAAGCTGGAATTCGATCGACGCAAAATTCATACGGACAGCGAATATCACCCAGACTTTGTGAAGGAGCGTAGAACCACTACCAAGCCGTATCATGTTTCTCAGCCTGAAGGGCCATCATTTAACATCGACGGAAATCATGTTTCCTGGGAAAAGTGGACGATGCGAGTTGGTTTCAATTACCGGGAGGGCATGACCCTTCATGATGTTCGCTTTGAAGGCCGCAGCTTATTCTACCGTCTATCTCTGTCGGAAATGTTTGTCCCGTATGGGGACCCACGATGCCCATACCCACGAAAAGCAGCCTTTGATCTAGGCAACGATGGCGCAGGTATCAACGCCAACAACCTCAAACTAGGCTGCGACTGTCTCGGCCACATCAAATACTTTGATGGATGGTTGAGCACATCATCCGGTGAGCCTCTTAAGATGCCCAATGTCATTTGCTGCCACGAGATCGACGATGGGATTCTATGGAAGCACACGAACTTCCGAACAGGCAACGCTGTTGTTACTAGGTCTCGCGTACTTGTGCTTCAAACTATCATTACCGTCAGCAACTATGAGTACATCTTTCTCTTCTACTTTCAACAAGACGGTTCCATATTTTACGAGGTTCGAGCGACAGGAATTATGTCAACAGCACCCATTGACATCGGTGAAAAAGTACCCTGGGGCACAATTATTGCTCCAGGTGTTCTGGCACCGTATCACCAGCATATTTTCTGTCTGCGAATAGATCCCGCGGTTGACGGCCACAGTAATTCCCTAGTAACTGAGGAATCTCACCCAATACAGTACAAAGGAGAATCAGACGCCTACAATCCTTTTGGAGTTGGATACACTACAAAGACGGAGTTCATCCAACGGGAGACTGGCCTCGACCTGGATTTCAACACCAATCGAACCTTCAAGATTGTCAATGAGAATGTCATAAACCCAACTACAGGGACTCCCGTGGGCTTCAAACTCTTGCCACACTACAGCCAACTGTTGCTGGCTCAACCAAATTCATGGCACGGGAAACGTTCTGAGTACACGTCACACGCCGTTTGGGTCACACGCTACCACGACGAAGAGTTGTTTCCTGCCGGCAAATTCACTATGCAGTCGTCCGGTGGTGAAGGTATTGCATCTTGGATTCAGCAGCGAGCGACAAGAGGCTCGTCTTCAGTTCGGAATGAGGATATTGTTGTATGGCACACCTTTGGCTCTACGCACAACCCCCGTATCGAGGATTGGCCGGTCATGCCTTGCGAGAAGATGGTTGTAGGGCTGAAACCTGTCAATTTCTTTCGAAAGAATCCAGCCCTCGACGTCCCAATCTCGACGCAGGATAAGAATCGTAGTGTACTAGTTCACGGAGAAAAGTGACACAGTCAACATAAGCAACAATCCTTCCACAGCTTATTTCATCTTTTCGATTATAACTAAATTAGGCTGAACACAGAATTTTCGTGAAATTTACGTACGCCTTGGAGTCAGTTTATAGACAAACCTTTCCGACTTATTACAGTCTTTCCAGATTATACTTCTACATAAACAACATTAAAACTGACGATGACTTTCATCATTGTTAATTCGCTGGGACACTGACAATAGACTTCATTTTGTGACTTGAGTTCGGACTTGACAGGTGAGTATTAATAGCAACCTAACTTTCCACTGTCATGTGATCAACGGTCCCGATAGAAGTGACATTGACGGTCTTAACATTGCCATAGTTCTACTTTCTGGTCTACAACTTTTCACATATATTAGACCAGATAGGCCTATTTTCCGCGGAACACCTGGAGAGGAAAGGTTCCAGTGCTTTGTGACAATTCTACGTAGCGTACTGCGGGTCTTCCTATGACTTAAAATCAACAAGAAAGCAACCACATTCATGTTAATGAAGGATCTAAGTTTATAGATGTTCTCCGGGGTTTTTGTTTGAAATGATGTACGGGCTATTCGACGCCATATACATCCCGAAAGATGGCCAGTTATTGTTCCCGTCTGGAAAGACGCTCTATGCCTAGAGTCCTGATATAAATTGTCCCCGCACTGAGCTTAGATAGTGCAGCTACGGGCTGAATTTTGTACCCGAATCTCAACAGCAAGGCCAGAGTCTCCATGGCCACTGCAGTTACCACCAGAGCTAGTACGTGTTAAACTGAAGACTTGCAATATCGTTATCAAATATTCACTTACCACCGCGACTTTCCACTGCAACACATGTTCTTGATGTACCCCATGCCCCAGCCAGCTTCCCAGCGTTTGACATGGGTATTATCTGAAAGGTACTGGTTGATAAGACACACTTTGGCAGTGCCATAAATCCACCCTCCAGTCGACCAAGCCGGGAGGTAGGTCATTTGGTTTGGGTTAATATTTTGCAGTTGCCTCTGCAGCTCGTCGGCATCGGCTTGATTGTAGTCGGAGCCCTTCGAGCACCAGTTGGCACGCTTCTCAAGACTGGTCGTAGGAAGTTCAGTTTGCAGCGCTGAGGCTGGCTTCGGTGCGGCGAGGGGAACTGTTTCCACCTGAACGACACTCAACGTAGTCGGTTGAGGACGTGCCTGGGCGATTGTAGCGCAGAGGCCAGTAAGGATGAAAGAAGGAACACGCATGATGGAGGTGGAAAAGACTGTCTTAGAACAAGAAGCTGTTTTATCAGTGTCTGGGTACCTGAATATTGCGAGAAATAACATTACTTATAGTTTCATCAGCGCTGACTTTCTTCGAAAATCTCGTCTAACGTACAATAGGTCACTAGGTATTACAAAAGCTTCAACAGCATGCCTGCCCAACCTTAGCTTCACCGCTTTACCTCCACACCTGATCGTGTCATGAATTCCAAATTGTCTTCGAGCCTTGGCAGATGGAGAACATGAATCTTTTAGATCTGGTTAACGACAGAATAATGAGTGCGATTTCGGCAACTCGAAGAGCTAGACACATATTCAACTGGGTACTACCATGTTCGACGGGAAGTTTTAGAGGCCAGTTACCGTTGATTGGCGCATTCAATTTGATTTTCTCACGGCAGCTTACTCAGGTTCTGCTTAGCGCGGGGCGGGCCGAAGGCAAATTGAACATTGTCGTGGAATATTTTACACATCGTGACACCGCCGTGTACGCTAACACTAGTCGCAGCAAAGCCCCGCAGGGAAGCTTGACTTCAGCCAAAAGTTCTAATAATCATGTATGTCTGACTATATATCGATGATAGCTTATATAAGATGAAGTCAGTTTAACCTTGGTGAGTCTTTGATCACTTCATTTCATCTTCAACTCTTAAAATCATCATCACTGAACATGCACCCTCAAGCCCTCATTATTGCTCTCTTTGCTTCTGCTCTCTCCACGGCTGCAGCGCCAGTTGAGGAGTCAGAGCACCCTACCTCGGCTAACTCTACGGGATCTTACGAAGCCATCGAACAACTTTCCCTGGATAAGCGAGACTCTTGCGGTACTCGCGGCCCCCTTTTCGACAAGCAGTCAATTAGCAGTCTCAAGTGGGATCTTCAGAACAACAATCCCAACGGCAAAGCATATGTACCTAGACAGAGCTGGTTCAGCTGGTCAATTTGTAACGCTCGTGTATGCATCAAGAACTCGTACCTCACTGAGAATACTCATATCAAGCGCTGGGAAGCTGGATGGGCGGTGGGATACATCCAGGATATGTGCTGCTACGCCGGTGGCAACTCTCAATGGTATGTTCTTTTTCTAGTTCTTCTGCAGTGTTATAGCTAATCATTCCAAAAACAGTGAGGGCGGTACGGCTCTGGCCCATGGTGATAGCGGCTTGCCGCTTAATGTTGAACTAAGGGCAGCAAGCCGCAGCTGCGGTTTAGTTCAGTAAATAGGTCGACCCCATACAATACGTACAAGATTTTCCAATTGCAGAGCTCATACAATATTTCATTTTACAGTGGGGGTGATATTTAGCATGTTAATGATCTGGTGTATGGCTCTTTACTGAACAGACCAGACGATGTTGTTTGTGATCAGTGTCATACCATAAGCAGTCAGTCATATTGAGTATACTTTTAAAAGCAGACGAAAGTGCTGAGAACGATTCTCTTTCAGTGCTAAAGCCACTTTTTATTAGAAGCTCCATAAGTTGGGACAAGGTAAAATTTAGACAACTGCCCTGGTTACATAGCTTGCTCATTGCCAATTATCAAATTGACCCCTCATGACAATGCCAAATAAGCTATGGTTAGCACATAGCTTCATTAATGGAATGTGGTATTTAACCGAATACTATGCACAGAACTATCCGGTGAGTAACCCAGACGTAATGTTACCCAAGGGTGTTGAAGTTGTTTTGCATAGCCAAGTAAGGGCAAGCCTTCGAGTGTGAAGGCAGTCTATCGCCACGCCATGAGATCACCGACCGGAAACAGTTTTTTCAGGCGAGCTTCCCATTATCATAGACCCTGAGCCGCAATGTATTAAAAGAGGTCATTAACAACGTAGTGTAAAGTACCTTATGGAAAGGTCGCAATACACAGACAAACAACCGCACAAAATTGGGGTTGCAAGTCTCATGCTTCGTCCTGTAGTCAGCTACTTAAAACGTTCATGTAGGAAACTTATAGATAGGACTTCACGAGTAGCTGTCCAGGTCAAGGTATTCCACTTTCTAGACAACACTGGAAAATGACATCTCAATGTTGATGCTAATTAACGATTTATTATAATAGGCATGTACATAAGTCTGCCAGTTATTTTTCATAGAGACATGATCGGTAACTAGGAAAAACAATTTTGAAGTCAGTTTGTGACAATTCCTTCGATCTCTAAGTTAGTTGCAAGTTGTGACAGCTGCAAATGACATTCATTGAGATGTCTTCATCTTGAACATCCACAGCTAAAGCACCAACTTGTGAAGTCCTAATGTCTTCCATGTTTATCTCATCGAGTACTGAATGGCGACAGGCGTATTGCTACCAAGTTCCCTCCCAACCCTACCCTTAAATGACAGGTGTACATGACGGACTATTCGTAATTGCTACACTTTTACAGCTATAGCAGCACTTATTGTATAGCTTAAATCAATGTCGTTGCTTTAGCAGAGGTTTAAAAAATAACGCAAGTATCTTGAAATTGTTTACTGGCCAGAACAAAGGATGGGCGAGCGCCTGACTGGCTTTCCCTCTCACGGGGTTGTACCGCTAGCCATTCAGCACTTGATGTGGTACGCCTTCTTCACCGTAAGTCAAATGTTGTGTCTTCAAAGCAGTTCGCTGGGATTGCTAAATAGTTGTTGATAAATCGGATCCAGATGCCTGCTATATTACTCCATCTCATAGACGCGTCGAGGTAGCTGAAGTTGATTGTGATTCTCAGCAAGTAGTAAACTGCGGAAGATTCAGAGCTGATCCAGATAGCAAGTGGCAATATACTAAACTCGGAAACTCGAATCAGTATGCTGAGAAGTATAGCTTTCAAACTACGAGTGATTTGATCTTTTCGTCATCTACTGTGAGTCATGTTGGCAATGGAACAAAGGGGTTTTTTTTTAGCATATCAGCATTATCAAAAACATAATTGAGCTCACAGCTTTCAATTCAGCATCAATGAGCTTCTTGTGGGGCTTGTTTCTATGGGATTCTCGTCAATTACATATCACATGCCGGTAGCACCAATTTGTAGATTGGCATGATCACCATAACTTCATGAACTATTTTGGGCGATTATTGTTTACCTTGAAAAGGCAAAAGAAAAGGAAAGTACATTCTTTCAGAGCTGTACGGCATTTTTTCCAGTTTCTTTTCGATATTTCATACCATTTTGCTAACACCTACCTCAATCTGGAAATAACACACTGATAGCTCGAAGACCGATGTGGTGATCAAACTAACCCAATTAAATTAGAAGTTGCACTATGTGGGGGAAGGAATGTAACATCACCGGTTGTGGTGGGGGTTTGTGGAGGAAATATCAAAATGACGTTCCATCCTGAATGTGGAGGATTGCTGTCACGAGTGCCGACGGGGGGCGGAGATCAGAAACAGTAGATTGGTGAGTAATGCATCACCAATCAGGTCAGCGCTATGACTCAACACTCGAAGTCGATCAGTGAGAAGCGCAACGACAGCTCACTCTGACGGTCGAATTGCCGTCATGACGAGAACGACTGTCTTCGCGATTTGACAATTTATTGCATCTCGCCATCCCACTGAGTTCCCAATGACTAAACATATTGAATGTTTCACCTCATTTGGATAAGCGAGTGTCACTCAATCCATTCGCACTCATCCTCGTCTGATTAGAAGGAATGAGGTGATTGAGCCCAACATGCAGTCACTTGCTACCTTGGCTTGATAATCAAAAAAAGCCAAAACTCCTTCTTAGTAGAGATGCCTAGTATCATCGGCTGGATGGCGGTTTGCGGTCACACTTATAGATGGCCTCGATACACATGCAGTCACTGAGAATGAGTAAGAATGGCTTCTTCACTGATCGCTTGAGACCGTTCATCGACGGAAACATAGAAAACTGAGACAAAGCTACTTCAAAACTTGGATGGCTCTGTGGCCGAGATGGGGCAAGCATAGCTAAGCGTTCGTCAACAGAACAACGGGGAGGAAAGCCGATGTCTGCCCATCACAGATGCTATTATGGGATGTAAAGGTTTCAACACTACTAACAAGTTTGCATCTAATAAATACTGACTTCCCAACGGGCATGGAGAAGCAGCGAATCCTTTTGACCTGTACCGAGATGCTGTCAAGCCCTACCGTCTGGCAAATCAAAGGACATTTGACATAACTTGAAACTTCAAGCATGTCTGCGGTGTCGAAACAAGCCCCAAATTCAGCTTCATAGATTGGTGACTAGCAGTAAGGATAGAAAAAGCTCAGCCATTCTCTGTGGATGATTTGAAAATCACTGCACAGCCTGAGACATTGGACGCTTTCTTCTCAGCCAACCTAGGCTTAAACACCACAAGTTCATGGGCACCAATCCGTGCAGACGCCCTGCCATAGTGCCACTATGCATGTCAGTCGGCAGTTGGTCACTGCAAATGCACCATTCCTCTGCCGCTAGAGGTATGCTTTTTTTTCCTAACTAAGCAACTGTTGCGCACTAGCTCCGGCATTCGGCTCTGCCACAAAAGGCTGGGTCTCGTTGCACTACTCGAACAGTCACTGGTGTTTGAAAAACGTTCACCGAGGCGAAAAGAAAATTGTCTAGCTACCGCCTAGCGTAACTAAAGAGGTAATATGGAGACCGTCCTCGATGAACTCTCGACGAGTTCTCGGCATGCCTCACAGTAAGATAACGAAACCAACGGGTTACTAAGGCTGTATTGGACATGGTAAAACGCCCAAGCTAAGTTTAGATGACAGGTCATTCAGTACATACTAGACCCTTCCGGTAACTTACTTGTCTTGGAATAGGGCGCTCAAGCACGTGGCTATGACTGTACACAGCATTGCGCGGATGGGCCCAACAGCTTCAATTACCAAATTAGTATGCTTGGAGAGTCATGGGACAATATGGCAGCCTCGGATGCTTAACTTGGCGTTTGTCGTCGACTTGCCCAAGTATAAGTTGCGGATATAGTAAAATTAGGTGACCTTATGGCACAAAGTCCGATGCTAAGGTTTACAATGCAACTGGTGTTGCTGAAATCTTAAGCATGATCCGCAGCTAATTGGGAGCGGCGCATTGAAGTTAATGTCCGTCGAATCCCGGCGCGTTGAATGGAATAACCGTACCAATTGGAAGCCGAAAAGTTGAGTTTTCAAATGTGACCGATAGATGGTGCCGGAGTGGCTGGAGATGTTAAGCCTCGGTTGACGCACGGAGACTTGTAACGAAGTTGGAAGCCGGCCAAAAGTCTAAGAATCCGAAATTGAAACATGGACCGCAAGTTGATCCCTATTCTGCCGAGAAGCGCAAAGAGGAAACTCGGAATGTCCAATAACACGCCAAGAAACAAAAAAGGGCAAGGAGCATGAGCTATCAACCGAACCCGCATGACTGTTGTCAAGGCTGCCGAGTTCCTTGATCTATCCACCGCACTCCCGCTTCCTCCCACATCCCTGAAAGCTTCCCAAGGCAGGTTGGTCCCAGCAATGCAGGGACACTAACAACAACCTGAAGAGATTAGGGCGCCTTGGTTCTTTCTAGATTCGGGGCACGCCCCCTAATTAGTAGGTCGTTCCTCAATGGTTGAACTCTAAACCGCGTCTTTGTCGCGGAGCGGACCGACAAAGGAGTGGCCGCCTTGTAACGTCAAGATCAGAACCTGCAGCGCATCAGTTGTGTCGACCTTTTTGGTGCCTTGCAAAGCTCCCGTGGAAGAACGGAGTGTACGAAAGCCCGAAATAGACATTTGAAACGGGTGTTGTCCTGAAAAAGGCATAGAACAGAGGGGAAGGGCGTCACACAAGATTCGAAAAGGGACGCGGCTCATCAGTAACATTAAGGTTTCAGGCTTCCCTGAGGGTGTTTGACGGCAATTGTAAACTTCGTGAGCTGCAACCAGCGACTTCCACGGATTATTGTTATTTATTTTTCTTTCCTGGCTGATACGGCTGAGAGAGTCCGGTTCGTAACGGAAATCTAAGGGGGGTAAAAATGACGAATGAATAAGGACCCTAACAACATAACTGTGGCTCTGACTGGCTGTTTCCAAAGGGCTTTACTCTGTTGGGAATGACGTCGGTAACTCAACGCCACGGAAACTCTATTCCTATTACGCCTGTTCTTTTTATGTTTTTTTTTTTCTTTTTCTCTTCGCTTGCTTCCGTTTTCCGTATCCCCTTAGCTGCGCCTCTGTTTACGACTGGCACCTAGGTTCAGCCATAGGCAAGTCGGCTTAGACCCAACGCAGTTGATATCAGTAACTAAGACTGTCAAGGTCAATTAGACGGACAATTGTGGACACCAACACGTTTTCTCCAGCCTCAAAACACGTGAAGAACCACATCTTACCGGACCGTTTGCAAATGTGGCGGTGACGGCGCTACTAACAGACATACAACGTGATGCCGAAGCGAATTCTCTGCCCAGTCCCACCCCTTCCGAGCCGGAAATTCTGCCCACGCAGCAAAATGGTTCTGTCTGCCCATCGGCGATCCCTGCTTCACCAGGTTAGGGTGGCGTTTGATGGGCTAGACTCCGGGCGACGGTTGTTCGACTGATGCCACACACACCACACATACCACACATACCACTCACTCCCTCTCACACAGTCAGAGGCGCACACAGAGACTAAGACAGGCTCGGCTTGCCGTGCTTTGGCACCTTCGACCCCACCTCCAAAGGTGAGGACGAGCAAGAAGTGGACCCTGAATATCTCTCATTGCATCCTGTTCTCTTTCTCCGCCATTAAAACTGTGCTGGCTCCTCCCACAAATTGCGGTAACTGGAAGTTGATGCCTGGTGCTGCTACTGTCCGCCTGTAGCAGTCCAGTCATGATACCCAGTAACCAACCACTTGACAACTGAAAAGGGAAGTTTTGATCAGTCTCTTTTTTGGGCATAGTCCCTTTCCCTTCATCTCCTCGCCATCGTTTTCTTTTTTTTTTTTTGGGGTGGTTCTCGCGGTGAACCTGTCATGACACTACTGCATTCAACTGTCGGCTAGTTGCTTTACTCATCCAAGCCAGACTCTTTTCGTCGACTATCTTTTTTCCCCCCTGCATACAGGAATCAATCCTCACTGTCAAAACACTCAAAATCATGGCATCTCCTGAACAACAAATGGACTCTCTGCGAGAGAGTCTTAGCCGCGTTATCCTTGATCAACTTGCGGAAACGCTGCGGGATTATCCGTCAGGTAGCCTATCTAATCCGGTCCTCCGTTTTGAAGCTTTTATTCAGGATGGTGAGACGGAGACACAGGGGCGATCACCCCGCTCTCCAGTCGTTTCGGTAAGTTGCAAGCCCTCGGATATCGCGGGTTGAATCGCCAGAAGTCTCCCTTGGCACCTGTTTTTAGAGAAACTGAAGGTGATAAGACGTTTCAAAAGCGAAAAAGAATTACCAGTTAAATTCATTTTTTTTCTGTGAATTTACTGTTTCTTAGAGCTTATTCGTTAATCATGTCAGCCGTGGCCGAAATTAATCAAAATCCGAGATGTTCTGGCGGCTAACCAGCCACACACAGAAAATGGTCGACTTGTCCGGCATCATATCACAAAGCGCAACACATAGCCCGAATACGAGTAATCTCGGAAGAGAAGCATCTCAAGCTGCAACGCCACCTACCCACCATAGCGGACAGACAGTAACTGAGGACGGCGGTGCATCGAGCAGCAACCAGGCGCTGGTGCATCTTCCAGCACGACGGGCACCGTCCCAAATTCCGCCATCTCCCGAAAACAGCGCAGCCGGACCGTCCAGTTCGCGGAGAAAAGGGAACGGCGCTTTACGGCCTATCAAAGGAGCCGGTCGAGTGTTGGAGGAAGAACCGGAAACCCAGCGGCAGATGCAAGTTACGAATAGTTTCCCTAAGCGTGCGAAGATCCAAGCAGACGTAGTGTTTACTCCCCAGCAGTCGTCCATCGAAAAGTTTGTGATGAGCGTCTGGGAGCAAATACACGGCGGCATCAGCCTGGATCCGCAGAGCCTACTGGAACAGTGGCAACTTACAGCCACGGCGGCGACGGCAACCATCAACAACGCCGGCAAGATCCACGTCCCCGAGCAGCTTGAGCTTGGCCTCCTTCAGGCGCCTACGGCAGTGGACGGCACGATGTCTGAGGTGGATGTGGAGGGGACCTTCAACCGCAGCAACATCTTTTGCCGCAAAGTCACGCAGGCAAGTCGGGCGTGCCGCTCGATCGAGGTCATTGTTCAAGCACGCTGGATCGAACACTTTGACTCGTACGTCGAGGTGCTCGCTATTACGAACCCGGGTATGTCGCCGACAAAACGCAGAAAGGCCGCCTTGATCGAGGCGTGCAACGATTTTGGGTGGTCCGAGAAGGAGTTGCGTAACAAGATGGCCATCTGGCGCGGGTACAAAGAGATCAAGGACGCCGGCGGTTGGGCCGCGCTCGTTTTCGCCGGCATGGGCCTATACCGCTTTTGCAAGTACCGCGTCGGCTTTAACCCAGACAGCATGCAACGGCTCCGGTCTCTTCGGCCAAGAATCGAGGTCGCCGCGGACACTCTGCATCCCACGTGGCGGCAGTTGCTTATGATTGTGGGCGAGCCGTCTCAACGACGTTTCTGCGGACACCCGCACGACTGGGTGGTTCGGCAAGACGGTTCAGATCCGGTGCCGCTGCGTTCGACATATCTCGAATACGATCCGTATTTCAGCTTTGAGCAGCTGGAACACTCGGTTATGGACATGAGCGCTTGGGGGACTGACGATCCGCGATGGGTGCCTCCGATCAATGCTGTGGCTTGCGTTCAGGGCATGCACACGTGTCACTCATGTGGCCAGGAGCAGTCAGAGGACCCCAAGGTTAACTCTTGTTATTGTTTCCCGACTCTTTTTGGGTCCGGGCGGAGAAGCCCTTGCCCGGTGCAAGTCTTCCGGACGGCAGATGGACGCAACAACGGGTTGATGGCACTTTGCCCGTTCGAACGCGGCGCCGCCATAGGCGAGTTCGTCGGGCTGGTCACCAAAGACCTTCGAGACATGGACGTCATGGACAGTTCTACGGGCGTCCGAGCATACCAGATCTGGCAAGGTCGGCAGGGCAACTTTACGAGGTTTGTCAACCACAGCTGCAAATCCAACGCGCAGTTTCAGCAGTTCGTATGGATGAGCACGCAACGCATAATCTTGGTCAGTAAGGGCATCGAGGCGGGACAGGAGGTGACAGTGGACTATTCCGGGAGCTACTGGCGTGGGTTGGACAAGGAGTGCCTGTGTGGGGAGACATGTTGCCGCTATAGGAATAACCGCGAGCTGAGATGAGGTCACGATTTCCACATGGTACGTACGTCCAAGGGCAAAAAGCGCAACGGGCGTTATGAGTACAAGGCGGTAGAAGAAGAAGAAGGAATTATGAAAGGAAAGGGGACAAAATTCCATGAAAAAAACTACCGGAGTTTTGCGCTTTTAGGACTAGTCTTACAAGCAAGCATTTCGCAGATTCCAGTCACATAGGGAGACTAGAGACACCACAGATGAACATACAATACCCATTTCGGTGTTGATCGCGCAGTTATTTTTGCTTTAGTTCCTTTTTTTGTGTGCGTGTGTTTTTTTCCCATTTCTTGTCCCATCAGTTGCTATAACCAATTCATCCGATATCGCCGTGTACTTCTAACCCGGGTTCCCTTGTAATAGATAGTGCAAAGACACCGACCGCAAGTCTCCCATGGTCACGCGGGTTGGACCAGTCGGTAGATGAAAAAGTTTGCTGGGCATCTATCGATGGCCCGCGTCAGCTGGGTTATGGTGTTCGTGTCAGTTTAGTGGGTTCCAGGTTTGTGCAACGTCCTGCGCTAAAGCGGCTAAACCGTAAACCGCCCCTTGAATTGAACGAACTACCTTAGCTCGGCCCGCCCGCCCCCGGCCGTCTCCCTTTCATGACAATTTACACTTTGTTGGTAACACGCCGGAGGGTAAGGTATGATGGCGCGGTCCCTCCCCGTTCGCGGAGCATCCCCTTCTTGACGGGTGTGTGAAGAGGTGTGTGTGTGCGCGTATCTTCTGCCCATGGTGATATTAGCCGGGTGTCTCGTGGTCAGGGTCTGAAGCCCTGTCTTGGTTTAGGCGACGGCGTTGGGAACTACATCTTGTGGTGGGAGATGAGCTGTCATCATTTGGTTCCCAGCCATTGCCCACGATAAGCTTCAGCGCCGTATAGCGAGACTCCAGTCCTGACGTAAGGAGAAGCGATTGGGGCAAAAGATATGCGTTTTGTTTTCTATTATCGGTGTTCCCACCCGAGCATTTACCCCCTTGTACCTGCCCATTTGATCCGAAAACCTTAGAAAGCGACACTGCGACGGAAAATGGTGCGGCACATAAGTTCGAGCCAGCCGTTCTTTGGGGGCGCTGGTTTAGCCTCTTTTGGACTCAAGGTATCGGCACGGTTTTCCTTTTAGTCAAGCGCAACGGGGTCATGAGCACATCTCTCAAAATGAAGAAAGAGTTTTACCTCATCACATCCTACCACTCTAGAATGTTCTGCTTCTTTTGTTGCTGCCTTTGTGCTGTCATAATAATTTCCGCGCCGGTGGCCTCATCTCGGGGCTCAGGGGCCCGTCAGGGGGTGCAGATAGCCCCAAGGATAACGACATAATAAGCACATAATCCGGAACCATAACCGAATGATCATCTTCGAACCCCGCGCGTATCTTCGTAAAGAGTCAAGGCCAAGGTGTTCCAGCAAGCGACCAGCGAGTAATTCTCGAGCCGGGCTGGGACGTTCATTTGCCCCTGGAGCGATCGCCAATTAGTTCAACCGGTGCTCATGCCATGGCTTAGACTTGATCCATCCCGAACTTGACAGGTCGGCGGGTTGTGGGAGTAGACGCGTGCAGATGCCCAAGCTCATCCCATGGACTAGCGGTGTCAGAGACACATTGCGCCGACGGTTCTAGCGGCTACCTTCGTCTCAGACTACTGTGAAGACGGGGCTGAGTTGCAACATTTTCCTTTTCAGAAATTTGACAACGTCGTGGGCAGCACAAACTATACCGTATTCTTCCCAAACTTTTGGACAACCGGGATTTGACACTTGGCGTCCCATACTCCTCTCTCTTAACTTTGGGGCTTTTGTTTTTCTTAATGTGCTCCCCATTTCCAGAAGACCCAGCATCTCTGCCGCCTCATCGCTTTGACGAATGGCGCCATTATGAGTTAGGTATATCGCCTAGTACGTTTGACCTTAGGGTTTCCAAATCGCTTTCGGTACGGCTGAGAAGGAAATGCCGACGATCATAGCCGATACCCGTCTTGTGGGCGGTGCCCAATTCTCATAGCAATAGTGGTGGTGGACATTGCGCCTGCGAACCTCAGCGGAGACACCGTCCGGGTACTGGTGCCTTACTTTCAAAAAAGCTTCTTCAACCTATTCTATCCCCCCTGTTTATCGCTGATGAGCACCCAACTCTCGCTGTGTCTTCCCGACGTTGTCATTGTCCTGGTCTCGCTGCTCTTTTGACCGTTGCTCTCGAAGCACGTTTATCTTATAGTATCTTTGATTTCTCCAGAGAAAGGATTTTTGAGCATTGTGATTCTTCAGATGACAGCTAGCTGGACGCTTGGACTTCTAAACTGGCAAAACCTACCGATTGCCGGTTGCCCTGAGCTATTTATACCCAGGAGACGTCTGTCTCTCTCTCCACCCCATCAGAATGGCCTTGGGCTCCCCAATCTTCTCTGAGAATTCGAACCGGCAAACGCAACTTATCCATGATAAGAGTCTCCCGTCGCTTTATATATCCGTGATTTTAGAGTTATCTCGCCTTAGTTTGGCCTGAACCTCTAAATTTGCTCCCGTATACCCACGCTTCCTGGCAGATGTCCAGAGCAAGCACCACAACACTCCTCAACGAACCTGAAATACGATGGAATTCCGCCGCGGGCCTGTTTCTAGCTTCGTACGTAGTTCAATGGAAGAAGGAATTATTGATTCGTGCAGGAAAGACCTCCGCGTAGACGAAATCAGCAAGGCCGCAATCCCACCACTTGAATCGTTTGCAACAACTGCCGAGTTCGCTAACAAAATTAGACAAGGTATACTGTACGAATCTTACGTTTCGGTGCTTCCTTCGAGTTGCAGAAACGGTAGAGACACGTGACCGGTCCGGCGAACGTAACAACCTGCAGTCTGACAAGTACGCAGCAGCAGCAGCGGGCAGCGGCACGGCAACGGACACGCCCCAGCAATAGCTTCAGGGGAAACGATACGATCCTCGTGTTATCCCAGAGTCAAATGCTTAGCCAGTTGCTCCCCAGCTCTGTTGTTGAAAGCGGATGCGTAGCCTGGACTGCAAGTGACGGTTGTTCAAGCACTTGTCAGTAACAAGCCCAGCGGAAATCTCGGGAATTGATGATTGCCAGAGGGCGTTTCCTAACACAAATCAATCCAAACAAGTAAGAATTTCTCTTCTCTTCTGCGTCGGTCGGAAAAAGTTGAGGGCCCCTAGATTTGTTTGGATTACTAGACAATTGCTAATGCGAACGTTGTAGACAAACTGCTCTATGGCAGCAATTGGACAGAAGTTTTCTTGAAGAGCACAGCTACACTCTCCCTAGCCGACTCTGTGTTTGGGAAATGCAGCCTGGACCTCTCAACCAGGCGTATGCCCTTTGTGGACTACGAGCCGACAACCAAGCAGCCGACATGCCTGGCAGAGCTTGAGCAAAACGAAACGCAGACCGTGTCGTTGAAGTACGTTGTATTGATAATGGGTTCTCGACTTTAAAAATTCGAAAATATGAAAAGCGCCGTAGGAATTCTTCTAGCTCGGTGGGAAGGAGAACGCAAATGAAAAACCCTTTGACCAGCGAGAAACAGGATGAAACGCGTCAAGAACCTGTAAGTTGCCGATAAAAGACCAAAAGCTATCTTATTGTACTTATAATCAATTTTCTAGGCGCAAATTGGACTTGACGCTACAACTTCATTTCACCACTTAAACGTCATCCTATCTAAGCGACGACACGAAACTACACGAACAGGCTTGCCTTGGCAAAATTGTCTCACGTCGGAACAAAGAATTCCGTTATGTACGATGGAATGAAAGGTATAACGACTATAAACGTCTTTACAGACTATACAGGTCAACCTGTCAAGTTTCAGAGCAAATTGTTCCCGGGATTTGACTGGTCCGCCGACTTCCCCACGAGTTCGTATTGTTCGTATTGAGACGAATTGGCTAACGCTCTATGAGTTTCTAGCAAAAAAAGCACTCGTCGTGCGAAACTCTGAGAGCACTCCGCGGAGATGCTGGATGCTATTTCCTTAAGGCAAACCAACGACAGTCCTAGTTTCTATGTGCGAAACCCGAACGGAAGGCGCCGAGCCGAACGCGAACCGATGTGATACTCAAAGTTGTGCAAAATCAATTCAGTTGCGTACAGCGATTTCGATTCAATAGGTGTTTCTAAAATGGGTTGGGAGTTGCGAAAAAGAGGTGGTTTCGCTGAGCAAATAAGTCGAGTTTGGAGGGGAGAGGCGTAAAGGGATCCATGCCTGATTAGGCGATTACCTGCTCAAACACGCTCATGGGCGACTTTGCGTGTCACGCTACGCTTTATAATAGGAGCAGATGGGCAAAACGGTTTTTTTCGGAGATGCTTTTCAAATTCCAGACAACTATCTCTTTCGTACTTTCAAGCGCAAAGATAAACAAGTTCGTTTGTATACACATACATACCACCGAAGCGCGAGAAAAAGGAGACAAAACGACGCGGAAAACATGCGCGGAAGGACACAAAGCAACAGCAGCGGCTCGAGCGCATCAGCTGCGTCTGCATCAGGGCAAATACAAGCGTGAGTATCACAGTTGTAAGAAAGAGAGGTACGGTATACAAATACTTAGACGTTGTAGGAGACACTTTATCTTTGATCGAGGTTCGTCGGGTTTAACAAAGGACTGCCAAGCCCAAAGACATATTTTTTACTAATTCTACCGACAGATTGGTATCCAGACGTACCACTGGTCATCCAGGCCAACCAATTAATTATCGGGCGCCTTTCCGAAGGATATAAACTGCCAGAGCTCCTAGAGGAGTCGGCTCAGAACGAGGCTGGCTGCATTCCAGGGACGATGGCAGCGTACTTCCACCACGCAATCACATTAGAGCTGGCTTGTCTGATGGCCAACGACGCGGTCCAGGTAGCCATTGTAAAAGGCATAAGGATCTGAAACTTTAGTACTTGCTCTTAGCATCGGCGTTGGAGTATGGGATTGGTTTAGAGAGAACAATATGGCGCTTGTATCGAATGGATCTTGGAATGCGATGGGACATGGAATTGGACTCGGATGCACTTGGCGCAGGACGGTCTTGGAGGGAAATGGATTTTGTATATGACAGAAACAAGCCTATCGTGAATATCATCAGCATATGTATTTTTGCCTCAAGATTATGGCCGCCAGGAAAGATTCGGACGAGACCAGATTTCCCGGCTTCACAAGCCCGGGTCGGAGCCGGCCCAGGTCTGAAACACTGTGCGGAAACCGCCGAAGAACACGTTTGAGAGCTGGAGCAAGGAGGCCCTTTCGTTACAGGTGGCAGCCAGTGGGGGATCAGTGGAGAATCGAGATTCGTCAGTCGTCACCAGAAAAAGGGGATGTCAGGGATGCCGTGCTTCCCGATTGTTGGAAAAGCACGTCGAAAAAAGGATGGGGAAGAGGGGGAAGAACCCGAATGTGAGGGCCAAGGGTGCCAAGGGTGGCGGTGCTGCTGACATAATAATGAGTTCCTTACGTAATTCACTCCCCTTTTCGGACTCAGGTGTGCCGCCTCAACTTCCCTTTCGCTAAGGTGGACAAGTTGCGTAATCGCTGGGGACATTGGCTGCCTCTGATTGGGCGCCATTTGATTGGTGTTCTTAGACAGGGGGGAATCCACCTGCCGAGCAGACAGAATACACGTACACTGCCCAAGAGGCAGCACCAACACTCAGAAGCAGCACGGGGGACTCGGGAGTTCGGGCCACACTAATTGCGGCTGCTACTGCTGCCACAGCACTGCACCCACTGAGTGGTCACTGGCTGGGGGCCGCCGCACGGGGACGGGACGACTTGGAACGAGCAGCACCTTCAAACTTACCAAATCACGATCTTTCGTGTTTCGATCAGCGCCCTTTTTGACTTCATCGAACCCCCTGTTGACGTCTGCGGTGATGGTATCGTGGCCAACATACAACCTGCGTTTTCTTGTCTCCCACTGATCCGGTTAATGTCTGCACTTACAGCACCGGCATCCATGGGCGCCCCTGTTCTTCAATAGTATTCAATTGCATTGCGTTGCAGCTTCGACCCTCTTCAAAGACACTCCTTTCCCTCCATCGCCACCCTCGACCGACCAATCTCGATTCCACTCGTTTACTCCTACGTATCTTGATGCCTAGCGTTGGCCGAGATTTATAGACGCTTGCTTGTTATCTCAGAACCCCGTTATTCCCGAGGTCACCGAAACCACGACAATGCCGTCGGATCGCGACCACCGGTACGAATCCGTACCTCCCATTCCGTCCTACGATGAGGCCCTCGCCACCAGCGGCCCGGCTAATCCTGCGGACTGGAATCCCCCGCGCTCCCCCATAGACGATCGCTCGCTGAACGAGACCGAGTCGCAGTCCCTGCTGCAAAGGAATGGCGTCGCAACCTCCTCCCGCCGTCCGGGAGGCTACCGACAACCGACTGTCGAGACGGACGATGAAGACAGTTCCTGGAGCGATGACGATGGTGATGAGACGGCATATGTGCGCAGGGAGATGCAAGAACTGGAGATAGGAGAGCCAAACGACAGGTCGCGGTCCTCACTATGGGGGAAGAGGATACCCTTCTCCCTTTCCTTATCCCGCTTGAAATGGTCTTGGCGATGGAGGCTGCCAAGGATACGCCCAACAATCCGACTGCCCTCTCGCCCAAGCGACAACTCCAACGATGCTAACGCTACGAATGAGACGACGACGACGACATCAGTGACGAGGAGACTGAGGAATGCATTACCGGACTGGGATAAGGATAAGGCACGAGCGGCTATTCTGATATTTGCACGAGTGTTTGCCATACTTTTTGTCATGGGTATACTCTACGCACTCTTTATGAGCGATCTATTCACGAGCATGGCCAGGCGAATGAATGGTGGCTTGCGCTTCAACCCCGAAGACGTGCGCATGTACGTCCAGGGCAATGTTGAGGCACGCAGGCTGCGCGCATCTGTAAGCCACTACACAAAGTACGCCCACATGGCAGGAACCGAGGGCGATTATGCCCTGGCCATGGATGTTGAGTCCATGTTCACCAGGGCCGGTCTGGATTACGTCAACATGGACGAGTACTACGTATATATGAACTACCCTAAAGCCGGCGGCCGAGCGGTTGAGATACTGGGCGATGACGGAAAGGCGAAGTGGACTGCGAAGTTGGAAGAGGAGGAAGTGGGAGGAGAGGCGGCTGGACATCAGACTTTTGTATTCCATGGCCTGTCAAAGTCCGGAGACGTCAAGGGACCGCTTATCTACGCCAACTACGGCGCGAGGTCAGATTTCAAGAAATTGGCCGACAGCGGAATCGACACCAAGGGCGCGATCGCCCTCGTTCGATACTACGGGCCGCAGGCGAACCTAGGGTTGAAGGTCAAGGCGGCAGAGGAGGCCGGCTTCGCGGGATGTATCGTCTATAGCGATCCTGCCGACGACGGTTTCAGACTCGGAGACGTTGCGCCGAATGGTCGCTTTATGCCCGCTGATGGTGTTCAGAGAGGGTCTGTTGCCTTGTCCAACTGGGTCATTGGTGACCCACTGACCCCTGGCTGGGAGAGCAAGAAGAACCTCCCCCGCATGAAGCCTGACGAGAGCCCTGGTCTGAACAAGATTCCGAGTCTACCCCTAGCCTGGCGGGACGCCCAGGTCCTGCTTCAACATATTAAAGGATTTGGCAACCAGGCGCCGAAGGAGTGGGCAGGAGGTGTTCCGGATGTCGGCGAGTGGTGGACTGGTAACCTATCTTCGCCCATTGTACGGTTGAAGAATGACAACGACGTTGTTTCAGAAAAAGCCATCTGGAACGTATACGGCAAAATTGAGGGTATCGAGCAGGATGCTAAGTCAATTATTATCGGCAACCACCGTGACGCGTGGGCTTTTGGCGCCAGCGAACCTCACTCTGGTACGGCAGTTCTCATTGAAATGGCGCGCATATTTGGTTCCCTCATCTCAAAGGGCTGGCGCCCCCTCCGGACCATTGAGTTCATGTCCTGGGACGCCAAGGAGTATAACCTGATCGGCTCTACCGAGTACGTCGAACATAACGATGAGAATTTGAGGAAGAACGCCTTCGCCTATGTCAACCTCGACTCCGCTGTCGCAGGCTCCGAGTTCTACGCTGCCGGATCTCCCGTCTTCAGGCAGTCGGTGCTCCGCGTGATTGAACGCGTCGTGGACGATAGCCTTAACAGCACGATTCGTGGCCTTTGGGATCAGCGTCAAGGCGAACTTGAGGAGCTGGACATGAGCGGCGACTATGTCCCTTTCCAAACTATTGCTGGCACCAGCTCCCTTGACATTGGCTTTAGAGGCGCCCGCTACCCGAAGCACTCGAGCTACGACAACTATGAATGGGTCCAGCGTATCGGCGACCCGGACTTTAAGTACCATGCCCTTATGGGTCAGATTGTCGGTCTGCTGATGCTCGAGCTCGCGGACAAGCCTATCCTGCCGTTTGATATGGTGGGTTACAGCAACCGCATTGAGCGCTACGTCAATGATCTCGCCAACTTTTGCGAAAGCAAGGGTGCGGATAAGTCCAAGTTCTCAGTTGATCCGCTCAAGAAGATCATTGAGAGCATTAAAATTGGCATCAAGACCTTCTCCATGTGGGAGATGATGTGGGAGACGACTGTTATGGGCGGCAGCGGCTGGGAGTCGAGCCATATGGGTGATTTACGTCTCGAGTTTAACTCGCACATGGCCGATTTCGAGACGGCATTGCTGGACCTTGACCAAGGCGGCGGCGTAAGTCCTTCTTATTTTTTACAAATCATAACTCGTGCTAACTGCGTATACAGATCCCCAACCGCTCCCAGTTCAAACACGTCATCTACGGCCCCCAAGCTTGGTCCGGCAACCGCCCCGTCACCTTCCCGGCCATCCGCGATGCCGTTGAGGCAGGTGACTGGGCCCTGGCCAACAAGCTCGTCGAGAAGACGGCGCGCATCATCCAGAACGCGACGTCCATGCTTCAGGAGTGGGAGAAGAAGACCAGCGACAAAGACTCCTGATATGTCTCTCTCACTCCGCTTCTCCACTGTTTTGTTTTGTCTTACATTTTACCTATTAACTGACGTCTATTCCATTTTCTCCTTTTCATTCATTGTGCATTTTGTAAGAAAGAAAAAAAACGCCTCATGACTGGAGGCCTCTGGCATACTGCTACCCTAGCAGCCGACTTTGACCTTCACAACGAGAAGGAAGAAGAAACAAGCGGCTCTTTTTTTTTTTTTTTTCCTGTGTCTGTTTTTATATAACTAAAGAGCTGGGTTTGTCTTTTTTTGTCTTTTTGATGCAGTAACTCGGAACTGCTACTGTAGCGGCCGGCCTTGTGTTCTGGCATTGCATGGAGTTTGGGGAGGGCGCAGACACATTCATTGTTTCTGAGATCCTTTTTTTTTTTTTATCATCTCTTAGGTAGTTGAATATACTGCCTACCTCGCCATATTTTCGTCCACTGCCTGGGTGCCGCCTTTTTTTTTTGGTGAAAAATAACGCAGGTGTCTAGTTGTATATTTAGATGGAAAAGGAGAGCGAAGCACACGTTTGGGGGCTGAAGTATCTAAGTAAAGGGGGGGGGGGGGGGGGGGGGGGGGGATAAATAAATAAACATCGATCGCTTCACGGGAAAGAAAAAAAACACGTGGGTACACATATGTACAACTAAGGCTACAAGCCACATGCACAGCTTATTCTTTTTCTCTCTCCCTCTTTTTTTCCTTCACTTCGCTCATCACACTCCCTTTCGTCGATCTCAACCTTTCATTTGCATGCGCTTATCGTATGAACACTTTTTTCCCTCTCTCTCTCTCCCCATCAGTCCCCCGACATTCATCATCAGCTTTCCCACTTGCTGCAGCTGCGGATTACGGCGACTTCACTTCTAGCCTCGCCCTTCCCCCTGATAGCATTCTCCTACCCACCTCCCCCCCTTCTCATCGTGCGGTGTGGCTTACAAAGGTCGTGGGTTGTAAGTATGACCGAGCACACTTTTCTCGTGGAAGAAAAATAATGGTGACGGTGATGACTAGTCATTAAAGGGGCAGTCTCATTTAGGGTAAAGGACCAGGCCCTCGTACTGCCGGCTCTTGATGCTCTCCAAGATGTGGTAGAAGTGGCGCTTGCTGTTCTCGACGGAAGCCGAGTCCTGCTGGTTGCCGGCCAAGTTGGAGTGGATGAGCTCGATGAGACCGTTGAGGTACTTGGTAGTGACCTGTGTTACTATTAGTATATGGGTATAGCCAAGAAGTGGCTTGGAGAAATCACTTACCGACTCGTTTTGTTGGTCAAAGTAGTAGACGTATCGGTCGAGAATCTCAACAAAGAGTTCGATGGAAGTGGCAGTCTCCATGCAAGAATCAGCGACACGCAGAGCTCTTTGGAGACACTCGAGGACTCTCTTTCCGTCACGGTACAGCTATATAATGTCAGCAGGTGTCGCTTGATGGGGTCCCAAGGACTCAACACTTACGCCAGTTTCATCGGTCTCGCCATTGACGGCCATGGGCGTAGCCCACCAGAGATGGCTGGCCAAGTAGACGGCGCGGCACTGGTCAGGCTTCCTGAGCAGCTTGCTACCGTGTTGGGCGCACTTGGTAATGAGGGTGTCGTAGTTCTCCTTTCCAAAGTTTCTTGTCTGGTGGAGCGCCGTGGCAATGACACAGACAGCTTGGAACTGTGCCTTGGAATCGGTGATGGCCTCCTCGTAGACTGTGAAGGCCTGAGCGAAGAACTCGTAAGCGACCTCCTCGAAGCCCGTCATGTCGGCCGTCTGGCCAGAAGCACAGAAGAGGCGCAGGGCAAGCTCAGCCGCGCCAGCACCGTTGACACGGGTGTACAGGGTGCTCAGAGCAGAGTGCATAAACTTAAAGAGCGCATTGCTCTGAGTCTCCCAGTTGTCATCATAGTGCTCACGCGTCTTGAAGCGGCGCGCGAGCTTCATACACGCCGTGATCAGTGGTGGCGTTGTCGTACGAATTCTCTCATTGCCCTCGGAGTAGGCCTTGCGAGTCATCTGCAACAGGCGGAACTGCGTGTCGTTGTCCTCGCCGTTGATAAGGTGGACAATCCTGGCCAGCCAGCCCTGTTCCTCCATTGTCTCGTCGGTCTCGACGGCCCGGCGCTGAGCGACACCAGGATAGTTGGATGGCGGCTGGGAGCCCTCCTTAATGAGCACTTTCAGAACCTCTAGGACATTCTCCAGCTGGTTCGAGGTGGAAATCCTTGTCTGTTCGCGGAGGAGGGTTCTAGCCACCTCACCAGCGACAGCTCGGCGGGTCGGATATGACTGAGATTGGAAAAGGGGAACATAGGTAGGGAGAGAAAGAGCAGTGAAGATGGAGTGGTATCGGTTGAGGGGAGCTTGCAGCAACGCCAAAAGGCTCTGCTGGGCTGGGGGAGAGTGCAGGTCGGCATTGTTTGCGTTCTCGCGGACCTTGATGGCAGCGTACTCGAGAATCTGGTTCACAAAGTCGAGCCTCTCGGGGTAGATGTTGAGGGCCAGATTTGTCAACGAGCAGAGAAGGGCTATCGTATCCTGGATGGGCAGATGTTGTGCCTCGACCAGGTTCTTGACTTGGCTGAAGAAGATCTCGTAGAGCTGTACGTTTTCAGTGATGGCCTTCTCCGATGGTCCATCTTCCCCGTTGACGGCAGTGGCTTCGGTGTCCGCAATAGAAGGAGCGGGTTCGTTTGGTGGAGGGAGATCTTCGGCGGCACGGGCCTCGTTCTCGCTGGTCTCGGGGTTAGCTCCGTTGGTGTCGAGTTCAGCCGGTTCTCTGGATTCGTCGCCTTCACCCGACGGTCCAGGTGCAGATGCTTGATTTGTGTTCTTCAGACTCGTCTTTTCAAGCAGTTTTGCCAAAGCCTCCTCTTCCAGCTTGGCCTTGTCGTCCTCCGTGTCGTCTTTAGATTCACGCTCAGCATAGTCCGAGAGGCGGTCCATCAAGCCAATAACGATGGCTTTGACATTGACGTGGGGGTTGAGGCGTGATACTGCCCCAAGGAATTGGTCAAGGGTATGAAGGTGGAAATCGTCAGGGAAAACTTGGGTGATGACCTCAAGCAGGTACTCCTGAGCCAAGACGTCGCGACACTGCACGACTTGCTCTAGGAGAGGCGCCAGGATGCCCGATTTGTACGTTTCGAGATCGACCAATTGGCTGAGGCGCACAATGTTGCTACCCACCAACAGCTGGAGCTCCTTTCTCTCTCTTGTTCGTTGTTCACGTTCTCGCGAGTGGCCCTGGTGCTGCAAACGCACCCAAAGCTTGTTCATCTCGACGAAGTTGGTAAGGACAAAGTTGATAGAGTCAGACAGATTGCCCTCAGGTCCGTCACCGTCTCCCGAAGGCAGGAAGTCTCTGGCCTGGCCCGACAGGTAGTATCTCAAGAACAGGCCGCGGATGGGGTGTTGTACACCTCTGCTCATGTCCATCATGTCCTTCATCAGCTCCTTAACTGGCGCATCGGGAATGGACATGTATGCGGTGCCGACAGTGATCATAAGATACAGGCGCGGAATTATGTTGCCGGCATATTGGACGAGTTCGTAGAGATCGGCTAGGTGGTTAACGGGATGGTTTTCGCGAAGGTGGACAGAGAGGTAACGCAGAGCATCGAAGACGGCCATATATAGCTCGTAGTACTGCTTCGGGCCAAGGCTACTGGTGCGCAACTCGGAAACCAATGTAGAGCTGTGCGTCGGGAAGTAGATGGTTAGTATAGGCGATTGAAGCTTGCCATGAAAGCCCGCAGAGCTCCGTCTATGCTCCCGGGGATCCGGGGGATGGTGATGACGTACCAGCACTTCAGAGCATCCATCAGCTTGCCCGGTGTGTCCAGACACTTTCGCATGAGGGCCGTCTGCTGACGCACCGCAACCAGGGCATCCTCAAGGAGACGCGCCTGGTCCTCAGGCGGGACAGGAGTAGCAGACATGTCGAGGTCGAACCGGCGGGGTAGCTATCGATCGAGGCGACGTACGGGGTTTAGGATTGGATCATGGGGGTCGGAAGCAAAAACAGCTCGGAGATGGACAATGGGTATATGAATCAATTGCGCGAATAATCGAGGACGCAAGCGGGTGTTGCGACGTTCGGCGCGGCTACGTACGAAGGGGCGTGGAGTAGTGGAAGGCTGACGAGTACTGGATCGTGAGGTTGGCTGGGCTGTGCTGTGCTGTAATGCTACTGTGCTGAGGTGCTGCGGTACGATGCGAGCTTGGTGGATTAGGCCGTGGGCCCCGTGGCTGGATGCTGCTGGAAAGCCAGACACTGACTGGCGCGGGAGGGGAGTGGATCTCAAGCCTGTGACTGCCAGGTCGGTGCCAGTGGCGGCCTGTGGCAGCACCTCGGAATATCGGGGCTGCCTGATTTGCGAGATTATGTAATTGCGAATGTCTTACCTAAGCGAAGGCCCCCAACAACAACGGGAGCCGCATTCCGTAATCCGATGGCACGTGATGCTGAAGCTTGCCAAGGCGGGGCATCAAGCCGGAATGGGGAAGCTGCGACCTGCCAAAGGTCCCACAATTAAGATCCCCGGCCACTTATCCATATTCCCCCCTCTGGACTGCTTTAGTGCAGTTTTATGGTCTCACACTCAGCACCTCTACCATTCAAGGGTTTCTCGATGGAGAAGAAGGATTAAGTTATCAAATCCCATGGATGAGATCGCATTGTCCATTCGTATTCCTTGTCGGGCATTCAGAAAACTATCTCGCAAAGAGTCACACCATACCAAGGTAGATACCAAAACGCCTTCGACATAGAAATCCTCCATCTCGTCGTTAATCATGTCGCCGTTCTACCCCGAATGAAACCAGACCAGACGCCAAAAACACCAACCAGATCCATCTTTGCTCCGCCTTTACTCCGGTCGTTATGCCCCTAGTCGCTCATCCCCGCAGTCAAAGGGCTCGTTTCCACCGAGCCCCCGAGGTGGCCAAAGCATGGCCGGCTAGACCCCGGATTGCTCCCTCATCTGATCACTTAGGCCGAAAGAGCGATCGTCGCAGGAAGCTGGCAGTCTGTCCGCAGGAATTCAACAAGCGATGTGTCAATGGACGCAGAGAAGGCTGCAAAAAGCAGCGTCGCTGTTGTGTTCGGTTGAGGAAGGTAGCGAATGTGAGGCACAATCTCCAGCTCCTCGAGGCCTTGGACTTTCTGCAGCTCGGCAATCCAGTCCATACTATCATGCTTGATGAGACTCAGCAGACGAAGGTCTGAAACCCCAAGCTTCTGCGGTCCCTCCCACTCGTTTGTTGGCTTGCCTCCTTCAACGATGACCCTCAACTTTGGGATCACCTTGTCCAGCCCTTGCAGATATTTGCACATGTTCAACCAATCCAGCCGATCGCTCTCGCAAAAATACATCGGTCTGTCTTTGCGAATCGTCATCTCTTGGATTATCGCTCGTGAATTCGGGGTCAGGTCTCTCAGAAATGGCACGATTGCCTCAATGTCGCTACTAAAGTCAAAACCGTGGAGACCATATAACAAATGACTCGTCTCGCGATAGATTTTGCGGTTGACAGCCATAATAGCTGTGTGCATCTTTGTATTCGCCGCGAGATGATACGTCGTTTCAAAGCACTGACGATGGAAAGATCTTTCGATAATTCGGTATGATGACCTTCGGTACGTGCTCAAGACGCCTGATGACAACTGGTGCATCGCCTTGTTTCGAATCGCAAGTCTTTTTTCTCCCCCATCGTCTAGGAGGTGCTCATATATTAGCATGCGGATTTCGGCTGGAATTCGCAGCAACGGTGACTGTTCTTGGTCCATGTCGAGAGGCAGAGAGTGGTACGGTGCACTTTGGTCGAGTACAAAAAGCTTAGAGAACTCACGACACAGCAAAAGTAGCAGACAGCATGAGCAACAAGACGAGAAGGAACAGGAAAGCAAGGGAAACCTGCTAATTGCTCAATGGGCACCATCAGCTGGTCTTATTGCATCTTTTCCCCCTGTGACCTGCTTTCGGAATTGGTGCAACACGCGTTCCGAGAGGATCCATCAAGGTACTATTGCTGATTCCTTGGCTGACTAGCCAGTGTCCTTGAGACAAAAGTCACCACTAGCAGATCTAAATACCCACGGGGTTCAAAGTTCGGGACAAATGTACCTTCAACCAATGGCTCTTTTGCTTACTTTCCTTCTTTGCACCACCTCGCATATTGGCCAACGCCTGTGCCACATGTAGCTCACAAGAGTTCCCGCCCTAGGCCCTCAAGGTACCCCGGTCGGCTGCTCCACGCATCGACCTCCGACTCATCGTTGGGGGACCTCCAAATCCTACGCTACCTTCAACGGCCAACCAACAACGGCAAACTATTCGAACCATTTCCAAACAAACAGCAGATTCACCTCGGCCTAGTCAAGCAGAGACAATCCTAGTTCACACGAAGCTCTTGCCCACTCACTTCCTACGGCTTACCACATACAGGGGCAACAATAAGCAAGCTAGGGGCCAGACTCACATTAGCGTCCATTGTGGTCGTTTAGCGGTCCAGTTCACTTGTAATAGCCTAGTTAGGCTAGGCTGGTCATCTTGGTCTTGACTCACTATCTGCGCTCCGCACGGCGCACTTCCGGGGCTCCACATTGCTGGTAACGGAGCTCCCCGGTCTCTCCTCCGCCTCTATTTTCAGCCTCTAAAGATCCGACAGCCCTCGGTGTTCTACGCAAGTCAGTGGCATACTTGTCACCTCGGGACTTTTGCCCGTTTTTCATAACAATAACGACTTGCTCACGTATGATGACCCCGCTTTCATCTTAAATTTTCGGTCTTCGCAGGATGCCGCTGTCAATTCTAGAGGTGAGCAACGAAGAGTGCCTCCATGGGTGTCCACAAGGAGCGACGCTGACATCGGGGCGATTAGATGTAACCCGAGTTTGTTAGGCACGTGTTGCAGTAAATCATTGCGATGAATTCATGCGGGAGGTTATGCATGCCGCTAGCGCCCGCGCATGCATTGGAGTGAGACTCGCCCAGCACCCAGGTCCCAATGAAGAACATGCAGGAGATACTTGGCCGGGCCATTCTCTCTTCATCTTGGGACACAGTTGTGGTCCAGTAAAATGTGGACCCTCTGTTCAAGAAAACACCCCCCTGGTTTTGTTTCTGGGTTAATCAACCATACTTCAACCTGAGTACTCTTCTTGGGAAGCACGGAAGCGATGATGAAGCGATTTACTATGCAAGGTAACAGGATCCAGTCATGCACATCATCCGGAAACTACCGTTGATGTTTGCCGCAGGCTCACCTCACAATACTTCATAACCCTCAACGCCCTAGCCGAGACATGCATGAGCAGCTTACTACGCGATGGTTGCTGACTGTTTACTATCTACCGGCCTAAAGAATGGGAAAAATTGTCGGCTGCTTTATCTTGGCGCGTTGTCCTGGTCCTATAAAAACCTTTTCCCAACGACAAGCCAAAGATGCGGCTGCATTGGCACTCTGACGTCGCCAAACGCCTACTTCGACAAGCACTAGCGAAGATATCGTAACAAACCAGCAATTAATAATGGTAAAGTCTTGAATGATTATACCCAGCCAACTACGACGGGTTAAAGGTATCACCGGGGGTATAGCGTGGGGATAAGCAGTCGTTCTTGCCTTATCGGAAATGTCTTCCTTCCCTAATGGGACGAGACTTCAATACAATGAGTAAGTTGGTCGAGGTCCGCAGTCAATCGTGTTATCTCTTAAATCTAACTGGAGCCGTTACAAATGAATCCCAGCTTAGGTAGTTTGAGTACTCATTGAAGCAGAGTTGGGGGTGTGGAACAAAAAATCGAAACTGGACGCTTTCAGTCAACAACTCCACAAGACCTGCTCTCTTTTCAACAGCGAGCGTCTCACACTTAACGATAGACATCTTGAGGATAGAAGAGCCCAACACCATTCATTCGGGTATGTGCTAACTCCATACACATTCAATTATGTTATTATCCTTCGTGCGCCTGATATCCTATACCCCCTCTTGACCCAGGTACCGACTTAAGCGGCCTGGAATCTGGTTGTGGCCCATCCATACATAACTCCAGCGCTGCATTTCACAAGATAGTGCTTGTGTATAACGAAATAGGTCATCGAAAAAGGGAAATCGCTGGTAAAAATGCCACCCCTACGACCTCAGGGGCCACCCCTCCTTCTCACGATATAGCGGCGGGCCCGGCATATCACCCTCCAGCTCGACCACATAATTGTCCTCCGGTAGTTCCTGAGGCCTCTCAAAGGTCTCCATCTCCATCAGGGTTGTTGAATCCAGATGCGTGGCGTTGGGATTGGGCGAATGTGGCGTCACTAGCGTTGCGCTCGCAGTTGTTGCTGTGTCGGGGGACATCAGATCCAGCGACGTCTTGCCGGATCCTCCCTTATGAGCTGCCAATGCCGGAGGCGCGAGGGAAGTGTCTGACTTGGTATCGCTGTTGCTGTTCCGCCTCTCTCTCCCCTTCCTGCGTCGCCAGAAGATCACGAAACCGATCAACGCCAGCGCCAACGTCCCAGCTACGGACCCCACCGCAATCGCTATTGTCGTACCGACGGAGATGCCGCCGCCTCCGCTGGTGCCACCGCCAGTAGAACCTTCTGGTGTTGCCGTCGATGCCACAGATGTCGTCGCTCCCGCACCTGCTGTCCCCGATCCCGACCCCGCCGCTGTGGCCGACGCCGAAGCGGAAGCGACGCCACTATTTGTTGCAGTAGACCTTGGCCCGGAGTACGTCGCGCCCGGAACAGTCGGATCCGTCTCTAGATTGCTCAAATCCGAGGCTTGCCACCTAACTTGCACTGCATACACCGTCGCCAGGTCCGAAGTAGGCTTGTTGTTAATATCGTAGAACGACCTCGTTGGAATTGTCGATTGGCACTTGCTATATGCCCAGTCGGTGCCGGTATAGCATGTGTGCCCGGTCGGGCAACATATCCTTGGCGTCTCGTTCGGAATCACAGAACCTCCAAGCCTGACCATGCCGTCTTTTGAATAGGCTGAGGCGGTGGGGAATGCGCAGCCCTCAGTGTAGCCCATAGGGCAGATGCCGGGCGAGTAGAAGCCCCATTGGTAGTCGTATACCTGTTTCCACGACGTTGGCATGCACACGATACTCGAGAGCGGCGGCGTGATGGTGTCCGTCCAGTAGCCGCTTTTGCAAAAGTCAGGGGTGGTGAAGACGGTCGTCAGAGGCGCGGCGCCCCGTTGCGTCGTCAACGGATTATTCGTCGGTGATGTCGTCGTCATGGTGGGCTTTTTACGTATTATATGTAATTGCCCGCCGTGGGCGAGTGATTCGCGAACGGGGTTTGTGTTGCAGCAGCTAGCTAGCTGCGAGCAAACAGTGGCACGAGAAGAGTGAATAGTCAAATCGGTTATTGTCCCTGGTTTTGCGCTTCGACCTATTTGCGACAACCCATTTACTCCATACCCGCACAGCGATCGATGGACGAGGGGCGATGGTTTCTTGGCCTTCAATGCCTGCTTTTGTCGTCCAAAAAAAATTAGAAAAATGTCCGAGGACGCCGCTTTCTGGTCCGGTCTTTCCAGTCGATATGATGAGCAGTTGTGGGCCGGAGTTGGCAGCTCAATAGCGGGAGATCTTCCACAATAATACGTCGTCAGATTTCGATCAACCTTTGGAATCGTGAAAGCCTGCTCAGAAGAGGAATGAAGAGCGGGTTCGATAGGATATGGGCAGAAAACGGTAAGAAGCACAGTCCAAGCGAAAGAGAGTCTGGAAGTCTACAGACTGTCCGTGAGCAGGGGACACCAAGGGACTTGGACGGGCATTCCGCGTGCGATGGTTTAAACTGGGAACCTCATCCACCCTTTTTTGGAGGCCTGGCATTCTCGTCGGCCCATACCATAGGTGAGAGGGTGCAACGAGCGCGAGTCAGTGTCGGCCGATCAGGGGAATGCTCCACCAACCCGTCATAACTGTCGTAATAACGCTCTGAAGAGCACTGTTGGCCCTGCTTCGGCTAACCGAGATAAAGAGTCGAGGTGCCACTAGCCGTTAGTTCCAGCGAGCTTGCTTGCCCTTTGGAGGACTAAAAGCCAGCGATCGCCGTGGAATACGAGGATAGCTGCGGAGCGGTATTCACTTTTTTTTTTTTTTTTTTTTTTGGCTCGTGGGCTGGCACGCTGGCAACAATGCCACCTGTGCTGCGGTTCCAAAAAATGGCGCTTTACGTCAAGTGGCGATGACATACTTCAGTTTGAGATTAGTTAACAGGATGGCGCAGGACGATTCTTGTTCGATCGCAAATGCTCAAATGGTAGAGTTCGCCTAGCCCGGACCAAGATACCGACAAACTGAGAAAAATCCGTGTCAATGTAACATTAATAAAACGCTAACAGGTGGAAGAGCGCCCATCCCGGCAACAACGGCCAAACTGACTGCGTATAATGTACGATGTACTCAGTACATACACACACATTCTGTCTCTCAAGCTCCGACATTTGGTGAAGTTAGTGGACAAAGGTCGGCGGATTGGAAACCGGTCTGCCAAACCAACGTTGCGCATGGGTGACATCGCTTAGCCGAGGTTTCATTGAGAATAACAAGCCCATATATCGGCGTATGATTCCCACGAAACTGGTAGCGATGCCAATAGAACGATTGTATTAAGGAGGACAACTACCAGCACACTTATATGATCTCCATGCAACTGCGTTTTGTCGCACTAAAAAAGAAGCACATGTGGTCCGTGGATCGTCCAATCCCCTTTGACACTCGCCAGGAATTTTGACAGTTCAACTCTATTGAGATGGGGAGAAAAGTCCGCAGGTTAGATAACCTACTAGTATTGTGGCTTTGGTCGACTGGCTGCCCACTCTCGTCAGGGGCGCAGTTGAAAGTCCGTACCGGGTGGGACGTGGTAGGGACGTGACATGCACAGCCCACGTCCCTGGTTAACCATGCGGAATTCGGCTTTCTGAGGTTGAAATTCGATGCGTGACAGACCCGGAACAGAGGGGGAAACCTTGTCTTTTCATGCACTGGGCCAATTGGGGGGTGGGTATGGAAAAAGGCTTGTGGGCAGCCCTACTAGGCATGGCGGATCCAGAAGAGGAAGGCCATTTCCGGATCGGATTGGACGGTGACTGGAGACGTGGCGGAGCGAGTGCGAAAAAATAAAGAAAAAGAAAAAAAAAGGATGGCAAAATGCAACGGCATCTCCTGTGAACGAATTACCTTGAGAGCCGACGGGATGAAGACGCTTTGAAAAACAGAAAATATTTGTCATTGACAAAAATGAAAAAAGGAAGACCTGGTAGGTCCTATTTGATGATGTTATGCCTCGTGGGCGAATCGAACTCCCGATCTCCTCATTACTAGTGAGGCGCTTTACCACTGAGCCAACAAGGCGATGTTTGAGCCGATTGTATCAAGGTCTATCTCCCATCGCGGGCGATCGTCAGTGGTGGGGCACCAAGTGTCATTTTGGGAAACCAGAGTGAGGTCAGTTGGAAGTCTGATTGTGATTGTTGTACCTAGTATAGTGAGCTCGTTTCTGCTTGTTTTCAGAACCAAATCTGCCACCAAAAATATCTAGACCCTGAGGTAGAGCATGGTGGAAGTTTGCAAACAAGAAGACGCCTGAGCACAACGTGTGTTTGAAACCAGACATGTATGATAAATATGGTACCCTGTCATAATATTCCTCGTGTTCTCCTATATATATTTCCGTTTCGCGTGATGAATTTAAGCCGAGAGTCGCGTTCTCATAGGTTAGTTGTTGCTTCTTTACTGCAGGAACACAGCAGCATAATTTGAACTATTATCTGGTAGACAACCACGTAGCCTAGTCGTCTCTTTCCTACGAAACTCAGAAAGCTATGACCCTTAACCTCAGCATCCCATTCAGTAAGTTGCGCCAAGGAAGGACGTTCTCAAGATCTCTAGAACTCCACCGCTACGTGCCGATAAGCTGTAGTGTAAGAAGCCATACTGGCCTCTGCATCAATTTCACTGACGTCAAAACCTTCGCGAGACATGTAAAAACTTCCTGAACCTATGAACTGTAAGTTGCCTATTGGTCGATGCATATAACACTCACAACTCTATCATCTACTAGCTTTAAATGGGTTACTGTTGCTTGTGAAGCTCTCAATGAGACAGTTCAAAGTCCATAACTAGTACTAACAAGAGAATTGGCTATTGACCTATTGGAACTCATAGAATGATATCTGCGAAGTGCCGCATATGACCTGCCCTCTATCTGTAAAATAAGACATTCTGTCTAGGTACTAAGATTGTACGCAACCCATGTAGTCTGTATATGAAGATATCCTTCCCATGCGAACTCATGTTATTTACATTTGCCCTCAACTTGATGATTACTGAGACGATGCAACAAACCATTTGCCAGTACTTTAGTGTATTTGAATCGGCTTTTTAGGGGCCTCGAGAGTAGGTTTGACGCTGGATCTACCAAAGGGTATTCAACTACCAAGGAGAAGCGATTCAGACGTCAGTATCTTGGATCAAAACTCTACACGCGACTTGGCAGGCATGTTTCCCGAATCTAATGGTAGAACAAGCTCGAAGTCTTTCGATTTGCCAATATGCACACTACTCAAGTAGTTTAGCTTGTTGAAAGTTCTCTAGATCATGAACGCAGGTGGCTTCCAGCACGCTGGGCTTTCCCCGTACTGTTTAGGCAACGATGCCGTTTTGGGCGGTTTTGCCTGGCGCTGAAGACCCCTCATTGGCCCCCCCTGCCCCAACACACCCAATTGATTGGACTCCTTAAGCAAGGGTTCCAGGTTGTCACAGGCAGAAGTGTGCTGCCCGTGGCATTCTTATTCAAACTAGCAGCAATGGATACCAGCAGCAGAGGAAAGGTGTTTCTTTGTGAGTTGCTATAAAATAGCTTCATTGTGCTTCCTTTCCATCTCCGGGCTCTTCAGTCTTGGAAAGTATCTATCAAAATACCGCCAAAATGTCGTGGCGTACAGCAAACATGTATATCCCACGCGGGATTTGCGAGCTCAATCCCAACTACGAGCACCCTCAGTTGGTCATGGTCAGTAAGTGAGACTACCGTAGCCAGCCCGTTGCCGATCGCACAGCATCTCCTTACAACTCGTGTAGATGAAGCAGATGCCATCGGAAACTCTCTCCACCTTCTCTTCTATTTTACAATGCGGGGAAGTAACCTCTTCAGCGGGAAGAAGCCGACACAAGGTTGGCCAGTGGAGGACGACGAACGTGATCTCTTCGCCAGACCCTACGCAGAATGGGCGCCACCGCCGTATAACAACGTCGACAGGCACGTCGGCGCCGCGTACCGGGCCATGCTCGCTGTCGGCGGCATGACGGGCATCGCAGCCGGGCTAATCACCGTGAACACCGAGTGTGACCGTGACCTGCACCATCTGAACACCCGGATGCTGCATGGTATTCCGCCCATGTCGCTCACTCGATGGCGCCAAAAAGGTCTGCATGAGCCCGCAAACGTCAAGCGTGCGTGTCAGCATCTGAGCCAGGTCATAGACGCGTTTGAGTATCTCAACATGGACCGCAACCAAAAACGCATGCGGGATGCCTGCACAGGCATATGGGAGGCATGCTACGACTTTCAAGTTGCTCTAAACGCGTACCGCGCGATACGGGGTAGGGACTCCGTATCGGTGACGGCGATGTGGGAGGAGTACATGGTGGACTACTTTCAAATGGTGACAGCCAACGTTCACGAATGGGTACTGGCGCGGGTGGACGAGCTTAGGGAGACGCAGTTTCAGCGGCTGAGGGCCACGCCCATAGGGAGCTATGTTACTCCCGAGCAAATGGAGATCTTGGACAGGGTACACGATCTCACTGAAATAACAAACAAGGCCGATACCATCATCATGTTTCCGCTGCTCCGGTACCCTCTCCAGGAGCTCAAGGAGGCCGCCCCAAGGATACAAGAAGACTGGAGTGGGTACACTGGAACAAAACCGATGACAAGTTACCCGATGGACGTGCATCGGCGCTCGAAAATCTATGCTGCTCGGTGCAAGTACCTCAGTTTTGTGGAAATGACTGGCCATGTTGTTGCAAACATCCGTAATGATCGATTAGCTGATGGAGATCCGGAGAGACTGGAAGGAGATGCTCGGGTGCAGATTCGTGCGTATAAAGTGGCGAGGAGGGAACTGCGCGGTGCGCCACCGGATTTTGGAGATGAGCCCTGGGTCACACGAATTAAGAACCATATGCTGGTGGCGGAAAAGCCTGTACAGGCATGGGGATTCATCGCTTATCGGATTTGCTACGAGCACTCCGATGAGGAGTGGGGGAAATTCCTGGAAAGATTTCAGCACAACGTAACGGCTTGGGGAGAGGGGATTCGTGGCGTCGAGGACGTGAAGCCTCTTTGCAAAGTGCGATGGCTGGATGGGCGAGAGTGCGGTATTCCTGAAGGAGACATCGAAGCGGCGCAACAGTGAGTATCCCCAGGGCGATGCCAAAACGAGTGATGCTGACGGCGACAGACACTATGCGAAATACGAAAAGTCTGCCGCCTGTGATAACTTTTACGTGGCGGAAAAGTATGTCTTCCTGGCCGCCGATAAAGCTTCAATCGAGTCGTATTTGAACCCAGTTCAAGACAATGCGGCCTCAATCTTCCCTCAGGGCGACATTGGGAGCTTCATTCTGGCCGTTACAGCGGCTGAGTTTCGTGGCAACGAGCAGACGCCTGTAGGTCAACGCATGAGTACGCGACATGCTCAAGCTGGGTGGGACAGTACCCTTAGGGTCCTTGGCTCGGTTTTGTTCGACGATTTATGGGCATTGCTTTGCTATCAGATTAGGTTTTCAGATATCGCTAGGTTGGGTAAGGTGCACCCCCTACAGGTGTACGTTGGACCTAGCGTGCCTATTGAGAGAGATGGCTGGCTTAAGTCGGGGTCACTAGCCTTGACGGTATTGAGGTCATTCGAGAAATGGCGGAGTATCTGATTTAAGTATTCGAAACCAGATGTTGATTTTGTTGTCAAGATGTGCATTGGATCCGAGAACAACATCTGATGAACGTGACAACGAAGAGCTGGCTCAATTTCACATCAAGCAAGAACTGGCCCAAAACATGGTGCAATTGCCCTGAACACAATACATGTGGGCAGTATTACAGTTCCTCAGATAACCAAGCAGGCCGCTAAGTCATGTTGCGGGTTGGTCAGAAAGGGGCCAACATAAACCAGACCAAACTCTCCCAGGGGATGCTCTTCAGATAAATTCAACAGAATCCGAGCTTTAAATATTTATTGACATACAGAAATGCTAAATGATTGAGTCTGGGAATGAGAAGACCTACCGTTGGGGGTGATGATCGTGACGTCAGATGGGAGTAATTCCAATCGACATCTACATCATACTATCGAATAACAAAACCACCATCTCACTTTCACAACTGCATACCAGACAAGCCCATTCCTCCATGATTAGAAACTGGATCTGGAATTTTGCGAGGACGTCAAGGTTCTCACCTCTAGTCCACAAACCTCAAGTCTATCGATCTCACCTTACCCATATCGCAAGGATGCCTGTCACGCTAGACGGCCGCTGCGTCTGTAGCAAGCTGAAATACTCCGCCAAACTCGATTCCCCGGATGACGCGAGAACGTCGCTGTGTCATTGCTCCAGCTGCAAGCGAGCCTTTGGAACCAACTACGGCCTGACTACTAAAGTGCGCATTGCTACCTCCCATTTCCCATGTTAAGTACAAACGGCCATCTTGCTGACAGCTTTAGGTCCCATTGGATGGCTTCTCTTACACACAAGGCGAACCGAAGAAATTCAAACAAGACAATGGTGTAATTCGCGAGTTCTGCGATAACTGCGGCGCTTTCATCTGCGAATACGGCGAGGCTGCGGCTGACAAGTTCCGGTATATCATGTGGGGGACATTTGACGAGCGGAACAAGGTGCCGCCCAAGGGCGAATTCTTCTGCTCTCAGAGAGAAGACTGGATGCCGCCAGTTGAAAGTAAGACATTAGCCCTAGCGGAGCTTGGCCGGAGGCGATATGATGTTAACGATGGGACCAGATGTATTTCACAAACAGGAGATCAAAGAGTGATGACATCTCCTTGCATGACGAAGGCGAGCGCATATTCTTCAGTGTTGGTAATATTGCCAGGGAGAGTCACAGGTCAGTATTATGAATTCATGTTCGGGTAGTGGAGGGACGACGGATACGAGTGAACGGAATTCCGCCGCTAGCGAGGCTAGTGAAGAAGGGTGTGATGATGAGTAAGAACATGACAAATAATAGCAATGAACTTTGCCATGATGGGAGAGAATGAACAATATAAAGAATTTACGAATGTTCGTATAATATTTGTAACCAAGCATGATGAGACGATAAACCATGCCTCTGGTGTTGTTAAGGCGAAATTGTTGATCAATGGCATTTCTCTCCAAGGTAGCACTCGACAGAGCTTGACCGCCGCCAAGGCCCCTTCGCGTGGCGCTTGTGAATGCAAAGCATTTTTAGAACACGAAGATAAGCAAGCCCCTGAAGCACAGCCCCAGAGTATTGCCTTGGAGGACATTTAAGCTTGTTCTTAGCCCTGGAAACAAGTTCGCCAACCCATACCCAATCCCTTGAAGACGCATTCAGATACATATCATGCCCTCTCTCTGGTGGTTTTGATCTACAGCGACAGCAAGACCAAGGCCTACATCCGTATCCTGTAAGGTTTCTAGTCTTTGAATCTTAACATCATGGACGAATTCGCCTCGTCTTCCAAGCCCGCCAGGCGCCAGCGTAGTCAATTGGTGCTTCTCAATCTTGCCTATGCGCTCGCATTCTTCTCGGGCGTCGTACAAATCTTCACTCTCGCCGCTGGCAAATGGGTTACAGAAAATGCCGATGGCTCCCAGCACCTTGGGCTATCCAGCTTATCTATCGTTCAGGCAAGTTCAAACCGCACAGCTCGCATGTCTGTTATCCTTGCTAACATTGTTACAGTTTGACGGCATCGTCCCCTCCCCCTCAAATCCCGACTCATACCTTCTATCGATGCACTTCTTCCTATCTTCTTTCGGCTACGAATACCCAAACACTTCCACTGCAGCTATCGTATCCTCTGAACCCCGCCTTCCGCAGAACTTCATCTACATCGGCGAAAAGCTGGGGGTCTCTTCCTCCTCATGGGCCTGCCTCCGCGGCTCGGGACAGTGCACATCGTCCTTTTATGAGGCGTTCCGTAACGACAGCTTCATCGCTCCTTCAACATTAACATATTTCGCACATATTTATGCGCTCTCTGTATTAGCCCTGTTAATGATCTTCGAGGTCCTTATCGCCGTCCGCCCCAGCTGGCTAAGATGCCAGTGCTACTTCTCTTGCTTAAAGCGAGTATGCCCTTGCCCCCGTGGCTCGCGCGAGGAGATCGAAGCCCTCCCGGCAAGCTTCTGGAACAGATATCGCATGTGGATGTGGCCTGTGTTGCCGCTTGTCATAGTCCTCACGGCATTTGCTCTAGTAATGAGCGGACTCCTACTGAAGAGCTACGTCAACCGCCCAAGAGCGGGAAACACAAATGCGCATTTTGGAACGGGGTTCATTGTGATAGAGACGGCGTCCGTAGCGGCATCTTTTATAGCGGTAATCTGCATTTATGTAAGGTGGATATTGAGCCGTAAAGTGAACTGGATGGAGCAGCAGGGAGCCATTGCAGAGGGCGACACAAATCTAACTTCCGGGAGATCGCCGCTCCAGCCGCATGAATACACCGACGCCGAACCGGGCGCATCTCTTTCCCTGGCCTCTGCACCATTGGGATTTCGTGGGGAGCCGCCCAGGGTCGCATAAGGCCGGTTGGTGGTGCAGCTTTCTAGACCACAGCTGCAGAGACGAAGCCAATTTTACAATAAGATAATACTTAATTCAGCCCCAACATTAGAGCCAATGGTTTTACTTTCGTCAGCATGCACGGTTCATATCGCCCCATTGGCGAATCATGAACTCATCATCGATGGCGGACCCTGCCGATCACATACAAAACAGCTACTCCAATTAAGGCGGACCGTTCGTGCCACGTCCTGATGTCATCCTTACGAAAAGCTGTCATCGATTTCCATCTCGCATCGAACGATGTATGAGCACGCTGGAGAAGAGCAAATCTGCAGAACGAATGATGGCATGAGTTCGTCACAGAGAATGAGGAATAAAATGAGCTGAGCTCAAGGTTGATGGCCAGCCCTCGAGCCGCTGCTTTTCATCAATCCTTTCCCAGGACGCTAACAAAACAATCGTAGCACCTTCTATTGCATCCTCAACCTTGATCAATATTAAATATTGAATAATTCGACCTTATTCCACTGAATAAATTCTCCGAGCTTTATTTACAATGTCCCGCCAAAATCTCGCAGCCCCTCTGCTCGGCGCTGCCGCCCTCGTAGGTGGTGGCGTTTACTATACCCGCAAGTCAACCGACACCTCTGGCGACCCTGCCCAACAAACCCATGGCGGCAAACCGCGCCCAACAACCGACGAGGTCGTGGCCAACAAGAAGCAGCAGGCCGACGCCAAGCGCGATCTTGGTTTGGGCGGTGCCGGCGTAGGAATGAACCAGACGACGGGCGGCACTGAACTTGGCTCCGGCCTCAAGAGCGGCAACACGGAAAACCCCAACCGCGACGCCCCCAAGGGACCAAAGGACAAGTTCCCCTCTGATGCCGGCGAGATTGGTGGTGGACAGGGTCGTGGAAAGACCAACGCCAGGTCCATTGAGTGGCAGGGCCCTTCGACCGGAGGCTCTGCCGGCGACTCCAGCGCAGGCTCCGTGGGTGGCGGCCCCAGCGCTCAAAGCAGCAACAAGGAGGACTCGAAGGACAAGCCCAGTAGCAGCAGCTATGCCGGCAGTCAGGGCAACACTGGTGGCGGCACCGACAGCAACAGCGTCGGCAGCCAGGGCGGCATCTCGCAGAGGCTGCAGGGCTTCTTCCGACAGGGCGGAGATCAGGAAGGTGAGAAGCCTCGACAGGCGCCTATGGATACCAAGGTTGCCAGCAATTTGAGCGACACGCCTACGAAACGTGGAGGAAGTCCCTTTGACAAGCATCGCAAGGACGTGACGGCAGTTTCGCCCACGGAATCATGAGTCCATGAGAGTATCATGTGTTTGTACCATTAGATCATCAGCGAGGATAATTCATGTCCGTGACGTTTTAATATTTGGTCCCAGTCTTTTTGTCGTTTTCCACCTGCTCCTCGTCCACAATAATGACTGCTTTGCCGCTAATCTTGCCGCTGTGGACCAGTTCAAGAGCCTCATGGATTTTGTCGAGCCCGTGAAAGATGTTGTTCTCGAGCTTGATGCCATGCTTCTCAATATGCTCCACCATAGTCACCGTCTCCCCACGCGAGCAAGTCAGACTACCCCTAACCTTGATGTTCCGCAGTATAAGCTCCATGAAAGGGATCTTTACTTCGGCCGGCTGGGCAAGCTGATGCATCGTGCCATGCATCTTCGTTACCGCGCAAGCCAACCCAGCAGCTTGATCGGCATCAGCCAGGTTGACAGTCGCATCTGCAAGCACGCCGCCAGTCGCCTCCTGCAACTTGCTAACTACTTCGGCGTTCCCCTCTCTCGCATCAAGGACAACATCTGCGCCGCTCTTCCTTGACAGCTCCAGTCCTTCATCTCGGACGTCAATGCCAATAACGCGCAACCCGAGATCCTTTGCCATCTGTATCCCCAGGTGCCCTAATCCGCCGCCGGAACCGACAAAGGCGAGCCATTGCCCCTTCTCCAGCCCAGCCTGCAGCACCCCCCTCCAGGCCGACCGTCCGGCGCAAGCCAGTGGTGCAGCACTCAACAATGAAACGGAACCAGGGATGAGGACACTGGTCCGCGAATCAGCCCGGACGTATTCGGCAAAACAGCCATCGACCTGAATGCCGAGAATGCCCTTCTGTTTCGTGCAGTAATGCGTGTAGTTTTCAGGGCCGGTACATTCGGCGCACTCGCCGCACAAACCCAGCGGCACTCCGCACATGGCCCGGTCGCCCGGCTTGAAGTTTGTGACGGACGAACCAACAGCTACGACGGTGCCGGAGCCTTCATGAGATGCGGTGAGAGGGAGGCCGACCGGCAGGTAACCCATCTGGACCACGGTGTCCGTGTGACAGTAAGACGCGACGGCGATTTTGACGAGAATGTCAAGCGGTCCGAGGTCAGTTGGGACCGGTACGGTGTTGATTACGTACGGTTTGTTGAACTCGACGACCTGGGCGGCCTTCATTGTCTTTGGGATCTCTGCGGCTGTCATTTTGGCAGTTTATTGGTGTTTTGGGCTTGGCAGTGTGCTTCTGGGAAGGCTTTGCGAGGATCCGAGATCAAAGAGACGGGCTTGAGATTCGTCTAGAGGAGGATATATCGAGGATAAGCATGATAGGAGGAGGCTGACCGTCTTCTGCCTGCCTGTCAGCATGGTCAGCATAATGTACCTGCAATACCCCAATCTGGTTACGCGGCACAGGAAGCCATCAGGAACATAACCCCGCCCTTGGCTTATGAGGTCGCTGAGAAGGATTACATCCCATGCTGCCAGGTTCAATTGGCCACTGATTAGGGCTGGGTGGGCGGCAGTGTTATGTCACTCTCATGAGGACTTCACGAAGATACGATTGCCTAGCAACGGACGCCGGTCGGTCGCTTATATACGACAATTGAAAATCCAGTAATATTTTACTAGCCTTTTCTTCCTCTAATCAGGATGTCCGTAGCTTTATCAAGCTTTGGTGGTTCAATGACTTACCTACAGCAGGCTGTTGTTATTAATTTATAAACTTACCACGATGCGTACGGTATTTGCAGCCACACATCAACGTACCTTATGCAAGGATCAAAGTACCAACTATACATAGAACTGAGGCCAAACAGCAATCGGCGCCCTGTTTAAGCCCTTGTTTCTCACGTATCTCCCCACTTGCCGATCCTCCCCCGGGATCAGCGGCCCAAGCTGTTGTCCCGCTGCGGATGCGTCCCGTAGCCTTGAGCCTCAAAATTCTGTTTATTTCCCTGGCAGAATGTTTTGGTTTCTGTTGCGCGTGGCGAGGGCAGTGATTCAGTGAACATACAATAGTATGTTACCGATGACGACTTTAAGTACAGACGCTTACTTCTTTAGGTACGATGGATGCCAAGGCATTGATTGTATGAGCCCAGTCACTCCTAAGCATTGCCTCGGACGATCTGCAGAGCGGGTCGCGACGGGAGCAATGCAAAATACCGTAGTGTCATTGAGAAATGGTAGGTAAGCATGTTTCATAATAAGACTACTATTCTGTATCCTACAGCACCTTTATACCTCTAACAAACGCCGTGCTCCCCGTTGATCCCAGGATCTACCCTTTCGTTCCATCTTTCGGACGATAAACCACCCTTTCCTTCAGTAGACGCGGGGTATCTGGGTCGTGAGTAGGAAGCACGACGATGTCCTTATGCCTAGCATACTCCTTAATCTTTCTCAGACTTTCAAAGGCCGTGAATGGGTCGCTGTTTCCGCCATCCGGCTCCTCCTTGTCTAGAAGATGGATACCGTAGGTTGCATCGCCGGCAAGGAAATACGTCGTCTTCGTCCCATCGTCGTTGTCGCCGACGACTATCAAGCTGATGTGGCCTGCAACATGGCCAGGTGTGTCAACCGCAATCACCGTCCCGTTGGCTGTGATTGGACATGACCGGTTCCAAGGCCCGACCTCCCTCTTCTCTTCGAAATCCAATATCCTTGGCTCAAAATTTGGCGGCCAATCGGAAGGAATGCAGCCCTGAATCGCGGCGTAAATCTGATGTTTTCCGAAGGCGTCCCAGTGCTCGGACCCGACGTATATCGGGACATCCGGGGCGGCGAGGGCGAGGTCCTTTAACCCTCCGGCATGGTCGTGGTGAAGATGGCTCATGATGATGGCCTGAAGATCCGTAGGCTTGATTCCACGCTCGGCCAGTCGCGAGATGATTGCATCTTCGGGCGTGACCTCGAACTTATTGAGAATACCCGGGACCGGGTTCCAGCAGGGGAAGTAGCCGGGCTCATTGCATTTCGTCGAGATACCCGTGTCAAAAAGAATCGGCCCCTTCGGATGCCGGATGAGGAACGCGCCCATTGGAAGAGGCCCGAGCCATTCTCCGGTGAAGGAGCGGAGTATACGGAGCGGGACGAAGCTATTGCTGATGGGCTGGCCGCTCATCGGCTCCCGCATCCAGCAAAAACCGGTCGGTATGAACTCTACGGAGATCTTTTCATCAGACCCCATGGTGGGCGACAGTTGGGACCGGTACAGGAGAAAGAACGCGCACAAGATTTGTTCTCGCAGGCTACTCAAGGTCTACGAACACGTTAATGAGGCATTGGAGGCGAAGAAGAATGTTTATTTGTTTTTAAGCAGGGCTTTGCACCCCTGTTTTCAACATTCTGAGATCATCCTGTTGCCTGCAGCTTACCCGAGGCTTAGCGTATTCCAAGAATGCTTTTTGTCGTATCGTAGCCAATAATGCGAATAAGATGTCTCGCGTCTGGCTCAGAAGGGCTAGCCACGCCACCGGCACTCCGCCGTCAATCCCTGTTAACAGCCATCTTGATATGGAGAAGCCGGATCTGATTATAGAAGGACATGCCGCGGGCTCATGTGATTGGGGGGCCCTGCGAGAGCATGAAAAATCAACACTTGGAAATAGAAACGTCGCTGCCACTGTCTGATTGAGTTCCAACATGGCAATTCCGATGGGTTCGAAACCTCAACCATGATGTATTAAGCATTGGGGAAGTAATTTGTGCAATTGTATGTACGCCATATGGCAAGACTGCCATTGAGTCTAGCATAGACCACAAGGGTTCCATTATATACAAGAATGCAAACCTATATGTACGCTAAGAATATGAACATGAGAAAGTGGTATTTATCGCAGGAGAGCATGGCCGGTGGAGTTGTAGTTGTCGATGCAACCGCCCAGGTAGGTCGAGGTGAGAGAAGAGGTGCTGTTCTTGGCCAGCTTGGCCAGGCCGCTGGTGCCGCACTCGAGGCCGAGGATGAAGGCCTTGTGCATGACGTCGGCAAGGAAAGGCGCGGTGTGGGTGTGGTCGTTGGGGTAGTTCTCGTTGATCGTTTTGGCGCCGAGGTTCTTCATGGCCTGAGCAGCATACTCGCCATGAGGGACGAAGTAGAAGCCCTTGGAGGGGCCGCCGAGTTGCTCAACAGCGAGCCTGAAATGCTGGTCAGTAATCACCTTTATTGAGAGACATACGCTGAATAGGATGGAGAGCCTCACCAGCTGTAGTAGTAGAAGCGGTCGGCTTTCCACTGGAAGCTACCAGTCTCCCAAACGTTGTTGGGAGTAGCGGCGGAAATGATAACCTTAGCACCGCGAGCCGCGAACTTTGTCGCGGCATTCTTAAGGTAGGTAGGGAACGTCTGGACGGTCTCTTGGACGCCACTACGTTGAGAGTCAGCTATTAGTCTACCTTCAAATGAGGATCGGGGATAACTAACTTGTAGGTGGTCTTGCACGTCTCAGTGCCGGCGCCGAAGCAATCAGTCCGGCCGTTGTCGCTTGTCGACAAAGAACCGCCATCGTTATGTCCGAACTCCATGATGACCCAGTCTCCGGGCTGCACGAGGCCGGCGACAGTATCAAACCGGCCCTCGCGGGTGTAGGAGCGGGCACTGCGTCCGCCAATGGCGCGGTTGTCGACCTTGGCCTTGCTGGTCGAGAACGAGTACTGCAAAAAGGGGCCCCAACCCTCAGTTCCGCCGCCGCCACCGCCCTTCGCCATGGTGCTGTCACCGCATGTCCAGACTGTCGGGACGGCACGCTTCTCCAGGCCGGCGTCCACGTCCGTAGGCAGGGCGGAGGCTAAACCGACAACGGCAGCCACAAGAGGAAGGTTGGCACGCATTATGCTATTAGAAATGGCAGGACTTGCCGTTTGAGAGGGATAACGAATGTAGGTAGGGTCGAAAGTTGAGTTGTCGTAAAGAAATAATGAAAGCTTAACGAGCAGACGGTAGTAACCCGTGTTCCAAAGGTGAGCTAACGAGCCTCTTAATAAGTAAACCTTTCGTTTGGATTCGGAACATGAGAACTTTATTATGTACAATATCAATGTTACAACGCTATCATAGTCATGGCCTCGTGGCTTGTTGTCCCCAGCGTCCTCCTCAATATCGAGAGCAAGGTACAGTATGTTTCCACCCGTCTAGCCCGTGTCAGTCATTCATTGGGCAAGACCAATCGCGAAGCATGATGGGGGCGTGACCAGGGAATCGTTTATGTGCCATATAAAGTGAACTAGTTCTTAGACCGGCGACTGGGTGCGGGCGGGCGCTGGGCAATCAGCTGAGAGCACACTCTCTACACGGCCCATATTGAATGCTTGCCTCCGTCGCTCCGGAGAGGAGTCACCCCACACGGGGTATTCCTCGTTTCGAAAGGCCACCCTGGACGCGTGGTGCGTGCCTTGAATCTCCGTTGGTCGATACTGGGACGGCTGGATGGCTCCGTACTTTTGTGTTGACGGAATTGTCTCTTGCTGCGACGATCCCTTCTCCTCCCCACTTCTTAAGGTCAGACAGTCGCGCAATTCATCCGGCCTTGTAAGGGTTCTGGACGCTTTTTCTTTTCGTGGGCATCGCAGTACACCCACGGATACGGCAACCATTAATCTCCGCCTATCGTGCGGCTGCGTTGGGTGGGCGCGTGAATGAGGCTAACCAGGATACCCCAGTAGTATTTTACCTTTTTCGGACTTCAATACAACTCAATGCCGAACACGCGAAAGAAAGGGCAGGGCATGGAAGCCATTGTGTAATATGTATATAGTGAGAAGGGAGAGTGAGCCCTCCATTGTAGTCAAGCTGAGCCCCCTTTCTCGGGTTTAGTGCCTGTATGGTACGGAGGAAACGCAGCGAGCTCCTCTTTCTCGTAGGTCAGCCGACGAAGGGAAAACCATTTACTCCGTAAAAGGACCCGAAGTTGTTACAACGGACCCATTCCCCTTCTGGCCAGCCTTTCGTCCGCTCGTCCAGAATCATTTGGAGTGGGAAATTGGGGTTGACTATGTACAGACAAGGTTGCCGGCAATTGATGGATTGTTGCTCTGAGCCAGACGCTGTGGCAATAGCTGCTCGGCAAAACGGCCATGGGTCGGATCAGATGAACCGGCCGTCTCATCCGGGAAGGTTGCGTGTTAATTGGCGCGTTTAGTCCCAGTGTAACGTCTCAAGGTGGCTCTAAGCTTTGGGGCCAAGGATTATCCTGCAGGTTCATAAAGCTTAAAGACGAGACTCAAATCATTTGCACGGTTTGATTTAGGACAGCAACCAATCTATGCCACATGTTCAGAGACCCAGGGTTAAAATTGCGGCTTGGCTAGTGAAAAAGCGAGTCATCAGAGGTTAATGGAACCAAGAGGCTATCGGTCAACTTGGTGCTTTGCCCTACGTATACGCGGACTAATTGCCCAGCCCTTTTGCAATCTTCCAAGTTCAAGAACTGGGCCGAATGTTCTTTGCCGCCGCCTACCCTGGCAAGTCTGAGAGGCTTTAACAAACACAACAAGGTCCTTAATAAGACAATTAATCTTATGGCGGCATATAGGACAAAGAGCAATGCGGCGAACATGAGGCCGATCTATAGTGGACATGATATAATAATGCACATCTTATTACTGTAGGCAAACAAAGTTTTCTTGATCAACACAGCAGTAAATGCGAATCAACTGAAAACCACTGCTTGTGAAAATGGTATTGACGACTCTTGCCCACTACCTTAGTGGTAACAGAGGGCCGGGACAGCTGACAGAACGACATGCTGGAAACTGAAAGACATATTGAAAGCTGATATAATTATTGCAGAAAAGCCGTGAGTTTGATTGAGCAGGTTGTACATGGCCTTTACTCAGACAAGTACCCTCAGTATGAATGGATCTTCAGATGAACAACTAAAAACATAGGAAAAGGGGCGATCGGTTCGTTTGTGTAACAGATGCTGGTTTCCCTCCCCTTGATGTACCTTAATGGGTATCCCAGTAGCATGCGCTCCGGTGCCATACCTATCGGTAGCTTATATTATCACAATCAGGTATTGTGCTAGCAGATCTCAGTAGGTAACAATCCGAGATACCCGTATTGGCATGAACATTTGTATTAGATTGGCGCAGCTCGAACGTAAATGCTAGAGAGGAATGTATCCATTCAGAACACTTGATGACACGATGCACTACAAACACCAGCCACAAACTCCTCCCCCAAAGTAATTGCTTCCCCGTGATTATCAGTAAGATTTTCTGAAATGCATGATTGATTGCCCGTCTTTGATGTCCACCTTTTGGGCGTCAACGAACCTTACTTTTCCGTCTCATCAGTTTTCAGCGTCAAGCCTTTCTACCCAACACGTTATCTTCGGACCCGATCCGCAATCATGATGCATAACCAGAATTTGAAATCTTTGATATTATTAAACTGAAACCATTATGCATGTAGCCGCATCTTGTATTCAAACGTTTGCACGCTACCATTACCGTATCTGATCTCCTCTCAGTTCGAGTTCAGCCAGCGACCGCTGATGCCAACCCGCATGTTTAGCATGTGTTCCAGATCGAATGACTTTCACCATATCCTTATGGTGCTTAAGTGCCGCATGCATGTCCCGTATTGTTGCCATAGCTGGAGCAAGGGCTGCTACCGGTTTATCTGCGGTCGTTGTCCAATGAACCCATTCGTAAGTCCATGTTTCTCCAAATACTAACCACATAATATTTATCATTCGAAAAAAAAAGTCATGCTGTCTTAGTATGAGTGGCTAGTACCCTACGTATCATGTACCTGTTGCCTTCTTGCACTCATTGGTATAGGATCACGGTATGACAAACGTGGTTCTCCGGCATCTGCTCTGATGTCTGATCAGGGTTCGAAGCATTGGTGTAAGCGGTAACGTACAGCTCGACATAGCGGATGTGTCTGTTGGGGCAACGTCTGACTCGAAAATTAATACCCGGAACAGAATCGAGGAGAGCGAGTTGTTCAAATTGGCGATCATCTTCCGATCATCAATTACCCCTATCTTTCCTGACAGTTGTTAAGTATGTCAAAACTTTGAGTTGCATTCTTAACATCAAATCCGTTGCCCAAGTGAGAGTTGTTGCTTATGTTTGAATTATTCAAAAGAAGCTCCAGGCTTGCCCTAAGTTGATACTCTGTGACTGTGTCTAGCAGATTCCCTACATTTCGAGCTCTTCCCTATCTGATAGCTTGATACATCCGCTATGTGACCTCGGAAATTCAGTAATACGTTGATAGTTGATACCATAGAATCTTCCCAGAGAAGTTTACAGCAACTTAGGAAGCGATAAAAATGCAAGCTGTAGTCGCATCGAGAAGTCAGCTAAACCACATTTTATACCGCATTGAAGCATTTATAACTACCCTGCTTAAACTTCAAGTTGAAGTTCTTGAAAAGCTTTGCATGTTCCACTGAATTCGGCCTGGTTTTATAATGCTGTTGTTGCGTTAAGCAACCCCTTGAACAACATTCGATAGGGTATTCTGCGTGTCTGTTAGTATTTCTAGTAACGTATTTCGCGTTATCAACATATCATTGTCAGTGTTATTGATCATGCGAGTGACTGCGTCTAGTTATCTCGACTAGCACTAGTTGCGTTGTCCAATATTTATACTGCAGTTTGTGTCCGATTAGCTATGTCGTTGACGACTATCACGGCATTGGCAGGCCTCATTGTTCGCCGCTGTGGTGGCGAGTGAGATTTGAACGATCTCTTCTTCATAACCATTTCTTCTCCAAACATTATTTATACGAATAGAACTAATTTAATGAAGCCTAGTCAACCGAACCCCATCTAGACAGGCTTGAATTTCAGATCTGAGCTAGGAGACGTCGGGCGCAGATGCAATTGCTGTTCAGAGCGGCGGAGGTCGCAGAGGTGCTGCATCGCTGTGGCCCTGTAAGTATGCCTTGTTGTAACTCAAAACTCAAGTATGAGTTGAATCTATCCAGTTCCTCGAGACTGCCCTCTTAGTGCTCGCAAAAGTTGTAGTCAACACTAAACCAACCATCTAGCGCCGTAGCCTCCGAATTACTCCTCTCTTCCATCAACTTCAGCCTATGCTCAAGAGCTTCCTTCCGGCCCATTGGTGTTGACCAGTCGCCAAAATGCTTCCGGATCATGTCGAAAAGCTCTGGGGGGACATCATCCTTTCCCTCTGCCAATGCCTTGAGAACGGCGGTATCGTCATCAGCGTCAGAATTCTCAGCAATCAGACGTGCAACGGACTGTGGCACGCTCACTCCCTGAGATTGGCGCAACCCCGAAAAGGCTCGGTCCATCCACCAGTCTCGTTGCTGGGGTGGGACGTTAGCGGTGCTGATGACCCTGTTGACAGGGTCGACAAGCCATATCGCTATGAAGCGGCGGTGGCCCGGCTTAGTCTTATCTTTGAGCTCGAAAGGCGAAACCCGATGCTGGAAAGTGTTTGGGAACGCGAGGAGCCTTCCCTCCTTGGTCTCCACGCTGCCGTAGTTCTGGATGCACGGAGAGCCAGAAAGGCTGGTACCGTAAACCATCTCAAGCCAACCATATGCATCTTGGCCAACCTTATCCTGTAGATCATCTTGATAGCTGCTCGTCTGCATCCGGAAATCAAGGTGGCTGGTCGTAATGTTCTCCGAGTCAAGGTAATACAACGCTGTGGCAATGATGCGTTCGTTGATCTGTCCCTCCACGTGCCACGATCCGGCTGGGAAGCTCGGCTTTTCAGGCGTCAATTCAATGGATGCCATCTTGACGATAACTTGCAAGTCTTTGTATCGTTCTCTGAGAGAATACTTGGGTTGTGCCCCGTAATTCCATGCTTTGAAAGGCGGCACTTCTGGCTGCACCGGCTGTCGCGTCTTTTTCCAGAGGATTTCCCTCCTGGTTCCCCCGTATCTGATACCCTGCTCATCTTCCTCTTCATGGTAGTCGCTTTCTTCATCGCTTTCGTCGTCATCGTCATCGTCATCTCCCTCAACTTCTGCTTCGTCATCTTGCTTTGAAGGGGCATCAGGTAGCTGAATATCACTCAGAGATACATCCCAGTTATCTTCATTCTCGTCGCTTTATATCAGACACATGTCAGCCATCATATTAATAACAGCAGTACAACAGCGTCGGGCGTTCACTTACTCGGGACTGTCTGGTAGTGGGAATCTCGGCTCTGTTCTGCCGGCAGTGGTGTCTGGCATGTCGATCATTCGTGACTGTGCCTGCGATATGATGCATAGGTCCCACGCTGGCAAAGCTTTTTCGATGAGCCTCTCAATCGACTGGTAGACTGCGCGATGCTTTATGGGATGCAGGTTGTTAATGTAGCTGGTGAATTTCACACTGCCATCATCCTGGATTTTGACAACGGAGGGGAGCCACTGATAGTTTTCTGACCAAAGATTCGCAGGAGGCATCGAGCCACCGATCGTACGGTGCATCCCGGCGCGAGCATCCACCTTTTCTGGCTCGGGAATGGGTTCGCCTTTGCCCGCCCAAGTGTCTATAGCGTCTTCCACGCCGACGACCTCTTCTTGGAACACGCGGGTCTTCCCATACACCAGCGGATATAGAGATGGGTGTACGAGATTCCGAACCTTGCCATCCGTGCCAGGATGGAAGTCTGGGCAATCTTTTTGCGCATCCAGAAGCTTGGTAAATGCCGCTCGCAGCTCTTGCTGCAGGGACTCGTCTACCACGGAGTCAGACTTTACCACGGTCGCGGAAGCGTCCAATGTCGGGACTAATCCAGACTTTTTGAAGAACTCGGCCTTGGCGCGTAGCTCTTTGATGCACTGTAGTCCACACCTGTAAGCGATACGCCATTGCGGCTCTCAATTGGGGGCTCTCACATATTCCAGACATGGCCGGTTGAGTATTTGTTTCAGTCTCTTTGGGTGGGAATGCTCAAAGCCGTAGCCGGAGAACTTTCCCTTGACAATAGTGTCGTAAAGCTGGTCCGAAGGCATTGCCAGGCCTTCTTCGATCCATTTGCTAGCGATTGCATCGTCAAAGACCTTGGTGTGCCAATCGGCCTTTTCCGTGAGTTTATCCATGACTATCATCATAGCGACTTCTCGGACCAACAGCATTGCCGAATCCGAGTACCAGCAGTTCGTGTCTATTCCCATGGGATAGATGATGCCTACATCATCCAGCTGCTCGTTTTGCGGAAAGTGGCGCAGGGGCAAGCCTAGCCCAGGATACTGGTGAGGCATTTTGGCAGGGACAGCTTCAGGAGAAAAGGGTTTGTTGCTTAGGAAACGTGCAATGTTTGGCAATTATGGCTTCAGATATTGCTCCTGATGCTCATGCTCTTATACTTCGACGAGCGTGAATATCGGTGTGCATGTGGCCGGAGTATGGTGAGCTGCCTGGAACTCGATTGGGGCGTCGACCCGCTTTCTCCACTTAGGGGCCTAGCCTGCCTGTTCACGATATGGAAGAGGTTGGTTTTAATCAGACTGCTGCCTAAGTCTGCTCAATTTCGCACAGAGAGGCAGCGTCAACAATTAACTTCAGTGTTTTTTGACAATGAAGTCGAATGAAACACAAGAAACCAGGACCTTGGTACTATAGTATTTTAATAAGAATGAATGCCCACATATAAGAAGTATATTCGGCAATCCTAATCTGTAGAAACATTAAAACAACATCGTATGAACAATTTTTGATCCAATTCAGTAATTCACATACCGGGATAATCTTTAATTTTTTGCGCAATGCTTCAGGACTCGTGATCTTGCGTCTTGAGAAGTGATTTTATGCTGGTATTTCTAGAAGGGTAGGCTTTGGCCAGTTAATTCTGTCTCTCATGCACTTTGAGCGAGCGTATTTAAGGTGAACTGCTCTTGGCTTCAAGTCACCCAAGAAGCAGATGCTTAGGTTGTAGCCGTCCTGCAACTTATCTCTGAAACGCGTGAGAATCCCGTCATAACTGTAAAAGTTGACACAAATGAGACTAGCCACATGTTAAAAACCCATACATTATAGTTGAGAATCTTGCCGTCTGTTCACATCGGCGACTCTGACTCCTACGGTATGCAACGTGAGCGCGTCAGTGCTCCAATCTCAATACCATTGTACAGAACGGTGTTGTTTTTTTTTTTCTCGAACTTCCTGGATGTCGCGGTAGATTCCGTAAAGAATGTTGGAGGACACAGAGAATGTCCTCGAGGTGTCGGCAGCCGTGGTTAGACATCTTGATACCATAAGCACCGCCCTTGATGGCCTCGAACGCGTCCTTAACGGTAATCATCCCCTTGGAAATGACTTACAATTTGGCCTGGTAGCGGAGTGGCTCAAAGATGCCTCACTACAAAGCAGTATTGAAACTATTTGGAAGCGAGATTAATGGTCTCATCTGCGTTGGGTCAGTGCCGACAAGTTCACTAGAATGAACGGTAGGTCCTATCCGCCTTTACTTGGCACGCTCGAAATCGCGCCAAGTATTGGTAAGATTCATAATGGTGTGAATCTGCGTACCTACTCTCCAGGGGCGGCAGGGGGTTCGAATCGATTTAAAAGTTGTCGAAAAATTACTTATTTTCTATTCAGAGGACCATTGATAATATGGCAAGCATAACAAACTAGGACTAGCAATAGTGGGATTTGAACTCGGCTCGAGTCCTCTGGATAGCCTTTCAGCAAACAACTTTTCTTTTATTCCTGAATTGCTTCCAACTTATTTCACAGTCTGTTAATTAAGCTGAATGTTATTTGAAATAGATTATAAGCTTATTGCCAAAGAACCATGGGAATCTTCGAGTCCCTGGCTCAAGGATTGGGGCAGTAAACTAATACCTGTTTCTAAGGACTGACACCCTAAAGTCGGTCCTTGGTGCTGGGTGCGCCTAGCCTTTTTCAATCCTGTTTTTGGGATCGCTCGTAACTAATCGATCCTATGCCTAGTCCTGAGATGAAGTGTCCGGGATATGGCTTTCCCGCTCCGACTTTTGATCTGTTGGTCCTTTCTTTTCCCCGAGCGGTTACCCTGCTGCGTCGAATGGGGCGGCTTCAGGCTGCAGTTTTTTGACCAACAGCTTTCGGATCAGAACATCCTCCAATTCTGATTCGATAACTAACACTGCGTTTGTGCCCAATTTATGCCTAAAGAAAATCAAGTAAACCAACGGAATATTCACTATACGGCAATAATATTGAACTTGAAACTGACATTTTTTCAATTTTGGGAATGTTGCACTGTTGAGAATTTATTGATCTAAACCACCTAGAGAAGAGCTTTTTTCTTAACATGAGTTGGCTGGATCAGACTCTTAAAGGACCTCTCTTTGGCACTTTATGTAGTCTATTCGTTGTCATCTATATTTCGATATGGCTTTACAAATATTATGTAGTCCGACAATCCGTGGCCGATTTGCCCCACATACACAGCGCAGTAGAGTTCTTTGAATCGGGGATAAGGACTATGCTGCCGCACATTCCATTCCTCTGGCCAGCTCGAGCATACACTATCCATGATCCCTGGAAAAGTAAGTTGGGAACCGCTTATACTGAATGCATGCTTACATGTCCTAGAGTATGGCGAAGCGCATTCTGATCTTATAGCCTTGACACAATTGTCAACACCAGGTTATGCTGTATATATAACCTCCTCCCCAGAGGCGTCTCGCATTATCCTGTCAAAAAGCAATGTTTTCCTAAAGCCGCTTGGCATGTTTCGCTACCGCGCTATCAATATATTCGGTAATCAGATAGTGTCCACACAGAATGGCCTTGAACACAAACGTCACCGGACTGCTGTCCAAAGCTGCTTTGGAGAATCTACCATGCAAAACGGTTGGATTTCAATGGCTGGCGCATTTCAGGAGATGATCCAGCAGGAGGACCTTGCATCCAACGGGCTTCTTGTCGATACAAGAGAAGTTATGATTAAGGTAAGTTAATCCAGCAGTGATACATGCTCTAACAATATCAGGTTACCATGCGAGTCATTTGCCAGTCTTGGTTTGGTATTGACTCACCTTGGGTTATTTCGGATAATGAAGATGCTATAAGTAACACCTACCGAACTCGAGCCTCAGACACAATTCGCTTACTGATTTGCGCAAGTGCCTTTTTACGAAGCCCTCCACATTGTTGAACGCTCAATGCTTCCTCAACTGCTGTTACCACTCGTTAGTACTATAGACAACGGACAACCGCATTCATAACGCTTTCTAATCTTCAACTTAGTGGTTCATGGAATATAACCCCTTACCAAGCCTACGTCGCCTAGGGAAGGCTCAAAGGTGCATGTTACACCACCTGAGAGCGATGATGAGGAGAAGACGAAGCGAGTTGGCTACAGATGCTAACGGAAAGCAACCCATTCCAAGAGACGTCCTTGGCGCTTTAGTTGCGGCTCAAGTACATGAGGATATTACCGACCCAACTTTCTCGAATGCTGGGCTAACTGAAGAGGAAATCATTGGTAACATTTTTATATTTGTGGTGTAAGAAGTCCGCACAAAAAGAAGTTCGGCAGAGCAAGTGGTCTGAGCTAACATTCCTTTAGAGCTGGGCACGAAACAACATCGAACGCACTCGCGTTCACCTTGGCTTTTCTTGCGATCTACCCAGAATGGCAGGAGGAAATTTACCAAGAAATCATTCGTGCCGCTAATGAAGGTTTGCCTTCCTACCAGGACATGAACAAACTACCGTTAGTGCTGGCAACGTGTTATGAGGCTATACGTTTGAGAGATATCGTGATGAGTCTGCCTAAAGTGGCTGGCGAGGATGTAGCAATACCGTATAAAACATGGACCTCGGGAGGCGAACCAACTGAAAAGGTCCGCGTTATCCCGAAAGGCTCCCATGTGGTTATCGATTCTCCAGCATCCCAAAGAAATCCATATTACTGGAAAGATGCCATGGAGTTCAGACCTACTCGCCACATGACCGGACAAACAATCAAATCTGAGAACTTCACAGGCTTTTCTAGAGGGGAGAGAAAGTGTATCGGGAAGAGATTTGCCGAAGTTGAAATGGTCTGTTTTCTGTCCCACTTAGTCAAAACATTTACATGGACTGCAGTCCCTTTAAATGGAGAGACTGAGGAACAGTTAAAGGAGAGGATATTAGATGGCACAGAAGCGCTGAGTTTGAGACCAGGGTCCTTTAGTTTAAGACTTGAGAAGCGGCTCTAGCCTCGGAATTTTAGCGCCTTAGTATTGGAAGAAACGAAAGAAAACACGTGAGAAATAACGGGCGTGGGAAGTGACTCCAGTTCAAAACGCAACCTGGAACTACTCCTCGTTTGGTTTAAAGTTCTAGTTGGATTATAGATCCTTGGAAGTATTTTCAGGCTATGAGCTGCAAGCAACATACACTTACGTGAATAGCCCAGCAGGGATAGTCAAGTTGGTGGTAAGGAAGAGCTCGATGAAGGAGACCACCGGAGCCATAATAGGAATAGGAACGAGGTTGCTGATTTTCATCCGACACTCCCAGCACCGCGCTGAGTTTGCGCTCAGAAGACTAGTCGGCTTAGTAAGAAAGATCCAACGTCCGCCAGGTTGGGAGTCAACAAGTATCCTAGAGACTGACAATACAGCTTGTGGCATAATTTTGCCCATACACAGTTTTCAGAGAAAGCGAGTCACACAGAAGCGACTCTTCGCGATTGGTGGCAGAAGCGGGAGCAGTACCGCTTTCGGTGAGCTTTCTTATTGATTGAGCTTTCATGCGTTGGTAGCGTTGCTATTAGCCTGTCCGTAGAGTCAAAATAGTGAATTTATGCAGGCACTACAACGGCACAGCTCAGAATTATCCTATCAGACGAGGATGCGACGCGTTTCCTGCGCATCCATGTCTCTTGCATTGCAGTAAATCGACTGGAAGAGTGGCCATTCCGTTCTCGAACCTGGGCTCGCATACAGGATGCAGAGAGCCAAGCCCAGCCTAAAAACAGTGAATCAGACACTGTTAACCAATACCATGGTAGCGTTGCTTTGTGTTACATAGCTAGCAAATATTGGTCAGGGAGAGATTAATTACAATAGCTCCATGCAGATGTTATAAAATCCATGTGTATCCGACCGTTGCCAACTTCGCCCCTTGTTCGTTTCTGCCCTCCTGCCCGCCAGTCACAAACCAGCACTCGCCGTTTGGGGTTCACCGACAATTATTTTCATTCGTCTCGCATTGAAACTAGGCCTAGCCTTTCGAGTCCCTACGATTCTCCGTTCCCTACTCGCACAATGCCCTGTCTCAGCCAAGCCGTTCTCTTGGTGAAAGCCATGCTGTTGGTTTGTTTAGCCAATGCTCAAACAATTACTGTCAACGATGTTGTTACTGGTCTGTTACTGTGGTCGCTCATTTCTCATAAGCTTTTGAGAATGACACTATGTTATTGATTAGGTCATCACTAATTCCTTGTGATTTGAATAGAGGCCAATGAATTCAATGTTGCACCAGCAGCTGAGACTATAAACGGCGATATCCTAAAAGAGGAGAGCCTCCAACTGACAGATGCTGTACTGACTAACCTCACACATCTCTCACTGTCAAACATCTCTTTGTTTGATTTCGATACCACAACTAATAGTAAACGGCGTTCGGACACCGCCCGCGTCTTCCACAAATGCAAGACGTATCCTGGCGATGTTTTCTGGCCGAGCACGACAGTTTGGAACGTCTTCAACCTCCTAACCGGTCTCGCCCTCAGTGAGACGGTTCCCATTGGTGCTTCTTGCTTTGACACGTTTGGTACTTACAATGCTGCTCGCTGTGAATATATCACCAAGGAATGGGCGAATTCATCTATCCAGTGAGTAAAAAGTTCAGATTGTATAGTTATTGTGAGTTAAGATTGTCTAGCATAGAAGACCCAACATCCGTTGTTACCCCCTTGTACCAGGGATTGACCTGCATGCCAACTGCCATCACCAATGTCTCTGCTGGAATTTGTAAAGTGGGCGGATTTCCTTCTTACGTTTTAAAGGCAACGAATGTCGCACAAATTCAGCTGGCCGTCAACTTTGCCCGCAATCTCAATCTTCGCCTAGTTGTGAAGAACACGGGGCATGACTTCAACGGTCGCTCTTGCGGTTCTGGCGCTCTCTCTATCTGGACCCATCACCTCAAGAGCATCAACTTCTACGATAATTACAAGTCTAGCTCTTACTCAGGCCCGGCTCTCAAAGTCGGTGCCGGTGTCCAGGGCTTTGAGTTGTATGAAGCTGCAGACAAGTACGATGTGACAGCCGTTGGGGGAGAGGGAATGACAGTTGGTTTCGCAGGGGGTTACCTTGCTGGGGGTGGCCATTCACCGCTATCAACCAAATATGGCATTGCTGCTGATTCAGTGAGAATAGCCCCGATGCATCGAACGTATAACTGAAGTGAAGCTAACATCATCTAAAGGTCTTGAGCATTGATGTCGTTACTCCCGATGGTCGTTTCGTGACTGCCAATGATAACCAGAACACAGAGCTATTCTGGGCCTTGCGAGGTGGCGGTGGTAGTATGTATATAAACCATTCCAGCAGAGACATAACTGATTATGAGATAGACACTTTTGGCGTCGTAACTTCCTACGTTGTGAAGGTCTACCCCAAGCTTGAAACTGTTGCCGTCATGACTTTCAGTTTCAGCACTGGAGAGACTGTTAGTTACGATGCTTTTTGGGCTGCAGTAAGAGCATATTGGGAAGCTTTACCAACCTTCAATGAAGCTGGAAACTACGAATACTGGAACTTGTTCAACTTGCCGAACTCCCTTAGGTTTACCATGCTCCCTTGGTTTGCTCCTAACATGACCGTACAAGAACTGAAAGTCCTTACTGCTCCTCTCTTTGCAAAATGGACTGAACTTGGTATCAATGTATCCCCTGTCTATTCCGAGCATAAGGGTTTCCTCTCTGCCTGGAGAGCCGGTTTTCCCAAAGAGCTCATTGGTGGAACCTCCGCTAAGATGGCCTGCCGTCTCTTTCCCACGGAGAACTTCGTTAACGCCACGAAGCTAAACGCCACGTTCAACGCTATCAAAGGTCTCAGTGACAAAGGTGGTCAGATCATTGGGTTTGGCATCACCGGTGGACCTGGGCCATACCCTGACAATGCCGTCAACCCAGCGTGGCGTGAAGCTGCCATGTTTGCTGTCTCTGTTATTCAGTGGCCCGCCGGGTCCTCTATGGAAGTTGCTGCGGAGAAGTCAAAAACTTTGACGAACCAATGGATGCAGCCCTGGCGCGATGTCACTCCAGGAGGTGGAGGATATGCCAGCGAGTGCGATGTGACTGAGCCTGACTTCAAGCAATCCTTATACGGAACTGAGAAGTACGCTCGATTGCTTGCATTAAAGACAAAGATTGACCCCACTGGCCTCTTCTATGCCAACTTGGGTGTAGGAAGTGACGGTTGGCATATTACAGGTCAACTTGATGGCCTCCCAACTCAGAACGGCCGCCTCTGTCGAAAATGAAAAGAAACAGGACGGCAGTAATAGAGGGTAATTTCTGTGAGAAAGTGAAATTAGAAATGTAAAAACCTGCAATAAAGGGGCATGATCACAGGCAAAATATGCAGCTGTGGATTATGTGCATGGTATCAAAGAACTTGTTGCCTTCTGACGTCTCAATTTTGTGGTCTAGCCATTTTTTGGAAATAATTCTTCCCATTAGGACCTCAAAACAAATTCCTCAGCTCTCAATCTCAAGCGTATCGAGGTCAATCTCTTCCTTACGCCTCCTAATGAGAAGGGCGGTGGAAGGGTTCGGGGCCAGATTTAGTCCGAATGCGATAGGCTGAGGGTCAAGTCCGTCGGGCAATTTCCAGTCATACTTCATCAACAAATGGCAAAGGATAATCTTCATTTCATGGGCAGCAAAAAACCTATTTGAATGACAGATATTTTTGATTAGTGACTGAGGTTTATCAAGTCGACTGGGATTCCCGACTAACCTTCCAGGACATGCCTGCCTGCCGTGGCCGAATCCCATATGCTCCGAACTTGTGCTGACTAGGTGCGCCATATGGTCTTTGTCTGTTCCACGGAGTTTAAGGAAACGGTACGGGTCGAACTTTTCGGCGTCCTCCCAAACATTGGAGTCCCACATATGGGCGAGGTCGACCCAGACGTTATCGCCCTTGTGAATGTGTAGACCGTTACTCAGTGTAAAGTCTTCCACAGCAACTCGTCGAAAATTGGCTGTTCAGTAGTAAAATTGATGTTAATGATTTGCAAGTGTAGGTTGTTTGATGAAGCGAATGCCACCTACAGATTGACACAGGTTTTAGCCTCTGGCTCTCTTTGATCACGCTATCTAGTAACTTGAGGTTGTGGAGGGCTGTCTTTTTAATGCCTTCCGTTCCCAAGACACTGTTGATCTCCTCACGGAGAGGTTGAAAAAGTTCGGGATGACGAGCAATTTGGATCATCGTCTGCGTGAGTTGGTCCGTTGTTGGATGAATAGCAACCATTGCGAGTGATATCTGGCTGTCGGCAGGGTCTCTGTCTTCTGCGTATTCTCTTTGGCACCACTCGAGCGCGTCATCGTATACTGGCTCGGGCTCACCTCTTGCCAACGCATCCGCTTTACGAGCTCTTCTATCTAAGACGAATGGACGAATAAATTCCCGGCAGGCTTGGAGAGCTGTTCTTGTTTGTTGGCAGATGGCCATGTATCGATTCGCAATGGGCCGGAGAATCGGAGGGAATTGTCGCAGCACTTGTACTGCTTGGAACACCGTGTGTGTATATGCAGCGCTTAGTTTGATCCAATCCTCGTTGCGGCAGAGTTCCACGCCGAGGAAGAGGCGTGCGGATGTGCGGGCAACAAGGGCTGTCAAGTCCCGGGAAGGACGAACTTCGTGCCATTCTAAATAAGCGGACGTCAAATTTAGTACGCTTCGGAAGTGAACACATTGCTAGAAAGCCCAAAACCTACCAGTTGAGTCTGTAAACAAGTCGCGCACAGCTAATTTTGCTTCTTGATACAGAGGTTTCGTATACTTGTCTGTACCGATAACGGATCAGCGAATATTCAGTGGGTAGTGCTTATTTCTGTATCAGAATCGCATACTCAGTGCCTTGGTTAAATGTCTGTTGATCATATTTCCCCCTTCATAATTGGCCTTGAATGGCTCGAAGCCAGGGAGGTACCCATGATGGTCCTTTAGAAATAATGTTTCTTTAGCCCACAGGAACCTCACATTATAAACATACTCAAAAGGAGCTCACCTTTTCTACTGCGGGCCAAAAATCCAACTCATGGAGGTTGCGAACCTCTGCAAGCATATGAGGAGGCAAAACGATGGCGTTGCCAAGATAGGTCTTCATGGTGTATGGCTCGTCCGGATACTTCCGACGCCCTAGAACGAAAAGCTCTTTGGATTTGGTCATGAATTCTCTGGTGCTGGTTTTGGGATTCAGTATAGGGAGACTGGTCTGCTTTGCCTTGGCAGCGTACGCGAAAAGAAGGACGAAAAGGGTGATGAGGTATGACAATGGACGCTCAGTAGGCGACGGCAAAAAAGGCAAACTGCCTGGGATGAACATCAGTTTTCCAGATTGACCGTCCATTTTGTCCCAATAGTTCGGCGCAAGGTAGTTCTTGCAATAGTCCGCTATAATGAAGACGCTTGACAAGTTGTGGACAAGACAAGAACAGTTGAAAGCAGCATAAATCACCAGTCTGAAGGCCACGAAGAAAAGATCCAAATATACGTATTTCGTTTCTACCATGCTACAATGCTGCTTGTTCTAAATAACAGAGATTCAGAAGATCACTGACCATGAGCACTGATACTTTGCATGCATAGGCTCATCCGTTCTGGTAAGACTCCCCGAGTATCCTGGCAACAACACTGTTATCCACAATATAACAGGTTTTGGCTGCGGCTGAGCAAACCTTAGGTGTCACTTGAATCTCGTTCTTAAAGCAGGAACATAAATTGTTTCAATCCATTCGGTGTTCATTTTGTACGTACATGAGGGCATGAAACAATTTTCGTATTATGGCAACAGCCGAGAGCCAAGAGTCAAAGGCCAAGATCTGAGCCACAGTCACAAGCTAGTCCCTATGCCCATCCCGCCGATTGCTGATTGACATGGATTTCGCCAAGGGCTCAGGTTCATAACTTCAGAGCAACTTTTACTTCACACCACAATCAATACAGTAGTGCGTATTGATCACCAATTTCCCTTTGCTGTTGTCGTTGTAAAGCTATCATTTTGATTAAAAACTATGATGACTATATGGGCTTTCGAGCTTCCAAAAGTACTATTAATGTCAAGATATGTCTGCAGGACTTTGCTGCTGTTTGTATTGTCAAATACATGTTGGATCATTGTGAGCACAGTCTCGTCCGGTCGCAAAGCTCCCGGCCAAGGTTCCGGCCCCCTTCCCTTTGATATTAGCCCAACCTCAAGATAAACAAGCGAAGAAAGACTTGTTACGCCTGCTTCGACTATACTATACAGTCGTCTATCAATGTGAATTCCTAGTGCCTTGAGCATTTCCAGATCGTATAGGCCCACCCAACTTGGCACATAACTTAGTGAAAGTTGTTGGTTGCAGAGCCCGCATTGGCTTTACCCCGCCCTTGGCAAAAGTAAGGTCAAGCGGCAGTAGATGGGAGACCTTAACATCCACGATGCATTATTTGCGACCGTTTTTCCCTTACGCAAGCCAAGGTCCAACTGACTAGTGCAGTGCAGGCCCTCCAAGTAACGAAGAAGAGTACGAGCATGTGCATGTTTCATGGACCTTGTGTCCCACATTTAAGTGACTTCGCAATCTTGAAATGACCTTGACGTAATATTTTTTTTTTTTTTTTTTTTGAATAGAATCGCGGTACCACTCATATCGAGTGCTGCCAGAAGCTACATCCTTGCTTATTTAACCTGGCTATCCGTATCTTTAAAAGCTCCGACGGATGTTTCTTCGCTGTGGAGTGCGGCAAAGCTGTTTCTGGGCCCAGCTTGGAATGATCTTCTCCCAATCAGGTTCCATCGGAGACTTGGCCATACCTTCAGCGTGTAATCTGCATTATGCAGTTCCGCACTCTCAATGCCATGCCTGCAGTTGAACTCCACCCCGGCGGAGGGTATTCAGATCGCACAGAATCGCTACGTATCACACGATAAGAGCGCCGTGTGGCTTGATATGTAGGTAGATCAACTAAAATAGGGGCACATACGTACTCATCTGGTATATGGCCCTCCTTCGAAGGATCGACCTACTTGCAATCCACGGTGTGACTCGCAGTATCCTGAGTGTTCTTGTCTGTCCATCTGCAGCAGACTTAGCCACAAAAGTCAAAAACTACCTTTATTTGCATTATATCACCATATTTTTCGCTTCAAAATGCCTCAGATCATAGAGCTCGGCTGGATTCCTGTCAAGAATGATTACGAAGAAGCTCCAGCGACCAAGGCTATTAATGATCTAGAACCGAAGCTTATGGCAAATCCCGATATTCTGGGCTACTGGAAAGGCGTCCGGGGACACGGCGCTTTGGATAGTCGACCGATTAAAGGTTGTGATTTGGCCACTAGTAAGTAATTTTCCTGGTACGGCTTCAGGTCGCTCAAATTCGGCGCACCATCCCAATTCCTTGCGGCAAAACTATGACGGGGCTGACCGCATCTAGTATGGAAGTCATTGGAAGCTGCAAAAGCAGCTAAAGAATCTCCCGAGTTCAAAGAAGCAGCACAACTATGGGGACAAATTGTTGAAACCTCAAGCCACTACGGCCCGGTCCAACCGTGGGTTGACTACTTCCGCCTGGACGGCGACGATTTTGCCAAAGTGATTGGCGCTCAAGTCGTTCTTTTATCTGGATTTTATCTCCCAGTTGATGCCGATACAGACGCCTTTTATGACACCTGGAAACGCCTTACGCAAGCCACACCAAATGAACCTTCTGGTTATATTGCCGGCGTGCATGGCTGGTCTGTTGGCGATACCGATCACAAGGGAGAAGGCAAAAAGGTCTTCATGGTTGTGAGTGGCTGGGATAGCGCAGAGAGTATTAAGGCTACTGATGCCGTGGATAAGAGGAGCGAAATCGAGGAGGGCCTAAAGCATTTTAATATTCAGAAACATGAACACCTTTCTCATGGACTGACAAGGATAAAATAGCAGGACTTATAGAAAATAGGGTACTAGAACCTTTGTCCAATGAGTATGTCAGGCCAGCGCTATTTCCGAGCTACTTTGTACAAGGAACAACAGCAGACTACGAATTGTGTCGAGCCGCGGACAATAGAGGGATAAAATTTCATTAGCTCAGGGCATCTCCTTCTATCCTCACCTTGTGCTCACTTATATGTATGCATCAATCTGTGTTTTGCAAGATAGAAAATACGAAACGTTCATATTTCCGCTGAAATCGCGAGTGTCGTGGGTATATCATACATGAACTTCATCAACCTAGCCTAGCACCAGCCCAACTTATAGAGCCTTGTCGGTAGTTCCCTTCTTCACAAAGTCCTTGTTCGCATACTCCCTCTCTCCGCCAGTCGTGACGACCTTGTCCTTCGCCTGCCCCGTCGTGTCGCCCGCCATGGTGTCGACAGCGGAGTTGAACTTGCCTCTCAGCACCTCACCAACGCCCTGCGCCCGTTAGTGATTTGAGGCAACTCAGGGTGGTGTTTATCTTCAGTACTTACGTGGGTCTGCGCGAAAGCACCCTTGATCTGCTGCCCGATACCACCGCCTTTCGTCGTCGGCGCATCTCCACCGCCGACCGTGCCCGTATGACCGGTGTTAGCATGGGTTGCCGCGGCACCGGTAGCATTGGCTTCTCTTCCGATCGAGCTTCCGACTCCAGTTCCAGTCGTGCTGCTGAACTCGGGCTGGGCTCCCGTGGGCGCCGTCGTGCCGCGGTATCCGGCATCAGGGTTCGTGACGTCGCCACCCAGGCGGTGATGCTCTCTCATAGCTGAACCGGCGATGCCTTGTGAGGTGGCAGGGTTCGCATTGGGGTTCTCATACGTGTTGGGCGCGCGAGCGTTCTCGGCGTTGAGCGCGGCAGTGTTGGTGTTTGCGGCCATTCTTGGAAAATGTGCTTCTTTGGTGTGTGATTATAGCGAAGTGGATGTCAAAGGATTACTTCCAAAAGGTCTGCTTCACAAGAGGACGCTCGAAATATTTATGACGGGCTCAAACACCCATATCGTCACCAAGAATCTTGTTCATTGGGCCCAAACCTGATCTTATGATGCGCCAAGGGGTGACGTCACGATAGCGCAAAGTCGCCTTGCGAGGGTCGATCTGTGGATCGCTTGCCGCATTCCGAAGTGCTGGGTTGATGTCAGTTTCTTCTCGATGAATTATTTCCGAAGAGAAATTCTGATTTGTCTTTGGTCGTTCCCTTACGTATGTGCAGTTGTGGTTGGGTATGTTCCGGGAAGCTTGGTGATCTCCCGGACCCTTCCGGGCGACTTTCATCCGGATCCTTGCTATGCACATGCTTGACTCTGTAAGTTAACATTTGTAAAGAATATCGAGTGATTTTAACTTTGTTTATTAAATCTTTAACAAATTATGCCAATTAGGCGAATAACGAGTGTCCAAACTGTATCGCGCTACATAACTACTATCAATGATACACAAGAAAAAGCCACCAACGGAACCCTATGTCTCAACTTCGACCCTCACAAAATGGTCATATCAATCTCTCAGAAGAAGCCCAGAGCAACAACACCGGAAATCAGAAAGTAGATCCATCTTTCGACAGTCAAATTCGCTCCTGCTCCATAGTAGCACCCCCTCCCGTTGCAGCGTGTCCCTCCACCTCCCCATCCACCACCTCCTACGCTCCAGGCAGCGCTACCTCCCAATCCGTCACTGCCTGCTACACTCCAAGCAGCGCTGCACTCCCCTTTAAAATCGACCACCTCAGTCCTTCCCAAGGGTGTGCATAGCGTGTTCTGTGTGTCCTGGCTTCCGCTATCGCCGCTGCAGGACAGCGCACTGGTCCACTTCCCCCCCGAGCAGTGTTGGAACGTGTCTGAGAGACAGTTCCACTGGCCCTCGTAGCCGCTGCAGTCCGAGTCGGTGACCTGTCGGAGGCTGGATATGTCGAGCGTGGTGGCATTGATGGCTTCTTCGGTGAGTGCCTCCACGTCAGGGATGGGTTGAGGGTTCGGACGTGGCTCGGGGGCAGCAGTCGAGAGGTTGGTACAAAGGGCTAGGAAAAGGAGGGCTGCGATGACCCTTTGGCGTCCGATTGGCTTCTGTTGGGCATACATCTCGTGATCTGTTGTAGGTGCCGGCAGTGTTGATTCTTCAAGATCCCTTAACTGAGCTTTGAGTTGCCCAGTATGAGCAGGTTCTGAGGTGAGCTGGCCGAAGAGCTGAACGAGAGCAAGAAGTTTGTTGCGACTCAAACGCAGAAAGAAAGACTAGGCTCGAGAGCTGTCATAAACTGCTATATATCTCCCACCTCAGCTTTTGCAGCCGGCCGAAACGAGCTTGAACCGATGAGACTAGGCACATGGAATGACGGCGTTTGAGGCCATGTTCTGTCATGACCGTGCCCTGCCCTGCTGGAGCCGACGTTCGTTCCGGTTATTTCTCCCGATATTTCCCCTTCTATCCCTGTTTCTCTCGGCCCTGATTATGGATCATATGCTCTTGAAGGGATGTGTGAGCAGAGCATCCCCGTTTGGTGTGCTGTCAGCTGCTCGAAGCTGTCGTGGACGTGTAGCCTCATTATTGGATCGCGAGACTTAGCTTCCGCGCCGAGCGGAAATCCCAGCACGTTAACACATGTTATGGGTTCCAGTATGAACAAACTAATGAAGAAATCAAACTATGCTTTCTGCCTGCCGGGCTGGCTATAACTGGGATGTACCGCCAAACTACAACCTCTAGCGTGATATTTAGATCCTTCGGACAGAAAAAGAGTGCTTCCGGGTGTTAGACTGGGCGGGAATCGAGCACGGTCTTTCGGTACCCACGGACTGGCCTCGTCTATACTTGGTTTGTGAGAGTTTCACGGGTCGGAGTTCTGCAGAAACGCATCTGAAGAAACCGCAACAAACGACCCGAAATTCGAGGGTGTCGAGTTCATCATTTTGAGTTTGCCTCTGCTGATCCAAACATGAACGCACCCAAAGTGATTCGCGAACCGGTTCGCTCAACTGCTGATGCCGCTCCCTCAACAAGCGACTTCGCCAACTTCCTAGCTGCTTTAGCCTCCGCGCTACCAAAATCCCCCGCGAACCTATCACGCACCGAGCCTCTCCAGCTGAGGAACAGACTAGACAACGCATATATATGCATGTTGGAGGGTAAAATCCGAACGGTTTGCTTTGCTGTGGGGTTTTTTTTTTCGGGATATATACGAGACCAGTTTTCCCCGCCGTTCCCGTCATCCCGCATCTGCGGGTCTGGATAAGACTCACACGACAAGAGCATTGGCAATGACATCAAGCTTCATGATTTTCCAAGGTACCCTTCCCTACTACCTGTTCCCCAGCAGCACCAGATAGGGTCTTTCTCTCTCTCGTCGTGCCAAGAGCGAGTCGGATGATCGACATCAGCAATCGTTGGAGAATAACAGCAACCTCCCCTGCAGGCTGAGTTGTTCAAGGCCCCTTTCATCCCACGCACGCAGATCCGAGATCCACTCGCCACGGGCCTCTTACAAGCCGGGCATAGCCTTAAGTTTGGCCCTGTTTCCGACAAAAGCTCCAGTTTCATTGTACATGCTTCTATTATCATGTTCATGTGCATATCTGTATACCTACGCCGTCGGGGGTATCGGCGTCTTGGCGGCTGCCAGGTCCCTTTTTGTTCTGCCGGATCGGAGCCGAGAGAACAACAGACGCGAGTTGTCGTCGCCGAGGGGAAGTGTGACGAGGCTGACGCAGATGGACGGGGCGGCAACGGGGCCTCGAGGGAATTCATGTTTGTTGGCGGGGATATCGTTGCTGCTTCCGTGGCTCTTGTAGGGAGGATTGCCGGTGTTACGGCTGGGTTCCATACTGTATAGTTATTGACTGTGAAGTGAGTTTGATCTGCAAGTATCTTGAGTCGCTTGAAAGATGAGTCCGGCTTAAGTTGGCTGTGAACTCGCCTTAGTAAGTCGCCAACGAAAGATGCAGAGAAACGTGAACATGATAGTAAAGTCAACATTCTCGATGTTTATTTACAGTCTATGGGATTAAATATTAGAAACCCAGCAATGACAGCGCGTCCCAGCTCTTGGTCGGTGCAATTAATCTCCGTTACAGCACAATGCACCTTCGCCTCTAATAACCGTCATTTCTCGGGTCTCGTTAGTGGTATACGCCCATGAAAACCTGCACTCTTTTTTTCAGTTCTTCAAAAACAATATACGCCGTAGTGATATGCAAAACAAATTCAAGTGCCACGTTCAGTCATCCTAGACGCAGGTCATGTACGGACAACTAAAAACCAGCAGTAGCAGTGGTGGTCCATTGGGGGTATTTGCTGGTGGCCCAATGCCCATCATCGAAGTTCTTGGCGGATGTTGGGGAAGGAGAAGGAGAGCTGGCGATGCTGATGATGCTGGTGAGGAAGGTCGAGGATGGAAGAAGACTGCTTGTCTCTTGCGCCCAGGTGGTGGGTTGAGCGGTCTCGTACACCTGAGTGGGAGGCAGAACCTGGGTAGAGCTATCCACGATGCTCGCGCTGCTGGATGGGCTAGGCGTCCATGCAGGAGGTGTTGAGGAAGTTAGTGCCCAGGTAGACGAGGTTGAGTTGATAGACGGTGTAGGGGCAGGTGGCGGACTTTGCTCGGCAATAGATGTGACACCAACGGATGGCGGAACAATTGGAGTCTCTGTAAACCGAGGAGGCTCAACAGCAGGCTTGGAAGATGGAACTTGCGTTGCTGGGCCATCAACTGCGCTGGAAGCCCAAGTGCTTGGCTGAACGTATGTGGTCGAGGGAGATGAGACAGGAGGCTCAGTGTATGAAGAGGGCGCAGGGGACCAAGATGGCTCGATGGGTGAAGGAGGTAGGATGCTGGTACTGGGCTCTGCGACACTTGGCTGGGCAGAGGCTGTAGAAACCACTGAAGAGGGGAGAGGTACATAAGATGAGGTGAAGGTGGGCTCAGGAACACCAGACGAAGGGAGACTGTGTTGAGGTACGCTCGAAGAAGGCGATGCGGGCTGTGGAACACTGGATGACGGGGGAGCGGGTTGATAGGTGCTTGGCGAAGGGGATGGTGTTTTCTGAACTTCTGAAGAGGGCGGAGGAGCTTCTGACGACGAGTGAGGTGGCTGAGCGACGTCTGATGATGATACCACAGGCGGCTCTGGAACAACTGTAGTAGGCGGTGGAGCAGCAGGTGGCGCCGATGTCGTCGTCGGGGGTAAAGGCGTCGGCTCTGGTGCAGGTTTCTGTGTGGGAGTGACTGTGACGGTTATCCCGGCCTGAGTCTCATCGACATTGACGACGATGATGGAGGTGGCAGTGGTCGTCCGTATGGCAGACGACACCTGGGTAGAAATATCGCTAATACGTTCCGTCACAGTAACGTGAACCGGCTCTTTGGTGACAGTGACAACAGGGGGCTTCTCGGTGTTTGGGTTTCCCTCGACGTTGACAACTGAATATGACTTTGTCGGCTTCTCACGGGGATGCAGCAGGAAGTCGAGGACGGGAAAGGCATGTGCTGCTGTGGAGAGGGAGAGAAGCAGAGGTAGAGAGGCAGAACGATGCATGTTGACAAGATATCAAGATGCAACAGCAACTGCTGCTACTGCTACTGCTACTGCTACTGCTTCTGTACTGAGTTTGTTTGTTTGTCTGCTCGGATGCGATGATGCTTGGTGGATAGGTGCAGCTGAAGGACGGGAACAGACAGGCAGAACACGGACTGTGGATGCAGATGCAGATCGATCACGGTGGAGGACCTGGAAAACTGGAGTAGCAGATGGCATAAGAAGCAAACAAGGGAGTGGGAGCCATTGTAGTTTTACTGCGGTTGCACTAGCAAACGCAGATGGCTGGTCGGATATCAGGGGAAAAAGCTGGTGATGGAAATGGTGGTGGTTGGGAGCTCCAACTGCTAGTACATGTTGTTCCAAGGAGGTTTGGAGTGATCCAGGGGTGGTGGTGTAGAATCTAAAAGGCTTACTGGTTGGTCAGGGGCATGTTTTTGGGGGGGGCCTGTTTGGCGGGGGTGACCAGTGAAAGCACATGGCCAGGCTAGGATACTACGTAGTAAAAGGTGGGAAAGCGCCAGGTACAGGAGGGGCAGAAAACAGATTAGCGCTGGCTGGCTGGAAGTGGCCGGTCTTTTTTACTTGCTGGATCGGTTGGACCCCCCAAGACCCCCTAAGGCTGGGTGCAGATTGGCCAATGAGAGGCCAAGAAATGGGCCATCCACCAGCCACCACATTCTTCGTCACTGTTGAGTCTCGGCTGAAGAGGGCTTCCAGACCTTGGAAGAAGGCGGGTCGATGGCCCCTGATCTAAGAGAGGACTTGAATATAAAAAATAAAATAAAAAGAGGCGAATTTTACAGTCGAGAAATAGAACGACGAGTGATTGGTGACGTTGGATGCATTTGAGCTGGAGGCATACCAAGTGAGTCTGGCCTGATTATTACAGAGAATACATACTCCGTATTATCTGGTGCTATGCTGAAGGAAGAGCACCTAAGTCGGCTGATGACATAATGACTTGATTATATAATACCAAACGGTCAGGCCGATGGTTCAACTCGGCAATCATCCAGTCAGATAGCAGATACCGACTGAGTAATAGTGGCGGTGCGCCCCATAGCTCGTTCATCATAACGTGACTCTGCACCGCCACTTTCAGGCTGGAGCTAGCCCCTGCACTGCATTCCAATTTCCACTATTTCCGAGGCAAATCTCTTGTGTTTATTTCCGCTAATGTCTGGCAGGTGCAGGTTCAGGTTCCGCCCTTCCTGCATCAAAGACGTGCATGTGCAGCTATGGAGCTCTGACCAAGCTTGTGTCAAAACTCATATACGCATCCTTCTTCCTTACACTACGCATTTCGAGTATCCGTGTCCGTATTCACAAAATACAAATCTCTCAAACTCTGGCGCGCATCATCGGTCATAACGAATCGCTCTCCAGATATCCTCAACCCGTCTCCATACCCGCCAAATTGCGTTAGCAAATCATAATACATCGCATCCCACCATGACCGCGACACAAATCTGGCTGTGTGCAGCATCTCCCCGCCAGGTTACGCATCTCTGTGGCGCATCAGCAGCCTGACAGGGTTCGTGGCGCGAGCAATAACGACGTTTTGGGACATCTGTGGAGCAGCTCATGGCGCCTAGAGCTTTGTCTTTCCATGACGTTACCCTTTTGTAGGGTCTTTTCACCAGTTTTCCAGGCGCGTGCCCACTAAGCCACCACTGCCCGCCCAGACGGCTCATCATCAGCCCGATGATACTGCCTGGCCGAAGCTTACCTACCGCCATTATGGACCAGCTCCTTCAGTGTGTCCTCATCCTCATGAGACATCCCTACTCGTTGCGGTCGGACCAGCAGGCGGAGCCGGAGGAGTAAACAATATGGTACCGCGCTTGCACTTGTCGCCCAACTCTCCCCCCAACACGCAATTATTCGCCCTCACAGCCACGCCGCCGAGACCTTCCGCCCATCCACTTGTATCCCGCAGACGGACATTCCGCGTCTTTTTATTTAAATAAGCTGCCTAGTCTCTCCCAAGACTTGTCCGAGCCGTTTTCCGACTCCTTTCGCATCTCATCCTCTGCATAAAACTGCCCACAACAACAGCACCTGGTGCCCCGCAGTCATCGCTACCCCGCTTCCGTGACGCAACTCTCAGCTCCCAAGCTGCCGTTTTTCCCGATATTGCTATTCCACATCGTGTGAACTCTCGGCGTGTCGCATTCAAGAATACTCATGTCATATCCAGGCCATCAGGGCTACGGCGCTCGTAAGTCGCATTCCCCTGTCTGTTGTCTCCAGTAATCTCCTAACCAAACCAGAGCCGCATGGCCAGGGCTACGGCCAATACCCTCCTCCTCCTCAAGGAGGCTACGGAGGCTCGCCTTACCCGCCACAGGGCGGCCAGTATCCTCCTCCCGGTCAATACCCGCCGCCGCAGCAAGGTGGCTACTATCAACAGCCGCTGCCCGGCCAGTATCCTCCCCAGGGAGGTCAATATCCTCCTCAAGGTCCGCCCCCGGGCCAGTATCCTCCGCCCGGCGGATACCCACCTCAAGGCGGATACGGCGCGCCTCCGCCAATTCCGCCCTCTCCCTACGGCGGACACTCGCCCGCCCCCGGAGCTTATGGCGCGCCCCCCGGTCCCCCTCCCCAGCAGTATGGCGCACCTCCTCCCCAACACTACGGACCTCCCACGCCCCCATCTCTGGGCTACGGCCCGCCACAGATTATCCAGTGGGATGGTGCACCCGATGCCGCGACCGCCCGTAGTGCGATGAAGGGTCTCGGCACCGACGAGAAGACGCTCATCCGCTGTCTCGCCACCAAAGACCCACTTCAGATTGAGACGATCAAGGCGGCTTACAACAGAAACTTCAAGCGTGATTTAGAGCAGGACATCAAGAAGGAGACGAGCGGCTGGTTCGGACAGGGAATGGTCTCTGTCGCGCGTGGCCCCCTCCGTTCCGATATTTACAATCTGTTTGACGCCATGGACGGGCTCGGCACGAAGGAGAGCGTGCTCAACGACGTCCTTCTCGGACGATCCAACGCCGATCTACAGGCTATCAAGAGCGCATACCAGCAGACATTCAAGCGCCGTCTGGAAGACGATGTCAAGGGCGATCTCAGCCTGAAGACGGAGAGGCATTTCCTCATCGTTCTCGGCGCCAACAGAGCCGAGGATTCAGCGCCGGTAATTCCCCAGCAGATCGACAACGATGTCATGGAGTTATACAAGGCTACAGAGGGCAAGGTCGGCACAGACGAAATGCTCGTCTGCAGTATTCTTAGCACTCGCAATGACAACCAGATCCGCGCTATTAATCAGGCATACGAGCAAAAGTTCAGGAGGAGACTGGAGGACGTTATCAAGAAGGTAAGCAAGATCCGCCATCCCCATACCAGCACGTATGGCCAGCTGATACTAACTAGCCACAGGAATTCTCGGGTCACATGGAAGATGCTCTTCTGTTCCAACTTCGCAACGCCGTTGACAAGTACATGCATGCTGCCAAGCTCCTCGAGGACTCTATGGCTGGCCTCGGCACCAAGGACCACCTACTTGTCACCCGCGTCATCCGCTACCACTGGGACAAGAACTTCCTCGCCAACGTTAAGGGCGCATACCAGGCCAAGTACAACCGCAGCCTGGCGAGCCGGATTAAGGGCGAGACGAGCCGTGACTACCAGAGGTTGATGCTGGCGTGTATTGGCGAGCAAATCTGAGTGTTTAATGCGCAAGGACTGGTTACGGAATGGAGAATACCCCGGGATAGGATGGACGACGTCTCATGGCAGGGCTGGGACACGTTTGGATGGGATAAAAGAGCGGGCCAGGGAGGCCGTTTTGACGAATGAGCTCACGACTCACAAGACACTTGGGTATAGCCAGTGCGTTTACCAATAGTTTCTTTATTATAATGATATTCCTAGGCTTTGTCCACTATTAACTCTTTCTTTATGAAACTGCACGTGCACAATTCTAGGGTTAATAAAGCATTTGACTAATGTAATATATTTGTAGGGTGAATAATTTCATGAGCGTTTCTCTCATCATTTTACATGCAAAACTTGAAAAAATTAAGTAAAGTGGTTGAAAATACTCACTGCTCAAGCTGCCCCATTCAGTGGATGAGAAAGTCAGAGTCGCCTTTCCATTGGGTGCATTTCCGGCCTGCCGCAGACACACTGACACACAAAGACCCACAAAGCACCACTAGAGCCAATAGACTCAAGGCTTGCGCTATAAATGCTTTTGCCTTTGAGCCTAAGGCTATAATTATAACTTAATTTGTAAGGCTTCTTATAGCAGACCCGCTATTTTCTTATAATTACTGACTAGCGTGGCAGATTTTACTTTGTTACTTAAGAAGTAACCCCCTTGCCCTTCGTCCTTGGGACCCCTTTTGGTGGCGCATTCCTTATCGACAACGCGCCCACTTAACGCGGCGAGCTTGTCACCATAGCGAACAAAGGTACATCGCGAAATCGAACAACGTTGAGAATCGCGTCTATCCTGCCTGTTGACGCGTCAAATCGTGTGAAGCTGGTTGAGGTATCAGTCAGAATAGCTCGTTGCAACGGTTCCCTGCAACGAGGTTTGGCTCGTTTGCTCCTTCCTGGAATCAACGTCACAGGCAGTCACGTGGCTACCCTCAGACTCGCACTTCACTAACTTCATCAACGGCAAAAGATCACATCTCACCTCGGAGAGGCCGGGTACTACTGTCCCGTTCAGCTTGAGCAATGGCACAGAATATTCAGCTTCCGCCGTTTCGTCCGGCTCATCCTTCTCAACAGCAGTTCCACTCTTTTGACCCCAGAAATGCTGCATCGCAAGGTCCTGCAAATCACTTGAACACAGCAGGACATCCCTATGGAGAGTCTCGACCGCTGCCGCCTTTACAAAATCACTCACACTCAAAACATTCAGGTGCCACGCTGCCGTCCATGTCTAAGCAAGCTCCCATTCCTCGGCCGGTAGTACCGGGGCAGCCAGTCAACCATGAACATGCACCGGCCGAAAACCTTCCGGCTGTTGCCTCCGACATCGTATCAGCAAACCGGTCATCCGGATCACCTATGGAAGGTACGAACGGGACTTCTGGAGGCAAATCTGAGGACTCTGCCCAGTCCCGTAGGTTTGCGGATGACTATACCAAAGTCTGCGCGCTCATCAATGAGAGCGACCCTGATGCGATCAGACGCGCTATCCGAGACAACTTTGAGAAATGTCTTTTGGGTTCTCAGTATCACATGATATTCATGGTCCGTATTTGATCCTCCTTCGACGATCGGTCCCTTGCCTTGATCCCACTCTAGACTGATTGCTAACTGTCGGACAGCTGACCATTGGTCTGCATAGAGCAGACGAAGGTGTCTTGCAAAGACTGGTCCGGGATTTCGGCCAACGGCTAGTGTCTATAGGCAAGCGGGAACTTATCGACTGGATGAACCAAGCCGACTTGGACGAAATGGCGGAGAGGATTCTCGCCAAGGCCAGTAATGCCTTCCTCGACAAGGCACTGGTTACCCGCCTGCAAACGATCGAAGCTCGGCGCCTCGTTAACGCCCTGGCCCGGGCAGAACGGCTAGGATACGATACTGATGACATCGTCGAGAGCGACGAGTATGTCATCCCTACGGCTCCTGGCAGCGCCTCAGCAACGCCCCCAATTCCTTCTACGCATTTTGTGACGGCGACAGCGCATCAACAAGCCGCGCCTCATTCTCATCCTTCACCTTCTGTATCAGGACAGGTCGGAGACCTCCAGAACCCCCAATGTACCTTTTGTCACCGCATCTTCGGGGCGGCATCTGCATGGGGCCATGTATGTTCTTCTTCCCTTCTCCGAGACTCATTTCTTGCCCAAGACATGTTTGCTAACTCTTCGCAGCACTTGAAGCAGAAGGTCTGCTTAAAGCCGCCTGCTACGATTGGCAACAGCGAACAGATCCTTGCTTGCCCTCATTGTGGACAGTCTTTTGGGGGTGTGGCTGGCATACAATACCACATGCTGAGCAAGGTCTGTGGTGACTTTGGCGAAATCACCAAGGAGATGGTCGCGGCTGTCAAGCCGATGCCCAGGACAGCCTGGAGGGCTGGCTCGGTAAACGAGCTTAATCGCCCAACCAAGCGTTCCGCGCCCGATAGCACTCCCGTATATATCTCCTCTAGCAACAATAGCCCCGCTCCTCGCGAGATGCCATCTTCGATGCTGCAAACGCCCAAGGCTGTTCCGTCAAGCATGAACACTGCAAGAAGCGAAGATCTTCCCCTTGGCACTCCACGACCCAAAGATATGAGCCACCTTACTGCACACCAAATCGAGTCTTTGATGGGAGACCTCCGAAGAGCAGAGGAGGACTTCAAGGCAAAGATTGATAAAGCGCAGGCAAGTGGCGAAAGCGAGGATAAAATTGCAAAGAGGCTCACGAGCCTGCGCAACTCTTATGCATGCAAACAGAGCACTATCCGCAAGAAGTACGGCATCAAGCTGCGGGAGCGACGTGGCCGGGCCGAGATGGATGCGGAGCGTGAGCGAATGGGCTACGGCGCCGTTGCCCGTCAGGAAACCCAGGGATCTGAGGACAAGCATGCCGACAAACGCGCCCGTGTCAACGATGCTGGAGACGCAACCACCACCAAGACGCAAGGCACGCCACTCAAGCAGGTTGCTGTTGCTGATATCGGTAGCGGCTTGACGGGATCGAATGCAACTGCCGCTACAGAAGATCCTACAGCAAGCACGTCACAGGCTCCACGGGCGTCGCAAGACGAGACTTCTCGCCGGCCCTCGTCCTCTTACCAACAGGGAAACCATCGCGTGGAGATACACGTGCCTAGCCCAACAAAGAGGAGGTTTGTTTCGGCGGCTGCGGACGGCACGCCGATATCGAATTTGCCGCCGTCGAAGTCGCCGCCCAAGGTGTCGTCGGGTGGGACCATGACGGCCGATGAGTTGTTGCGACAAATAAGGGGCGGTAATACCGATTCGTCAGAGTCCGACTCGGATTCGGACTCGAGCTCCGATGACGACGGGGACGGCAAAGGTCAAGAATAGAACTCTGATTCGGCCTTGGACTCGGATCCGGAGTCGAAGACGGCTGAAGACGACTAGGGGCGTGACAATTTATCATCATCATGGCGTTTCATTTCATATGTTTACGGATACCGTGGACTGGAGTTTTTTTTTTTTTTCACAGCATGGGTTTACTGGGGGTTGGCGTTTTGGGCCGTGGGCTACGGGATACCCGTTTCTTTCTCAATTTAGAGGGGTACATTTCCATCAGGAGAGCATTAGATCAGTTTCCTCCAGCATTGCATTTGTTTTTCTTTTTCTTTCCTTTCTTCCCCCAGGCACGTCCATGACGGCCTGCAAGTTGGTCGATAGCTTAGACAGACGAATTGAAGGGCGCCATGCGCCATGCACATCACGTATGATCGTCGGCGGTGCATTGCATGACGGGTGCATGAGTTTCCGAGTTGTCATTCCGAGACGGAGGTCCATTGTCCGAAATAACGGGGGGTCATGTATGTATGCATGCTGCTCCCGTGGACACATCAACTGAGGGACGGAATATGTCGACGCGTACGATGCAGAGGGTTATATTATTATTATCATTATTATTTGTAAACTGAGTGCAAATCATCCTTCTTACGGTGTCAAAATGGACGGAAGTTGACGCAGACTGGGCGCGGGAGGACGAGATCCCAGTGTCTAGTTTGGCGGTGCGATCAGACTTGTAAGTGGTTTCAGCGTCAGTTGGCTCTTACTGGGCGCTGCTCTTGGGGGGCGGGGGGGGAACTATATAGTAGACAGAAAGGTGCCAATTTGGTATATATGTATGTATATATATATATATATAGGCAGGTGACAGTGGCGCATGGCGCGAACAGACAGGACGAGAGACTAAGGTGAAGGTGAAGGTGATTATCTCAGTGTACGAGGCATGACGGCCGGTGAGAGGGAATGGTTTGAAAATGTGTGAGTTGGGTGTAGACGGAGAGAAGATGGTGACCACAGCACAGCAGTTCACAATTTCAATGGCGATCCCCCGCAGTATTTACTCCTCGTCGCTGAAGGGGAGAACCTGGCCGGGAGAATTTGAGATGAGCGGAGGTCGGATCCTGTCAAGTTTGTCCTGGGAGGGGGTGGGCTTGAAGTGATGCCTGCAGAGGAAGCCCCTGACGGATGGTGAGCCGTGCGACGGTGAGGTTGTCCATAAGACACGTTCCCTGAGATGAAGGCCGTCAGGTCGAAAGGTTAAAAAGGGGTCCAAGAGCTAGAGCAAGAGAGTACGGAGTACGTACATGGTAGCCTGTTGGTGTAAGTAGGCGGGCCAGAAAGAAAGTGTATTGAAAAGAAAGGGAAGGAAAAAAAAAAAAAAAATGGCGCTGAAGGGGGCATTCAATGTGAAACGCAGGAACGGTCCCTGATTATTTACGGCGATTGGCGGCGGTTGCTTTGGGGGCGGTCGGTCGGCGTCGGCGTGGGGGAAGGGTGTTCTTGGATTGATGAACAGGGGGATGGACTTTAATTAGTGGGTGCGACGCTGGAGTTTGAGAAACGGTGAAACTTGTTCCTGTGAAGCTTCACTCATTCGTTCCCTCCATAGCCAGTGAATCGCGCAAGTAACGGATTTTCTATATTTTCATAATCTAAAGATGGACATGGGGTCATCTCACAAAGTATTAAACGCAGCCGTTATCGTTCGTTGAAAGGGAAACAAACGTCAAGCCGCATCTTATTCTTCAGTGATGTGGAATTGGCTAAGGGGGTGAGTGAGATGAGGGCTAAATCGACTGGATGAGAGCGTAAGCGCAAAATACTCTCCACCCCCCTAGCATCGTGCCGCCGGCGCGGCGTACCCAATGAAGCGGCGGTGGAGCGGCGTCACGTCCGGCAGGACGGGAGATTTGCGATGGTTACCATGGCTCTGCGGTGCGCGGTCTGGGCGCCGTTGCTGGTTCATCTCTCTCGCATTCTCTTAGCTGAGCTGTGATTGTGACTGCTGCTACTCTGTGATGTACTACCGATGGGTACGGTCCAGGATTGGATTGGAAGTTTCGTCCTCTCTTGTTCTGTTTCCCTCTGTCGCTTTCGGGGAATACTGGATGCCAAGATGAACGAGGGGGCCATCTGTGAGCAGTCGAGGCCTGTCAAGCGAGGCGCCGCCGTCGTCTGATGCTGAGACTCGCCTCTCGTTTTCTCTCTCTTCCTCTCTGGGGGCGGCAGCGGCGGCGGACGGACCCTTTTTTCCACCCTCGTGCGGCGGCAGTCTGGTGTCTCGCTCGGTTGTACAAATGTCTGGCATCAGTTGCAGCTGCTGCGACAGCTCATGTAGGTGTAAAGGTTGAGCTAGCCAGTTAATGCATAGCTAGGTGGGAGTTTGGAGTAGCTTGACGCAGTGGCAGCGGTCGAACGAACGAATCCCTCCCCCTCACTTTCAAACTAACCTGCCGGCGGTAAATGTGTTGATCGGTGGATATTGCATGTTAATAAGTCTATGGTGTTTGCCGTGCAGTCTGAGCTCCCGGGTTTTGTTTCTTTTTTGTCTTTTTCCCCTTTCTACTTTCTTTCGTCCTTCTCGTCGAGTCGTACGTCGTCGTCCATCCTTTTTTGTTCTGTCTTACCTGACATTTTCCATCGAGGAGCAAGTCCTCTTCGTTCTCGTTCCTTTTGTTCTTCTGTGTTTGCGGTCTACATTTGACCGAGTAATCTCATAGCCAGCCAGCCTGAGCTTCAAACATCTCTCATCTCCATCTCACGCCTATCATCTCCAAGCACGAAACAAGCGACACGTGACGTTTTCTACAACCGAGAACCAGGACGCGTCCAGTCTCTTCCCATTGTCAATATAGAGCCAGTCTCATATTGTGTCTTGTTAGCACCCTTGTATCGAAAGCACCCGTAACCCTGCCTCTAGCGAATTCGAACACGGCCAGGACGGCGAGAGGGCACTTATTGGCGTCCTCGAGTAATACCATACTTAAAACTACAACTCTTGCAGGGCTGGAAAACCAAGGGTCTCCCCATACTCGAAAGACTCAAGACCCATTGAAGAAGACGCCAGAATTTGACAGCGTCGAAACGAGCCCCGGACAAAGGAGCCAGAGCAATTCATGCGAGCGGAGTCAGCAGCCGAGCCAGACACCCCCAAAAAAAAACCACAGCGATTAAGCATATCCAGGCAGATCCTCCCCGGGAGCAGATCCGAAACATCAGGCCGGAGGCGTAAAAGCGTGACGGGGCAGGTCAACTGTCAGAGGAGAAGACGGGACGAGCAGACGACGGGCTGTCATTCGATTGCGGTGCCGTGGCCCGGGTGTCCAACTTGTCAGAGCAACAGCTGAGGGGAAGATTTGGTATTTAAGCACCAGTCATCCGGCTCGCGTGGTTGTTTGGAGAGGTCTCGGAAGCTTTAAAGTGAGGTTTTACCCTCATTCTCGAGTCTTTCGCGGTCACCACCTAGAGGAAAAAGTGAAGGGATTGTGAGAGCGTGTGAGCGTGTGTCACTTCGCATTCACAGCACATTTCACACCCTGGTCAATTACATCGTAATAGAGGGGTCACACTGCTCATCACCAGCTCATCCATCACCTCATACTACGAATCGCAACAGACAAGCAAACCCCCTGGAAGCCAACGAAATTAAGAGGTGGTTTTAGCGAAGCGACCCGAACAAATCGTCTGCGTGATCGACCCCTCGCTAAACAGCCCAAATGTGGGACCGATACCCAGCGAGGCCAGTGGCCGTTGGCGCTACTGGCCCAGGTCGTAGTGGAGGCTCGGCGACGACGGGAGCGGGGCAAACCGCTATAACGGGCCTGCAATTAGTAGAAGGAGCTACGATGGGTCCGGGGCAGGATAAGAACAGCAGCAGTGGCAGCAGCAGCAACCACCATAATAACCACGGTACGCGGCGGTCGCCTCAAAAGAAGTTGACGCCGCCTCCACAGCTCCACGAGAGAGTTTTCCTCAAAGGCCAACCGCCGCTTCAACCGCGTTTGCAGTCGTTGGGAGTTAATTCGACCTTAATTTCAACATCCCAGAAACAGCAACAACAGCAACAACAGCAACGCGACCAACAGCATCCCCAACAGCTTCGATTGCATCTGCGAGGCGGCCCGGCACAGGCTGAAAGTCAGCAACACCACCACCAACAGCAGCAGTCGACGAGAGGAGCATCTGCGAGGAATTTCCCCTACACCAACTCTAGCCGCGATCCGGCTCTCAGCTCGACGAGTACTTTGCACCACCAGAATTACTGGCCTGACGATTTCCGTAACCCCCGCGGCGGGCTCGGTATCGACCATAATCTTCCATCGCCGAAATCAACCAAGAACGAGGTTAAACGCGGCGTTGTTAAACGGTCGAACGTTGTTCCTTCTGAAGAGTAAGTTGTTTATGTGTTTGTGACTCTGAGGAGACTTGAGAGGAAGAAATGGGCGAGAGAAAGAAAGAAAGAGAAAAGGCGATGATGAGAAGAAACGACAACCTGGCAAAACCATGCGGCGACGAATGACAACACACAAAAGCAAGGAAGGGGCAACGAACACTCTCACTCCTGCCGTTGGGCATGAATGGTTACTTCTTGCTGGTTTGCACCTTCCTGCAAAAGCTTCCCCCCTTCTGGGTGGGATCAAGCTCAAGCTCAAGCTTAAACTATAACTGCTGCCTTCACAACACCAAACCAACCCATTTCAACGCCATCGTCGCTTTCTGCTCCGTCGCCGACTCGAGATTCAAAAGAATCATTCCTGCCCAACCCTTCGATGGCTACGGCTACATCATCGTCGCGCCTTCTTCTCATTTATCTTGACTTTTCTCGAAACCTCGACCTCATCTCCTCCTCTTCTTTCTCTGCCAACCTACAATCTCTTCAAGCAGCCGTAGCTAACAATCCTCCTTCTCGCAGCGCCTTCGACCATCTCCTCCCCCCTCCAAGTCTTGCCCGCATAGACAACGACAGCAACGCCTCTCACGATACTGGCGGTAACTGGCGCCCTGCTTCCTCCATCTACTCGTTTAACCACGACACCTACTCCTCCCCCGTTTCTCCAGTCTCCCCGGTTTCCCCCAACTTCGCCAACGTGGCTTCCCGAAATACTTACAGCTCCGCCGTGGCGGATATCTCTCCTCCGAGCTCTCCAGATTTGGACACTCGTCGAGATGGGTAAGCCAACCTTGCCGACACACAGACCTGAATCTCTTGACTTGGGCTTCGTTTTTCCCCCACGTGGTTGTGGTGTTGTCTACTCTTTTTTTTTTTCCCCCTTCTTGGATAGTGAATCAGTGTCGGACCAGGGCTGACCATGTGTCTCTTCTCCAGGAACCCCACGCAGGGCCGCAATGTCTCGCCCATAGAGGAATCTCCAAATCTCTCACAGCTCAGTCTTGAAAATCAGCACTCGAGCCACCAAGAAGATACGCCACCTCACGCGAGAAGCAATATCCCAATGATGCGTCGTGAGCGCAGGAAAAACCAGGATGCTGCAGCAGCTCACACGCTCCGGGAAACAAAGTCCCAGCAACGCCTACGCATTCAGCAGGAGACGAGGTGGGATGACATGACAGGCGAACCCACGTCACTTAACACGGGCCGTGCGGGCCAGGTCAAACCACAAGAATACGCCCAGGGACTCGGTCATTCCCAGCCCTTTGGCAAGTCGCCCGCGGCCCTGAAGGCCATGCAGAATGCACCACAAGCACAGCAGAATTTTGGTGACCGTCTGCGCAGGTTACGGCCCGTCGGTGGAAGTCCCAAGCAGCAGAATCAAGGCCAGGACTCTGCCACTGCACCGGACGCTATAGATGAGCGTCCGCCTTGGCGTGGCGCCAGCGGACGATCTGCAATAGTCAACCCAGTCCGTGACACGGCCCCTAAAGAGCCTCTCAGCATACCTCGGAGGAGCAGCAGGCGCATCGCTGTTGGGCCGCGGCTGCCCATCGCCGGCATTTCTTCACCATTGTCCCCTGTCAGCCCGTCCGAATCTGAAACGTCGCCGCGAGCCAAGGCACCCACCATCAGAACTGTGCTCAACGCTCCCCGCCAACTGATCGCTTCACCTTCTCCCTCCCCCTCTCCTTCGCCCTCTCCCACTCCCACTCCCACCGTCGCTCGTACTCCTCCCCCCGCTCAGTCCTCCTATCCCAGCCCACCAAACTCGGGTGCCAGTGCTGGTGTGCAATCGCCCGTATATGCGACGCCCGAATCCACTGACGCTGCGTCTGTCACGACCCGACAGCCTGCATCCCTGCCGGGCTTGCCCGCTGCCCCTAATGCAAATCTCGGCCGCGATAAGCCCATTCGGCGCAAACCTCCTCCTGCCAACTCGAAAGCCCTCCACGCCCCTCAGCCATCCTACTCTTCGAGCGTTTACTCTCAAGCTACAGCTCACGGCAACGAACAGTCGCAACCTCGAACTTTCAACCCGCAGGGTGAAGATCTCAGTGCCAACGACCCCTGGGTCCAGCCAGCGTCTCGCTTTAGCGTCACTACCTACGCCACATCCGCTCCTGACACCCCTCGCGAATCGACAGAGACTGAGCGCCCACCAGTTCCCGCGCTCCCAACGCCGCCTAAGAAGGACGGTGTGATGAATCGAAAGCGTCCTCCTGTCCTTGGTCACACAAGTCCTGCAGTCAACGCCAACGAGCCCTTTGTCATTTCCATGTCCTCGCCGTACCTGACGAGCACTTTCGCCAAAGAGACTTCCCCGACGACACAAGCACGAGCGGAACTTCCCAGCCAGAAGCAGCTGACGCCCAGAGCCAGCACACCTAGTATGTTCAGCTCTACGTCCAGCCGCCCAGACTCTGTCTGGTCCACCAGCAAAGCCCTGCCGCCGCCACCGACCGAGACCTCCATGGCCAATGATCGCGTTGGCTACCTGAATGCGCGCCTCGAGTCGCTTGGCAATCGCCGGATCAACATCAACCAGGCCATCAAGCAGATGACGGAACTCATGCCCACCGACAGCATTCTTGCCAGTGAGGCTGTCCTCCGAAAGCGCGAGGCCGAAAAGCGCAAGGTTGAAGCGCTCAAAACCGAGCTTGCAGAGGTGCAACGTGAAGAGTACGAGATTGGCCTCAAGCTTCATCGCGCATACAAGAGATTGGACCGTAACGCAGAGTACGAGCCCACGACGTTGTGGGTGAGGAGGGTTACTGGCTGATCCAGCCCGAAATTATGCGTGTTCTGCCGGCAGTGAGATAGTTTGGGGTCCGGTCCACATAATGGCAGTTCGGACGGAGGAGACCCGTTGTGGTTCGGGATGCGAAAACAGAGACGGAGGCGTTTCAGAGGAGTTTACGCTGGTGAAGGCCAGCCTTTTTTTTTTTCGTTTGAGCCCGGAGTTTATGGCCCCTGCCCTTGGCTTTCATTTTCGCGGAGGTTGAATTGAACAATGGAGGTGAATGGGGGTTGCTTGGTGCCCTTTCCTTCTGGAGGGGTTGTTTCTATTCCTGTTGTGTTTGATACCTATTCTCTTTATTGTAACTCTTATTGAAAACCTGTAGAACAGAATTCTAGAAGATGTGTGGTCCCTCAGACTTTGTCCAATTGGTTGCGTATTGTTGTGAAACCGTGACATTCGGATGCGTTTTCCGCACAAGCCGTGAAGAATATTCCGGGGTCCAGCGGTTTTAAAGTTGTTGTTTCCATATGTTGAGGATAGCCGGTCCTGGTTCCAGAGCGTCAAGGTTGGAGGTGATGGGAGTCGTGGTAGGACTAAGACGAAGCGCAGACTCATATTTGTGCTTGAGCTGGACTTGTTGAATAGGGATTTTGAACAAAGTCGTACTGGCCGGTGAGACTTCCATATTTTTACAAGGATGGAATGATTGGCCTGTAAGCAGCTTACGGCGTTACAAAAGCGTTTGTGCAGTATACTCAATAGCTATCTCAACTGGCTGGATACAAGACTTCGGATCATAGTTGCAACGTGACTTCACAGTCCTTAAGGTAGGCACACAACAGACTTCTACCAACTAGATCACTACACAGAACCCTCGGTGAAGACCGCCTTGCCTCTCTGTACTCCACGGCTTGGGCAACCTGCCGTTATCTCTTGCTTTCTTCCTAATCTCCATCATCCCATCGCTCATTTGGCATCGAGGTTATGTTCTTCCTAGACGGCGGCAAATCTGACACGTACCGCTAGGTAAGGGGTTGTTAACAGTTGGTAAGAAGGTGGCACCATGGCATCTGAGGTTACAGCCGCTCTTACAAATCATCATGTCGCACTTAATGAAGATCGAGCTAATAGGGTTTATATCCGACAACGAAACGGACTCTTCCGAGTATGCTAGGGTGCCGGGTAGTAACGGACTAGCGGTCCGTAGCGAGACTAGCGACGGAACACGGACGACTGAGATGCTTGTCAGAGGGGCTTGAAATATTCCATCTAATGTGGTTGAATGACTTGTTCTGTTCTTCGTGAATGTCGTTGTCAGTTTTATTTGAGTTGTGACTTCATCGAATGCGAAGAGCACAGTTTATGATGTCATTGCCTCAGTAACCAGTGTCTCCCTGAAAAGAAATCTTTTATGAGACATTGTGATACGTCTTTTCAAGGTGAGAACTGCTGGATAACATTGAATGCCCTTCTGTTTGTAGGTTCAAGTTTCAAGAATGCAGTGTTTTTCAAACACGAGTAGATTTCGTGGATTCAATTTGCCCCTATCTAACTCTATACTTACTAATGACACTCAGTGTCTGGCATCTGTAGGTGGAGGGCAAGCGGCACTATTGGGCAAAACATTCGTCGCGCCTGATCCATCAAAGTAGCAGGTGCCCAAATCGTTCTGGCAAGGAGAATCCGGACCCGGGCAACACCATCCATAAGACTTCCAGTCAAAATTCTGTATCAACTGATTAGCCTTTCAGTCAAGTGATGGGAAATGATAGTGACTCACGTAGCAGGGAACAGGAGGTGCGGCACTGCTTGTAGGGACAGCAGTTTCGGTAACCTCGGTTGTTTCCACGATGGTTGTCGGCTCAGCAGTAATAATAATCATAGGTGAGGAGGTGGTGTCTACTGCAGCGGCTGTGCTTGATGGTTCTTGGCTGGAAGAAGGAGTAACTGATGTTGATGGAGCGCTGGATGGAGCATTCGGGGGTGTACTTGATGGGACATTTGAGCTGGTTGTCGTCGTGTCATCAGCTCCGCCAGCTCCTCCACCGGCTCCTCCTCCACCCACAGGAGGGACGATGGGTACACCGCCAACAACCGGCACAGCGATAGGGATAACAGGGACATACTGATTTCCGTTGGCGTCAGTTGTTGGCGGTGCTGTGGAATATGTCGTTGAGTACGAAACTCCCGATGAAAATGTCATCGAAAAGCTTTCAGATGCGACGGAGGTCTGAGTAAACCTGCTTAAGGTTTTGGTGCTGCTCCGTGTCTGTTCTGTATGTGAAGGAACTGAACTTGTAACGGAACCTGAAAGCGTGTTGCTCGATGAAGGCTGTAACGAACTGCTTGCCGAGGGAGTTGCTGAGCTACTTGGTAGCGAAGAACTTGCCGTTGATGAAGACCGTGATGAAGAAAATGCGCTGGAACTGAAAGTAGAACTGTGGCGGGTTGAGGATGCGATGCTCGATGTGGGCTGTGAAGATGAAGTTTGCGAACTAGTGGACCCGGACGATGACCTTGTACTGGTATTTGAAGATGTGACGCGACTAGTTGAGGACTTGCTTGAGGTCCGTCTCTTGGTTGATGTCCTCGAACTCGTGGATGTTGAGGTCGATGTTCTAGTCTTGTTCCGGTGGCTCGTCGTGTTGGTGAGTACATACGTAGTGAAAGTGGTGGGTAGTCCCGTGGTGTTCAAAATTGGTGGTGGAGTAATTACAGGCGTCACAGATTCAATTTGCTGCCGCTTTATTATCTTCTCATAGCCCAGTGTAGAGTGCTTCTGTGTCTTGGCCTTCTGAGGGTGGTGGTGTCTCGCAGCGTGACCGTCATGGCGAGCCCCATGGGTTACTCCTATGGCCAAAATGAGGGAGGCCAAAAGGGTTGATGGTTGCATCTTGATAAAATGATGGTGAGTTTGAGTAAACGAGCGACAAATTCACGAATGAAAGAAAGGCTAAGGTCATTGTCTTGACAAGACGAGCCAAAGCACACAGACTCTATGACCTCTTTTGTAAGGAGCAACATCTTGAAGGCAGCGCTACCAAGAGGTCCACAAGCAAGAGTTCCAAGTGATCAAGTGTGGATTCGATATCTCCCTGTATAGCAAGACCCATCGTTCTATCTAGATGCAACGTTCGACGACGATAACACGATGTTTAGGTGCTTGAAGGTAGGCCAGAACAGCGGAAACAACGGCAACAGCAATACCTAAGCCGGATCGCCGGAGCGAGACAAACGAGGGTTAAATGATAAACAACATGCTATAGCGCTTATCTTAAACAGAAAAACAAATTGGCAAACTGCGTATACTCTATTTTATTGGTTGTTAGCCCTAAGTAGGGCTGGTGGAACTGTGCTGTCCCCTTTCCGCTGAATGAGACAGTTCGTAGGGCTGAGGCTCGAGTCAGATGTTGGTGCTATTGAAACCTCAGTTATAGTTGGCTGTTTAAATATATATTGCTGTCTCCGCCTCCCCTGTGTGACAGAAATCTGACCAGGGTAAAATCCATCGAAGGAACTCCCTATCAATATGCACTCTAATGCACAGCATTATTTTGGAGTGATCGGATCGCTCGGGCTAAGCATAGGGCTATAGGGCTGGTAAAAGGTACGACACAAATTTTGGAAGTATCTTTATCATATGTACACTGGCATGGAAAGGCTTTGATTAAGGTGGAACTTTCGAGTTCGTCCAATAAGAGACATTGGAGAACTCAAGTCAAAGTATTGCTGCTTAGGTCTATTAAATACGTGGAGAAGAAGAGCGATGACTGTCAGCTGCCACCTATAATAGTGAAAGCATTCAGTAGCCATAGAACGTGAATGGTGGAAAGCCTATGAGCAAGGCAGCGTCTTCTGGTAAGTTATATGAGCAACTCTCCACAAGAATATCGTACACTTACCCGTGCCTTCTAATAGCTTTGGCGAGCTTGATTTGATAGCGCCTAGGCCTCAAATGTGGGGATGATGTGTAACTTATTGACTGCCAGACTGACGAGGTTGAATAAGCCATCAAATCGACTACTTTCGATGACTGTTAGAATAAGAATTCTCCAGCAGCTAAAGCACCCAGTAGATCTGCATCGCGACATGACCTTTTCGGCTTGTCGGTTCATTGTGTGAACAAATCAAACGCTTGGGTCAGAGCCTCAGAGACCACACTATGCGTCCACTTTTTCACAGATGATAATGAGAGGATCTCATAGCACCAGAAGAAATGGTGGATTTGTTTTTGACAAGCAGACGATTCTCAGACGAGGTAAACATCTGATTGTTCAGTTACTAAGACTAACACTCCTCTCACCAGCACATGCTCCTGTTCACTGCCTGTACGTGTTGACTTTACAAGCAATTCGCAACTCTCGTTGTCCGCGCCAATGGAAATGGGTGATTCTGCCACACCCGGAAATCAACAGATATTAAACAGCACTTCGCTTCTGCTTAGCGTCCTATTTTGCGCATCACACAAAGCTGCATTGCTTGCCTCGACAAAGTATGACACATCATTCGTTACTATACTACTACTACATTCATCTACATCGTTAATATCGCTTCCTCTGGTATCAAACCCTTACAATGACGCATGCTTCTCATTCACCAATACATATCTGTACCGAGCCTTGCCGGCCTCCATATCAACAATTGCCTGGTTGGCATCCTTGAGGGGGCGCTTCTGCACCCAAGGCTTAACCTTCTTCTCAACAGCGAGATCCAGCATCTCTTTGATGTCAGAAGGCGAACCAATACCGCTGCCTCCGACCTTGATGCCGTTGGCAAGGAGGGTAAAGGCGTTGATGGGGGGCAGGTTGCCACCATCAGGAGCACTAGCATGTACTGTTAGTTTTGGGCGATTCTAATTCAACGACACACTCAGCAAACTTACCCGACTTGAATGAAGGTACCGGAGACCTTGAGGAGCTGCAGGTACTGCTGAAGAGGCATCTTGTCGCTGGAAACGGTAGAAATAATCAAGTCGATCGTGCGGGCGTTGCTCTTGGCCCAGTCAGCGTCATCGTCAGTGGCGATGTAGGCATCAGCGCCAAGCTTCAGGACCTCGTCCTTTTTCGAAGCCTTTCTTGAGATGCCGATGACCTTGTCTGCGCCCAATGCCTTGGCGAAAAGGACGCCAAAATGGCCGAGACCGCCAACGCCGACAATACCAACTGTCTTGCCGGGTCCGCAGCCGTTGTTCTTGAGAGGGGAGAAGACGGTGATTCCACCGCACATCATGGGCGCCGCTTCTTCCGAAGGCAGGCCCTCGGGGATCTTGAGGACGAAGTGGGCATTGGTCCGGTTGTAGTCGGCGTAGCCACCGTACGACTTTCCTTCACCGTCAGGGTAAACGGAGCCGTAAGTGCCTACATTGGCACGAGCGCAGTAGTTCTCGCGACCGGTAGAGCACTCGGGGCAGTCAGATTGCAAACAGCTACGGGCCTGGGCGCCGACACCGACGCGGTCGCCAACTGAGATGTGCTTGACGTTCTTGCCAACGCGAACTGCCTTTCCGACAATTTCGTGGCCGACGCAGCAGGCTGTTGACAAGTAGAGTTAGCCGCGAAAGCTCACGGACGGTCCAAGCTGATGGAGGGGTAAAACATGAGGGAAAACTCACGGTAAGGGGTCTCTCCCCAACCCGAACGCAGAGTGTGAAGATCTGAGCCGCAGATGCCGCAGTGAGTGATCTGGATGTCGACGTCGTCCTCTGTCCACTTCTTGGGCTCGAAGGCACCCCATTCCATCTTTCCATTAACGCTGTCGGGGCTGTGGCCCAGCCATCCTTCGAACTTGATATCGGCCATGGTGTTAATGTTGGTATAATTGACTGACTCGTAGAATAGAGGCGTGGTAAAGTACACAAGAGCTGGACGTGTGTAAGATATTGATGCTCAATTGCAATGGGCCAGGAAAAAGAAGGTGAGGTAATTGGTTCATTATATATGAAATTTAAGAGCTCCGTTTTGTCCTCACTCAGACTGTACTCGATGTCAATGACGGCATCCACACGGGATACACGGATTCCGCGAGCTAGGGCCCCAATTTTTGTTCGTCATGGCATCAAGAACGCAAAGGGACCGGAGTTAGGGTCTGGCAAGCTGGAGTTAAGTTAGCACTAAGCCACTTCGATTCAGTTCCCAGCATTCCGGGCCTATTACCGGAGTATTTTTTTTTTTTTTCAGCGCAAGGGGCCGCTGTCAATGCTATGAACTGGGTCCGTCCTTGACTCTTGCGGATTAGAAAGTGCCTAGATTTGTTCATACAGCTAGATTCGCAGCACATCTAAAGGTTGCTGTGCCAGGAGGGAAACCCTCTCGCCACTACCGAAAACAATGACGCAGGTGGGAAAATCTCTCCTACGCAGTTTTGGTGGGCTGCAATTGCTTTCACTGGCTGTAATTGGGGCTCTTCCTTGTCTTCCCCAGCCAGTCTCCAAAATACTCCGCGACCAACCCCAAGTTTGCACCCACGTACGAGTCAGATAAGCTTCAGAATGCCTTGGAAACGAGAGCGAGAACGTAGCGGGCGTGCCGTCGGCTGCAACCTGCTGACAGGGAGTACGCTGTTTTACACGGCTTCTACCTACTTAAGTCCAGATTAAGTGCTTATTGCCGGCTACGTGGTGTGATGGGCTGATTGTCAATTGATCCAAGCGCATCAAAATCGCTTTTTTTTTTACTTTGTCGACCCCTCATTGTTGACATGTCTTCGGTGATAGTTGACAAATGCGTCCTGACATCGGCGTTAAGTGTACTGGGTGTTTTACATCGGTGATATCCATGTTAGCATGACTTTCTGGATCCGCAATCAGCGGTGAAGAATGTAACGTGAGATTTCTAAAACCTTCTATCTAACACTATTCCATCGATAACGACCTGGCGGACCCGGACTTAACCCTTCGCAATTTGTCAAAATGGAACCGAGGCACAGATACAAAGACGCTAAAGTCTGTTACTACTAAACTCCGCATCTGGGGCTTCAGACGGCCAAGACGAGCCCTTTGTCTGCCAGCCATATGAAACTTTAACCCTGGACTCCCTGGAATCCGTTTTCCGTCCGGGAAGACCGAAGGTTGTCTGATGCAGCCACTACCGGAAACTGTCCCGGATGATTTAACTCAACCGAATCTTTCTCGGCAGTCTGCTCGGATGTGATGAATTTGAAAAGGGCTAGCCATCCAAGATAGGCTTGATGTTCTTTTTACAATCAGCACATTCATCATTGGTAAAGAACACATTCGTCGCGCCACTATGAGCCAGCTTAGCTGTTGAGCAAATTTACTGATGTAGGAACAATGCACAGGGCGACAGTGAGTTGTATTATTTACCGTTAACAACAGCCTAGGATACTACAGCCTTCGCCGTGATTCTTCTACCAGCATATTCAGTGCGAAAAGCTCACATCAAGCCTCTTACAAGCACTGAGAGTACCAGGTGTTGACGAAAGTGCAAGTCCACGGGCTCGCACACCGGGTGGGACCGGTCCAACTAGCTCCTCCGCACTGGCCCCAACGGGTCTGCTCCGCGCCGGAGCTGGCAGACGTGGTGGTGGCAGGAGCCCGAGTTGTCGACGTGACAAGGGTGGAAGTGCGGGTCGTAGTGACCGGGGGTTGGGTACCGGTAGCAGCGGCAGCAAGAACCGAAGAAACGGAGGTGTAAGCGGGCTTCTTGTTGAAGTTGGCGTCCCAGAGGAGGGCTTCACCCTGGCCGCTGAAAGTCTCAGGGATCCAGCTGTATTTATCGGTGAAGCCCCAGATGGTGACACCGACGCATCCGTCGACATCGAGGCAGGAGCCCACGACATTGGCATAGTCGTTACCCTGTGTCACAAGGGCCGAAGCAGATGCGGGCACGCTGGAGTGACGGATGTCGAGCTCCGTGTAGGCGACCTCGAGGCCGAGAGCGGTGAAGCGGCGGAGGGCAGTCGCAAGGGCAGAGCGGCCGGGAGTGCTACCGACGATAAGATGGCCTTGGAAGCCGACGCCGTCGATCGGAGCTCCGGCGTTTTGGACAATTGTCGCGGCTTCAACGGTACGAGTCGTCTTTGCTCCGTTGTATTCCAAGTTGTAATCGTTCAAGTACCTGTATGAACATGAGCACGAAATAATGCTGAGGACTGGTAGATGGGACTTACAGCTTGGTGTTGGGGTCAGCAGCCCGAGCAGCCCTGAAAGAGATGGGCAGGTAGTCGGTGCCCAGGGTGTTGTAAAAGACACTGGTACGCCAGCTTCCATCATCTGCGGCTGCCTCATTGACGACATCCCAGGCGTAGCACTGGCCAAGATAATGCTTCAATGTGTTGGCAATATGTGTCTCGATGACAGCAGTCAGGGTTGCCCGGGTCCATGTACCGCTGGAGACCCAGTTGGGGAGCTGCGAGTGCCTATTGCCAGCGTCAGTGCTGTGGAACAATGACATTGTTCAAGGGTTGATGGTACCAAGTAAGAGTGTGGCATCTCAGGATTTGACCATTGGCCTTGGCGATGTTTGGAATCTGCAGTTTTGAACCCATCAGCTATGATTGACCCCAGTAGACTCGATTAGACCTATCAGGCTTACAATGTCTCCTTGGGTGAAGGAGAATGTGTTTTGGCTAGGCTCAATGCTGTTCCATTTTTGTCCGTTCTCAGGGACCAAAGATCCAAACTCGTTGGTGTTGTTGACAATCGACATGTAGGTGGCATCGCTGGTTGTCCGTCGCTCGTCCACTGCGGTTCCGAAGTAAGCCAAGCCAGCTCTGACAGCCAGTGTGTTCAGCTGTGCTGAAACGAGGCCGGAGCCTAGGAGAACCGCGAGGAGTGCCTTGGGATACATTTTGACTGTGTCAGTAGATGAGCTCAGGGATGTCTCTGTACCAGCCTCGGGAGAAGAAGGTGGCCATCACATTGGGAGGCAGAGGCCATGGACCTAACTTATAGAAGAAAATATTAATGGGAGGGGGTCATCTAGATGGAATAGAGTAGGGTTACATTAGACATCGTTCATCTCATTCTGTCCCTCCGCATGTTCATTAACAACCCAGCCGGATGGACCTGGTTCTCCAATTCCCCAACTTTTCCCCAAGTAATGGTGCCTTGACGGACCGGTGGAATTGGTTTCCGTTGGGCCAACTATGGGGAAAATATCAGACGATTGTCGTGACAGCTTCGCCTCAGCAAGCAAGATCTCCGCTAGAGTCATTTTATCCATTCAACCGGCTTGGGATCCCCGCGGTTAGCATGCGCATCCGCTGATTTTCGACATCCGGTGCTTGGTTCATCCATCTCATCCTGGAAACAATCCCCGGGCTTGAGCTGCACAAGCGGAGGAACAGCAGCAATACCGAGACCACATCTGGCCCAACTGACTTGGCGTGCGGAGGCCCTTTCCGCGAATTTCTGTGCCTGGGCTAGCGCGAAAGGAACAGGTGGGTAAGCTGAGTGCAATCAGGGACGCCTGCAGCATAGCTACCTTAAGAAAAAGTGAAAATAACGAGCCAAAGGGAACATAATTGCGTGAGGAACGGAAGCACGTTATAGAAACGCTCACTTGTATGTCCGAATCCCAGGAACCGGGATTCCGCAAATTTCCACCAGTAGCTACCGCCTTTGCAACACTCTATTTCAAATTGAACGGTATTGGTTTTTAATGAAATAGCACCTAGATGCCGGAGCCCCCATGGCCGTTGGGCGTCGCCCTGCTTTGAGTGGCCACGATTTCATATTAGCCTGAATAGCCTTTGTCGTCCCGCTCGGGTTGCATTGCCTTAGCTGGCTGGAACTTACGCCTAGAAGTTCATGGTTCTAGGTGCCTTTGAACGAACGGAAACTGGACTGCTGGCGCGTCCCCACTACCGAATATAGAGTGTCAGCCGATGTAAGTGGATCCAAACAGCTGCTTTGCTTTTTTTGTCATGTTCTAAGCGTTCGTTTAATGAATGTTTTTGGAGCAAAATTTCATGATATCCTCTCATGATGGATGTTTAATGGTATATTAAACGAAAGACCAGAGTATTCTCACAAGCGAAGCGCTTGTATAAGAGGAAGGTCGTTGCTCGGAATCCTTGTTGACGCCATGACCCAGAATGGAGATCTTAGTGACATCGCATGCAGAGAAATCTGGGCAATAAGTTCCTCACATGTCACAGACGCCTATGAGAAGGGGAAAAAAAAAAAAAGGTAACTATAGATAAAAATGAACTGAACGTAAAAAGAGCCATCACGTACGCATGAGCAAAAGAGAATGATCAGTGGGAGGCTTGAACTCCCGACCTTGGCATTACTCAACATATCTGATGATATATTAGTACCACGCTCTAACCAACTGAGCTAACCGACCCGCTTCCGAGTTGTTGATTTTGCTCGCTGCACTGCACAAGTGACACACGTGCATGATGCCGAATGGGTGATTCAATATGGTCTCTCTTTGTCTTGAGAAGGAATTGTTCTTTTCAAGTTACCGGAGCCTTCTATTGGAATCAGGTGTGAAAGAGTGATCTTTAGAACACTCGGAAGTGTGTGCATTGTTACCATCATCTTCTTGTTCAATAGACACAAGACACAAGGCCCAACATGTAATGATGTTTTGGGACAAAGGTATCATTTTTCTGGTTATTTCACAACCGGATCATATATTTCTCGATTATTCTCGCAGTAATATTGGAAGATGAGGAGCGAAAGTTCTTGTTGAAAGCGCACACTGAGCCCTCCAGTTGCTTAGATTCTTCATTTCTTTCTGTCGTCTTTCCTCGCTCTTGCAATACACATTTATCATACCCCCAAAGTCCCGGCTGACCTAGTATTCATTTACAACTTTCGAGATACACTTACAAACTGTTAAAGTGCAAGTAACATGGAATTTTCCCCGAGTTCACCTCAAAATCTGCTGCCCCGAACACATCAAAACTCGCCTCCACCAAGGCTTTCCCAAGCCTATCAGCATGCAGAAATTCCTGGACCTTGGTCGCTATCTGTGACTGTCAAGAAGTTGCAATCCGAATCCACAAACGGTAACGGGAGGCAACATGATGAACCTGCAATTATTCGAATTTGCGACGTTGACATTGTTCTCTCTTCTGGCTCGGTGACGATTACCCAAGGCGCAAGCGGTCAGGTCGTCATAACATCCACTTCAGAAATCGACTCCGTAAGGCAGGAAACTTTGGTTGAGCCTGGCGTCGAGCAACCACGGCCCAGCTCAGAAATAAGTGACTCACAAGTTAGTATAGCAGAGATCATTGATACGAGTACCATTAGACCACACACTCCTCTGGGGAGTTCTGAACGTCGTCCCCACCGCCCACGGCCCTTGCGCCGTGCCCGACGGGTGGCTGTTCAATCGCAAATGCAAGGAGCAAGGCTGTCCTCCGCGTTTGGTTTGCCGTTCCTTCGTTCTCCGCCATCTGCCCCTCCCCCTTACACTCCTGGGTTCTGGACGTCTACGGCTGAGGAGACGTCCGTCATGAGTGAGATTGTGGATGAGTTTGGGGTTCCGATGATTTAATTACAACATGAGAATAGCCTGGGGTATGCAAGTCTGTTTCCATAATCGCTAATGGTTAGAAGGTGCAATTTGGTGCATAAACATATTTGTTTTAGAAGATGGTAAGCTGACACTGGGTGATAAGCAGACGGCTATTGGTCAGGATCGAATGAATTTCTGTCTCTTCTGGCTTGACATTGCAGAATGGCCATTGGCCATTACAAAGACATTATTGCTGTGAAGCAAATGATCAGAACACCTTGCGCCTTCATCGACAATGAAATGAGTAGTCTGTCATTCCAACCTTGACGTCGCTCATACTTACCTCACCAACGCTCATCTTACCCTCCTTTACTTGAAAAGCAGGGGATTCGAGACACATGCACGTGTACAAATTGTAGCTTAATCCTAGTCGCTGGTGCCCTAACTGGGACGGATCTCCCTTCTGATTGCTAGTCGACACAAGCTTCCCTTCCTTATTATTAAACGATCCAATCCGCTTCATCTTACAGTAAGGTGTGCCTCTGGCTCGCGTGGCTGAACCAGATGTGTGTGGCTAGTGACGTCACGATGAAGACGTCACGGGCGGCCCAAGCCGTCCAGCTTCGACAGCTAATAGCTGCTCGGGTTAGGCAGGTTTCAGCAATCGCGTCACCTGGCCTTTGGTCCGCGTGCACATAAATTCAAACGAACCGGCCCAGCTCTTGAGCTATGAAATTCCTCAAAAGCCTCTGAACATACCGATTTTCTGTCTACGATCGCGTCCTGTCACAATCGCTATTCACGGCAACACTACTTACAACACCTAATAATACCTTACCTCACCGAGTATCGCCACCATGTCCTTGGCCAAGGCCTTCGAAGACCTCTTCAAGAGCTTCTATGAGCTCCTTTCCTCCATCTTCTCAACCTTTTACCATGTCCTGCAGACCTTCCTCAACGCCATCATCGGCTTCTTCACCGGCATTGTAAACTTGACAGCCGACGTCTTCTCGGGCGTGGTGGACGTCGTCGGTGGAGTGGGCAAGTTTGTCCTGGGTAAGTTCGCTATCAATTATGAAGGCCGCTGTCGGCAATTTATTGGTGCGTGTGCTTGAAGCTGATACGTATTATTCGCGCAGGCAACATCGTCATTATTGGCATCATTGCCGCTGGTGGATATGCTTATGTTCATTACACGGCCCAAGGACGACAGGTTGCTGCTGGAAAGAAGTCCAATTAGGAAATTTGTCAGATGGGACGAACTGAGGGACCACGTCTAGGTCAGCTTGGGATGAACGTGGGGTATTATCACCTGTCTTTAATGGGCCGCTATCCCAATAGGATTGCTTAATGAAATCAGCATCATCACAGCTGGTATCTTTTTTTACTTTAACGATGCGCGCGATATTCTTCACCTTCCGTATCCTGTTCACTGTTCACAAAACGGAGCCACCTCCGATGGTCTTTGACTCCACTGCGGCCGGTCTCCGGTCACCAGCCTTGGTACTCCGGGCTTGATCACAATGGCAAGATGGCCGAGCGGTCTAAGGCGCCAGCTTCAGGCAATACTGTATTGCTGGTGTGGAAACACGCGCGAGTTCGAATCTCGTTCTTGTCACTTTTGTTTTGCCTACTTATGAACTATTTATTTTTATGTTCTTGATCACTGGACGTAGGTGGCTGCACTGGCATGCCGCCCAGGGACGACGAAAAGTGCTGTGTTGGCGCGAAAGAGATTTTGGTACGAATGTACGATCGGCTATATCTCCCAATATGTACGATACGGACAAGTCTCGCTCTGTTCCGATTACGGCATCAGAATGCGCTAAGTACTCGGCTGATGGCCATACAGCCCGTTTTTGGCTCGTGTTCAATATTGATGCTGCATTGAAGTGGGAGCCAGAGGAGAATGCCTATTACGCTGGCTTGGCTGTCTTGGCAATAAATTAAGCTATGTATATTAAGCTGTGAAAACGACACATATTTCTAGTCAACACCGATACCTTGGCCAGATGAATGCCTGTGGACTAGAGGTAAGCTGTGGTCTGCCTGACTGCTTCCGCAGCAATCAATACCTACACAGTACATGTATCGCGATCGATTAAACAGTCGTCTACATTGCATGCGATGGGCATCAAACATACCAGACTTACCTAGGAATACTGTACCCTGTGGCCGTCGTCGACTTCTACGTCTGACTCGACCCTCCGCCAAGCCACTAAAAAGAGAACGAGGGAGAGAATCGTGGTTCGATCCTCGGGTTTTCGGTAAAAAATATGGGTGCCTTCAATTTGTGTCCATTTTTTTCCATCACGTTGCAGGCCGCCGATCAACGTACTTTGCTCGAATACTTTCTGTTCGCTACTACACCAATATGCGAAGGATTTAACCTTGGTATACGCGTACTATTCATAGGAGTAAGTCTTGTATCTGCTCGAAGGATTCAAAGCTTAAGCTGAGGGGAGAGGACCTGCATACCGTATACGGTACTGCCAAGCGTGCCGATTGTCATCTGAAAAGCTTGGTTTCTGCTGGTCAGGGCTTATTGGGCGGTTGTGGGCGAATCCACAACAAAATGGGTCTTCTACTGCTTCTGTATCCGTAAAACCAGGCATGTTTCCCCGGTAGCCCTCGCTATATCGGTTTTGATGTATAGACCGGCTTGTCTCCGACTTATATCGGAATCTTTCCGTTCACTTTAGCACGATGAGATTCGAAACAACCCACTACGTTGCTCCTCTCTGACTGTCTACTGTGACTTGCATGGTCAAGATAGTAGGTAGACCTTGGAATCGGATTGCGAAAGAGAAATGCTTTGAACGCATCGTTGTGTGCATTGTACAACTAGACATGCCCTCTCGAAATAATACTCGTGCTAAAATGAAAGGGGTTGTAGGCCATTTCAATTGAGCCCTAAGTTGACATAAACGCTCACGTACGCACTTTTCATATTTAAATCCAGATCAACAGCTCCTGTGCGCTTCAGATACTGAAACTGGTATAATGCACATGCAACCTTGGTCACGGACCAGCGGACTTCCACCCACATCCCGCCTCGACCCTCCGCATCCGCAATGCCATAGGCAGGACGTCGATACCAAATTGCGTGGAAGAAAACTCTTCAGAGACCTGAAATTATACTCTAGCAGGGAAGTCAAGTACCGGTAGGCGGACCGGACCGTTGATTGCGTATTGGACCGTATTCGGCTTTATTCTCTCTTCCTCGTAGGATGGCGCGGCATTGAAGCATTACCAGGGTGGCTGACCACCCCCTTTCATCAGAAATAACTCAGGGACCTGCTGTAGGGTGTTACTCACCTTTACTACCCCCCCGGCACCCTCCATCCAATCCTAAGCCCTCTAAGTCTGGAATCATCTTATCAGATCATCTAATCTGATCCTTCACGACCCCACCGCTTCCCGTAGCGGCTTTCTTACAGCCACCCTCACACCCTGCTAAGAGCGCACACTCCGATGGGAGGCTTGCTCATCACACCCTCAAGGCAAGCTCACTATTGGAAGTTTACATAACACCCTGGCTGAAGAAACGAAAAAGAGGTATTTTGCACCCATGTTTCATGCCGCTTGCGACGTTGCCTAGTATCGGTGGTGCGTAGATCGATCAGCTCAGCTTACCCTAATACCCCGCCATCTTTTGCACCATGTCGTTTACTTCTGCTCGAAGGATGAAGGGCTTTTCCCGTTTCCCTTTTTTTTCCCCCCGTATTCCAGTAGTGCCGGAGAATTAGGCAAGTAACCAATATGTTTGGCGTCTCGAACTGGCTCATCGCGGCCTCCGTGGCTCTCGCTACGGCGGTTTATTGGCTGTCCAAAGCCGTTCATATGCGTCTGCGCTTCAGAGGGCTGGTAAGCACTGTTTAGTTGATTCTGCCGCTTTAAAGGGAACACTACTGATTTAATCGCTCACCCGGCTACAGCCTCAACCACCGAAGCACTCTTGGATCTGGGCTCATACAACTATCTGGGAAGAGACTGCCGCCAAGTGAGTATTCGAGCTGTCAGTACCTGTAATACTTGCTTACTCTCCAAGGCTACCACTGTTCACTCATCCTCAACATGTCTACACCTATATGGCTCAGAAGTACAACCTTGGCGGTATTTTCTATGTCGACATGTGGCCTTTCGTCGAGTCGCAGGTTGTCATCACCGACCCTGACGCCGCCCAGCTCGTCCTGACGACAAACCCCTACCCCAAGCACCCGACCATTGAGAAGTTCCTTCGACCTTTCACCGGCCCGGACAGCATCGCCGCTTCTAACGGTGAAAGGTGGAAGTACAACCACCGCATGGTCGGTTCCGGTTTCACCCCCACCTACGTGAAGCCAATGGCTGGCATGATCGCCGAACAGGTGCTCATCTTCCACGAGCGCCTGCGCGGGTTTGCCGAGAAGAACGAACCGTTCAATATGGAGGAAGAAGCGGCCAAGACAATCTTTGACGTTGTCGGAAAAGTTGTTTTCGGGTTCTCCTTGGAGGCGCAGACCACTGGTTCTCCTCTCTTGGAAGATTTAAGAGCATCAATTAACCCCGCTACGACCTTTATCAGCACATGGAACCCATGGACGAAACGCAAGGCTGAAAAGGGCTTACAAGCGCTCAAGGACCGCGTGAGGAAGACCTTGGCAGACGAGATGAAAGAACGCTTGAGGATTTTACAAGATGAGAAGGAGTTGCCGAGTAGGCGGCAGGTTAAGAGTGTTTTGGACAGGATTGTGCTTGACAGAATCCAAAGCGGCCCTGGAGCGACGCTTGATGATGCCTTCATTGACACCGCCGTTACGAAGTGAGTCTCGGTTGCACTTTCCTGCGGTATAACTTTACCTCAAACTTTTTTAACACCCAATAGTCTCAAGGCCCTCCTGCTCGGAGGTCACGGTACCACGACTGATACCTTTACCTGGATAACAATGTTCTTATCCCTTTACCCCGACATTGTCGATCGTCTTCGCAAGGAACATGATGCTCACTTCTCCCCGGACCTCGATGCCACCGTTGAGATGCTCGTCGCGAATCCGAACAAGACGAATGATATGGAATTCACCAATGCCGTCATCAAAGAAACACTTCGCTTCTTTCCTATCGGCTTTACCATTCGACAAGCCCCCAAAGGTGTCACTCACCTGGATTGGAACGGTCGGCATTGGCCCGTTAAGAATGTCATGGTGATCCCCTGCGCACACTCGACGCACATGGACCCTAAGGTGTGGGGCGAGGATTCAAAGAGTTTCCGACCTGATAGATTCCTTGGGGAGGAGGCCAAGGATATGCATCGCTTTGCGTGGAGGCCATTCGAGCGTGGACCTCGAGCTTGCATTGCTCAAGATCTTGCCATGGATGAGCTGCGCATCTTGTTGTTGTTGACAGTGCGATGGTTCGACTTTGAGACTTTGGTCAATGGCACGTCGGAGAGAGTCATGTACATGGACCTCGATAACAAAGTCGGCGATCTTGCATTCCAAATGGTTGGCATGGAGGCCCGTCCAAGACATGATATGAAAATGAAGGTCAAGGTGCACGAAAGAAAGTAAGCAGCTCAGTTCCAGCTTTAACTTAATCCAGTCTGATAGGCTGGAGGAAGTAAGCGGATCACAATGCAAATAGTCATGGGGGGCACTTAGTCATGGTACATAGGTTATGAGTAACACATAAATCACAAATGAAGCTAAGAAACTGGGAATTTGCGAGTGAGTGAAAGCGAAGCAGAAGTGTAGAAACGTCATTTTTGGAAGGATAAACTTTAACGAGATGTTTTTGTCCTGGTCTGACACATTAAGCCGTGCGTGACTACTCCACGGGTTCATCTACAATGGAAAAGTTTCCTGAGTAACAATGATTCTTTATCTGTGTATATAGGAATTACCTAATGAAACCGTTTATACGAAAGAAGCGCGAGTGGCAGCTTCATCGAGATGCTAGTTGCTACCGACAGCTCTCAGTGCATAGTTCTACCTTTGTAAATCAGACAGTGAGTGACATGACGGGTGATCACAGACCTTGGAACAGACCTTGGCAACTCTGTTGTAAGCTTTGCATTCGAGGCACTGTCTAGACCAATGTTGTCTATTTATGGCCTTTTCTGTTTGGAGAAAATACCATATGACTCTGTAGTCTACTTGGTAAAAGTAAGAAAACTTGATGTTTGTCAAAAAACCACACATGTGGGTTAAGGGTAACATGTCGTAACATTAGTTAGCTCAACACAGCGATGGTCTTATCCTTGCAATTTTTTACGAAAACCAACCAATCTAGAATGCTTCAAAATATCATGTCCCATCTAAGGGTCACTTGCTGCCAGTGCCGATTACGTCCAAACCTCACGTGACAAACATGCCCAAAAGAGGCCACCAAGATTAATTTGTCTACACAAAAAGGCAGAAGGTAACACACGACCAATCAATATTGTGGGGTGTTTTTATTGGGTTCTAGGAGACGCGATTCGGTAATTTGTACCATTGCGCAGTAAGCTGTTCATTAACACTGTCGCAGTCCTGACAAACACTGGCCTCGTATGATTTGGCTTGTCCACCTGGAAAATGCCACTTATGTGACCTGTGCTGACTTGGTCACATTAACTCATGACAAATTACCTCGAGGTATGATTACGTACGGTCCTATGCTGTTGAAGGTTTACAGATAACAAAGAAAACCTGTGTAACACACCTGCAATCAGTTTTTCTTCATCTTGGAAGGCACCTTTGAGAGGGCCGTTTCGTCAGATAAGCTCTTTGGCGCACCAAAAAAAAGAAAATTCTGGTTCAAAATTTTGTTGCAATCAGATGACATGCAAATCATGAGTATGATTTGCATTCGAGTATTGGCCACCTTCGAACCAGCTCAAGTGGTTTGGCAACACTCATGACACCGGTCCCCACAGACTTTGAAATTGGCGAAGAGGTTTGCCAAACTTATTTCTCAAATTACCCGCTCAAACTGAGAGACACTAGAGAACCCGCAATACTTTGAGCTCAACTTGTGGTTTCGAAATATCTATACCATTGACACTGTAGCTTTCAGGTGGGATGAGGTAGTGTATTGGGCGTTTTCCTCGTGTAGTAAGTTTAGACTGGCACATGACCAGGGGAAAACAAGAATGCAAGCTTCCAATTGGCATGCGTGGCCAAGTCTCCTAGTATGGAATAGAAGCTATTGGGGTCTGAGGAACTCTTTGGGGATTATAAAAGTAGAAGAGATCCGTGTCAGCTTCATCGACACTCGTCAACACACCATTGTCCTTTGTCTTACAACTTTAACCTACAGATCAAAACGCAACTTTTGCATTAATATTTCACCACAACATCATAAATAACTGTCAAGATGCATCTCAGTCACTTCTCCGTTCTGTTTTCGGCTGTGTTCGCTTTCAATGTGAGAGAGAGTCTGTCTAGATCTGCTAGGAACACCGGCTAACTACATAACAGGTTCACGCTATTGCTGTTGACATGAAGGCGCCTATTCCAGGATACGGAGTCTGGACTCCTCAGTGGAACTTCGAGGTCACACCTGGTGGACCCAACATCACATTTAATGGAACAGTTGAAGAGGTGCTTGATCAGCTTCAGGAAGTCAATCCTAAGCTCATGGCTTCGTTCAATTTGAAATCGACCAACAATGATTTGGCGACCGTCGACCCGAAAGATTTCAATGTCAAGTGTCAGGATCCTAAGCTCCGAGCTGGCCGAGTGTATGCTTGGCAGGAAGGAATCTCGTATCTACGTCGAGTGCCTGGTAAGCCGGTTGGTGGGCCTGGCCCAGGGGAATGCGGCCGGGTCAGCTGTTCTTGGAACACCGGTATATGGTGGTGTAACGACGTGAGTATATGAACTTCGAGCCTGCACTTATGGAATGATCTAACACAGTTATTTCAAGGATGATAAGGAGAAGACTCTCGAATCCTTCAGGGACATTGCTGACGGCGCCCAAGCTGGCTATCTCGAGTGTACCGACACTCGTTATCATGAAGTCTGGGCCAATGGCCGGATGACTCACAAGACGGATAATTGGAATGTCATTGTCGCCCTTGTCGACATTGACAAGAAGGAGGAACGGTGCTGATGGAGAGCTTTAAAGAGAGACTCATGCGATTGGAGCACCATATTGGCAAGGGATATCAGGCAAAGAGTTTAATTGCAATGGTAGTACCCTGAAACTGGGACTTTCTTTGATTCTCAACTCTTGTACGTCGTGGATCGCCCAGTACTTAGATACAAGCACGCTATTCCATTACATTGCGCTTCATTCTTCCAAGAAGGGCTGGCTGTTCCCAGTCAAGAACCAAAATTTCGAAAGATGCTATTGTAGCCTTCAGCAGAGTACATGCCTTGCCAATTCACTTTTTGGTATCTCCATTGGGTTGATTATTATTATCCTTGCTAGGTTAAGCTGAACATGTCACCCGCGTAAGGTGTCCAAGGCGCGAGCTTCACTGCTGATTATTGCACCGATAGACCTCATATTACCACAGTGCTGTTCCAATGGCTCTTTGCTATAAATTACCTGAGATCAAGTGCACGGGACGAACTCCTTTTTGGTTTTGAGTTTGAAAACAGATTCGTGCCGTGACACAAATTGACGCATCAATTTGCCTCTGTGCCGAATCCAACTAGTAAAAAGTTGGAAAAGCAACGGTAGGAAAGGAGTAAGACACTTCTTACAATCAAAGCACGTTTCCTGAAAGTCTCGCTCCAGGATACTGGAGCTTCATGCCTTCGTCAAAACTCTTTCCGCCAACAGTCATGTCTGCGAAAGCGGGGCATGCAAGATTTGTTATAGCTGCACCAACAGCATTCGTGACAAGGCTAAGGGGAACCTCGATAATGGAGAAGATAGTGGACAACGAGTTGGGTGAGGCAGTCTTCAGAATTTCGAAGACAAAGCACAACAAGTTGTTGCCTTCCAGAAGCTTTGTCAGGTTAAGCACACCACCAGTGAGGTTGCTGAGGTCCACACCAGCATAGCTGTCAACCTTTCCCATGTTCCCACCGATACTATGATTCAACTGTTAATACGCAATTTTCCTATGAACTTTTTTCTTTGGGATAACAAACCTCGCAAGCTTGGGGTACTTGGTAATCCAAGCAACTAGATCCAAGTTCAGCTGAACCAGGCCATAGTCAACTGGAGTTCGATACCAATTCTCTGGAATTCTTTCCCAGCCTTTGTTGTACTTGAGATTGCCATCTTCGCCTTGAACACCGTAGAAGCTCTTCAATGTTTCCTTATCTGAGTACAGTTAGCATCGCCACCACATTCGTGCCCAACACCACCTACTCAGCAGACCAGTCGGATTCTCCGAAGAATGGTTGGCAAACAAGCGGCAGGCAAACAAAAAACCAGCATTCCGAGCAATCATGCCAGTAAAAGGACCGTAGTAGAAGTTTGGGTTCGTCGCCACTGTCTCGTCGAATCGGATCGATGCTCGCTCGGCGAAAAGATCGAAGTTATAATCACCTTCCCCAGATGACACATCGTAAAATGATTGAAACTGTTCCATGACCATAGTGGAGGCATCTCCTGTCATATACAAATCACCTCTGGTGTTCGAAGAGTCTCCCTCAATGATGTTGTGCGAGCCATTTAGACCTCTGGGGCTACCTAGGAGCCCGAGGACGTTTCCAAGGATATTCTGAGATCCGCTGGCGGTATATCCAATCGAGAAGCCTGGGTTTAGAGAAAGAGGGTTTCCCACAAAAGCAGTTCCCATCACCGCCAAAATGGTTGAGAGTTCCAGACCCATACCGAAAACTGTGTTGATGGCAGCGGTAACTTCGACCAGACTTGTGACGCCCTTTCGATTGATGTAGCCATGGTTCGCCAGCGCATTCAAGCCGGGACAAGGTCCTCTTTGCGCACCATTCTCAAAGTCGGGGGGTATGAATTTGTGGTTGCCGGTTACATCGATAGGCGTTGTCATCGGGTCGAACAGTAACCTCTTTTCGTGCAGATCGCGAGCAACGCCGGCTACCCGTTCAGAGAGTTTGGAAGCCACAATATCTGCGACGGGTGTGTTCATATACGCTGGGAAGCCGTGGACGCCAATGCCGAGGCAAGGCAACAAAGAAAGAAAATGCCACTTCATGATGTTGTGGCTGCGAAAAGAACGTAAGAAACGAATGTGGTTGTTGGTGAATGAGTGACGTTGAGGGCTGGTGCCATTCAATAGATGTCACAACCCTTCAGAACAGTGGAAATGGAAATCAGAATAATCTCCTTGGTCGTTCTTTTAGAAACGCCATCGATAAGGCGCGTGCCGAGGGTCCCGGTAGATAGGATGCAGATTGACCTGGGTAGATTCTAGGATTGGAAAAGACCGACATAGAATGACGACGAAAGAGCGGTGTTTCTCTTACCCAGCATCGTGAGAAGTAAAGATCGCCCGCGGAAAGGATATTCAAATCGCAGTATTCCTGATTGGTCTTCTACGTCCATCCATCGCGCAAGCCTACCCAGCTCTTGCAGAGAACACTAAGCCTGTTATCAAATAGATCCCGGTAGATGACCCTTGAACCCCTGGATGGTGTACCCATGTCTGTAATGAAAGAGGTCCTTGTCACATCAACTAATTCAAATGTGATAATCTTGTAGTCTCGATCTGCAGTCAAATTCCCCGAAGGCCCCATGTTTGGGCTGTGCGGACCCCAGACTACAACGGAATTACCGGCGGTGCTAGAAGACGTTGACAAACCTGTTGAAGGCCAATGAACTATCACAAGTGAGTTCACGGATCAACTTGCGTACAGAGTAGTGAATGCCGATCAAAGGCGGAAGCCACTCTTTTCTTCCGGTGGTTCTCGAAGTTCTCCCATTCAGGGCAGATCGCTGCAGCCCCTGCATGGAGCAGATGGTAAGGTACTGTTATCCAACCAGGTCCCAGTACCACGGTTTATAGTTTGCTGTCATTCAATGAACGACGAACATGATGTTTGAAACCCCCTTCCCAGTTACATGCTAGCTGACTTTCTAATATAGTAACCCGTCTCATATTTTACGAGATGCTTGCTCAAACTGCTATTGTCAGCGTTCAAGACGGGGGATAGGCGAAGTTCTCCTGGACAATTCAAGTAGCTGCCCAGAGCAATTATATGAAGTGGGTCATGACGACACCCACATCGCAGGGGCTCCAAGCACCGCCATCATTGTTGAGGATGCCCACAAACCGTAAAGGCCACTGTGGATATATCGACTAATTGAGATGCGAGACTCCCTTTTGAATTCTACTTGCTTATGCCTATCACCCAGCTACTACTAGTACTGCCTCTGGAACCCAATGCGGGCACGTGGTTAAGTGGCAGGGCCCCGAAACGCAACCTGGCCCGCTAGTATGGTTTCCCCTGGGACGATTTCGTTTCATTCTTTACGCATCGGGAATACCTCTATCCTGAAAGTGGTCTTGGCCTGATCCATCGTTCTTTTAACTCTTCTGAACCGGCCAAAAGCGTTGCATTCATATTACCATCCACATGGGTGCATAAGCGATATCGCAAGGAGACATTGTGATTTTCAACGAGAAACCGTGGAGTCCCTAATTCTGCCGCTTTTCCCACCAGCACCATGACGCCTACTGAATCCAACCTTATGGATGAAGACGCAATGGCTTAATCAACCCTGTTCCCTACCAGCCTGTTGGAAACCAACCCAGGTCAATCTTTGACGAAACGGGAAACTTTGGGGGCGTAGCATGGCTTGGATTTTGCCTCCCGTCTCTTCGGCAGATAGAGGGTGTGAGAATTCTGCCCGGGAAGCAGTAATTTGAATAAACACTCGCATCGCCGGATACCCAGTCTATGATTTTGCTTCATGGTTTCCTCTTTCCTTTCTATTCTTTCTCGCTTTTGTTGTCTTGTTTATCTTTGTTAACTGAAGAAGATGAGGCTCCTTACGTTTGCTGCCTTGGTTTCATTCGGTATCCAAGCCGTGGTGGGGTTGACTACCACAACCACAACAGTGGCCACGGAAGAACCTCCCTTATGCGGCGTATGTCCCTTTCTGAGCGACGATCTTCCACCAGCTGACATGCCCTAGTTGAAATGCATTCAACAAGAAACATTGAAGTCAACATGCGAAGTCACCAATGCCACCTGCATATGCACCAACGTCGAGCTGAACCAGAAGATCTCACTCTGCGTCCATGCAAACTGCACTCTCCGAGAGTCATTGCGTAAGCCCCCTACTATTTTTGCAATTTTGCTCTTCAGTATCCAAGGTGTTGACTCGGTCTTCTAGTCGTGCAAAGCTACTCCAAGCATACATGTGGCGCTCCATCAACAGATCGAACTGCTCTAGTATGGGTCATAGGTGTTGTGTTTCTAGCCATCGGGCTTTTGGGCTTTGGCCTTAGAGTAATGGCTAGGCTGTGTCTTGGTACCCAGACCTGGGGGCCCGACGACTGGGTCATGCTTCTCGCTGTGGTAAGTGCAATTTCCAAGCAATTTGATGTACTAAGATGCTGATTTATCCAACAGTGCATGATGATTCCTCTGAACGCGTTATCCATCCCCAGTACGTCAAGCACAACATATCATGCCTAGGCATCCTCCACATACTGATGCTTTTAATAGTTTCCCAAGTTGCTTTGGGCAAAGATATCTGGAATGTCTCACCTGACGACATCACACAGTTCCTTTACGTACGCAACCAACGGTTCTTTTCACTGCCAAGAAACTGACGTTTCCTAGTTATTCTACTGGGACGAACTGCTCTATTTGGGAGCTCTACCGGTCACGAAGATCTCCATACTGCTTTTCTATCTCAAAATGTTTCCTCGCAAGGAAATAAGAATCGCATGCTGGGTTTTGATTGGGTTTAACATAGCCTATTTCATAACTTTTGAGCTCATCTCAATTTTCCAATGCAGCCCCATCGACGGCGCTTGGAAGGCATGGGATAAAGAGTATCCGGCTAAGTGCAACAACATTAACGTCCAAGGCTGGGCAGCAGCGGCTTTCAACATCGTTTTGGACATCGCCACGCTTATTCTGCCGCTCGGAGAGCTTTACAAGTTGTCCATGTCCATGAAAAAGAAGATTCAAATTATGCTCATGTTCAGTGTGGGATTTTTGTGAGTGAACTCTGTGCATTCTTCAATTTATCTCTTCTTACAATCATGCAGTGTCACTCTCGTCAGTATCGTCCGACTTCGCTCGTTGGCGAGCTACGCGACTACCAGCAACGTCACGCGTAGGTGTTTCGCAAATCTTCTCTCCATGAATAAGCTAACATGACTTCAGAGGATTACGTCGAGGTCGGATACTGGAGTACGATTGAAGTTCCTGTTGGCATTCTCTGCGCATGCATGCCTGCAATTCGATCCCTTTTCAGTCTGGTATTCCCGAAAGTGTTCGGCACCACTCAAGGCAAATCAAACTACGCCAACATCTCAAGTCAACAGCAAATGTCAGGTTCGCAGAAGCTGTCATCAAAAGCCTCGTCATTCCTAGCTATCCGGGTCAAGAAGGAATTCACCATCAAGTCGAAACATAAAGACGACGTATCAATTGTCGAACTTAACAGCATACCGTACAGCGGCGATCCTGTATCAAGACCACCGTCGGAAAGGAAAGCAACAACACCCCACGAATCGGTGTAAACACCAAATTATTCGTTTCCTTGAGTAATCTATGGCTCCAGGCTGGAAGGAGAGGGCAAAAAACACAAAGTACTTCCGATAATGTAATTTTGTCATTATGAGCGTTCACCACGAATACCATACTAGAAATTAATCCATCGTTGCCGAAATCACTGATGCCCTTGTGCAATTCATCGCTGCTAGGAAAATCCGTGCAACAAAACCAGGACCCTTGTTTACTTCAAACGCCTTTCCAAATACAGCAACCCCACGGCAGTTTTCGACGTTGTGGCACCTGTCATCTATTGAGGCCTCATCGTTAGGGGGGGTTTGGTGTGGGGATGTGTCAACTGTGGCAGCGGGGACAAAACCGTTACATCAGCCTAGCAAGGGAATAGGCCAGGGTCTCTCCTCAACAAGTGCCGATCATGAGCGCTTTTGGCGGTTAGATTCTGTTTAATCCCCACAGGCATTCTGCTAACCCTGCCACAGCTGAGTGAGAGCCTCTATCCTCACCACCTAAAGAGTTAGATCACTTTTTGAAAGTTCGAATGCCCTGTCTTGGGGGCCACGTCGAGTGCAACTACAACCCATCAACCCTGCTTGTGTCATTTATACTGGCATTGGGATCAGCTGCAACGCAACCAGCCTCCATAGAGACTGGGGGAGAGCCCACCGGCACGAAGGATGATATTGCAAAAGTCAAACTCCTTCTGCTATCCGAGTTCTGGCACTCAGGGGCTCGACTACGCAAGCGAACTTGCTTGACTGGGACGACTGTCGTCAGACATCGCGAGACGGATACTCCTTTCGCCACTAGTTTATTGATTGTGCGGGCCACAAAGAATTTAAAAGAATTTTATCATCGGACCGGTTAACATGTTCTAAGTCTGTGTGGATACTGTTTGCTGGCCCCATGTTACCATAGTGCGTCTTGCTTGCAAAAGACGGGTTGGTTTCGAGCGCTCTGCCTCGTGGAATCCGAAGTCATTACACTCTCGACCAGCCCCTGCGCAATTCTGAAGGATCCACTAGCCAGGAGGATTGGAAAGGCAGAGTCGTCTCGTGGCGATTTGCAATTTCGAAACTCGAGGGATCCCGCAATCCCGCATGCAACACACAACAGTGGAGAGACATGCCCACGCAAATGTAGCAACATGGAAAAGATCAACTATGACCCCCCCAGTAGAGCGGCCGGAACTCTCAGCCGCTACCCCTTTTGAAATGTCAAATCGGAGCATGTAGCAGACGCCAGCAACTCGCGTATTTGATTGTATAGAGGATGGAACTGGACGAGCCTCGGTCTAGTTCTTGGCTGATTCCTTTAAGCTTCGAAGCTTTTTCTCATTTCTTTCTTCCGTTGTCTTGACGTAGTTGTTTGTTCACTGCGCTCGAGTCATCGATTCATTCCGTTTCGTAGCAGATGACTTGAGTTGTCCATTCGTTTTCAGGCCCACTCATTGCCGCTCATTATCATTCACTGTCACTCATTTATACATAAGTAATTCACGATGCGCGCATCACTCGCTCTCACATGCGCTTCTTTGCTGGCCAACTCGGTCACTGCTTTGTATGGCACCTATGTCGTTATCACAACCACAGATTACTAATGATACAATAGTGCTGTTCCGTGGAGAGGAGCAAGAAACCAGATTCGCCATGATCCGTTTATCGGCAAGCGGGCTGACAATGGCACCCTCGACGAGTATGACTATGTCGTTGTTGGATCAGGCCCAGGAGGCGGTCCTGTGGCTGCCAATCTTGCCATCGCTGGATACAAGGTGTTGCTGATCGATGCTGGTGGCGACTCTGGAGATAGCTGGACAGAGAAGGCTCCCGCTCTTCACCTAATGTCAACCGAGTTCGAGGATACCCGCTGGAACTACTTCGTCAACCACTATCCAGACCTCGACCAGCAGAAACGCGATTCTAAAATGACCTATGAGCTGCCTGACGGGAGCTTTTATGTTGGCCTCGACCCCCCAGCCGACGCAAAACCCTTGGGTGTCTGGTACCCGCGCACTGGAACCCTTGGTGGATGTAAGCTCACATCAAACTCTCTCTCTTTAAACATGACGGGAATATGTTACTGACCTAGCAATAAAACATAGGCAGCAGGCACAACGCTCTCATCTCAATTTACGCGCATGATTCTGACTGGAGCTACATCGCGAGCCTTACAGGTGACGACTCTTGGAACCCTGACAACATGAGGAGTTCGTACTTTCAAAAGTTAGAGAACGCCAAGTATCTTCCCAACAGTGTAGTCGGCCACGGATTCTCTGGCTGGCTTGGTCTGTCCCTTACTTCTCTCTCTCTTGTCGTCGAGGACCAGAAACTTCTTTCGTTGATCATTGCCGCTGGTACTGCCATGGGAAAGAGTCTGCTTGGTAGCCTGCTCGGTACCGTTGCCGGTCTTGGACAGGTCCTGCTTCGCGACATTAATGCTCCCGGACAGACGAGCAAGACCGGTCTTTACCAGGTTCCATTGGCAATGACGGACTCCGTCCGCGGTGGCCCTAGAGACTTGATCCTGAATACGGCTAACGCTGTCAACTCGGATGGCTCCCGCAAGTATCACTTGGATATCAAACTTAACACCTTGGTTAGCCCTAATTACTGAGCCTCGTTATTGAGTACCAGCGCTGACGTGTTTCAGGTTACCAAGATCAACTTTGACCAGAGTGGCGACAAGCCCCGTGCTACCGGTGTTAACTTCATGGAGGGCGCAAGCCTGTATCGTGCCGACCCCAGATCGAAGTCCGCAACGGCCAGTGGCTCTGGAAGCGTTGTGGCAAAGCGTGAAGTTATCGTATCTGCCGGAGCGTTCAATACCCCGCAGCTGCTCAAACTCAGCGGCGTAGGCCCAAGCGAAGAACTCAAGTCTTTCGATATCTCCGTCGTAGTTGACCTCCCTGGCGTGGGAACCAACATGCAGGACCGCTATGAAGCTACCGTTATTGGAAAGACTGACAGCGACTTTGTGATCACATCTAAGTGTACCTTCATGGAGACTATGCCTGATCCTTGTCTCGAACAATACCAGAAGGGCCTTGAACCTATCAGCAAGGGCGTCTACGCAACCAACGGTATTGCCATTGCCATCGTCCTCAAGTCTTCTGTCGCCGAAGACGAGCCCGACCTGCTTATCTCTGGTGCCCCAGCCAAGTTCAAGGGCTACTTTCCTGGCTACGCATCTGATTCGCTCGCTGATGCTCAGCACTGGGCCTGGATTGTGCTCAAAGCTCACAGCCGCAATAATGCTGGTACTGTCACTTTGAAATCGACCGACCCCCGAGATATGCCCCTCATCAACTTCAACTACTACAACACGGGTATTGACAGCAATGGAGAGGCGGAAAAGGACCTTCAAGCTACTTACGAGGGATTCGAATTCGGCCGGCGAGCCTTTGATAGTCTTATTCCCCTCGACGGAAGCTTTCCGGAAGTCTGGCCGGGCGCGAATGTCACAAGCGAACAAGAGACGAAGCAGTTCATCAAGGACGAGGCATGGGGACACCATGCTTCGTGTACTTGTCCCATCGGCAAGGATGACGACCCAATGGCGGTTCTCGACTCCAATTTCAAGGTTCGCGGTACTGAGGGATTGAGAGTAGTTGATGCCAGTATTTTCCCAAAGATTCCTGGCTTTTACATTGCACTTCCTCTCTACGTTGTTTCGGAGAAGGCTAGCGACGTTATCATCAAGGCGGCCCAGGAGTCCGCTGTTTGAATTCAGGCGCTCCAAGCGTACCGGGTCGTTCATAGTATTCTTCGACTGAGTAAATTGTAATTTTCCGAGCCGCTTTGAAGCAACAGCCGGATAAAAACATAATTTGTATTCATTTCAACCACACATATTTTTGGCCATGCCGCTAGAAGAGGAATGTAGAAACGGCTGAGGTTTGTCCTGCAGATTTTCTTTAGCAATCTTCATTCAGTCTGAGAATTAGTGAGGTTTGAGTACAAACGAACGTCTACGAAATCTTGGCCTTGATTACTAAGGCCAGGCTACAACTACTTCCTTCGCTCATCTACCATCATAGCGTCTAGCAGTAGATACTTAAGAACGCGACTTGAGAATAGCTCACTTGGCAACTAAAAACCGATTACAGTATCAGTTCTCCAGGAGGGTATCATGGTGACTAATTCACCATAAGAAACAAAGGTACTGATACAATAAGATCAGTTTGTAGTGCTATTTAATCTAGCGATATATAGTAGTACATGAACATAATATGTTTTGTGCATTTTATACATCCTCTTACATACTTCCTGCTTTGATCCCAGAAACTGAAAGACTATGCCACCTTATACATCGAGTTATGCAATATTCAGTGATTGTATTCTCGCTGAACGCTAAAGATCTTACCCCGGTAGAGATTACCTTCATAGCTGTTGCTCCAGCCTTTTGAAATCTAGGGTCATCGTCAATTAGAGGTTCGGTTGGCAAAGAGTGAAAAGATCAGGCAGAGGCTCAAGGGTACCTGTATTCATCTCTGATCACTTAATCGGTTGCACTATTTAAGCCCCTTACGTATCTAGCAAGACATAATTATCTAAGATAGCATCTGCTATAACACATTCCCTGATATCTCGTCCTACTCCCTTAAGCTAACAATGCTAAGCCCCTGTGGTCTGCCCGTCCCGTTCTGCGACATTTCTGCTCTTGATCGTCAGTTGACAGCCGATCATTTGTCTGTCAACGTTAGGCTTTTGAGTTTTACAGATCAATCTTTAACCTAATAGGAAGTTTTATGTACGCTGCCAACCATAATTAGTGACTGTGTTACTTTGAAACAGGACAAGCTTAAAAAGCGGAGATCAGAACGATAAAGTCTCGATGATTCTTCCGTGCGAATTCGAGTCTGTGCCGTGCAGGAAGTCTCAGGTAGAAAAGCAAGATCACCGACGCAGGCCCATAATATTGATCAAGGAATAAGAAAACCGCTTCAACCAATGACTTAGTACTGATTGAAACACAAACTCGGGTAGAGTATGGGTGGGGTCAGCGAATGGTTTGTCTCATTCTCTCTACCGCGAACCATGTGTAAGAGAAGATTCGCAAGAACGGCAGGAAATCAGATGAAAGAGCAAAGTCATTCTAGTTTTCTATCTTCTTTTCCTTCCGGATGGGAATGCCGACTTTTCTCGTCACATCGCATTGATAATCTTGGCATAATGAATATCCTCGCGCTGATGCAGGCAACTTGAAGCGCAATGGATTGCCTTGTGCCATGCCGCCGACATTCGCCCGTGAGGAAAATTGGGCTTCGTATTGAAAGAAGAATCGAACCGAACCTAACCGTCATATCTTTTTCTAGATCCCGGGAATAACCTGATTGTAGTTGGGTATCTCAATGACAGTGGGCTATCCACAATTGAATCATGAGAGCAGACATCAATACCCGAGGTTAAGAGCCTTCCAAATTTTCATAGTCTCCGAGAAAAAAAAACAAAAAAAAACATGCCTTATGTAAACCCCCAGTTGACTAAGAATGTCTGCCCACAGTCCCAGTAAAACCTCACAATCAAAAGGACCTGTTCTCCAACACTCTCCAATTCTTGCATGGGGCAACTCCACTAAGCTCAATTACTTCCCCGTGGGAGTGGTCTACTCAAGAGGTTGATGGGGCTTAGCAAACCCACTAATTCCGCTTTCCAGCGCTCGAGTGCCGGTATTCTCTCCGCGTAGTATTAGCATGACGTATGGTCATCACGAGACAACCACACCACGAGAGCATTACCTTTCTCATACGGACCCCATCTCGCGGTCCCCGATTTCCCGATTCTTGGACGGCAGGGCTTCTCCCTGCAAAGGTTGGATGATCCCCTGACTAAAGAGCCGGTGTTTTGCCGCCGGCAGGCTTTCGTGGGCCTTGGTTTACCTCATCACAGTAGGTCAACTCCGGAAATTCATTTGGTTTCCGGTTGAAAATCGTACTGGCATATCCCGTGGCCTGGGGGATAACATAACAGGGCCGATTACCTGTGCGGGGAAGACTAGGGAGGGATGCCATTTTCCTCCTGCTTGGGACGACCAGTTCCACGGCTTCGGCCCCCGGACTCTGTTAAATTGCCCTAAACAAGCTACTCCAACCGCCATCATGAGAAAATTTCTTCTATGACACTCGCATTTCTCGTCCATTAGTGTCGGCGCAACGTCGGACCTCCACACATAGCCTCACCCACTCATCTCAACGGCGGGGGCGGGGAGGCTGGATCGCAGGCTGAGGCCAGCCAATGCTTATGATCCACCCTGCACAAAAACAAGCATGGAAATTCTCCAGGTTTCCTACTGTCACCCGATCCGTTTTCCCCACACCTACTACGGTTCCTTTCTGCTGGTGGTGCGGTGTAAACTGTTAGCGGCAGTTCTCCGGGATTTCAGCTTCGATTCTACGGCAGATGTAACGACGCGTACCGTGCCAAGGGCCGTTCAGGTCTAATTTACTCTTCCGTTCTTTACTAATACACATCAAACCACAATATGGTGTGGAATTGCCGCAGTGTGTGACGTTGAATTCGGCGTAGTGATGAAGACAGGTTTCTTTCCCTTCTAGAAGGTCTAATGACTCAATACTTCTTCTTAATGCTCTCTACAACTTTTCATTACTAGTCATGGCTGGTATTAAACACCCCACAGGCCATATGGTGAAGTGCGATTACAGGCATCAAAAACCGGGGATTTCGGTAGCCGTCCGCTTTCCCCACGCCAGTAGAGCTGGGGTGTCTTGCGCGTTTCTTTGGCAATAGGGAAACAAACGGCTAGCAGTACAATCCGTTTTTAACTAGAATCCCACCTTGTACCATCGGATGTCGACCGCTGCGGGGTCGATTTCCGGGCCATGACGACTTGGATTACCAATGGGGGCACTATTATGCAGCTGTCACCGGCTCCCGTACCAAACACCGAACCCAATGATGTGTGAGGGAAGGTCCATGTCTTCGGGCCTGTTTACAATGGGGCTCAAAGAGTTCGGTCGATGAACGTAGCGAAGACGAACAGGTGAGGTGGTATGGGATGGACCCCTGCTCCCGAGGTCAACTACCCAGATTTCGGAGTCGACGATGAACTGACGTTGTAACCCGGTAGGCTGTAATAGAGATGTATAAAGAGAGCCATATAACCCCTCTGGTTGCACTTTGGAATGCTCAGCACAAGCGTCAAACCTCAGCTCAAAGGATCTCAAGATGGCCGCTCTGTCTCTCGTCCTTTCTGGCCTTCTTTTGGCCCCAGCCGTTAACGGTCAGGCTTATGATGCTGGAGATCGTTCCGAAGATGCTTTCTCCTGGGTTCAGCCTCTGAACACTACAATCCTCGGTCCCTATGGCCACTCTCCGGCCGTCTACCCCTCTCGTGAGTATTTTCACGCAAGCACATGAGAAGAGATGTTTGAACTGACATGAACTGTGTAGCCAACATTACTGGTGTTGGTGGCTGGGAGGAGGCTCTGGCCAAGGCCAAGGCCTTCGTCGCCGAGTTGACTGTCGAGGAGAAGGCCGATATGGTCACTGGCCAGCCCGGCCCCTGTGTTGGTAACATCGTCGCCATTCCCCGCCTCGGATTCAACGGTCTCTGCCTCCAAGATGGCCCTCTTTCCATCCGTGTTGCCGACTACGCCAGTGTCTTCTCCGCTGGTGTCTCTGCCGCATCCACCTGGGACAGAGACATCCTCTACGAGAGAGGTCTTGCTATGGGCAAAGAGTTCAGGGCCAAGGGTGCTCACGTCGCTCTTTCCCCTGTTGCTGGACCTCTCGGTCGATCGGCCTACTCAGGAAGAAACTGGGAGGGCTTCTCCCCCGACCCTTACCTGACCGGTGTTGCCATGGAGTACACCATCAACGGCCACCAGGATGCCGGTGTCCAGGCTACTGCTAAGCACTGGATCGCCAACGAACAGGAGATCCAGCGCAACCCTAGCTTCGACCCCAACGGTACTTCCACGGATATCACTATGCAGGCTCTGTCCTCCAACATTGATGACCGCACCATCCACGAGCTTTACATGTGGCCCTTTGCCAACGCCGTCAAGGCCAAGGCTGCCTCTTTCATGTGCTCTTACCAGCGCATCAACGGCTCTTACGGCTGCCAGAACTCCAAGTCTCTCAACGGCCTGTTGAAGACCGAGCTTGGCTTCGACGGCTACGTCATGAGTGATTGGGGTGCTACTCACAGTAAGTTTGCTTTAGTTAACATGCTGATTATCCCTTACTAATTGTTTTACAGCTGGTGTTGCCGCTATTGAGGCTGGTCTGGACATGGACATGCCTGGTGGCTTGGGATCTTACGGCATGACCTGGAAGGACGGTTCCTTCTTCGGTGGAAACGTCACCAAGGCTGTCAACAACGGCACTCTTGACGTTGCCCGTGTCGACGACATGATTACCCGTATCATGACTCCCTACTTCTGGCTCGGCCAGGACAAGGACTTCCCCTCCGTCGACCCCTCTACTGGCGATCTCAACACCTTCTCTCCCAAGTCTACCTGGGTCCGCGAGTTCAACTTGACTGGCGAGCGCAGCCGTGATGTCCGCGAGAACCATGGCGAGCTCATTCGCAAGCACGGTGCTGCTGCCGCCGTTCTTCTCAAGAACGAGAACAAGGCTCTCCCTCTCAAGGCCCCCAAGTCTATTGCCGTCTTCGGTAACGATGCCGGCGAGGACACCCAGGGTTTCTACAACCAGAAGGACTTCGAGTACGGTACCCTCGTCGCCGGTGGTGGCTCCGGAACCGGCCGTCTGACCTACCTCGTCACTCCTCTTGAGGCCATCAAGGCCCGTGCCTCCAAGGACGGTGCCCTAGTCCAGCAGTGGCTCAACAACACTCTCATCGCCACCTCCAACGTCACCGACCTCTGGGTTCCCAAGACTCCTGATGTCTGCCTCGTCTTCCTCAAGACCTGGGCCGAGGAGGCTGCTGACCGCCAGCACCTGGACGTTGACTGGAACGGTAACGAGGTCGTCGAGTCTGTCGCCAAGGACTGCAACAACACCATCGTCATCACCCACTCCTCCGGCATCAACACCCTCCCCTGGGCTGACCACCCCAACGTCACTGCTATTCTCGCTGCCCACTTCCCCGGTCAGGAGTCCGGCAACTCCCTCGTCGACATCCTCTACGGCGACGTCAACCCCTCTGCCCGCTTGCCCTACACCATCGCTCTGAACGGCACCGACTACAACGCCCCTCCTACCACCGCCATCAACACCACTGGCGAGTACGACTGGCAGAGCTGGTTCGACGAGAAGCTCGAGATCGACTACCGCTACTTCGATGCCCACAACATCTCTGTCCGTTACGAGTTCGGCTTCGGTCTCAGCTACACGACCTTCGGCTTGGCTGACTTCAAGGCTGAGCCTGTTGCTGACAACATCACCCCCGCCCCCGAGGAGCGTCCCATCGAGCCCGGTGGAAACCCCGCCCTGTGGGAGACCATCTTCAACGCCACCGCTACCATCTCCAACACTGGCGATGTCGACGGCGCCGCCGTTCCCCAGCTCTACGTCACTTTCCCTGCCGACACCACCCCCGCCGGCACTCCCCCCAAGCAGCTCCGCGGTTTCGAAAAGGTCCCTCTGGCCGTCGGCGAGAGCAAGACCGTTGGCTTCGAGCTGATGCGCCGCGACCTCAGCTACTGGGACATTGTCTCCCAGCAGTGGGTCATCCCCGCCGGCGAGTTCACTCTTAGCCTCGGCTGGAGCAGCAGAGACCTGAAGGCTTTCACCAAGATCACTCCTGTACAAGGGTAAGGGCTTTCGCGGTTTATTATGTGTGGGGGACTTACGACATATGATTTACGACTCTGAATAGTATTAGTAATATCTGGATAGCAGAGCAATAAAAACCTTTTCAGTTTCAGCCTTTTTTGATGACGGTGTGGAGCGCCCTATGGTCGGGTCGAAGTAAGCGGACAGCTTTAAGATGTGAAGATATTTATTCCATCCGCAGTGACTAAAGGGGAAATACGTGTGTAGTGTCACCTCATTAGAGTCGGGGACATACCCGACCAATGCTTCGGAAAGTCAACACAAAAAGACTTTGTCAAGTTTTGGTCTAAATTTGCAATGCTTGATGCTATGAACTAGACTGCTGGTCTCTCAACCGTATGATGACTTGCGAAAATCAGTTGCGGCACCGTCCCTTGTCTTCCGAAAACTACTGCATTGAGAAAACTCAGAGTTCTAGACTTTGACCAGTCGTTTCGGGCCAGCCAGGCGGCCCAAATACTCCAAAATTCAATCTCCACCTGCCGTTTGTGAACTCCGGCAATCCGGTACTTTTAGAAATGTTCAGACGATGGCGTCAGAATATCCAGAACTGGACTCTCTGGCCGATATGGTTTCCATCCTGGCCGCGGACTTCCCCACGTACGTATTCAGATAGCAGTACAATAAGGACCTTTTCGTCCGTCTCTGAGTGCAGTTTGTAGGAGAGAGTCGCTCCTTTTGATGATATCTCACATTTCAAGCTCATGAATGTCCTTTCGCGCCAAATAAAAGAAACATGTTGGTTCAGGAGAATCTCATATTACTCGAGAAGCCATCAAAGGCTGGCTCATCCAGCTCGGATTCAACCGCGCGCAGAACCCTGGTAAGATCGCACAGCCCTTGCGTCTTGCGCAAAGCCCGCGCAGGTCCACCCGTAACAAGTGTCACTGACAGGGTCAAAGATTCGGGGCGTCCTTTTCCATCTCAAGACACTCTATCTCTTCACGAGAAGCGACGTCAAGACCGTGCTCGCACCTCAGATCATCTTCGTCGTTGCGGTGGTCCTCAGTCGAGAGCGCCTGACAACAGGTGATGAGCCGGCGTCGCTTTACGCACTGCGACGGTTACCTCTGGCCGTGGCATGGATATGGTTCAACCTCATCATATGCGGCATTTCGAACCAGCGACTGCCGGAGTCTATACTTGAAGACGAGCACAATAAACCGTGGAGGCCGATCGCCGACAATAGATTGACGCCGGAAGAGGCACAAAAATTACTGCTTGCCATCATTCCGTTGGCGATGGTATCAAGCTTGTTCCTGGGCGGGTTTACACCTACTGTCACAATGATGGCTTTGTTATGGATGTATAACGACCTCGACGGCAGTAGCATCAATGTCTGGGGACGAAACGCAATCAACACTGGAGGGATAATGTGCTTCAGCGCCGGGGCGCTGGAGGTGATGTCTGGTGGGCAACTTCTCCCCAAGGCGTGGACGTGGATCGGGCTCACTGGCGCCGCGATTGCGTCAACTGTTCAAGCACTGGATTTCCCAGACATGGAAGGCGACAGGGCGCGAGATCGGCAGACTATACCACTGCTGTACGGCGAGACATTTGCTCGGAGGAGCTTGGCGATGGCGGTGGTGTTTTGGTCCGCTGTTTGTTCATCATTCTGGGAGCTGCGGCTATCTTGCCGAGCGATACCTTTGAGTGTGGGGTTTACGATGGCTGTTTTGACCGTTATGAGACGCGGCGAGAAGTGTGATAAGATTGTAGCGAAGCTGTGGTGCATGTGGATGTCTGTCTTGTACTTGTTGCCTCTTCTTGTATGACATGAGAAGAAAAGCCTGAGAAGCTTGCTCACAAACAAGCTGGAAGGAGTTAATTGTTTGGCTGGGCAGTTAATCAAGGAACGGCGGTTGTGCACTCTTTAATACTCTACCTAACATCAGATATACCCCATAGAACCCAATCCATTCTTCACTCTTTCAGATAGCATATTGCTTCAGCAGTTTGTGTATAATCAATACTCTTTCTCGCTATTATTGGATATCTAGTATTTTTAATTGTTGTGAAATGCCAGCACAGGAAGTACCTAAGTATCCTGTTTGGTTATGATGCAGGCAATTGGTTGGTTTTAACAACGCATTCAATGTCATGAACATGTTCCTATGTAGCAAAAGCTTCTTACTTTGCTATACCAAGCCCAACTGGGAATTTGTGACTTAATCGTTCTACCAAACTACTCTCAAAATTGTGGCTCGTGATTGAAATATAGTTGCGTTAATCTCGTGCCTCAACGCTAGCCGATACAATCATGCTAGAACTAAACATCGTTAATGATTTTCTAATAAATTGATTCAAACCGAGTGCTGCGTAATAAACAAAAAATCGAGCTAAATCAAAGCTTGCACATCAAATTCGTCATCTATTAGGTATGTTAAAATCTCGACTTATTCGTCCACAGCAGTAAGCTGACGTTTGACCGTAGCCTCTTCAAGCTACTCCGTTACTGGGATACGTCACTCTAAATAACCGGTGCCGCTTTGCCGCCCATGGCCGTAGATACTAGAAAGGAAGGTGAAATAATATCGCCGAATCATATTTCGGGGCTCAAGGTTATCTTGCCCCGCACGTCTTCAGTCTGGGAATCCTTCAGGCCTTGTATGAAACGCGTCACGCCACGCGTAGGCAGTGAACTATTTATTTTGCAGGATAAAAACCTGTCGGTCGTCGTTGCTGATTGTCAAGATTGATTTGAAATCTAGCCTGAAAGAACTCATACTGATCTCTTCGCTCAGCTACAATGTTGTCCTCAGCGGTAGTGCTGTTGGGGGGCCTCATTAGCCTTACCAGTGCCCAGTTTCCACCGAAGCCGGAGGGGGTCAAAGTGCTGAAGTCTAGATTTCACGAAAATGTGACCATCTCGTATAAGGAGGTGAGTTGAAAGGAGAAGATATCCTATTGCGTTGAGATGATCGGAATTGATGTTGGGCCGATAGCCAGGGATCTGCGAAACGACTCCCGGCGTCCGAAGTTACGCGGGCTATGTTCATCTCCCGCCCGGGACTCTCGAAGAAGGGACCGGCGAGCCGCAGGACTATCCAATCAACACGTAAGGTCCATACAACATGTCCCGGTGACACTGACTGACCAGCAACGTCAAAGATTCTTCTGGTTCTTTGAGGCTCGAAAAGCGCCTGAAAATGCCCCGCTAGCTATCTGGCTAAACGGTGGCCCTGGCGCCTCTTCCATTATGGGACTGCTTGAGGAAAACGGCCCTTGTCTAGTCAACGAAGACTCCAAAACTACGCGGCTCAATCCGTGGAGTTGGAACAACGAAGTTAACATTCTTTACATTGACCAGCCCAACCAGGTAGGCTTCTCATACGACATCCTCACAAACATAACCGTGCACAAGAACGAGGATGGCTTCATACAGGCGTACCCCGCGGATTTCAGCGAAGGGGTCCCTGATGGTAACTGGACATACCGATACGGAACAACGTCCAGTCAACAAATCAACCAGACAGCCAGCACGACAGCCCAGGCTGCTCACGCCCTTTGGCACTTTGCACAGACTTGGTTCTTCGAGTTCCCTTTCTACAAGCCGATTGATGACCGCGTGAGCCTGTGGGGTGAGTCCTACGGCGGACACTACGCACCTGGTATCTTGAAGCATTTCCGAACCCAGAACGAGCTGATTCGGAACGGTTCTTCCACCGAGGATGGTGCGCAATACATCCATTTGGATACGTTGGGCATTGTCAACGGCCTCATTGATTTCCTCATCCAGGGCGAAACTTGGATTACGTTCCCTTATAACAACGTGAGTGGACCGCGCAGTGTCACAGACAAGAAGCAACGCTAAACAAAGAAATCCGTAAAAGACATATGGAATCCAAGTCTTCAACCAATCCATTTATGAGGAGTTGATGTACAACTGGACCCGCCCGCAGGGTTGCCGGGAACAGGTCGCCGACTGCCAAGACGCGCTCAAGAGACACGGCCCGCTATTCGCAAACGACCACAAGAGGAACTACACGGAGATCTGTGGGGGAGTCAGCCAAGACTGTTTGTTTAACGCTGTGTCGCTGTACCAGTCGATGGATAATGGCTGGTATGATATCGGCCATCCCAAGCACGACCCTTTTCCAGCCCCGCACCTCTATGGGTATCTCCTAGAAAGTGAGATCTTGTCTTCACTCGGCGTGCCGGTTAACTATTCAGAAGCATCGGGAGCCGTGGGTAAAGCTTTTGATTCGACTTATGGTAAGAAGCTCTGTTTTCGATGATCGAGATTGAACCTTTTAACAGCTATCAACTACAGACATAATCCTGGGCGGGTTCAGGGAGTCCATTGGATACCTCCTCGATAACGGAGTCAAGGTTCACTTGATGTGTGAGTACACCTCCAGCCTCGAAGCTTATCTCAGAAAAGTGCCTTTCGTCTTCTAACAGGACCGTGCAGACGGCGATCGCGACTATGCCTGCAACTGGGCCGGTGGCGAAAAAGCAAGCCTCGCGGTGCCCTACAAGCACTCCGAGGAGTTTGCCAACGCCGGCTACGCACCGCTCGTAACGCCGGACGGTATCACGGGAATGACGCGGCAGTTTGGCAACTACAGCTTCTCGCGAGTGTACCAGGCCGGGCATGAAGTGCCGTCGTACCAGCCCGTGACGGCGTACGAAATATTTATGCGGGCGACATTTAACCGCGACATTGCCACCGGTCTAATTCCCGTAACTGATAAGTTATCGACGATCGGGCCTAAAGATATCTGGCACATCAAGAACGTGCCGCCGCAGAGACCCGAGCCGACATGCTACGTGCTCAAACCCGACACCTGCACGCCTGAAGAGTGGGAAAAGTTGGAGAATGGCACGGCGCTGGTGAAAGATTACTTTGTGATTGGGGATGTTTCTGAAAATGATGACGCCAGAACCACTGAGGGTGCTGCGGTGGAAGAGCAGCAGGTCTTTGAGGAGCTGTAAAGCTTGAGAGGCTAACGCTGCAGTGCTGCAGGCCTAAAGACGCAGCACATAGTGTTTTCTGCTAGGGCAACTTTAGGAGCAGGGAACGAAGATTAAAGCCCCTCAGCCAAGTGTGTTTCATTGATTGGATGTAGAGGAGAAAACCGTCGGAAAACGTGCAGCGATGGCCGCAGTTTCGTGCCTTAGCGCCAGTTCAATGGAATGGTTTGGTCTAGTTATGAACCGCGCTTTTTTAAGCTTAGCTATCTACGTAGTAGGCTCCATACAAAAAAAAAAAAAAAAAAAAAAAAAAAAAAAAAAAGGTACCATTGTGCACGAATCGGTGCCCCTTATGAGAAGAAAAGCAGGGCATCAGAACTTGCACCCGGATGAGGTACAATATTGGGCGTCATGAAAATTGATTAGATTAAAGAAACATTGATTCATCTGAAAACGCAATTCGCCGGGTCTCATCGGTGAGACTCACCGTCCCGTTTGGCGGCATTTCATCCGATCCGAATTACATGGATCTCATCGACGGGAGGATGTTGCGCCGGTGGCACAAACAGCACTGTTTCCTCCCCCACCCGGGAGGCGCAGCAGCCCCGGGTGGCCTATGAGCCGGAGTCTTAAGCTGATCAGGCCAATCACAGTGGTTGTTCTAAGCTTTGAGGCCGCGTTGTCAGATGGAATTTGGTTGTTTGGCGTCGGCGGTCAACGCGGCACCAGCAGGGCGGGTGAGATCGGGCCTGTACATTAGCAGCAAATGCAAAGACGCTTTCACATGCCTGCTGGGTAGTTGAGACAGGAAATGATATCAGGACCCAACAGCCCGGCCATTTTATCCCCCCCGCAATGATAAGAGAGTGTCGCAGAAGTGGCTTGTTTTCTCCATTTCATTTATATACCTGCGCTTTGTTGTCAAGTCAACTCCACTGATTTGCAGATTCAGTTGTGTTTTGGGCATTTGCTGGCTGAAACAGTGCTGAAACCTCAGTCACCGCTCGCAAAACTCCTGAATACAGGCTGTCGACCCTTTTTCTTACGACTCTTCCAGCAAAGAAACAATCAGATTGAAAGGAATTCAAGACACAAAGTACGAGAACGAATTTATAGGAAACGATTTCATAGACGGTGAAAATTTTGGACGAGGAAATACGGATACGATAGCTTCTTCAGCTGCTGGCAACACATCATCGAGCCACAACATGGACACGAAGTCATTTGCATCTCGCATCAGCGACCTCGTCAAGGTAAACAGCTCAGAATCCACTCTTGGCAGGATCCGGTTACTGTGAAGCCTGGGCTTTTCAGTAGCGGGTCCGGTGACCGAATCGAGAACCCGTCATCGCTAACAATTCCCACGCCTAGTTCCTCTCATCCGTACAAGGCGACCTTTCCAATGTGACTGCTCCGCCGTCCTTCCTCGCGCCATCCTCCGTGGTAGAGGTTGGCCACTGCTGGTCCCAGCGGCCCGGTGTCTTCGTCGCCCCGGCTCTAGAGCCGGACCCGGAGAAACGCTCTTTGAAAATGCTGCGTATGATTCTTATTGCTATGCGGAGCCAGTTTTACGTCGCCGGTGCTCCCAATGTGAGCATCAAGAAGCCCCTGAACGCTTTCCTGGGAGAACTATTCCTCGCATCCTGGACCGAGGGCAAGGCCTCTACGAACTTGGTGGCTGAGCAAGTTAGCCATCATCCGCCCATTACAGCGATGCACATCGGTAGCAAAGAGCACGGAATTCGGGCTGATGGATACGCGCGAGTCGAAATGACTTTCTCGAGCAGTGTCAACATCCGCCAGATTGGGCATGCCGTGATACATATTGACAAGTACGACGAAGATTACTTGGTTCCGCTCCCTGATGTCAAGGTTCGCGGGTTCTTGAACGCCTGCTTGTACCCCGAGGTTATCGGCACCTATTACATCGTTTCCAACACAGGATTCATCTCGGAAATAAAGTTTTCGGGCACGGGAGTCTTTAGGGGGAAGAAGAACTTCTTCGAGGCTCGTATGTACCACAAGAACGACAAGAAGGCTACCATCTTCACGGTAGAAGGCGTCTGGAGTGAAGGTTGGATTGTCAAGGATGGAAGAACGGGTGAAGTCTTGGAACACTACGAGGTCGACGCCTTGGAGAACCTGCCTGCGCCCATGGAAATCGAGCCAATCGCCAGCCAAGACCCTTGGGAGTCGAGACGCGCGTGGAGTGGTGTTATCGAGGGTCTTGGCAAGGGCGATTTCCGCGAAACGGTAAACGCAAAGAGTCAAGTCGAAGAAGCGCAACGTCGGATGAGAGCGGAAGAAAAGAAGAATGGCGAGACTTGGGAGCCCTTGTTTTTTAAAAGCATTCCTGGGTCGGATCATGAGGTTTTCCACAGGTTGGCCAAGGGGGTGGATTGGCAGCTGCAGGACAAGCATACTAAAGGCGTTTGGAGGATCGATGATGCTAAACGGGATACGGTTCAACGGCCATTTAGAGGGGAATCGACGCCTTTAGGCTAGGCGATTCTTGGGTAGATTTGTATTTATTATGTCGGATGACCGGTGTTTTGGGCCTACAATGGATGGGGAACAGCGTTCGTTTTTTCTTTTCTTTTTTTTGTCTAGGGACAATGGGGCAATACAAGATCTACGTGATCGAACTTTCAACTTTTTGAAACTCAGATACAGTATGTTGAGCATGTTGATGACTTACACTAAATCATTTAACCATCTTACGATTTGAACAACACTTGAACCATCTTCAGGTTATACGGAGCTATATCATCCAGTCAACTCAATTCATGTCTCATAATTAGGCTGATAAATTTGATATACAGGTGTTGCAGTCTGCATGTAAAACAGGGGAGTTTTGCATTCTACCAATGGTATTCCATTTGAAGCTTTCAGTATTGGTTACATAGGTATCTTGGGCTATCTTCTCTCCTGGATACAACTTCAACTTCGTAATTATCATAGGTGGCACAATGATGATATTCAGTCTGGCTCGCCGCAAACTCGCACCACTATTTTTCCCACTGTTCTCTCAGTCTTGAGTTTCCCATACGCCTTTCCAGCGTTCTCCAACTCAAATTCTTCCTCGATGACAGGTCTAACCTTACCCTCTTTAATCCATTGGCCAACTTGTGCACAATCCTGGGTATTGGCCGTTACAGAATGAAATTTGAATTTTCTCTTTCCTCCACCAAGAAACCCTGGTAGGATATAAATACCAATCAGAGTCCTGAACGTTTTGAACTGCAACGGAAGACCGACGGATACATACGTTCCTCCAGGCGCCAGATAATGGTGACATTGCCAGTATAAGTCGCCATTTTGGAAGACAGTATCCAAAATGTGGTCGTAAAACTCTTCTTTCCGCTTCAATGACATTACAAGGTTCTCTTTCTTGTAGTCAAAAATGTCATCAGCACCAAGACTCCGGCAAAACTCGGCATTCTGTCCCGAGCAGACGGCTGTAACGCGAGCACATCCGAGGGCTTTGGCAATATGAATAGCGAATATCCCAACGCCGCCGCTGCCGCCGTTGATCAAAACTCTACTCCCGGGCTTCACAAACGGGGCAAGAGCTTGGAAGGCAGCGATACCACAGATCCCAACGCAAGCCGCATCTCTCAGTGCTACACCCTCTGGTAGCGCGGCGATTCCTGCTTTCCCTACAACCACGTACTCCGCCAGTGTTCCGCACACAGGCGGTTCCGTTCGCCCGAAGACGCGTTGGCCGGGCCGGAGGGTGTCCAGGGTCGTCGAGACAACTAATCCGGAGAAATCGAGTCCAGGTGTGGCTGGTTTGGTGATGAAAGTGCTGAAGAAGGGTAGCTCAGCTACTTTGTAATCGAGGTGATTCAGAGATGCATAAGATACTTTGACGAGCGTATGGTCTTTCGGCAGTGTTGGGAATCTTGCGTTGGTGGTTACTTTGAGGTTCTTTTCGATGCCGTTGCTTATGGTGCGCCACTGTGCGGCGCGCATGGTTGGCGTGAGAGGAGTTGGCGAGGCCATGCCGTTTGAGTGAATGTTGGGCAGTTTGACAATAATTCTGATGAATTTGGGAGGTACCAGGAAGACGAAGATCGTAAAATGGTATAACCATGTCGTTCACTGATATTTTTTTTTTTTTCGAGCAGAAAGTGGTATGATGCCATAGTCCGCTCGGGGCCAGGGCTTATCGCTATGTTCCGACGGAGGCTTGGGACGCACCGTGCTGACGAGTGCGTGATGGAATGACAAGCCTGGCTAGTCATCTGCCGTGAGGCTTTGTGGTGTTAGTCGTGCATGAGAGGACCCTATTCGTCCAAATATATGCTGCGCCATGAGTGATCTCTCCACTGGCTGTGGGCAACACATCTTTGGCAGTGGCTTGGCTTCATGTGACGAGTGAATCAGGAGATGGAGATGCAGTCACTGATCCAACAAGCCACTAGACGCGAATCTAAGAGCTTACCATGGTATCGCACATTTTGACACAACAGCCCAGTTTGAAAATGCAGCTAACAACGAATTCATAACTGAATGTAAATTAGACAAGTGATTTCACTTGAATAATTATTGGCAGTACTATCTCTCCTACATTTACGATTGGGAGTAGAAACAATTAAGTGGCTGATGTGCAGTATTCTTCATTGGATTAATCAGTACCTAGTCAGGGTGGTTACGAAATCCCAGAAGATGGTTGACGAATTGGAAAGAGGGAACACCCTTGATGACCTTGCGTATTTTGAATTGAACTTATCAACTACAAAGAGCTATATGATTCCTACATCATTTCTACCAGTTGATTTCCATGCATTAATCAAGCCGCGGTCCAGCATATCCCTTGTTGGCATATCCAAACCAGTTTCCAAGGGCAAACAGCGCCATCACTCCAATGATGGCACATGCATAATCTAAGTGTATCAGTCAACTAAATCCAGAATTAGATGGCAGGGAAACTCACTCATGTTCGAAGCTGTAACTGGCATGACCACTGGAAAGTTATAGAAAATCAGGGCGACAAGACCCATGACGATGGTCAGTACATTCGCAATGGCTCCGATAAACCCAGGTAATCTAAATTTGCGGCGTGGTAGTAGGCGCTCAAAAGCTGCAGCGCCCTTGGACCTATGATACAATGCCAATGCCGCAGGGAATGCGAAACTGACTTGCTGAAGGATGAGACCAGTGGCTACCAGGGCGTTGAAAGCAGTCGAGGAGCCAAGAAAGATGCAGCCCAGAGCGAAAATCAGGGCCGAGTTTACGATAAGTGCGTTGACGGGTACGCCGAGGCTAGGGTTAATTTTGCGCAGAAACGATGAGAAGATGATGGCGTCATCACGGGCGAATGACCATGTTAAACGGCTGGCGGTCTGTATGGCTCCTCCACAAGCAAAGCAACCGCACGTCAAAAGAATCACGACGAAGACTGTTGCGGCGGCGCTAGATCCTGTTGCCTGAGACCAAATCTCCAGAATCGGTAGTCTGCGGAAAGGTTAGTAGTCGGATTGTAGTCAAGTCGTGGCCCAGAGTCTTACGGGGAAGAAAGAACGGGCTCAATCTCAGTAAAACTGTACAGCATCGCGACGCTGAATACAAAGGCTGACACGAAGCCAATGATAATTGTAGACATCAGCGCTTTTGGAATGGTAGTTGCCGCATGGGTGCATTCCTCGGCGAGATGGATGGCCCCGTCGAGACCAGAGTAGATAAAGTTGGGATTAAGCAGGCCGGTCAGGAAGACAATGCCATTAGAAGACCATCCGCTCTCATTAATGAACCCTTTCCAGACGAATGAACTGTCCTGTTTTTTCTCGGACCGAGCTAGGCATGTTATGGTAATCACAACAAACCCAGAGAGGGAAAGCACAACTAAGCACTTCGTAAGTTGAAGCCCATGTGATTCTCGCCCGAGAGAGCACTGTACGTATTTATGAAGTACTTACATCCGATATCATGGATCCAAGCTGTGCGTTTCATTAAGAATATGTTGTATGCTGTGAACGCAAAATTGAAGCCTTGGTATAACAGGAAGATGTGCCATGTTTCCGGGACGTAGGTCGGGTCGAGGTATGATGCTAGGGAGAGAACGATTACAGGCATTTGGATGATGAAGCCCGCTCCATTCGCAATCCATCCTAGAAAGTTGACGGATCCACAACAGTAGCTCTATCCAAATTGTGGTTAGCCTCCGCTTCCGATAGCCGGCCAAGCTTATGTATCTCACTAATACGCGACTGAGCCGTTTGGGTGCAAGAATGCTTGTCCAATGGTACTGGCCTCCAGCTGTCGGGTAAGCGGACGCAATCTCTGCCAAGCTCAGCGCACAAGAGCCTCCGAGAACGAATATCAGAATGATGCCGTATAGCAACGTGACCGGCCCGCCGGAGACGACAGATATCGCCAACGTTGCAGAAATGGCTGACCAGCTGTTGCAAATATTCCAACCTAGCCCAGCAATCGCAAAGGGTCCGATATCCCTTTTCGTCTGAGTTTCAAGGCCCAGGCGGAATAACTCTGCATCTTCGTCGCTACTAGTTTGGATTGAGCCATCTGTAAATCATTTTTGTTAGCGAATGGTGTTAAAATCATTCGACGGCAGCTAGCGTTTCAACCGTGGCCTACTCTTGTCTGCGTTTCCTCGGTCCAACACGTATGTAGAGGGTCCCTTGTTTCCTGGCAGATCGTTTGAGAGCATGACGGAGACTATCGCACTTGACACACTCAGGCTATGATAGCCCTTGAGACGCTGTAGAAGACAGCACGGTGCCTAACTGATCGTAGTAAAATCTGGAAAAAACAAGATGGAACTGTCAAAAAGTAGCAGAAGTGCGGGCATAATATCTATTCTTCTATGCTCGCTGGGGTCCTTGATATTTCGGGCGCAAAAGCCCACCTAGGAACGAGCCGGTGCGGGAAAGGCAAGTGCCCGGTAGATGGTTACATTGACGACTGCCCCTAGGCTGCAGTCATCCTTTAACCCTTACTTATGTACAAGGCTTCGGCCGCTCTCATTCGTGGCGTATCCTTCAAGTTTCACACTTAAGCAATCATATCTACCGACCTAATGCAGCGTGATTTAGGCTCAAACGGCAGCTAGCCGTCTCGGTCCAGTCCTCGTCTGTGAAAGAAAGACACGCCATGCTCAGGCGATCCAGATCAATCATTAGATTGTCGGGGAGCTAGTGCGCCATCATATGTTCGTTCTGTACCACATTTTCTTATTCGGATACAGGGCCCGAACCCTTACATATGATTATCAACACGTGGCCCTTGGCATCAGAATCTTGGACTATTTATGGTCCATTGCACATGTACTCTTCATATCCATTCCAGGCAGGTGTCCTGGCAGATCCGCGGAGGAAAAAAGTTTCCAAAGTTGTATTTTGAAAGCGCATTAAAAAAGATACGCGTATAATCCAATGCTTCTCCATCATTTGTGTAGATGTTACTGCGCTCTGCATCAACCATAAATGACGTCAGTCTTGGATAAGCTAGGCATGCCCATGTCTCGCTCTTGTTCACGTTGGCTCGATATGGCACCCGGGCTGCCCACATGACGGGCAGACCGACTGACGGCTATAAGACCGACAGCCACTTCCTCCAGCACTTCTGCTGGAATTTATTCTAGAAGATATACAGACGGACTAGCCACAAATAAAGACTGGTTTTTCCCCATCAGTTTATCCCACTTTACGGGTATCCTGTAATACCAAAAAGGCCCATAATCCGATCCCTAGTGCGAGCAATTGTTGTTCAGAAAGATATCTAAACTACCTATACTAATCCAATTATAAAAGAAAGAGCTGCACAAGACACATACATTGTCAATGACTTCCTTTTTTCAAAGTCGGCTGTTTGGTCGAAAGAAACATTTTGGAAGCTATTTATTGTAATTTTCCTTTTGAGAATTAATCATGCTATTTGCTAGATTGTTCCTCCCTCTAGCAAGCTATTCCATCGAGCTCTAAGGCAACAGGTACATACTCCTATGGGTAGTGTGCACTTGGAGACCATAAATATCTTCGCTATCCTTATGTTTCACGAATTCCAACTGCACAAGGGGTACTAGGAACTGTCTTACATATATAGCGCCATTTAAGTGCCGGATTCGATGGAAAGAGCAGTTAGAAACGCTAGGAGGGATAATGTACCGTTGCGTATTCATTGTATGACAAGAGAATGTGCGATGACAAATTCGGGGCTAGGTGTTACAGTTCTTCCGGCTAGCACTTGATTATAACTGGCAGAAGTAGGAGCCGTGATAAGAACAGAGATGTAAACAGAATAGTACGAAAGTAAAATAAAAAAATGATCACGAGGCAATAAACAACGATAAATAGATAAACGTAGGTATAAGCAGTTGGTTCTTCTATTGACTGTACCTCCTAGCTGAGATGCCATCATGGGCGTCTCTTGTACGGGTCCGGCTGGCACGTGAGATATCACGATAGTTAGCCACTGAATAATACTCTATATTACTAACTTATATGGAGAGTAATTATGTTGAATAATTTCCTTTAAAGAAAATAGAGTGTAAGAAGCGTTCTATCAAGTAGGTAACGGCTGCGTTTTCTAAGATATAATTTGCTTATAATAAAGTTATAAGAACAGAGTCAAAGCCTTGTTATAGTGAGTTAAAGAGACGGAAGAATTTTATAAGAGAGAAAATATCTATCTAGAACCTTAAAAGAAAAACGGTTTAGTAATAGTATTGATAGGAAAATTAGTATTTCTAATATGAAAATTACCGGCATTTTTAGTAACACCCACCCCAACCCCTTCCTTATATAGTCATGATTTCCATTACGTAGTATTCGGTTAAGGGTTACAGGCACTGCGTGGATAGTGAGCCGAAAGAACCATTCGGATCATGGCTGCCATAGCGATGGTTGATATATTGGCGAGCGGTTATCCTGCTACGCCCGGTAGGGCAGGCTTCAGGCTGGATTCATTAACTAACAGATTTCGGGTCGTAATAATTATGGGTCAAAAGTGCTGATTGGCTCTAAACTACCTTATCTTTGGCGAAACTAGGGCCTTGCAGCACTCATTGGGAACTTCTTACTTTAGGAAGATGCGAGAATAGGACGTTCATGTTCCAGATGCTCTTGGCTGCGTTTAGCAGGATGGAATCTGTCTAGTTACCGTCTTCATCAAGCAGGCCAAGTAATTACTGCAGTGACGGCAACTCACTTAGCGCCCTGTTGATATGAGTGCTACGAACTCAACATACCAAAACCTGTATTAATACAGAGCCCAGCCAGTAAGCAAGAGTCTTTGGATATCATGGTTAAATACAGAAAGGTGGATTTACTACCCCGCTCCTCGCCCGAAATGTATGCGACATAGCTATTCTACTTCGGACCCCTGTGGAGCAAATTCTCTGCGAGCCATGCTATTTCTACTTTTTGAGTCATTTTCCCCTCAGCCCCATCACATCAACTGCGACAGGACCCCGTTTTTGCCAAGGGCGGGGTAAAGCTAATCAGGGCTCTTATGCTTACTAGTTTTGTTAACTTATACCTGGATTTAGGGTATACAGATTACCTAAAACTTCGAGACGTAGAAGAGGTTCTGAGCGGGGTATAGACAAGAGAACTACCTTAGTTCCATGGCAATAGGATGTAAAGGGATTGAGGAGTGTTAATTCGCTTTGTGTCGATCGAGCAGTATGCATGTATTGAGGGCTTTAAAAGAGGTATCAAGGAGTAGCGTCACCATGCTGTAAAAGTAGAAGAGAACTCGGAAAAGCTACTTGGACTGTAGAATAGTGTTATGTAATGTACTAACAAAGATTGCGGCCACCTTTGGCATTCCTAGGATCTATACCTTGAATAGATGTACTATAAACGTTAGTACCTGAACCTATCAAAGCCTCGCGCATCAAAGCCCTGGTTGAATTTACCCTGTCATTGGCAAAAATGGGGTCATGTCGTAGTCTATGGGATAAAAGATGCTAATCACATCTTGTGAGTAGAACTGTGGGTCATTCATGCCCCAAATGTCTACGAATGCTATCAACGGAAATCTGGTTCCGAACCTGCAATGGGCATTTTCCCCCACGGCTCATTGGCAAGACACTCTTCGAATTTTCAAGGTTTCCAGCGGACACCTAATCTCTATATAAAGGAGCAGAATATCCATTGACTAGGCTACATTTCTACACCAACTCATTACACCATAATAACAAGAATTAGCTTTCAACCAAAGCAACTGCTCATAGCCATCATGAAGTTTACAACTCTCGCAGTTTTTGTTTCGGCTCTCTCCGCTGTCGCCGCTGCTCCAATGCCGGACACTACACCTTCAAACTCCCCTCACCAGCTATTCAAGCGCAAATCATGCCCCAGCTATTACAGATACAAGGGCGTAAGTTGTAAAAATGGATAAGAAAAGATACTACAAAAGTTCCCTAAGCTGACAAACTTTAAATCACAGGTGTGCAACGGCACCTCGTGCCGATGGGGCCTGATCAACTACAGATGTGAAAGGGGATCTTGTGTATGTTATTCCTGTTTCATGCTCTCTCCAATGAGTTACAACTCTTCACATGTCGTATTCTTGTCTTTGCATTAGATGAAATAAAGATTAGGTGCAAGGGAGCAGGGGTTGGCCAAATGTATTTCAACTAACCTCTAATACTGTTTAGGTCGGTAATGGCGGCGGCGACGGATCTTGCTGTGGTTGGCCCAACGGAGGCAGCCCAGCCATCTGCCCTAACGGAGGATTTTAACACTTGGACTTCCGAGGATGACTAACGAACAAAAGAACAAAAGAACAAAAGGGTAGATCACACATCGAGATTAGTCTTAACATCTAGTTTAGCGGATTAGAAATCGTCCAGAGTCTTCAATATCCCCAAGATCATCAATACTAACATCGTCGCATCATCATCCATGTAAAAGTAATTAAAAATTTGTATTTGTTGCGATAGTTGGAATACGGGACCGTGTGGCCACCCGGCACGGAAGGATAACTAAGCTATAAGGCAGAGCTATCCCATGCAAGGGATAACTCTAGGTGTCTCATACCTATCCACGTATATAAGGGACAACTGTCGTTTCACCTCTTAGATAGAACATAGAAGAATCATCAAGGAATTTACAATGCTCTACCAAGCATGGATGCTTCTATTCTAAAGTATTGCGATGCCCACTTCGATAGCGTAAACCCTAGTATGCATTGTATGAGATATTGTTCTCGTTTTCGTACTTCACGTTTGACATACCTGAACTATCCACTGTACGGGAAGATTAAATCCTTTCGATTGCTGAGCGGTGATAGTATTTGAGAGTGCCATGTATCTACTACATAGAACAATAAACCTGTTGGTATCACAGGATACCCGTGAAGTGGGATAACTGATGGGGGAACTGGTCTGTATTTCTGTCTGTGTCTGTCTATAGAAGAAGTTCCAGCAGAAGTGCTGGAGGAAGTGGCTGTTGAACTTATAGCCGTCAGCCGGTAGGACTGCCGGCGACGGAGCCACTTCAACTCGGAGTTCCGGCTATTCCAACAAAACCAATAGCGAGGTTTATAATCGTTGGAGTCAAGCAGAAGAGCAATTTGTTTGCATACGAAGCACTGAAGTTGCAGTTGGGCATCGTATTTCATTTTTAGAGTAAGTGCTTTGTGTATTCGAATCGGATTGTATTAGCCAACATTTGGCTGTCTCCTGGAATTAATTGTCTAAAAGCACGGTCTTAATAACAACTTCTTGCAGACTTGATTGTCAGCTGTGTGAATTTGGGCGGTCAAATGTAGTCCGCAAGATACGATTTAGATCAGAAAGGCTGACAAACTACCATTACTCGTAAGCATGTTACCATCTCTTGGTTTAAACCTTAGCAATCTCGGGTTCTCTATCGTTAGCTGCTATCATGTTTTATTTCTTAGTGCGTCGCCCATTCAAGTCAATCTCAAGTATTGCTAGCGTCTCGTCTAATAGCTAAAACCCTCGCTAAAAGTCCTTCCTTGATACTTGCATTTCTGTAACTCCGGGTTGAAGTGGCTCTGTCGCCGGCAGTCCTGCCGGTAACCGGGCTGCCCACGTGACGGGCAGACCGGCTGACGGCTATAAGACTGATAGCCACTTCCTCCAGCACTTCTGCTGGAACTTCTTCCATACAGAACAGACACAAGAATACAGACCCGTTCCCCCATTAGTTATCCCACTCCACGGGTATCCTGTGATACCATCAATTTCAATACTAAAGGGCAAAGATAACATTGACGGACGCAAAACTCTCAATAGTGCCAAGGTTATTCGTCGTGTTGATAGGTCTATACTATAGCAAAAGTGAAATAGCTAGGTGCTTAGCACAGTTGCTATAGTCGGAATGCTGAGTTGAAGAGGCACCATGGCGGCCCAAGCTGCCGGTCGTCGGCCACCAGGTCTCACATGGGTAGGCGACATCATATACCCACGTGACAGGCAACTGGAAGAGCTGTAGCTCATTCAATCACTTCGACCTGCTCTTCTACAGCTTCATCTTTAAAATACCTGACTTTCAACACAGTTAGAGAGAACTCTGTCTCTTACGTCTTTACCTTTACGGACATTCCGTAATACCAACACCTGTCTTTTGTTCATGACACTTGCAGCAACCAAGAGTGATTGTAGAGCCCTCTAAAAGCTAACTTGGTGCTGTCAGCGAACATATATTGGGTGTGTATGAATGTGGTCAATCTGTCATGATTTTCTCTTTGGAACCGACACACCAGTCCGCTAAAAGGGGCGTGTTATAGGAACCAGTTGATATCGTTTGGCATAGCCATAACACTTACTTGGCAAAAGCTGTTTACATTGGTACTTTGATCCGGTATTCTTTTCCGGCAAGGTCTAGATGCTAGAAATAGGCTTGATATCGTAGAACAAGCAGTTGTCCTATTCCCTTGCACCCCATTCGCTCTACCATTATCTGACGGGATTATGATGTCCCAGTTAAAGGAAATTGATGAGTGAATGCAGTAGTTATCAGATAGTGTAGGTAAAACTGTGCATGAGCAATGATGGGCAGTGCATAAGCTTGTCTTACACTACGTAGGCGTTGTCGTGCGATGTGAGTCGTAACACATTGCTCATGCTTCTTTTAACTGTGTCTTGAAAATTTTGCATCGGCTCCCACTTCAAGGATTTCAACTGTACCAAGTGGATTTACAAACGTGTTTCCGGTCAAATATGGAAGAGTGTGCGTACAACACCGAAGGTGGTCGGGAAGTTTGCGCGAACACGGCAACCGGCGGGATCGAACGGCGGACCACCGGGGGATATCGGCACGGAAGTATTAACCTTCTACTCTCGATACCTAGCTAGCTGAAAAGGCTGAAAAGCAGAGGTAGGCTGTGCTCCTGTACCCAGGTGGAAGCCGCCGGATTCCGTCCCAATGTTGTGGCCGTCTAACCCGCCAACAGCCTCGCTGCCAGCGGGATCGCTGTGTAAGTTAAGCGGATTCTCTGACGACTTCCGGCGAAGAGGGCATCGTTACGCGCGTTGGAGTGGATATGCGTCACATTTTTCAAGTATTGCTCACAGCCGTCGAAAGTGGATTTTGTGCACAAAATCCCGAGAAGTGGGCCTAGGGTTGTACAGCGGCTCCGGGTCCATGACTGATCATGGAAGGCCCTGAACCCGGGCCATGAGGGGGGCCGGGGAAGCCGGTACAGTGCCGGACAGTACCCGTACCAATATTGAACCTTGACTATGACAAGTACAGCAAACATAGATTTTATGGAGCAGTATACCCAGGCTTTTGGAGACATATACGAGTCTTGCATCACGCAAGGAGATACAATAGCAACAAAATTATCTCTTCCTTAGAACGCTTCTCATGTCATCCGCTCAAGAATAACGTTCGATTTCACTTGAACAGTCTCAGACATTGCACCGGCCCGGTCAAGGTCTCACTTTTCCCTCCCAACTAGCTTTCTGTGCTCAAAAAACCTCCAAGACAGTAATATGGAATGGACGCACTAGGTTCATCCTGTCAACTTGGCGTACTGCAGATGAGGCTGATGTGGGGGCGTAACCCGAGTGGGTTATGCCAACGCATACTACGTGCCTGAATAGCTGCCTTGCCAGGGATCACGAAGTTTGAAAGTCAGATCATATTATGAACAGCGCTAATTGAGGTTGCCGTTGAGACGTAACAAAAGATGTAAGCCCAATTAGTGTGGCTGGCGAGTTGCTGTAAGCTGCCGTAGCTGCTGTACGCAAAGTTCTAATCCAAAATAAAGGCCGAGAATCTAGGTTTGTCATGACCAGAAATCGAATTACGCCGCCAGCCACTTGTGGCATGATCGGAAATATGGCACACTCAATGTCAAATGGCACAGTTTTGCACTGCGGGTCCGCTGTGGAATCTTTGGCGCCGTGAATTGCTTTTTCTTAGTCGCAGCCGTCGGCCGACTTGCAGGAGGCGAAACACAGTCACGCAGAAGGCATTGCGTCTTGTAGTAGATGTCTCAGTCAGTTACTCAAGTCGGCATGTCTTCTCGGCAATAAAAATTTTCTTGAAGACGGAAAAGTGAGTTGAGGCGTCTTCCTATTTGCGCGGTACAGAATTTGGGGATTGGAATACATGAACCAGGATCCGTCCGTACTAGGATGAGGCCTGAGCGTAGGGCTATTTCGACCTATTTCAGCTCACCGATAACTGGAGGTACTTACAGCAGATCTGCGATAGCCCCTGTGTCTAAGCACGTGTGCTAGGTAATCTTCCCGAAGGCCTCGCTGATCATGGCATACAGCCCTGCAAACTTGAGTGGACCTTGATGGGTTAGTCGCGTGGAATCCGGGGTTGGGGCCATCGGAAGCCATCGGGAGCGGGAATCATCCGTTGTAGACATCACTTCAAAGACATGGCGAGGGAACGTCTAGGATTAGGCATGAATTATTTCCCCATTTATTAACCACGTTAGCCATGGCCCATTTGGATTGGACGACGCATCGAAGGCCGAATCGCCTCTCGCTATTGTCACTGAGATCTCCACCTCTCAATCAACCTCAGGGGACTCCAGATCCACATCATGACCTCCCGCTTTAATGTCGTTGTTGATATTGCTGATGTTGCTCTCTGTTCCCTCTTGACCGGTCGATTTCACCTCCTGTTGCTGTGCATTCTCCGGCTCATCTTCTTTGACCGGCTTGACAGGCATTTCCACCCGCAGGAGATCCACTTCGAGAGCAAGGACACCCTCCCCGAGCTTTGACTTTAATCCGTCTTGATCAACATCAAAGTAGAGTGCCCAAAATTCACCCGTTTTGACGGCGAAAAACCCCTCCCAACCGGCGAAGGTAAGTCGCTTATCCTGCGTTGTGCAATCAAACGGCCCCGTCAGGTTCGGCTGAGCGTACGGACGAGTTCCGAACTTGATTTCGTACGAGTCTCGATCCACGTAGATCCAGTTCATGATAGGCGGCTCGTCACAAATAGTTGACACAAGACCTGAATGTTGGCTATCAGGGTACGGCAGGTAATATCCTGCAAATGGGTGCCCGAAAGCCGAATCAGGGTCAAGGCCAGTGTCGACGAAAAGCTGTACAGCGAGTTTGTTTGGTAAGCGAAGGGAGTTTCAAGCGACAAGACAGATGAAATGGAGACGAGTGGCCGCAATTGGTAGATACCTTGTCTCCAGAGAGAACTACACGTCTTCCTTCAATCTCTGAAAAGTACCGTGTCGACTTACGGCATCGGATGAGTAGGTTGTTCTTGCGGCTGCGGTGTTCTTTCCTTCGCGCTTGTGCTTGTGTGTGTCGGATAGCCTCTGCTGTTCCGAAGGCTGCATAAAATGCGACCAAGAATGCTGCAACCATTGTGGTAGTGTGAGTAACGTCTCTGTTGTGTGGTTTTCAAGAAGGAGACGCTGCTGTCCATAGGATATAGCTTTATGCCAATGTCGAGCGAGATTGCCCGATGTGTCTCTCAGCGCCTCCACAAAGAGCGGGTTATTGAACCAGCATTATCCCCCTAGAATCTAGTAGCTTTCTTTTGTTGGGAGCTGCCGTGAACACCCGTCGGGCAGGGCGATGACTTGTCTCTCCATTGCAGATATCTTCATCACTGAGTTATACAGTACCCGGTTTTATGGCCCTTATCCTTGTCGAGAATAGCGGGAAGAGACACCATTTACGTCCGGTTGAAAGGAAAAGGCGACACCCCCAGCTTCAGCTACATATATACTTGGCATGTCTCAGCCATCAGAAAAGGATAAAGAGCAAACAAACGCCCGCCAGTAATGACAACCTTTTTCCTCGGCAGCACCAGAGTTCCTCAGTATCATAGCACTTCAGCTCCAAGGCATTCACAAAAGACTTCATCAACCAAACAGTCATCAGAAAAACCTCAAAGTCCTACACAAAAATCACGCGAGCCACGCAAGAAGCCTTCGACCAGAGCCATTACACCCGTGCCAGATCTGCAACACCCAACTCCTTCACCTCCAGAAACAACTACTGTCAAAATGTCTTCTCCGTAAGTATTACAAGATCTATGAACTAAACTCGCAGCCAATTGAACCTTGCCCCTAGAACCAAGAACACGGTTCCCCCGGCCACCTCCACTAACCCCGTCAACCTCAGCAACACCGCCACCACCACCAACCCCAACAACTACCTCAACACCGCTAACACCAACAAGTCCATCAGCAATGATGGCTCCGGCAAATCTCTCCCCATGCCTGGCCTTTCGGGGTCGGCCAACGGACCAGTCGGTAAGTCTAACTTGTTCTTCTACTGAGAGTCTATTGATTTTAGCTAATATGCAACACAAAGGCAACCTCCTCAGAGGTCCCGTTGATGAAAACGGAAAGCTCAAGGATGCCGGTCTCATGGTCGGTATCAAGCTTGACCTTGAAGCCGAGGTTCACCTTACCGCAAGGGTCCGAGGTGACATCCTTATTGGGCTATACTAGGCTCACGCGCACAGAGGAGGCCAAGATTGGAGGCTCGAGGATCAAGATCGAGGCCGAGTGCGAAATCATCAAGATGAAGTGCCTAAGCGAGGGCGAGTGTGTTTCAGTTGTCATCGTGAGCCATAAATGGCATATTTCTGTTGATGGACCAGAAGGACGTATCGCTGGTACCTTGTGTATAGCAGCAATAGCTCTCGATTAAGCAACTGAGTATAACAATTTCGCATTCTACAACTTGTAATGATCATGTACGACATTGTTCTTGGCAATTCTAGCAGGGCCAACGAAGTATGGAAATCACATCAGTAGTCTAATCTTGCATCACTGGCATACCCAAATTGGGTTTGACAAACTGAATCCTGACGCTAGACGTTATGTGCTTTGCGATCTACTCACTCAAATGAACTGGTGAATAATCTGTTTTCATGCGAGGAAAAAAAATGGTTTGGTGAAAAGCGACCCAGAATGGCTTCCTTCTAAATCGCTTTGTGAGTGAGGTGTTCATGCCGCCGAGTAGTTTCATTACTCGTGTTTCATGATCCTTCTTAAGCTATCTAATGACTAATAATAATGATCAAAATATCGACAAGCCCCTCCCGATCCCATCCTTCGAGTGTGATAACTGCTTACCCGACAGATGTTTGTCTCGTAAGAAGTCAAGTTCGACGCGGGGTTTCTGAGACAAAAGACGGCAAAACGAGACAATAGCCAGGATTTAAAACTGAATTTGATCTGGTCTGACTGGGCGCAGAAGAGTACTTCTCAATTGTCTGTGCCTGATTGAGTAGTCGCCGCCGGAGCCGCCTCACCTTCAGCTACACTTGCAGAGCTAATGCGATGTGCGTTATTTATCCAAGGATTACACCCTGCAAACTAAGGTAGTTACCAGGAGTAATTCGCGCAAGGAAGTCTACTTTTTCTGCCCTGCCGCCCACCAACATACCTTAAACAGAGACATCGGCGCCATAATATCCGTACCCCTATCCGGCTGATTGATGTCCAGTGGACCGCCTGAAATGTGCATAGCCGACCCGGCAATAAGTGGAGAAGTATAAATCGATATGTTTAGCAGAAGGTGATGAGATAAGAGAACATCGAGAGTTCTTCAAAATTGGGTAATTTTCAACTCAGCTTTATGCAAATTTCGATTCGAACAAGAGACATGGTTTGGTACATCACCCATTGATTGCCTCTTAGTGCAATAGATTCTTCTGTTCTCCTCAATAATATGTCTGGGGCTGACTAACATCAAATCCACAAGAGCAATAATAGTACGGGATAGGAATTGATCAATTATTTGCCTCGCAGGCTGTATTCCGGTTGTAGCTGTTCTCCAAAAATTGGCACAATCCTTACAGTTTTCCTTTACAGGTCAGAAATCACCAGCGATTAATGCGTTGGGAAATCAAAAATAGCGGCCTGTGGAGCCTCACCAAAGCGGAGGGAGACATTTTGCGGCCGATACAGACCATTTTGGATGGATGTCGTGCGAATTTTCTTACTCACCACAGGTATGGTCTATTAAAATCATTCTACGAATTATGAACTCCTGGAGAGTACACTTAGAAGTAAATGCAATGTCATCATGGAATTTCGTCACTTGTTACTTGCTAAAAGAAGTCTTCTTTAAACGACGTACTAGTAAATATTATCGTAGGCGCAACAGACCGTTTGACAGATTTTGCAGCCTAGTATAAAATACCACTACCCTTTAAGGTAATACCAAGTCATAGATCGACATATGAGAGTTAATACTATGTCAAGTTAGCGGTTAGTATACATCGTTAGAGTTCCGAGCATACCATATTGATCGTTATAACATAGTCATCAGCAGGATCGAAGTGCACGCATACAGCAGTAACTACTTGTGCTCCGTTAGATCGAGGAATTCTCTGTATGCCGGTTCTCTCTCTAACAGGAGTGAATTCAGCAGCTCTTGTACCAATCGTGAATTCTCCCCCCTGAAAGTCCGTCGAGGTTATCTCAACATAAGCTGTTTCTCCAACATGCCACGCACGATAGGTAACGTCTCGAACACCAGGGATGGTGTTGTGATTTGGCGGTCCGTTCGGACCTGAAGCTGTGTGAACAGCAGTAGTTATGTCGTGTACTAGAGATGGTGCGAAACCCACAGCGCGCATTGGTACCGATGTGCAACCGCCCCGGGGCTCCAAGATTACTGATTCATTCCTGCCTGAAAGTGGCCATGATGTCGCTAGAGGATAGAGAGTGAGACAGGCAGTGCTGAGTAAGACACAGTTTGATAAAGAAACGAACATTGTCACATAAGTCGTAGGGAATATGAGGGCTCAAGTTGCCCAAGGGTTAACCAGATTATGTTTATTGCGACCCGTCGGAACATATACCCACGTTTATAAAAGATAAACAATTATGTAGGCTAATCTGTAATTATAATAAAAGGAAGAGATTCTGGAACACAACGATACCATAGAAGTTACTTTGTCGCTGGAAGATGGTCGCTTCACTCTACCCTTTAAGCTAACTTATATTGGAGTTAAGTTTCACGGTGATTACGCTCGCAGTCACTTAAGCTTTGTCGTAGTGTTCTTTTGAGTTTACTGGAGGAAGAGCAAGCGTAGTCGGTTATATATTATAGTTTTATCCCTTTAGGTAATATTCCGAATCACGACGTCTCCCTCCCGCGGAACAGCGGTCCATACGGATAATCCGACCATTCTTCACTTTTTCATCGACAGGATTATTATTAATATTCGAAAAAAAATAAAAAAAAAGAGTTTTGTAGTCCTTTAATTGAATCAGGAGGCCTAGACTTAGCGCAAGCAGGGATCTATAACCACCGTGTGCCCATTGAGGTCCTCTAAATCGCAGTCGCCCATCGGTACAAGGGTATTGTCACAGCTTGCCTGGAATGATGGGCCTATCTTTGTCTTTCGTGGGCAAACTTTTGACTTCTCTCCTGCCTGGTATTGCTAACCATAATTCGTTCTAGTGCGTTCGTTGTTGACGACACAATTCTTCTCGTATAATGTTTCCCTGTTCACCCTATTTCCAAATTCAATCATTTGCCTATATTGTATCTCTATCTATTGAACCTTGATTGTGATGAATCGCAATCTAGATTTGATATTGGCTTTGACTAGTAGCAGGTACGATTTGCTCTAGAGCAGCTTAACCTATATCCAACGCTCAAAGCTAGGATTCCACAAAAAGGTTGTCCCACTTCCTATTGTTTGCAGTGGAATATATCGTTATCACATATATGGACACATAAATTCTGATACTTTTCAAGCAGAACTCCTTACCTAATTGTTACATAACCGTCATCCTAGCATCTGAAATTCTACATGGCCGCACCCCTGCGAGACTGGTAATATTGTATTTCCCCCCGCCTTACCAAAGGCATTCTGAACACGAGAGGAACGCAGAAAACAACCGCGGCTCAACATACAAAAATTATCTTTTTGCAGATTCATTTCTTCCAAAAGAAGCAAACCAAGCGACGGATGGGTATACTGGCTCCTAGATTTCCAAGGGAAAGGTCGTTGCGCAGACAAGGTGTGATTACTCTGAAGAAATTTCGTTCATACCTGGCAAAGCCTGAATCTTTTACAAATACGTTGCAGACAAAGCAAATACTTGATAAGATTTTTCTTATATAATACATCTTTTTATCTTGTCTTTGTAAATTTGGATCTTGGATAAGATGTGCTGCAATAATCAGGTTTGCTATATGTTTAGTTCTGTCGGTGGATTGCGTAAGTTGGCGGGGAGATGGAAAACTCTTTGACACTTCTGCATTCGATTAGCAATTTATGAAAGCGCAAAAACCTACTAATAGAGTTACGTTTCGAAGACGCTCGAGCTTGAGGGGGGCCAATGGAGCCCCGAGGAGAAGGTTTGCTGATAAAGTATGCTTTGCTCAAATTTAGCTCACGTACCAGTTAGCTACCATGAACCGTAAAGCCTTAGTGTGAGCTATATCGCAAGAACGAGTTCGGAGACAAGGGGGAAGCACGTTCGAGACCTACGTGCGTGCTTGACATGGAGGGCCTGAAGAAAACTATGACGAATGATGACAGTTGTCTACAAGGAACTTACCTGTTATCATACAGTTGGGATAATTCAGCTGCAAGCCATTTTTCGACCCGTGAAAACGCCAGGTATGCGGGGTTTCTTGATCACGATTCCTCGTTGACTGGGACTTTGTCTTACACCTCACTAGAAAGGGCATTCTGCAGTTGACGTATTAGAGGCTGATTGCAAAACGGCGTCCACACTTTTGCTTTCGCCTAAAGTCAACCGAATTCAGAAGGAATGTTTTATAAGGTACTTAAGGAATGTCTCGAAGTACCCCTCATCCATGCGATTATTCGTACGAGAAACCTTACAGGATTAAAAAGTTGGAAATCTTACAATTACAAAGAACGGTTATCAGGAAGATAATTTTAGGTAACAGGATAGGTGCTTATCCAATAGTTTCTTAGCTCCCCGAAGCTGCTCTCGCTCAGCTTGATATACTTCGGGCTCAATTGGCTAACTCGATGGTGCTTGCTGGTTCTCCTCGATACCATGCGGTTACCCGGATTTCTTTGGTAAAAAAATCAAAAAAGAGATCAAAGAAGTCATGTATTTCTGTCCCCGTATTATTGTAGCAAAAACATTCGTTAAGACGGAGACTTTTTGGTTTTTTTTCGAAACGGAGAAAGGGAAATGGTTGAAAAACCTGGAAGACACATGTGAAACGCGGTAACATTAAAAGCATTCTATTTGGCAAGCCCCTATTTGAATAATGAATCGAAATTCTTCCAGTTCCGCGGCTGCGCCAGTCTTCCTAAGACTGTCAACGACAGCAATTCATGTCTTGATGTAGCCAAAATGCAAAGAGCGCTGCGCCTGAGCCCTCGTTCCTCCACATGCAATGGATTATAGTAATAGTCTTCCGAAAGTCATTTTCGAAATCAGTTATTACACTAATCATTTTCACACGCACTATAAGACGCTAATCTGTAGACTATCATTGATCCATCGGTTCGACTTATAATGCCGATTCGTCAGCTTGGGCACGTCGCCGAGTAGAGCGTTTTGCGGCTTTCTGCCTCTTGGCTCACAGGGATCTGTCTTCTCTTTTGACGCTAGAATCCTGCCTAATAAACCATTAGGAAAGCACTAAACATGGTTACTAAATCACCACACTCAGCCAACATAATCTGAACAGAAACAACGAGGCTACTAATACCAGTATAAATAAAATTTCCACAAAGTTAGTCCTGCTGATCGTGCTTAGCCAAAAGCTTAAGGTTAAATCTCAAGTTCAAGCAAGCACATGTTGGATAGGTTACGCACACAAAAGTTCAGTGCCAGTCACAGAAATAGAAAGTGTTGAAAGTACAAATCACAAATCAATTGCCGACAAGCTAAGGAAAAAGAACATCGAGCTTAGACTCGAATCCTATCTAAGGTATGCAGGTGGCACATTTCCCGACTACGCGATCCCTGAACTGAATCAGAACAGTCCCCCAGTTATCCTCCCGGAAAGGCTAGCGCTGGATGCTGAAGATGGATGCGTATGGGTCAAATGACCAGCCCGAGCAGCATGATACTGCCTTAGATGTTGCAGAGGAAAGAAGAGACATCATCGTTCATGGTGCTGAACTGAGGGTTGCTTCGGATGTCCCTGACCTCGCCAGTCGTGGCAATCTGACCGCCACCGTTGCGGCATCCAGTGTCACTGAAAGGTATGTTAGTATATTATCTGAGGAAATGACAGTCAGGTTATTATTTACTTGTAGAAGATGCAGTTGTAGCCGTTCGCATTGAGCGAGCTGACCTTGTCGTTCAATCTTCCAATGGGAGAGACTAGAAAATGTTAGTTGCCATAGAAGATAGCTGGTTGCGTGGAAAACCAACCGCAGAAGCCAAAGTTGAAGTTGACTGTATCGCAGTCGGCCATCTCCTTGTCACTGCAAAGAGTGACACTCTGGTTGATCTGTCTGCCTTCAACATCCTTCTTAGCAGTCTCGACGGGAGCGGCGAAGACAGCGGTGGAAGCAAGGAGAACAGCAATGATAGTCTTGGAGAACATTTTGGCGAGTTGAAGTTGGTTAAAGATGTTAAAAGAAGAGTGAAAGTGTTGGAAAGATTGTGTGAGTTGAGTGAGCTGAAAGATTGTTGTGATTGTGATTGTACCGAAGTGTGATGAGGATGAGAGAGAAAGATGATATTCGACGGGACAGATGGTTACCTTATATAGAAAAAGACTCGCCGTCGAGAATGAGTATAACTGCAATTTCTGACTGCCGTAGATGAGCTCATGGCGTAGTACATCTGGCTATCGATACACCAGAGTCAGACTCGTCATCTTCACAACCAGACCAAGTTTCTCATAAAGAGCCCCAAAAGCCTAATTGAGAGAGAAAACTCGATAAGAGTCATGTTCACAAGGCCTAAGAACGTAAGTGATCTCGAATTATAAGCCTTGGCAATCATGCATTCGACTCAGATGAGGAAAAGAACAAGAGATAGTATCCGGTTTGCCATTTGGCCCAGTTCAGATGGAATGTATCCGATATGGCTTGTCATCGAACCTGGCTAAAATAAAGTTTACGGCAGAGCTCAAATAGAACGTGGGTCAACTGGGTGACCCGTTCACTTACACTAAACCACAATAACCTTAGCCGTTACGGCATGACTCCCAGAGGGCTGTGCTCCCTCTAGTAGGGGCTAGATCCCTCCAGACTGCTCCGACAGACGCCATAGGGCGTAAGGTTCCAAGTTGACATGCCTCTCATGTGTCAGCTGAGGGTACTGTGCGCAATTGATCGCCATAGAAGTTGCCTGATTATCTGTTTACTCTGAAGATCAGTTCGCCTGCTTAAAGTGACCCGAAAGCTTCTTTAACTCCAAACAAATCACTGAAAGGTAACGTAGAAATAATTACAAGATATGATACTGGAATAAGCTATCGTACTTTTTCTTAGATGCATCAACTGTAATCGAAAAGTGATGGGAAAGAAAATGATGCCTCACAGACGACTTCCCTGTGAAGTGCTCTGCAACAAATAGTAAAGGGATCCACGTACATTTCCCTCCTCCACTCCCAAAGCCCGACGAGGTTAAAGGGCCATACACTGTGATGAGCACTGTAGAGTCGTTGCGCACAGCCCAAGTGCGTAGAAAACTTTCAGCCGAGGTGTAAGTGGTGATATCTGTTCGTCTACATGTTTTGATGGGGCAGGGAAAATGCCAAGGCCTTTAAGTGAAGCATTTTGTACAATATGAATTCACTATAATCATTGCATCTTCATGACTACGCATGTCTCGCTTTCGGAAAACATCTTGGACCGGATTGAGTTCAAAGTGAAAGGCCAAAACTGAAATAGATGCAATTCAATTTAGATGGAATCGTCATGGAAGTTGAAAGCTGAATCAATAGTTGACCTTGACAAGTTGGATATCAACTGCTAGATGTTAGGATATCTACTTGCTCAAGAAGTTTTATAAATACTGTCCGTATGCGCCACCATCACTCATTTCTTCATCCAACTCATCACTTCAAACCAATCCAGTTCTCATCCCACCTACACTCTTTCAAAGCTTTCTAGCATCTACATACTATCCTTAACATCTTACTACCATCCTCAAATCCATTCTCTTGTCAACATGAAGTTCACCATCATTACCACCATGGTCCTGAGCACTTTGCTCTCTACCACTGCAGCAATGCCTTCCGTTGACACCATCAACAATATCATCGAAGATCGAGAAGTAGACATTCTCGTCAAGAAAGCCCTTGAGGACCGACAAGTTGCCGATGTCGTCAACAAAGTCATTGAGGATCGACAGGTGGCCGATGCCATGCAGACTCAAAATTTGAACAGGGCCACAAGTATCCTGAACTCTGCTCGTTCCTCTGCCGTGGGCAACATCCGAGGACGTCGCCTGACGGAGGCTCGGGAGCGGCGTTGCGAGAAGAACCCTCCTACCGAGTGCAACAAGTGCATGGATGCCCTCGTCCAAACCGCAATTTTCCAGGTCATGGAGTGTGGCGTTGCAGCGCTTGGCGTGGGCGCGCTTACTGGAGGAGTTGCAGCGGCCCTTGCCGCCATGGGATTCTTGGCTTGCGATGGAGTTGTTTATGGCTCTTATGAGAAGGGTCTGGTTGAGTGCAGAGCTTTCTAAAAATGGTTGATTCTTCGTGATGGCTGTGCTAGTGTGTCATTGTTCACGTTTGTGTACATGGTTGACTGCACATTTTGGGGAATGCTGCTGAAGCTTTTCGAATTTTCATCCACACGGTGAAGAATGCGGATACGTTTGTATATTGTTTTTTAGTTATTTGGTTTATATCGATTTGTTGTCCAACTCCTGCCTCTTCACTGTGCCGCTGCAAAATTCTATTCCATCATCAATTTCAAATTTCCTGATAATGTCTGGGAATTTAACTGTCTGACGTATTATAGCAGTTGAATCATATTGATATCCAGCCAGAGATGAAAATTCTTTTCAAAGTTATACATCCTCAAATCTCAACGCCCCAGACGGTGTCCATTGTACGATACGGCTAACATTACTGGGAATATTGATAGCGGTATTACTACCCCCCCATGTTACTTTCTAATACAGTTTTTATTCCATCTAGTGCCTTTTGAAACTAATTACTGATGTTGTTATTGCAACACAACTGATTGGTGATCAGAAAGTTCACAAGCATTTTGATGCGATGAGGGGATTAAGGACAACTTACCTGCTCATGATGATTCGTGGATGGCTCTTTAGCCATGGCAGTCTGTGCATTCAGAGAATTTCAGAGTCTATTGGGCTGGTTCTTTACCGGTGGTCCTCGTAAATTAGCCCCAATGTGTCCGATTTTCGAAACCGAATAGGCACAAAGGTGATCTTGGCAACCACACGAAGATGGTGGTAGCCTGCATGGGTAAGGATCAGGGTCTGGCAACAGGGCTGGCCGGACACAATAACAATTTAGCTCACATCCCATCCCCACACAGTGTCACACGTCGACTTGTCAACCTTGCACTCCTTATTCCTGTTCAGTGGAACTGCTTGCTTTGTTATCCGAGATACGAGTAGGCTTTCATATTGTATTGCGCCAAGAAACAACACTATCCAGCCGCATGGGTCTGCGGACATACCACTACCGCGTGCCACATTTTCTCTTGGACTCATCTATTTGAAAAATGTAGACTAGGAATCATTTCATCAAGCCTCCCAACCTTGTTCTCTCAACTAACCGGTGCCGTTTTCTTTCTGCTAGGTCTTCTCTGATATTTATGACTCGAAAATATCTCGATCGTCTATCTCATCTTCCCTGAGTCTTGCCAAGCATTCAGACGCGCCCGCTTATGTCTCGTATGTATGGAAGAGGCAAACCTTTCATCCTTTCACACATCACGCGCCACCTTTTGTGTATTTACATGATGCAAAAAACTTCATTGTTGTTATCGAGTTCGGCTTGTGAGTGACTAATAATCTCGGTACCGTAATGAATAGCTCCTACGGAACGTCAACGGAGCAGGCCCATTCTATCTGACGAGGCTTCCGAATGTACGAATAACCTAAACGATCAAAACGTATTGAGTGTTTTCGTCTATGAACCCTTTGCATTCCAATTGCGTAATCATCTGGCTGTCAGCTTTATGTCCTGTAGTTGTGTGGATGAGTCAAGAGATAGCCTCGAAAGCAGATGTTTCCGAAGAGACAGTAATAGGTTAGCATGCCTCGAAAATTCTTCCATCAGGAGGAACAAGCCGTTACTCACTATGAAAGCCTTAGCTTCAAACGCTGTTTCGGAATGAAAGAAGGCAGGACTCAACTGGAAAGGGGGGCGGGGGTAATCCGAGCGCTAAGGCATGTTACATTTCAGGCAAAAGCCGAGAACCGTCTAATGTTGGCACCGGCCATCTGGTTAATTCTTTGAACGGGGCCAAAGGCTGGATCTCCACTACTTTGAGTTTACTGCCCAGCCCCGGTTCCATGGTTACCAGCTCAAGCCGAGGCTTTGATTCTCTCCCGTTGCGGTGATCTACCGATAAGCTCAAATCAGCCCTAGGATAACAGGCCTAACCTTCGCTTTTCTCCAATTTGAGAACATCATCCCTGCGGTCTCATTCGGGTCTAGACGATTCAAATCACGGTACTTGAAATCCGTACTGGACTACTCCGTACCTAGTAGAAAATCCGGTGAAGTACATCTCTTTCGGCCGGTTTCATTTCTGTTGCGACCGAGGCTAGATAGGATCGTATGCCAATATAGCGGGTAACCATGCAAGCTGCCGTGAATGAAACAAGCAACTTTATCTCCGGATGTGAGGAGAGTGCTTCACTTGCCCGTAATATATTGTGCATGCCTACAAACACTTTAATGTAACTGGGGTGTTTGTTGAGGGTTAATAAGATGTGGTATCATAGCAAAGTATTTACCTCCTACCAACGTGTATAGCCAACATGTGGGGGGTTATCCGATTACCGTTATAGGAGAGTAAATGACCAAGGATAAGGATGTGAGCAAATACTCGCCATTCCATAGAACATCCCTGCTACACGCATCGGTGACCAAGCATTCCTTTTGTTTCGTGGCCACCAGGTGTATCTAGAAAACAGCTTGGTGAGACCGGCCTGAGTCAGGACATAGCAGTATACCAGTAATAGCTATCGCTTTGACCATACTCAATGCCGCATAAGGCAACAAGCGAAACCCAAATGTAATAAGCGCGCTAGAATCGTTTACCCCTCGTCCAAAGCCCCCATTCAGCTGGCAGGTGAACAGGCCTTTCCTGATTCACGAAGCGGCATAGCACGCGCCAAGTCCATGTTACACGATTTCTTGGGACTTTACAGAATCTTGGCAACGGTGCATACTTTCATAACCACATAACGTCTTATACTGGCCAAGACAATAGCGGTCATACAAGCCACTGGCCTAAGGGGCATTTCATCTACGAAAAGCTCATCTCCTCCATTCTACCAAGACACCCACCTCTCCGTTATTTGTCAAAAGCATCATTTCGCAATCTAAAAACCTTTCTCTTGTGTTTATAGGCACAGCCAAGTTCGTGCAATCTGCTGCCTCATATCCAGCCTATGGTCATCTGCGCGGATATTCATCAATGTGGGGTTTTGGCCTTAGAGAAGCGTAGGTAAGTGAGTCCGGCTTCTCAAAACCGTTGTCATGCGATTACCCAGTATATTCATTTCATATTGCCGGCCAATCAACGAATCTCTTCAGCTTCCCGGAAGGCAGCTATCGTCCCAAGTAGGGTCACCGGATTTTCCGGGGGTTCCCGAATGCGAGAAGAGGTCCACTGTAAAAACCTCGCCTCGGGTTTCAGATACACCTCTACTGCGTGTAACTGAGCCTCAGGGAGTTTAGTCCAGTGAGAAAGCAATGTAAACGTGTTTACCGCGCTTTACAGTTCAACGCAGTTTGTTAATATCCTCAAATCTATGAAGATAACAGTTCGTTTTCGCATCCGGTACATTTCACAGGACAAGCTCAATTGTTGTCCGAAATAGTCAATTTCCATCGAGGCCCACCTTTTATGTCCAAATACAAACGTAACTTTACCTTGGGGTCCGTCTTTAGAACTGAGTTAGTGCCGAGTATGTGGGATAAGCGCTGGCACAGACCTGAAGATGTATCCTACCGCTTGCATTTCTGTAGCTAGAGTCTCTATTTGAGGAATGTGTCGTTTCACGAATCTATGTAAAGACACGGAAACTACGCGATTCGGACAGCTGTCATGGCAATGTAAGGGATGAGTCCGTGTAAAAGTCTGATTCTTGACAAAAGCCAAAAACTCGTCGGCCGGAATCTCTTCTCCTTTGAGTCAAGGCCGGGAAGGTCCGAGACAGTCGTCTGAAGTTGACCCAAGTGGTCTGAACTCCCAGGGGAGAACATTCCTTCTTATGAACTAGCGTCGTTGTCCGGAAAAAGACCGAGTTCTGATTCAGACTGCTCGAGTCGTTTTACGTGCCTAAAGGCTACTGGTTTGCCAGATGAGAAGTTGAGGATCTCTTCACCTCTGCATACTGTTAAAGATTTGGACTTTGATCATCACTAACAAATTCGTACAAGCCTTCTTTTCCAGTGTGAATGTTACATCGGAAAAACTTAGACCAAATGGAGAAACCCGACAACACAACTCTTTGGATGGAAAGGCCAAGAAAGCCAAATACAGCGACGGAAACCGCTTTATCGTGAATGCCAAGATTCTCGACTCTACCCACTAACGGCCAACCCCGAACGCATCCTCCAGCAACCTGTCCTCTTCCGCCTGATGCGCCTTCTTCGACCCCGTCGCCGCTGCCGCACCAGTGCCACGACCAGCATACACGATGCGGCTGAACTTGTGACTTTCCGACTCGGCGGCCACAGTCTCTAGCCTGTCACGCATGTACTGCCACGCACCACCATTGTACGGTTCCTCTTGGCACCAGACCACCGTCTTGGCGTTCGGGTACGAGTCCAAGTTCTCCTTGACTTCGGCCCAGGGGAAGGGGTGAAGCTCCTCGATTCGGGTAATGGCTACGTCCTTGATACCGTTGGCTTCGCGGTACTTGTGTAGAGAAGCATATACCTGGCCGCTGCAGAGAATGACACGTTCAATCTTTTCTTTGGAAGCAATTGAGGTGTCGTGCTCCGGATCTGGAATAACTGGCTGAAAGGCAGAGGTACCTGTAAGGTCCTGCATGGATGACCTCGCCAAGGGGTGGCGAAGAAGGGATTTTGAGAAGAATATTACGAGGGCTAAAAAAATTAGCGCATGCTTTCCTTTCAGGTGGTGGATGAAACTTACGCTTCTTGTGCGGAGAGTGAATCTGTCTCCTCAACGCGTGGAACAGGTTCGCCGGCGTGGTCATGTACACGATTTGCATATTGCAATCTCTCCTCGCCTTCAAAGTATCCGCCGGCCACTGACGGGGATCCTCGTTGCCCAGCTCGAGGAACCTACCTAGCCGAGCGGAAGAGTGTTCCGGTCCCTGCCCATCGTATCCGTGGGGCAAAGACATGACGAGTCCACTCTTCAACAGCCACTTGGCCTCTCCTGAGCTGATGAACTGGTCGACGATGACTTGTGCGTTGTTGACAAAGTCGCCGAACTGCGCCTCCCACATCACCAGAGAGTCCTGCGCGGCAAGAGAGTAGCCGTAATCGAATCCCAGCACGCCGAACTCGCTTAGAGGGGAGTTCATGGCAGTGTACCTTGCGGCCTGATTCTCCTGGAGGTGGTTCAGCGGCGTGTACTCGGCGTGTGTAATCTGATCGTGCAGGACGGAGTGTCTCTGCGAAAATGTACCGCGCTCCACGTCCTGGCCGCCGATTCGGACTGGCTTGCCTTCCATAACAAGAGAGCCGAAAGCGAGGGCCTCAGCTGTAGACCAGTCTACGATACCGGCGTCAAAGGCCTGCTTCTTTACAGCCAGGATCCGCTGTAGGTTCCGGTGCAGACTGAAGCCCTCTGGTACTCTGGTGATGGTCTCAGCAATCGTGGAAAGTGTCTTCTCTTCCACGGCCGTCGAATAAGAAGCTGTTGAAATCTCATCGACTGCTTCAGCAGCAGTGTTCTGTTTGCCGTCCACGGGCTGTTTACTCCGCGTCAACTTCTCTTCAAGTTGGTCCCAAACCCATTTCTTCTGCTCTTCAATAACTTCAGCCGACATGGTCCCCTCAGCCACAAGCTTCTCGATATACTTATCCATAAGCGGCTTCTGCTCCGCAATCTTTTTATACATCTCCGGCTGCGTGAAGCTCGCTTGGTCAATCTCGTTATGTCCGAAACGACGGTAGCAGTTCACGTCAATGACCACGTCGGAACGGAACTCCGCCCTCCAGTCCGCCGCGAGTTTACACAGAAAGACGACGGCTTCAGGATCGTCGGCATTGACATGGAATATCGGCGCCTCAATGTACTTTGCCAGGTCAGAGCAGTACGGCGTGGACCTGGAGTCGGGAGAATCCGTCGTGAAGCCGATCTGGTTGTTCACCATCAGACGAACCGTTCCGCCGACCTCGTAACCCTTAAGCCCCGAGAGGTTCAGAGTCTCATACACGGGGCCCTGACCGGAGAAAGCGGCATCGCCATGGAGGGCCATGAACATGACTTTCGACTGGTCGACGTCTTCCTTTAGGTGCTGCACAGCTTTGGCCTTCCCCTGCGCGACGGGGTCAACGGCCTCGAGGTGAGAGGGATTCGGCAGCATGGAGATGCCCACCTCCTTTCCGCCGGCCGTCGTCCTCGATCCCTCCATACCAAAATGATACTTGACATCACCCGTCTGTCCGTTTGCCGTGTCGAACTCGGCAGTTCCGGCGAACTGTCGGAATAGCGTCCCAAAATCCTTGCCGTAGACTGTGCTCATAACATTCATCCTTCCACGATGGCAGCTGCCGATGACAATATCTTGGACGCCGTGCGCTTCGGCGCAGCGATCAATCAGCGCCGCTAGACCCGGGGCCAGACCCTCTGCACCATCGAGGCCGAAGCGCTTCTCATTAGGGAATTTGGCTGCCAAGAAACGCTCAAGGCTGGTCGCCCACACCAGACTGTCAAGAATGCGCTTTTTCTCCTCAACTGAAGGACGAGCATTGTAGGATTCGATGCGTTGGCGGATCCACTCGCGTTTGTCCGAGTTGGAGATGTGATGATATTCTACGCCGAAAGAGCCGCAGTATGTTTCTTCGCACGCAGTAATGATGTCGCGGAGTTTCATCGTCTTGTGTTCCTCCGCTAGATGCGGAAGGACTTCGGGGCCTAATGCCACGTCTCTGTCCAAGTCAGCTGAGGTGAAGCCGTACTTTGTTAGGTTCGTCGTGCTAGGAAGATCGGGATGTGGTTGGATTGTAGAGTTGCCAATAGGGCCCAGGGGGTTAATATTAGCGCGTGTGTGGCCATATTCCTGGAATACTCGAATGATTCTTTGAGTCTTGAGGTAATTGACGACTTCACTCGAACTAGCTGAGCTTAGTGTGGGCGTGAGTTGGGTGTCTCGAGTTGATATGTACCCAGGAGGCGGTTGGAAGGCTTTTGTTGCAGGGACCGTGGGGTCCTCCATGTTGCGAAAGTACGTCTGCCATGATACGTGGACGTCGTCGGGATTGGCTTTCCATGCTAGGTACATCTCGTCTATGTAGTTTGCCGCGCCGGCTTGTAGGAACGAGTCGATAGGGTTCTACATCATACAAAATCAGATTTTGAATAGAAACACTGCTCAGGAGATCTTACTGGAGGGGCTCTGAGGTCAACCGCCTCCGCGGTTGTGGCATAAGATCTGCCGTTTAGTAGGGGCGGAGGTTGTGATTTGATTGAGAGACATGCCCGGCCTGGCCTTGACCTATGCTGCGCATAGCTTACCGGCAGCGGAGGAGACGATGCTGAAAATACTAAAGTCGAACTTCGAACCGTGTAGGGAACCTGTGAAAGGGTGCCTCTGGAGGCGAAACAAAGTGACCGAAGCATGTTGGCTACGCCCACAGGAGCTTCAAGCTAGAGGCCGTTCAAGTTGGCAGTATGCGGTTCGTTGACGGCTTTGAGTAGTCATCAGCTCGTCGCAATACTTGTTAAAGGTTCAAAAGAGGGAATGGAGTCTAGAGATGTAAGCATAAGGTGGCGCCACTTCCATGCAACGGAAAAGCGTAACAGAAGTAAAACTTGTCAAGGCCAAAGTGGTCTATCAAGGGAACTGCCATTGACATACATCGGATCCCGGGAGCTACTTGGTCCATTGCCGTCGGCGAAGCAGACACCAGCCGAAATAGGCTACTCATGGCATTGAGTGACACCGAGGTCGGGTAGGTTGGTCTATTGCGGATCAGACATCAGCAATATAGAACCGACGCGATTGTCTTTCAACTGACATTATGCGCTTGGCGTCCGCGTTAAAAGTCGCCCTCGGAAGTCGAAGCCGAATGACTTAGACATACAGCTGGTTGCCGGATATAGTTTCCGGAGTCCCGAGATAGTCCACGCATGGCGGTGTTAAGACATTCAAGGCGCCAAACGTTCCCCGCATTCGAGGATCGGAGGCCCCTTGGCATCTCGGACGAGTGGAGAATTGAAGAATCATATGGGCTGGTGTATCGCAGTCTAGCCGTGAACTTCAGGTATAGTAGGCCGGAGTTCTTAATGTGGGGTTACGGGCTCACAAACCATCATGGGTTACCTCTCAACCTAGGATTTGGACTAAAAAGGTTACAGTACACAGTCACAAGGCCACAGTTTCTAGGGGCACAGTTTGGCGTAGTTGACCGAACCAGGACAACGCTGGGCATTGGATCCTCCTAATTATCTACAACCAGACCTTTTTATGATGCAGCAGTGACGCCCCCAATGCCAATGCCATTGCCAGGCAATGCTATCCCGCCCAGGAACAAAGAAAAACACACATATATGATACGGCCGACTCAGTCTAAATAAACCAGTCGGTCATGCCTCGCTACAAATAAATTATGCCAGGAGCAGTCTGGCGGGGTCCTCAATGTAGCTCTTGACAACGTTCAAGAAGGTAACGGCCTCACGGCCATCAATGAGGCGGTGGTCGTAGGTGACGGTGATGTACATCATGGGGCGGATCTCGAGCTTGCCGTTGACGACGACGGGGCGCTCCTTGATACCGTTCATGTTGAAGACGGCGGCCTGGGGGTAGTTGATGACCGGGGTGCCGAAGAGAGAGCCGAAGATACCGGGGTTGCTGATGGAGAAATTGCCGCCCTCGAGGTCGGGCATGGTCAGCTTGCCGTCGCGGGCCTGTAGTTACATCATCAGCTTCTCACTCTACGCCAAGAAGAGGGGGCGGGTTAGGGACTTACCTTGGCAGCCAGCTCAGCAACGCCACGCTCGATACCAATGATATCCAAGCTCTCAACGTTGCGCAGGACGGGGGTGATCAGACCCTTGGGCGCGGAGACAGCAATGCTGATGTCGACGTAGTCGCGGTAGGTGATGATCTCCTTGTCGGTGTCGATAGAGGCGTTAAGCTGGGGGACCTGCTGGGCAGCCAGGCAGGTGGCCTTGGTGAAGGCACCCATGTATCCGAGCCTGACGCCGTGGCGCTTCATGACATCCTCCTTGTTGCGCGCGCGCCACTCCATCAGGGCAGACATGTCAACCTCGTTGATGGTGGTCAACGAGGCGGTCATGTTCTGCGACTGCTTGAGCTTCTGAGCGATGGTCTTGCGCATGCGCGTCATCTTCTCAACACGCTCAGCGCGGGAGAAGAGACCGGAAGCGCCAAAGGGAGCAGCCTGAGCAACGGGGGCCGTCTCAGCAGGCTTCTTCTGTTGAGGGGCGGCGGGCGCAGGCTTGCTCTCCTCCTTCTTGGGGGCCTCGGGCTCCTTCTTCTGCTCCTGGGCGGGAGCGGCGGGCTCAGCAGGCTTGCTGGCTTCGGACTCGGGGGCCTTCTCAGGCTTTGACTCCTCCTTCTTGGACTCGCCCTTGTCGGCAGCAGGGGCTCCGCCGGTCTCCATCTTCGCAACCTTCTGTCCGACCTCGACGGTGTCGCCCTCGGCAACATAGAGCTCAGTGATGACACCAGCCTCGGGGGCGTTCACGGCGACGTCAATCTTGTCGGTCTCAATGCTGGCGACCTCCTCGTCGGCCTCGACGGCATCGCCGACCTGCTTGCCCAGAGAGCCAATAGTACCCTCGTTGATGGACTCGGCCATGGGAGGGACGGTGATGATGATCTCGCCATGCTGGATACGGGTGGTTGAGAAGGAGCGGTACTGGGTAGAGGCAAGGCCAGAGTACATCTGAGGTATCCGTCTCGTCGTCGTGATCGTTCTGGCAGTCGCTTTCGTGGCGGCGTTGGCGGAGGGAACCTGGACGCGGGCTGCGCCGGCAAGTCTGGAGGCGGTTGCGGTGCTGGGACGGGCCAGACGACCGACGGATTGGATCTGAGAGCGCATCATCTTGGGCAGAATGTTGAATAAGCAACTCCTCAAGACTATGATTGCATTGAAGGGAGGGTGATGTAGGTGTGTTGAACGAGTCTATGACTCTCTTACAATGGAAAAAGGGTCTGGAAGCAACGGAAAATTGCAGAGGTAAAATTAGACAAGGAGCTTTGCTGTAGGGTGACAAAATGCTCCGCCGCTTTAGTGGTTGGAGCTTCTTTACATGAAATGTTTTGGGCCTTGTCTGCATGGTTTGACCCATTTTCGTCCTCCTGTTTTTACTTTATTTTTTTCCCATAAAATAACTCTCTTTTATTTTGATTCTCAGAATCACTTCATCATCTCTGTAACCATTCTCATCCGTTTTAATTGTTCAAATCCTCTATAGTCGCTGGTTTTCTTCATGAGTACTCTTTACCCCAAATGCCTCTGTTAAAGCAGCAAGGCTTTAGGGGAAGAATCCGGAAGCTCCACGGCCTGCAGCTGGCCCCTGCTTTCAAAAGACGTTGCGTCATTGGACAATTGGCCTGTCGCTTCCGATGTTCTGACAGGAGCAGGTGCAGGGGTACGTACCGTGTCACTGCAGTACCCACCTTCCTGCAAGGGTTTTCGGCTTCTTACTCCTTCCTTTTCCCGGCCTGACGGCTTTTTGCTGCCAAACTCCTGTTTTTGCTTCGGTAAAGCCTTTGTACGCGGTGGATCTGGTTAGTCATCTTATACCCTTGGACACGCAGTACCCTTATTTATGTACTTTACAAAACGGCCAAAAAGGGCGTCGGACGCACCTTCCGACGCTCCCTTGATGTACCTACATAGAACAGTCTGAAGGTCCGATTCGGCTAGATGTAAACAAACTACAATGCCTTTGAACTTCCCAATTGGCCAACTGGAGAATCGAATTATCACCAAAACTCAAATCAATCAACTTGAGGAGGTGAATTTTCTTAAAAACAATTTGTTTGACAAATATCATAATACTATATAAAATCAACACCATACACAGCTCAGCTCAATGTCAAAACTAGAATAGCCTCTCTCTGCCTTATCCACTCGAGTTATGCGAATCCTTGAGGGGGCATCTACATGTTATACCTAAAGGCCTTGTCCTGAACATCCGTCAAGTCCGAATCAACAGCAACACCCATCTGCACCGCCGATTCCCCTCCGTCATGCCCTCCAACCATATACTCGTAGTTCCCCTCCGCCGCAAGCCTATCTCTCTTGGCGTTCTCCTTCTTGATGGCGATTCCATACACGGCATAGGTGATAATCAGCCCAATCCAGCTGGCAATGCTGAGAATGCAGCCCTTGGTGTATCTCGGAGCATCAGATTCCGTCCAGGCCTGCGGCGAGACGATACATCCAACGCAGTATACGATGAAGAAGCCCGCGCTGACGACGCTCTTCTTGGTGTTACCCTTGACGTTGGACGCCATCATCGACGCAGATGAGCTCAGCAGAGAGCTGCAGCACGCCGCGAGCCAAGTGCTCGCCACGATGCCCCATTCGTAGCCTTTAGCCGGCAACCCAAGTAGCATGGCGGACCCCAGCAACGGTATCAGACTAAGTCCCATGGACGTGTACACCCGAGTGCCGGGGAAGAACCGCGGCACCAAAGCAGACACCCAGATCGTCACGAAGCTAATGGCGCCGCCGGGCAGACCGACGAGCATCGTCTGGAACGGAGAGTACCCGAAGCCGTTGACAACAAGAGATGAGAACTAGTTACAATGCGTCAGCATAAATCGATACTCGACTAGAGACAAAATTAACCTTGAGAATGGGAGTCGTCAGAGTGATGCAGAGCGCCATCATAAAGTAAAGCCAGGTCAAAGGCTGTCTCAAAGCCTCAAACATCTGCTTCTTGTTAAACTCAGCCCTATCCCTCGTTCCTCTGTCAAGCGCGAGTCTCCTCGTCGCGACCTCCCTCTCACGCGGCGTGAGGAACCAGGCAGTGGTGGTATCCCTCGGCATCAGGACGCAGAAGGCCACACCGCACGCCGCAGTGAGCCCGCCGCTGATGAGGAACATGGCCCTCCACTTCTCCATCGCCATCTTCGGGGACCCTCCGATGCCGTACATCATCAGCGCGCCGAGAATCTGCGACACGCCGGACATGGAAACCCACGTCGCGACGCGGATCGGGTGTTCGCGGCGACGGTACCAGTTCGACGTGATGATGATGAACGCGGGGGATACCGCTCCCTCCGCGAAGCCTAGGAAGAAGCGCGCCGCGGCGAGACCCTTGAAGTCGTGCGTTGCGCCGAGACACATTTCCACCCCTCCCCAGGCGATGATGGTCACGCCGACAAAGAGGGTGATGGGCAGGCGGCCCATGAGATACGCGGCCGGGTACTCGGAGCAGAGCTGGCCGAAGTAGAACAGCGAGATGACCCAGGAGAAGTCTTGTCCTGTCAGACGGAGGTCCTTGCGGAGGCCGAAGACGGAGGCGTAGTTGATTGACTGCTTGTCGAGGTCTGGCCGTTGACTTTTGTTAGTGGAAGTTAGAATTGGAGGAAGGGTTGGGGAACGTACACTGGAAGAAGTAGACGAATGCCATGAGAGGCATGAGAACTCTGTCCAGCTTGCGGACGAGAGCACGCTCCTCTTCCGGGCTGATCTGCTCGAAGGCGACGTGTTCTTCATCTTGCTTCTTGGTCATCTCGAGCTCCTCTGCTGAAGCTGAGAGTTGGGAGTCTTCAGTCTTGGTTGCCATTGTCCCTGCTCAAGTCAAATTTGAGCGGAGCTACGTTTTCCGTCTCAGCAGTGCTCTCGGTAACTCTGCGACTGAAGTTGTTCAAGTTGACGAGGGGCTTGTATAAAAAGATGGGAAAACTAAAGTTCAAAGGGATGCCTCATTCAAGAAGCACAACTCCAAAGGAAAACTTTTTTAAAAAAGAGTTATGGAGGTAGCAGGGTTGTTATATGTCTCTTTCAATCCACCTAGCGTGGGGAAACCGGCAACTCAGTCATCCCACAACTGAACGATATCCTCAACGTCCGCCTCAGGGAAATGCGGGGTTTACCCCAGGCTCCTCTCCACGAATTTGGGATGTGGGGGAGCTGACCAAGGCTTGGTTATTGAAAGACCCTTCTCCGGTTCCATGGTATAGACTGGTCTGCGGCGTTCCCCAGATGGTCGTGTGTCAAGGCCTAATCTGGGGTGCCCTTCGGCGATGATATCCGAGGGTTGAAAACTAGTCCTTCACGCCACAAGCAACAGCTGACACAGGCCCATTTTAACTCATCCTTAACTGGAAACCTGTATACTTGGTCTCCTTGGCTTGAAAATTAGAATCCTCAAAAACCGACATCGGATCTGGGCTCATACTGCGGTTACTTTCTTCGGCAATGGCCATCATGGCTGGTTACCCCAAGGGATCTGGTTCTCCAACGCCTCCCAGTCCGTCTGCTCGACTCCAGTGAACGAGAACCCGGGCGTGTGGTATACCCAGTAGAGCCCATTCTCGCCCTCTAGCGGTATGCTCGCCAAGTCCGCGCCGCTGAGCCCGAAGGTCTGGTCGTCATTCCCACAGCCCATCGTCCCTCCGTCGTCTTCAGCGGAACGGGTACTCGGTCCCTCAACACTCAAGCCCCCATCAACCGCACCGGGCGTAACGTGATCAACGTTGCCATACCCGTTCGAGAAGGAAAACGTCTGCGTGAGGAGGTCCGTCAACGGCTGCTGTGGAGTCTGCCCAGTCGCCTGCTGTACTGGGAGCGCAAGATGCATGCACATCTGGTCGAGCTCGGCAAGGCGGTTGGCGGCCGCCCTATTTCCCAGACTGACTAAGTATCTCAAAATCGCTCTAGATCCTTCGATGCCCTTGAATCCAAGACTCTTGCCTGGGTTGATGGCCTCGACGAGGACGAAAATGTATCCCACCGAGAAGGTCGCGTCCAAGTCGAGGAAAGCGTTCTTGGCCAGAATCTCCTTCTTTCGGAGCTCCTGCAAGATGACCAGGCTTTTACTGGCTGTCTCAACGCAGATCTCTGCCAGACGTACGAGTGCTGGGCTGACTTCGTTACGAGACCCTCCACGCTCGGGATCACGGCTGTTGCGAGCCATATAAAGTAGAATTGGGCGAACCGTATGAATGACGGCCTGCTTCCGAGTTAGTTTGGCTTATTGAATGAACATTCGAGGAATATTACCGAGTAAACGGATATGTACAGACTGGAGCTAGTCCGAGATGTTGATGTTGGCGCGTCAACAAAGGGGCGTCCAGCCACCAGGAGACCGGAAGGTTTGATCTCCATCGAGTATTCCGAGGGCATCGTCTTCTCAACCTCGTAGAGGGAGTGTAATATGTCCTGGACGTTGTTGATAAACGTATTTTCGGGGTCACCTTTTTGGGAGTAGATTGCTGTCGGTCGTTAGTTCTGTTGCGTTGCAAATGTTTGTCGGCACTTGACATACTTGACGTAATCTTCCCTGTGATTCTTGCCGCCTTTACATTGACATCTAAAGCTGTTGCCGATGGGAACCCGAGGACTTCATAGGGCGGTACGACGGTAATGGCATAGTCTTCAATAGACATTGGATATCCACCCGCCGCACATAATCTCCTATCAAGTCGTTAGCCATTTCTTTACTTTTACTTGAGCCTCAAATATCATCGCATACCGCTCTTGCATGTAAATTGACCACCAAAGTCTATTCCGATGCACATTCTCCGATCGTCTAATATTGAGGCTGCTTTTTCCACGATGCATACCATGGCTTATCGCTAACCTCAAGGCAGTGTTGGACTAGAAAGCAGTAGTCAGTCGGAGTCTATAATGGCACGCCAAGGCCACTCACATGAATATAAGCATCATCCTTTCGATCCACAATCTGAAGGTATAACGCCGTCAAAGCCATCACTTCAACTCCAATAATACCATGCTTCCGCAACTCACTCAGCAACGGCGTTCTCTTTACCGCCTCGCGGAAGAAACTTGTCCCAGGCAGATCGCCATTCTCATCGTCTCTGCTCTGTAGCAGCCTCCCCACCGAAAATACCAACAGCGCCTCTACGATCCATATTTCAGAAAGCCGTACTTCCGCAGCGGAATCTTGATATAGGATGGACAGATTATCTGAGAACGCGCGAACATCAAACAGCTGCTGCGAGATGCCGACGTTGAATACGACAATATCAAGCATAGCATGAGCCTCTTCCTCCGTAGGCCACGGACCGATAGCCTCCAGCAGCCCGCGGCGGTCGATGCGTGGGAGCGGGGACACGGCGGTGTTGGTAGCCGGACTGGCAGCGGAGCCCGGGTTCGAGCGGGACACTAGAAGAGTCTTGATCTCGGACCCGAATGTCTCAGAGGAGGAGAGGGCCGACTCAGGAGCGATGGCTATGCCGGAGTTAGTATCCGAGGAGTGAACAGAAGGGGGATGCGCCAGTTTCACCCACCCCTGTTAGTGCGTGTGGGTGAAGATGTCGTCGCAGGTAAGACTTCAATGGCTCTTATTCTCTCAAATGTGGGGGACAACGTGGCCTGAGACACGGTTGTCTCGGGCTGGTCAAAACCTGTAGGTGAGAGCACGCTGACTGAGATACACGAATCTTCCTGTGGGGGCTCCTGTTGGGCACTTGATGTACCGTTTGCCTCATCTGAAGGCATACGCCACATGGGCGATGTCGGCCCTGAGGATGTCGTAGCCGCAGGAGCAGACTGCTCCCTGCTCTGCCGCTCATAGAAAGCGACTTTGTTCTCAAGCTCACGTATCTGCCTACATGATCATTCTCAACTTAGTCTACGCTCGAGCGCTAAACATGACCAACCAGAGGCACAACCATCCACTATCAGTGGAAGAGGGACTCACGAGACGGAATACAGCTTCCTCTTCTCCGACGCCGCAAACACACACTCCAGCCCCCGCTTGGCACAATACTTGCAAGGCTGCTGGCCCGAGCATTTGACTTTCTTATCGCGGCAAATCTGGCACGCGTTCGAGGTGCGAGCAGCCTCGGCTTGAGAAGCCGAACGGAAGCGTCTGGGTGTCGGGGCTCCGGCTGGCTGCCCTGAGGACTTGCGGACGCCTCTTCGGGGTGTCGGTTCCGAGTCGACGTCCATTTTTGTTTCTTCTGCCCTAATGATCCGCTGCGCCAAGAACTGTAACAGCTTGCAAGTCAGACCACTCTGGGGAAGCGGGTGTCGTTGTGTGTTTTTTGAGTGAAAGGGAGACGCATCCGTGGGACTGTCGTTGATGGGTAAAGGACCATTTTAGGGTGGGGCAGCGTGTAGTTGCGCTAAGAGGCGCTAAAACAGTTCCGTTCGTAGTCACCATTTTAGAAATTTCCCCTTTGGGCAGGGTGGTTCTGAAGAAGGTCAAACACTCAAACACCACGCAACGTCATTGATGGTCATATCCATACAAGTTAAATGGTATTTGGATGCGATATAAATAAAATCAGATATTTACAATTTCCATAACATTTTCTGTTCAGACTCAGCTGTAAAGTTCGTCGTCGTCGACTACGTGGCCCTGCTTGGAAGCTTCCGGACTCGTAACCCGGATACCGCTCTCTAACCTAGATAGGTTCATCTCGTAGCCCTTGTGATCGCACCAAGCCTTTACCATCTTGACAGCGTTCTTAATCTCTCTTCCGTTGAGTTGCCACTGGCTTAAATCTTTGAGATCCTCATCCGACAGGAGTTCATTGCTGCCTTGGGTGGCATTCTGCTGGGGCAGCCGACCAAGGAATTTGCGCCAAATAAGCACGCGAGCATCGCTTGTCAATGGCTTGAAGAGCAAATGTAGGCTCACTCGACTACGGAAAGCCGTGTCGATTGTATGGTAGAGGTTAGTCGTCAGGAAGATGATTCCGTGGAAGTACTCTAGTTCCCGAAGAAAGATGGACACGAGCTCGTTGCGTGCAATATCGTGCGGATTCCTCTCCGCCATGAACACATCGGCTTCGTCGAGCAGAATGACAGCGTCCCACTCGGTCGCCATTTCAAAAACACGCGAAATATTCGCCCCAAGTGAGGCCGGGTTGATGCCGAGGTCCTCTGCTTGTAGATAGAAAAGTGGCCTGTGTGTTCTGTCCGCAACAGCCTCTGCCGTCAAGGTCTTGCCGGTACCAGGTGGTCCGCTGAGAAGGATGATGAGTCCTTGGCCTTTGCCCACGATAACGTCGTCCATTTGCTGTCCTTTGGAGAGGCCGTGGTTCTCTACGAAAGAGAGAACCAAGTCCTTCTGTTGTTCATCGTACACCAAGTGGTCATAAGCCTCGTTATTCCACACAATCGGCCCAATATCCTCGACGTAGAACGCCACTGGTGATTGTTAGTGATTTGGTTATTTAATGTCTTTAACTTCTTTTGAAAGTCGACTTACACCAAAGTTTGTTCTTTAAAGCAAAACCTTCAATGAGAGGTGAAATAAACACTAGATCATCTTGTCGAGACAACATATCCTTTTTGTTTTCTAATTGGCGCTTCTCACTGAGGTGTTTGTGGTTCTTTCCGTCGGCCTTGACATTCGGTTTCCCCTCGGAATCTTCGTTGGATTCGGTGTGCTTTTTCGTAACCCGGTTCTTCAGAGTCTGCGGGTCGCTGGCCTCTCTTTTGCCCTGAGTTCGCTCGTACTTGTTAAAGCCAACAACGTCGATGAGAATTCGACCCTCGACATTATGTTTGTCTTTCCCATCAATCGCAATGCCGTTGTAGGTGCAATAAGTTAATCCCTGGAGATCCAACACCCTTGTACCTCTAGCATGCATACGCTGGCGGACTCCGTCCGGATCGGAGTGGAATTGCAAAGGGTAATGATCTAAGTCGCTGATTGGCTTATTCCCTGAAAACTCGGGAACAATGAGCGTCTTATCGGTCCAGACAAACGCGTCTCCGTTGAAGGAAAGCACCTTGCAGTGGATCATGAAGATCTTGCCGCATTCTGTCTGCTCATATGCCGTATCCTTCACCTTGCAAAGCATCTCGGCGTTACGGCCATAGCTGTACACGACAGTGTCCCGCGGGAAGTAAGTCCATGCCAACTTGAAGTTGATAAGTCCACTGGCCTGCAGGCGGCGCTTCTTCTCACGGGTTTCGCCCAACATATCGTCCAACGTTCGTACCAAGAGCTGCGCGTAGTCCTTAAGCGAAGAATCGCTGGTCGTCTTGTACAGGCTAAGGATTTCATCATAACAAAAGTATAACGGACGAAACGGGGCTTGGAAGGTCGCTGCATCGGTAGGATCCAGGTGGACATCTTCCTTTTTAAGAATGGGCTCCAGGGCGGAGACTAAGCCCGGGTTCTGGATGATGATCTGAGCATAGGTCAAAGAGAACCTGCCTCCGATGACCGGTTTTTCGAGATCTTTGATCTTATAGACCTTGATGGCGGGTCGGTCCTGGCTCAGGACAGCTTTTTTGCTCAGTTGCTTTGGTGGAAAGTCGACCCAATCGTACATGCCATTACAACTATTCTTGCCTTCGTAGAGTGTCTTGACGGCGATGTCGATGCCAAAAGTCGGATCACTCGCCACCACCTTTTTAGGGTCATCGTCGGAAAGGCTGCCTTCGATATCGTTGATGTCGCGACCGATCTTTTCCTTCTGCGGCATGACCTTGCATCGCAATTTCCATGCCGCGTCTGACAGGTTCTCCCTGTCAAACACATCAGCAAGCCCCATAACGAATGCTGTGACGAATAAGCGGATGGGTTTCGAGAGAAGGCTGCGAGCGATTGAAGGCAGAACTCGAGAGAAAGTAAGATGGCAACAGAAAGGTAGGACTGAGCCGAGACTGGTAAGTTGCGTAGAGATATATAGGGATAAGGGTATCACCCATGCGGCCAATGCAGTAGCCTGAATGCTGCAATTGTGTGGCCAGCATCAACAATGCTTGCCCATGGCATCCCAAGACAAGATTCCAGCATTTTGACAGGTTGGTTCGCAACCGCTAGTGACCCGTAAGGCGGCTGAGGCCTACATCTTAGTGGCGGTCCTAGGACTTGCATCGGTACGTGGTACTCAGCCCCGAGGTCAGTGGTGAGTCAAAAAGAAAAGCCAAGGGGCTTGAACGGGGTCGAAATGGAAAAAAAAAAAAGCAAACTAGCCTAGCTGGGACGAGTAGAAAATAATGCGGATTTCATTAAACATGAAAGGATTGGATCGGAATATTTAACATGACATCCGATATGCAAAATTGCTTTTTCCATAGCCAAGTGTTGTACTGGGACGAAATGGTGTAGATGTCGTGAAGTAGAGACGCATTTTTGGTTGCCGTCCAAGTCAAGTCAAAGCCAACTAAAGTCAGGCACGATTGACACTGCCTGCAGGTGCACGGACCAGTGCGCGCACCATTGTGTAGAGGACCCACCCGTCCCTCGCTTAATGCCAGTCAGCCACTCAAGGAGCCTTGAGGCCAATCCTTGTGTTGGCTTTGACCCCTGTAAAACCCCGCCCCCACGGTTGCCTCCATCAGGCAGTCGATTCCGTATCTACCGGAGCTGTCTGCCTTGGTGATCGTCAAAGCGGCATTAGCTTCAGCTGTCAATTACGACAGTTCCCTCTTTGTTGTGACTGGGATTGTAACCCATTCAGCTGTTTCGATATATGGCTTGTCATCAGGCAACCACAGCTATTGAACAGCTACCGTTTCCATGCAAACACACAGAGTAGGTAATATTGAGTAGCGAGAATATATGGCGTCCTCCCTTTTTTTTTATAGACGGCTTTTCAGGGAAAGGAACGTAAGCTTTGAACCACACATCTTTCAGTCAGGTCCGTTTTTGGGCATCCGAATAGTAGAGTGAGGATTTATAGCAGAGAACGCGGCAAATGTCGACCGCTAATTCATCACTCCTTTCAGCTTAAAGCACAAAATACCCTGATTCTTATCATTACACCATTTTCAAAATTAGTTCGTGTCCAAATATCTTTTATGCCCGGGTTTTTCATCTGATACACGTAACAAATCACATGGTTGATCGGTGTCATCATATCAAATCCCAGGCCCTCCGTCTGGTATCGTCAGTCTACGGACATTGCCGGGACCAGGCGGTAGCAGCTCACAAAATCAACCCTCGAGAATACCCTGTTCTACAGGATTATTCTATTATGGTCAAAGCCATATTAAAATCAGCAGTGGAAATCGGGGCACCGCTCATCACATTAGAAGCCAGAGCCAAAGCACCAATCCTTCCAGGTCAATCGTTTTGTGATGCTTCGGTACTGAGTAGGCGACGCATCCGAAAGCTTGCAAACTTGGGCTTCGCTTGAACTTTGATTCATAAGTAAATTGGCATGCTAGTAATGACATCATTGGTCACTGAATTATCACTCGTAATTCAGGGACAGCGGCAGCGTTGAAAACAATGTTGTCATGTTTTCTGGAAGTCTGGGCGGTTGTACCTCACATGAATAAGGTTGAAAAGCTCAGAATGACACGATCCTTGTATTTTGGCGAAAGACTCTTGAACTACTTTTCCAAGGTCTTGAAAGCTCTCTCCGTAATACTTTCTCATTGGCATCGTTAAATCATATTTGAAAATCTTCAAAGTTGAATGCAGTTGAAGGTTTTCTTCTGTCACACTCATGGGCTCGGTTTAGAGAATGGTTATCACTCGACGATGTCGTACTGCCTTAAACTTAAGTGTTACGGCAGCATGCGAAACCGGGTTGCCAACTTGGCCGTTGCTGTATGGATACTCTATCTTCAAGACGCGACGCATGCCATCAAAGAGCTTTGCGGGGTACCACCCTTAAGACAGACTTTGTGGACCCACGAGATACGGCACCCTGAGGATCGCCACGGATGCATCTTCAAAGCTTGCTGTCGTCCCATTGCAAGTCTTTGTCGCAGTTGTTCCGTTCGAAAGCATCAGACAAGCCGAGCTGCGGCAGACGTCATAGGGAAGCGGATCTCTACAACGGCTGAAAAGCTAATGAATACAGCTCACATGTGCATCGTCGAAAACAAGAAGCCGTCTAAACTGTCTCGAGCTTGGCAAAAAGTGCCAACCCTGCTGCTCTAATTCTCCGGCGCTCAAGCTTCTGCTGATGATGGCATCAACATTCTTCGGCAGACCATCAAGCGAAACTGCTCTAGCGCCTTTAGAGGTTCGGAGATGAGCGGGCGCAGAAGCCGATATCGTCAGCTTGAAGAAATTCCCAAGTCCCTACTCGCTATAACAGACGAGGGCCAAGTGATAGCTCTATGAGTGTCCCCCTGTCGTTTCTTATCCTGTCAAAACCTTCTCCGCACACTCCACTTCCCATAAATGCCCGGCCGTTAGTCATATACGGCAGTAGAAACCAAAAGTGTCGTGCATGCCGGTGGAGTATCGAGCTTGACTTGTGCTGTTGGCTATGTGCAACCATGTCAGAAACACATCTGCGGCTGCCCTTCTCAAGCTGGTAGGTGTAGACGAGCCATGAACAGCGAAACACGAGTAATTTTCCTTAATATCTTTATAAAACGGGGAACAAATGGCAATATCTTTTGAGATTATCACCTGGAATAACTGCATAAGAAGACACAGCCAAGACCATATTGGTTGTGTAAAACGTGCTGGCGCGCGTCTTGGGCATGATGAGAGAGCTCCACAGGCGAACACCGCATAAGGTTGAAAAAACAGGGCGCCCTGTTATCCGAACTGGGAAATGATACGATTTCAATCATGGTGTGTTGGACCCTGAAGGCTGGGAATGCCGGGGCCATCCCTCTCTGCGATCGGGCTGACTTTCCATTCACCCATAATCCTAGGCTTTGAACTGGATCATGTAAGTGGTAGGGTCCGCACGAGTCGGCAAAGATCCTGGGTGTGCAGCAACGATTCATGAATCCCTCCAAAAGCCCAGGAAGATATTCGACCCGTAAGTTTGCCGAAGAAACCAGCAATGACGAAACCACGTTTTGTATGTCGCAAGCCAGAGGTTAAAGTCCGACCACAGACGATTGGACTCAAATCTTTTTCTCCCCTAAACTGAGCCTTGTTGCAAAAGCTGTTGCAATCTGACCTGAGCCAGGATCAAATCTTGGTTTCACATGTTTTGTTTGTTTTACCAAGTGTTACCCTCCCAAGTCTCACTGGGTAACGGACAAGAGAGGGGGTCCATCCCCGTTCGAAAAGGTCAGCACGCCGTTCAATCAATTACCTATTGAATTTTTCTGCCCTACTATTTTTCTTTTTTAATTATCCCGACTTTTTGTCCCACCACGTTCCTTGTTTGCCTTTGACCAAAAACCCGGATTTTTCAGAGGAAAACATCGGATTTCCAAGGCCCAGGGTCGCACCCGGGCTGGGGTATGCCCCATCTTCGTTTGCAACGGTCGCTTGCCTCGATTCGTAAAATGACACCGCGGGTTCACGCATTTTAGGCACAAATGTCGGGGTTGCTTATTGGGTGGATTGAGACCAACAGGTATAACGCATAGCTTAAGGTACAGAACAACACCCTTCGTCCCAAGTATCGTGGACCCCTTTCTTCCTAAAGTTAGCTCAAGGGACGGATTCCGACAAACAACTAGTCATGTCATCGGGTTATCACGTTGTGATCTGCGGTCCCCTTTATGCCTTTTCTCGCATGGGCGACATCCTGGTCCGTTCACTGGGGTACGACAGTGTCTGCACAACAGCCATATTTACCCTACCATGTACGCCCGTCGCCGGATCATACATGCTCTCGATGGCAGAGGTCTAAGGAGACTCTTGAGTATTGCAAGTATCTTAATATCTTATTTTCTTCTCCTCATCATCTGCCGTTCTCCTGAGAAACTCCTCAGTCCTCCCCCTTATTGCTCAGGTTACTGTATTCAAAATGTCTGTCTGTACGATGATGGTTACGGAGCCGGTGTCGAGCTTGATATCGTCGCCCACGATATATCTCGACGAAAAGGGCGACCTGCGGCTGCACGTGGGTTCCGAGATTGACGAGACCCCTCAAGATTTCGTCGTTTGCTCAAGGGCCCTCGGTAGAAGCTCCCCGGTTCTGAAGACGATGCTGTTCGGCGGATTCGCCGAATCGCGCCCCGCAGAAAACGCTGGGGAATGGAGCGTTGACCTGCCTGAAGATGCGACGGAAGCAATGGAAATCGTGCTCAACATCGTCCATGGCCGCTTCAATCTAGTTCCCGAGAAGCTACCCTTGATGCGCCTGTACGACGTCTTAACCATTACAGAAAAGTACGACATGACGGTTATCACTCGGCCGTGGGCTCGCACTTGGATGCAAGGTGTAAAACATGAGAAAGACAACGCGCATTTACTATGTGTGGCTTGGGAGCTTGGCGATGCTGAGACGTTTGAGGAGATGTACAAGAAGATCACATACGAGTCTGTTATCGACCTCAAGGGACGCTTGGTTTACGGTCACTTTGGTCGGGTCTGGAAGCTCGGACCAGAGGGTTACAACTTTCCTCTTGACAGAATCGTGTATCTGCGGCCGCCCGGAGTGTTTGGTGGGTTCTCACTGAACTGGTTCGAATATGAGTTACCTTATTCCTGCTAACACCAACCACGCACAGAGAACATCATCAAGCATCGTCAGGCTTTGATATCCGCCCATCTCGAACGTTTCGTCATCTTGTACAGATGTCTTAAAGAAGGCTGTCGATACATGAAAGGATATTACCACAGCTCGCCAGATGCCGAGGAGTGCAATAGCATGCTGTTGGGGTCGCTCGTCAGATGTCTCGCCAAAGGAAAAGTAGACATCACCATGCCAAATCCTTGCGAGTCTCATAGGGGAAATGTGGAAGCTCTCGAAAAGGCAACTAGTGCTGTCAAGCTGTTGACAGTGCATCGTCCGTCACCGGCCAATCAGTGTTTGAAGCGTATAGAGGAGGAGTTGGCAAAAGGGGCAGTGGCTGCAGCTGTTGCTAAAACGGAGTTAATGGTTCTGCAACCGGAACAACGGGGGTACCTTGAAAAGCAGGCGCATAAAACTGGAGTTGTTTTCGCTGGTTAGATTCTTGCGAGGGGATATTTTCTTACGGGCGTCAGGTCTCGGGTTTGCTTTCAATGGAGTTGGGGGAAGAGGGATATGAGGGATTGTTCTTAGTAATGCATGAAGATCAGATTGACATGATTCGGTTAATGGTTCGAGTAAGATCAATCAGACGGGTAGATTGGCTGAAGCTTATCGTGCATCTGAGTGACGAAACTTGTTTCAACACATTAGATCAAACCACCTATTAGGCCAACATGATGACGCCTGTGCGGTGACTACGCATGTCAGTCATAGCTCCTGGCTCTTGGTGAGCCCGAACATGCCTCTTCAATGCGTACGCGATCTGAACAGCTCGAACTTATTAACGAGAACCAGATCAAGGCAAAAAAATACAATAGTACATAACGCTATGTCATTAAAGGAAACTTTTTGTTGTCCCCACGTCCTTAATCATTCAACCTTGGGCCCAAGGGAAATCGAAACCGCTCAATGACTCGGAACCCAGCATTCAGCTCAGTTGAAGCCAAGGTTGCCAATGGTAACCGACTTGATGTTTTGGTACTCCGCCAGACCGTATTTGCTACCTTCGCGGCCCAAACCACTCTCCTTCACACCGCCGAAGGGGGCCTCAGCTGCGCTGATTAGACCCGTGTTGACGCCCAGCATACCACACTCAAGCCGCCTGGCCACACGCATCACGCGAGAAATGTCCTTGCTGAAGAAGTATCCAGCGAGACCGTATTCCGTTGCGTTTGCAAGCTCCACAGCCTCAGCCTCGGTCTTGAATGAGAAAATGGCTGCCAAAGGACCAAACGTCTCGTCATGTGCAACCTCCATTTCGGTCGTGACATTGCTGATGACGGTAGGCTCATAGAAGTAGCCCTTAAGGCCCTCAGGGGCCTTGCCACCTGTGTGGAGCTTCGCGCCCTTCTTGAGTGCGTCTTGAACGTGAGCATCAACCTTTTGAACCGCAGCCGCGTTGACAAGAGGGCCTTGAGTGGTTCCGTCATCGATGCCACGGCCAAGCTTGAACTGTTGAACTCTGGCAACGAGCTTGTTGATGAACTCTTCCTGGACCTTTTCATGAACCAAGAGTCTGTTGGCACACTATTTTTACAGTGTTAGTATGACGGCTTCAAGTCGGTGGGATGATTGGCCTTACCACGCAGGTTTGTCCAGAGCAACGGAACTTGCAAATCAAGGCGCCCTCGACTGTTTGATCAATATCCGCGTCATCAAACACAATGAACGGAGCGTTGCCTCCCAACTCCATGCTCACGCGCTTCATCGTTCCCGCCGCAGCCTTGGTAAGCATCTTGCCCACACCTGTTGAACCGGTAAAGCTGAGCTTCTTCACGATAGGGTTGTTGGCCAATTCCATCGAAGCCTCCCTATCCTTGGTCGGGACGACGTGGAGGCAGTCTGACGGAATACCCGCAGCCAAGGCCAGCTTGGCCAACGCAAGAGCGCTGAAAGGGGTCTCACTCGGGGGCTTAATGATGACTGAGCATCCTGCCGCGAATGCTGGGGCGATCTTTCGGGTAATCATGGCCGCGGGGAAGTTCCATGGGGTAATGATGCCACAAACGCCAACCGGCTCCTTGAATGTCAAGACTGTGGTGTTGGCGTAAGATGAGGGAATTGTGTCACCATAAGAGCGAGTGGCCTCCTCGGCAAACCAGGAGATGAAGGACGCAGCATAGACAACCTCTCCTCTAGCCTCGGTAAAAGTCTTGCCGTTTTCCAATGACAGAATGAGGGCAACTGGGTAAAGGTTAGAAAACTCTTCTTGGACATAGCACTCGATTCAAAGGTCACTCACGATCATCGGTGTTGGCAATGACAAGGTCATACCACTTTCGCAGCAGCGCACCACGCTCCTTTGCTGTTGTTGATTCGTAAAACTTTGCTGTTCCAGTCTTGGCACTCTCAATAGCATCAATGAAGTCTTGTCGGCCTAGGTTGGCGATTTCTTGAAGGACTGTTGCGCTGGATGGCTCGTAGACTGGGAAGACCTTTCCGTCCTGACCACTCTTCCAATTTCCGGCAACCAGTCCAGAAGAGATGAGCAGGGACTTGTCCTGAAGCTTGGCAAAGACGTCGGCCATTTTGGTGATTTGAGTGGGGTAAGCTTGGGTTGTCGAGGGGTTGACAAAGTGGGAGGGAACTGGCTGCAAGTCTGGGGGCAATGCCGTCCAGCTCCTTCTAATAGTTGTTCAACTATGGGGCTCTATTTACAGAGTGGGTGTCTTGCATTCAATCGTAGATCACCCGATTGTTGCAGGGACCTCGGCCGCGACCCGGGGAAATGCGGGGTCCAATAAATCACCGGCAACCGGCTGGCCCGGATCACCAAACAACTGGATCTAAACTAAATACCGATGGAGATGTAAAAGATCAAACGGCAACCCGTCCTGTGGGTGAGTGATGTGATTCTTTAATCTCCACTGATCTTGACTGGCAAAATCAATACCTAAACTGCCGGTAAATCCAGATTATTTACTCCAAGGACCAAGATCAGCCAAGAGAAACAATCGCTGGCAGCTCCGGCATACATACATGCTGCAGATTGTTTCACCGTCGTCCCTGTGTGCGAAAATTTCTATGCATTGTGCCCGGCCCGGCTCCTAATATCACCCGGCCCGGTCTGTCATATAGCGGGGTCATCGGGCCGGCCCCACCCGGTAACTGGCCGGCAATCGTTGTTCTAGACCTCGGCAGCCAGTCGTAATGGACATACTGCTCCCCAGTGCCTCTCTGTGTATGTTGCGGAACGCTTCTAAAAAGTTTCTCGTACAATCAACGGCATGGTATGAACCCATAAGGCTGCGTTGCCAAGCAGCATCGAAATCTGATTATATCTATGTTATCCAAGCCTATAATGTCGCAGATGAGTTAAAATTTTCATCTGGCTTGTTAGCGACAAGCATCAGATTCCTCGGCGAGATCTTGTAATCGAAAATGGGCAATATATCCACGTTTCTCGCTCCGCCCTCAACCAAGAACCAGTATCGGTCCAGGGCAATTACACTTTCGACAATCTTGCAACAGAGTACGCTGAGCGTCCATAATATCGCTATGCTACCCTCGCAATGCCGATAACGGTCTTCGTAGGCAACAAGCTCAGCGTTGCTGACCTTGTCCTTATCTATCCCAATGCACTGCATTGCTCGGTTTGCAAAGCTTGTGAAATTTGCCATATCTCCCTTCCGCACGCCCCAGACTGGTCTGTTTTCTTTGTCAAGTTCGATGCCCTTATCAAAGAAGACCTTCTCCAGAAGGGTTCGATAAAAGCGCCTTTTGGAGTACACGGACTCTTCTGTGCCCGGTTTTGACTTTTCCCAGTTATTCGGCGCCTGGCAGCCCGTCATCAGAGCTGTAGCGCTCAGCAACACATCATGCTCCCTCATTCTCGCACTTATCGGAAATCCATCCGGGCAAGACTCAGAACGGGGGATGATGTGGTTGTAGCAACAGCCAACCGCACCTAGGCAAGTAATAAAAGGGATTGTGGTGAAGTACTTCAGCATATGCTCAGATAGGTTTCCGCAGGCATGCAGACCAACCAGCATACACTGCTCTCCCTGGGCCCATTCTGATATCTCATCAGCCAGTGGCGCTGAACCGTCGATGTAGCGACACAGGTGTTGAATACGGTCATCCGAAATCCCAAGGCTTGCAGCGCATGCCTTCGAGGCGGCAATCTGTGACTCGCTGCCGTCTATGGCTAGTAAACGTAGGTTTGGGAAGAGATAAGCAAGAGACAGGGTGAGATAGCCTTGACCAGATCCCATATCGATAATTCGTGTGATATTGCGAGCTTCGCAGACGCTCTGAATATAAGCGGTTGCAACGGAGACTTCATCGATCTTTTTCGTCTTCATACGGCTTGTTAGGACTTCCGGAAGTCTGGTTCTTGGACCTGTACGCTGGGTGCGGGGAAGGGAAAGAGATTGTAAGGCCTCAAGCCACTTGGTCAGAGATTCCGGCCGGTCTTGTGACCGGTAAACATTACCGCTGTCGCCGGGCGAACATGATCGAGTGGTCGCTTCTTCAATGCTATCAATTAATTCTTGCTGGGCCATTCGATGATCGGGAAGTGAGGACCACCACGCCGTCCACTCCGAAGGCAAAGCCTCCCATGCATTGTAGATCAAAGCATCATTGACGTGAATACCACCAGTAATTTGACGGACAAGAGGCGTTCTGATAAATTCTAATAAGTCTTTCGCGTAGTCGTTGATATGAACATAAGGTTCTGGTAGAGTTATCATGGTGTGGTTGTTAAGCTGAAAAATAACTGGCGATTGAAAGGTTATCAGCTCTTTGTGTTAGGTCAAACTTTTGCTCTCAGAGCAAGCGGTAAGTGCAAGCAGAATGCACTAGGTGACTGGCCTATCACAACCAATAGAAAATGAGTATGTAGGGACGACAGTGGGGGTGGTGGGGAAAGAGAGCAAACTATGGATGGAACAGTGTTAAGGAGCTTATTATCTCATGTCAGTTCACAAGAAAATCAGAGTCTGGATAGGCTTCAATGATACGATTTACTAAATTCAATCTAAAAATAAGAAGAAACTTTATCTTTGCCAAGAAATAACGGAATTGGTACGCAGCATTGTTTTTGCACCAAAATCGCATTTCTATAATTAGGGCAACAGTGAATTAAACACATTCAAATTAGAGCAATAGCTACTTCTCTGGAGGTCCTTTCTACAATGAGCAACTGTATAGTCAATGTATGTGTTTGTTTCCAAGGTGAAGAGCAGTTTACACTCACAGCACCTTGCTGTACCTCAGCTTAAGCGGATCCATCTCTCCCATAATCATTGGGATCAGGTTGCTTGGTTACATGCTTTCGGGGCTGGTGTCTAGCGCTCCGACTGAGGATATGCTGATTCAATTTTAATAATGGCGCTACTAGCATCAAAGGAGACACCAAGGTTTCAATTGGCTCTATACTAGACATTTCTCAGCCCCGTAAGTGTTCCGAAAAGTAGAAAATAAGAAGAACCGAAACTACGCAATGAAAAATAGTGACACATAGATCAAAGCTGGGCTAACCCTTGATAAAGTGTAAGCCAAGACAAGCAAATCTCAGGCGACCAGATTAGTCAAACGTACTAGGTCTGCGAACATTGGCGACTATTCAATAGTACTATTTTCTACGTTTCTGGGCCTGCGGTTGTGAATTGACAATTCGCCACCTTCGCATGCCTCTCACAGGGTAAATTTGCTGGGATCACAAGGGTACCGATCACAAGGGTACCCGTAAGAATGGAAACTAAGGGGAAAACTGGTCACTGGTCTTGTGTTTGATGTCTATAGAAGAATATCCTGCATAAGTACGTATAGCCGTCTGCCGGTCTGACAGTCACATAGGCAACCTGGGTGCTGGCAGGCTTGCCGGCGACGGAGCCACTTCAACCCGGAGTTCCGGCTATTACAACATAAATAGTTGGTTTGGTTTGGGTCGTTGTTGTTCTTAGGCAGTCATGACTATTTCACTAGTAGCAAAGGTTAAGCTGTGGGGTTCAATGAGTAGCTGTGTTTGCTATATATTTATACCACAGGGTTTAAACCCATTAAAACATATATTCTAAGTTCAAGTTTACAAAGAGATGAAAGTATTATACGCAAGTATACTTACTAGCTTCATAGCTTGAGAGATTAAAGGGAGTTGCTACTTAATATATTTGTTAGTCGACTACTTGCTTTAATAAACTCATTACCACTAGTCTTGGAACGTTATTATATTACATATCTTTTTCTAATCAAGAATTTGTATTCATGACTCGTGGATTAATTTGGCTTAATATCGAAAGACACACTAGTTTATACTATACTCGGGAATTTAAGAGTACCCGAGCATGAAGGTATCGGCATTTGCAAGGCCTCCGATAATTCATCTTAATAAGGGACCTTGAAGTCTGTTGAATATATATAGTATTAATCCTGCATTTAATTATATCTTGATCCTATCTATGTCACCTTCTATATGATTACATCCAATCTCAGTTAGTATAGCTTTAACTGCATTCACCAAGGATATCAGAATATTTAAGCTAACAACTCAAGGTGTATTGAGCAGTATAAAAATGCAACTTCAAACTTTACTCGCCCTCCTTGTTCCGACTACTGGAGCCCTAGCGGCATTTACTTGCGCGCGTGCGCCTACTCAAGTATCGACATCGACTACTATTTCTGGGCCATGTCTTTATGGAGATAGTACTCGATGTGTCAGAGGCTCTGTGGGGATTTGGTTTTCGCCTCCCAATGGCAATAAAGGCGGCGTCTTACGAATCCGCAATGACGAACACGGTGTTAGGAAGGTTGTCGCAGTTGTGGGGGATAAGGGAACTGCAAGTTTCTGGATTAATGGAGGCGACGAATGTGTTACAAATTTGAAGATGAACAGTGTGGATAAATATTTCATATTCCGCAATGTGTAGATATATTTTTACTCAAGGAAAATCCAATAATTGTTTACCTAGGCTGTTCTAGCTACAGAATCCTTCATAATCTATACGTCTATGCTTTACTCTTTGAGATGTTAGCCTACTACCTGTCGCATGAAATAAAATTACCAATTTAGTTCAATGGAGGTAGAAGGACAGATGGCTTGTGGTAGGTGGTTGCTAGACTCGGCTTGTGTGTGGATGTCGCCTGTTTCTTTTACTCATTCGTTTGATCCAAGCTCCTGGAAGTGGGAGGAGTGAGAACGATGTTGGCGTTAAAACACAATTCTTTAATAGGTTTTAAGCGAGATATGTGGAAACAGAGCTGTCTCCGGCTCCATGATCACTTTCGCCCTGTTGGTAGGGCGACTGCATCGCCATAACTACCCCCCGACATTTATAGCAAATACTTGTAGTAACTAAGCATCAAACCATAGTTGTTTGGTTCAAGAGTTAGTCTCTATTATAGGCATGCCGCACCAAACCACATAGGTTGATTTAACTACTGGCCACTAACTCAGCATAACCTGGCTCATGCTGTGACTTGTGTTGTCTACAATTTCACCATACATGACGCCGTAAATGTACGCTTGACCAACAAGCTTGAACTTCCCTTCCTCACCGGTAGGCCGCAGTATAAATGGAACATCACCTCCCATTAACACCGCACATACATCTCCTGGCTGCATAAGCGGAGGACCCAATCCCCAATACCCGTCTTTGGTTACGAAGAACCGTCTATTTGTTCCGTAATTGGTGAATTTTGTTCCCAAGTATCTCTGTTGCAAAGGAAGAAGTCGATATGAAACGTCGTACCTCTTCAACTTAGCATTAAAGAAGGATGGGTTCACAGCAGCGCAGTATTGCGTCAGATCTTCAAGAAGCTTCATTGTGTCTTCTGCATCATTTTTGGTTTTGTAATGACATGTTAGGGTCGACGCAAATGCAAGAGGGACCTGATGGTCGCTATACTGAGGCGGAGAGGTCTTTGCGGCCTGCTCAGTAAGGTTCCAGCATTCTTCGATCAATATGCCGGGGCCCCAAGAGAACCGTTCAAAGTCCGTCTTCGCCATGGCTTTTGTCTGTAAGCTGACTGTATCGAAAATGATGGCGTTTACTAAAAGCTCGTTTCCTAGGACCCTCGCCGTCGAAGGAATTTGTCTCGCGATCCGAAGACTCGTGTCCCAGGCTTCCCAGAAAGCTGAAGGGGCATCTTCGTTATTGACATTCCAGTGGGGAATCCATGAAGGAATGCCGGTTGAAAGATCAAGATTATGAGGGCCGTTTTGAACTTGTACCAGGAAATTGAGTGACTGTTTCGCCAGACTGCCAGCTACTAGCAGATGAAGTTCATCGAGACTCAGACTGTAGTTAGCCTGAATCAAAGGCCTCCCTGTTTCCGCGAGCACCGCTTTTGGGTGTCCCAAGAACGCAAAGATATGATCCAGCGGATTCGTTGCATTAAATCGCCGAGAAGCTTCCAGGACGAGAACAAAGTCAATGTTACACTCTGCTTCCAACGCTTTGGTGAATGCTTTCAAGACTGGCGTGGTATCCATCCAACCGCCCGGCTTGTTGTAAGTCGACCAGACATTCCAGAAAGCGTAGTACGGCGAGCCCGATATGATTTCATTAATTTCTTGTCCAAGTTCTCTGATGAGATACTCGTCGCCCGTTGCAAAGTGAATAAAGGTGGCAATTTCGCTGAAGTCAATACTGCAGTCACCCCAATATGCAATGGCGCTTGTTGCTAGCCCGACTTCTTGGAGAACCCAGACCCGGGTGAACCACGTCAGTTGGAATAGACTCTTAATGGCTTCTGACTTGACTTTGCCCAAGAGCTGTGGTAAAGTACTCCTGAGCACGTTGACGGGGTAAGAGTGCTTCTCTGACGGATCTTTTTGAGAGATGAGGGCAATGCTGGCGTCTGGAACCGTAGACCAACTATTTTGGGTGCCAGTCCTGATAGCTGAGTTGGCGTTGACCAAACTAGTAAAAGCATTATCGGCCAGGCGTTCAGGGTCGCTGCCCAGCCAGACTACAACTTCAACAGCACGGTCGTATATATCGGCCATGAGGTTGACCTGGTGTTCTTTCTCTGAATTACTGGCTTGGTTGATGCAAATAGCATCAGCCCATGCTACTTCGACTCGGTCTGATCGTCTGATGCGCCTGAGGCCTTCCAATAAGCTTATGGTGATTTCCCTCTGAAATTCGGAGCAAATAACACTAGCCGTCTTCGTAGGATCTCCCCAGACATAGGACAGAGCCTTGTAAGGAGGCGCTTCATCAAGAGAAACAGTGACTAGGCTGCATAAAAGGGGGTCTTCTGGCTGTCCTGGGAGAATATGGAGTTGGCGGAACCAGCGGCCAGGAGGAAGTTTGTCGTACTGATACTGTTCAAGGTCCATGGCGTCTCTGCAGTCTTTGTTCGTCATGAAGTGTGACACTGGTCTTCAAGCTGAAGAATGGCGGGATGTATTTTTGTGCGCTGAAGAAACCTCGTGGTTACATGATTGAGTAACGAAAACTCATGTCAGTCTACGTGGCTGTTTTCCCAACCTCCAATCAATAATAACCTCAGGAACAGGGGAGTAAGGTGGAAGGGGCCAACCTGAAATGTGTGTGTGTGATATTACCAATCAGAGGGGAAACAGTTCGTGGGGCTCCGTAATCTTGCATTAGACTGCAATCCTCCCACCAGGGGTCCTTTACCATATGAGATGAGGTTAATAAATGGAGTCAGCTTGATTCCAGTCTTGGCCAAACCATTGCTGTAAGGCCTAGCACGGAAAGATAATTACACCTATTCAAATCTTAAGCAAGGCAGTCGCCGTTACAAAACACTGGAAGCCATTATCATTTTGTGAATGAATGATTTCAAACATTACTGCCTTTTACAGTCGCCAACCGAGAAGATGCACCTTGGCATGGGCATGTGGAAATTCTGTCACGACACAACCGTTTTCTCCACGAGCTTTAATCATCTCTTGTTAGTCTATTTTCTAAGTAATACCGTCTAATGCAATCCACCTTCTCGTCTAACAATGCTCCGTAATATAAATTCGACTTTTCACTATTTCAATGTTTTTGGACATATTCCAGCCGTGCATGCCTTAGCAGAAATCGTTCTTGCCCGAACCTCCATCGACGCAGCCGCCAACACAGAAGTCAATGTAGTTGATGGCTCCGTTGTCACCGCAAATGAACCTTGAGTTGTCGATCAGAATCTTCTGCTTCCCAGAGGACCCGGACCAGTGCTTGCTCTTCCTGAGAACACGGGCAATATCCTCGCGATAGTCGCCTGATAGAGAAATCAGAATTTTACAGCTCCATAAAGGTTTCGAAGCTCTAGAACTTACCGATGTTCAGGAGGTTGTAACCGCAGTAACGAAGGCCCTTGGTGCAGCTTCTCGCCTCCGCAGTTCCGGAAAGGGCGACAGCCACAACAGAAAGGACGATGGAGATCTTGACCATTTTTGCGGTGTTGTTGGAAGTTCTATCGTAAAAGACTAAAGTGGAATTGGACCTGGTGATGGTGGTTGATTTGTGAGGGAAGTAGGAAGCTTTGATTGAATGTTTTGGAGCTGAGTGTCTGATATGAATCCCAAACTCACGAGAATGAATAGCTCTTTTGTAGACGAGTTCTGTGAATGCTTCAACTCATCTGTTCCCTGATGAAGTCTAACTGGAAGTACTGTAAAAGCGGAATGACCGAGCTGTGTTGTTGCGTCTCCATGGTTGGCGAAACGCATACAACCGGCAACATTATCCAAGTAGGCTATCACACAAGACATAGGCGTGGAAACGTATTCGATCCAATGATGGCTTGGCACGCCCCAGGTCAGATTTGCTGTTCTAACCCAGCGGGGAAGCCGAGGGCCATCGTCAGTGGAGAAAGTCAGCGGCGACAACCGGCGACCCACCTTATAGATGCAAGTAAGAAAGCCATACACAGCTTCAAATGAGTTGAAGCCAACCAGGTACGAGCGCAGCAACACGGCGGTGAAATGTATGCATAGCCAAAAAAAAGTTGTCGTTCGCACTTGTTAATTAAAAACCGAGGCTGAGCATAAGCTTAAGGCAGCGGTGGGTCGTATGGAAGCGATGGAATGCAGGAAGAAGCTAGAGCAAGCCACTAGACAACGAGCTTTCTATGCAAACACCAAAATGTGACTCGGATGGTTATTCACCAGATCATATGATATTGAAGAAAGCCTACTAATTCGAATCAATATGGAGCTTCCATGCCAAATCCAGTCTGTTGCAGCCGGGCAAAGCGGAGATTTCCAGGCTCTGAATGTTGCCAAGATTCAGCTTTAAGGGATGAAAGTGCGGTTTTGGTTTGAAGTTGTGGTTCCGGCTCATAGCAAGATCACCGAGTCTAGCTGTTTATGCTATTCCAGGATGTGCCTGACTGATTAGTATACACAGTAAAAGCCTAATAATGCCTGCCCTGGTGGCTGAGTGCATTCGAAAGTGAAACTAACCCAGTGGCTCTATGATGTTTTGATAGTAGCGACAGAGAACCTCCTCACAAACTTTTTCTTTTTCTTTTGGGGCTATGGCAAGGTAGTTACTTAGCCAAACCCAAATAAACTAAGGGTATCAAGAGGCTACCGGATATGCTTGTTCCCAAAGGTGAGAACGAAATAACCGGATGGCTGTGCTTGAAGTCTATCTTGTCATTTGCAGGGGCCACACTAAGTCAGCTGAAAGAGCTACTACGTTGGATTGTGCGAGCGTGGAATCAAAAACGCCGGCGTGAGCGTCTAAGGATGCAGTAAATAAATGACGAGTGCTTCTTCAGTTTCCTGGATTGTTTTCGACTCTCGTTGCTAAGCTTCATCGTCATTCAACATCCATAAACCCAAACCCTTTTCTATTGCCCCATCTAACATGATATCCTCGACGGCGACCCTGCTGTGTCGAACAGCTCTCTTTTTAACCGCCGCCTCAGCGGCGTGGGCCACCTCAATCCCACGGAAGGCCGAAAGTTCTGCGTGCAAGTTGCCAGCAAACGAGAGTGTTTACTACAGCTCCGGATTTGGCTACAACTACGACTGCGCACCCAGCACCGGCGCGTTGAACGCGTTGATGCTATTCATTGACTTTCCGGATCAGACCGCATCCGAAGCTTCAGCAAAAGAAGCTTATGACTTTTTCCTACCCAAGGCGCAAGAATGGTTTGACAAGTCTTCTTACGGCAAACTATACCTGAACATCACCACCGATACTACGCAATTCTTTCGCATGCCCAGGAGAGCAGCTGATTATCAATTTGAGAGAGGCTTGACACACGAGCTCCACCAATCTTATGTTCAAGATGCTCTTGGTTCATGGCTCAAAGCTACGAATGCACCTGTCCCAGCGGCTAATAGCACCGGCGGTCCACTAGTAGACGTGTTGTACATCGTCCCGACCAGGAACGCAACAGCCATCACCTTTTCTGTTGCCCTGACATCCCCGATCTACACGACCAATTCGAATTACATTGCCAGAAAGACCGTCACTTTGGGGGTCGACTCATACAATTGGTGGGGCTACAAGGTCCTCAACCACGAGACCGGCCATGCCTTCTGTCTGCCGGACTTGTACCCGCTACCGTCTGGGTACGCAGGCTTGTACACCGGCAACTGGGATATCATGGCCAAAGTCGACGGTTACAGCCCGAACTACTTCGCCTGGAACAAATGGAGGCTGGGTTGGCTTTCAGATGATCAGGTGGAGTGCGTAGTTCCATCCCCCAAGACGTGTGGTCGTAACTCTACGACATCGACAATTCACAAGCTTGCACCACTGGAGACAGTTGGTGGCGTTAAAGCGGTTGTAGTTAAGCAGAGCGAAAAGGCTGCTCTGGTAGCTGAAGTACGGTCCAAGAGTGGCACCGATGACAATGCGTGCGGGACGGGCGTGTTGCTTTACACTGTAGCTACGGATGTCACTACAGGCCAGGGCCCAATACGCGTGCTTGATGGGAATCCTGGTTGGGGCTCGGCGAGCTGCGCAAATGACGAACTTGACAACGCTCCGTTGAGCCTCAATGGTGGTGGCGCGAGCTCGTATACTGTGAAGGAATGGGGGGTCACGGTGACTGTTGTAGAGCAGAAAGGTGACGATTATACCATCCGCATAGATGTACTTTAGAGATGAACCACTAGAAACTAGACTATACCATAGAATGAACGGCAAATTTTTCTTTGATAACGAAGTCCGAATCAGGAGTCTCCTTCTCTGTCAAGTTTCAGGTTACGTACGTGAGGTGAATTAGTAACAAGAAACATGCATTTGAGGAGAGTTGATCTTGGCGCTTCCCACGAGTCGTGCACGCCTTGGGGCATGAACGGCAGTTGATCGCACATGGCATCCAATAGCGGATTTCTTTGCCGAGGCGAAACTCACAGGTCTTTGTATTTGTAGAGGGTAAGCATCGTGTAATCACATCTGTCTTGGTGGTTTAGCGAAGGCATGCAGATATGCCGTGATGTTTTAAATCTTTGGATCCCTTAAACTCGCGACTGTTGCTTCTCATTGGTACTGATAGTGATCGCTCAATGACACATTACCGCCTCTGCTTGCAGACTACCTACCATAGGAAGTTGATTCGAATGAGCTGACACCAACCATGCAATGAATAACTGCCGTTAAACGTTTAGTTTTGCTCATCGCCTTTTGGTTTGCAAACGCAATCGTACCAAAACCTGCAGAAACTATTAACGTCGGATCGAAGTGTTGAGATGAGCTCAAAATGGGGGGTTTGTAAGCAGTTGTAAACCATCATCATGATCCCCGACACAAAAAGTGCAATCTCTGCAGTAAATGGGTACGCCTGGCTCGCTGGGCATGTTGCATCAACGAAGATGAACACAGGTTTGGGTTCAGCGATCGTCTCAAGTCGAGGTCTTCGTGGAGTTATATCAGCGATCTCTGTTAGAATACAGGCCATCTTCAGACGTAAACCGTCCGGTCGCCCGGTCGTCTGATGGAAGAAAAGATTGTTTGTGTTCGTGCGAGAAAGATCGAGTCATATCATAAGGTCACATCTTAGGCCGAGTTCCGAAAAGCGATGAAGATCATAATACAAGACAAGAAAAGCAATAGTAAATGCCGTCAGCCAGTATGTGAATCAACCCCACCTCAATGGAGATGTGAGGCTGGGATGATGGCCTGTCAGTCAGAGATGTCGCACGAGAGTGGCTAAGACCGCTGAGAGATGGTGTCTGAGGTCTTCCCCCTTGGCACTGATGCGTCTGAAGTCTGTAATTATCTGAAACAGCAGATCTTATGGAGGTCAGCAGTTGAATTGGCCCATTTCTGTTGCTGCATGAACCTGGCGGTCCTTTTCTCATTGGGGCCCGGATAGAGTTCAGGTCTGATTTGGTAAGTCACGTCAAACGTCAGATGTCGTCCAAAAGCAATGGGCATGCCGAAAACTTGGATGCATTCACTTCGCATCTTGAAGCCTTTGAACAAGAGCGTCAAGGCTACGAACCTTCACGGTGTCGACTTCACGACAACTTCATTAAGCTCAAGCGCTAACTCTAGCGCACCTAGCTGTCCATCATTCTTGGAGACATAAGCTCATGCTAACTTTCTGGTTGCCTTGTTTCAAGCAGGAAAAGCGGGCAGTGACCCCGTTCAACAGCACATCCTGTTCGGAGCGAGGTGCCGAAAAGGATGGTTCAGTCCCGGGTCTCACGGTCTAGACGTTTTTTCCCCCCAAGTGCGTAATCCCGCCAGCCAAGCAATTCCGAGCAACGAACTCTTCAGGTACTTCTCGCCTATTAGTACGTGTTTGCAGTCTTTTCAGTGGAGGATAGGCTCCTTCACTAAGCCCTAAGCAGATTGTCAGAGGAACCCCTTACCCACCCGCAACCCGGCGACTTCATCGTCCGGAATCCAAGGGGCATGTTAATTGGCCGTGGCCTGGAATCAAGCATTTTACCATGGGGCCCCCATACCCTGACTAGCGACCGATGTGACGCATGGGGGGGGGGGAAAGCGAGCCAAAACACAACCCCTCACATCCTGGTCGAAACGTGCTCTATGACATCCTGCGGCTCGTTTTGTCTGATCTTCCGCCTCATCTTACCATACACATCGCTGTTCTTGAGCCTGAAGTTTTTGCCGCCGCCTCCGTTGCTGTCTTCTTATTCGTCGCAATCTTTCAAAAAGGCTCTGCCGATATCGCAATCCTTGTTGCAATAGCAGACACACGGTAATACGCGCTGCTGCGACGACAGCGATAGTCATGCTCACCGCTGTTACCCCAGGTTGACACCATGAAAGCCTCACAAACTCCACCCAAATGCCTCATGAGTAACTGACTGTACGATGGCTTCACGCATGTCGTGCTTTGTCACCCTCCCACCGGATACGGCACACCAGGAAATCCTGGCCAGCACCTGTCAAGCCACGGCCTCCGGCTGAACAGGTTCCTGTTCCTGGTAATTTTCTACAGGCCGTCGTAAGCGACCATCTCTCGTCTCGTCTCGTCTCGTATCCTTCGATCTCATCCCCAGGGCCCCAGTTTGGCTGGACTCCTTGAGTCTCATCTTCCCATTTTGCCGGCGTATGCTGGCCAAGGATGCGGCTCATGCTCCCGACCGTCTGAATTCCACTGATGTACCAGGGATGTAATCTGATCACCTTTTCCATCCCATCTTTTCTTTATAAACTTGGGGGATCTCCTTCTCGGCACCAGACCTCTTCTTCTTGGCTATAGCTTCTCATCTTTGTACGACATTCACTTCGCTGTTTCGTTTCATTCCTTCAACTTGAGTTCTGAGAACTCTTCCATTCTTTGCATCGCTTACTGATTGCATCTTTTAACCGCTTCTTTATACAATTAACGTTTACAACCTTTTTTTCTCAACTACTACTTCAGTCGAACTGTAGGCAGAAGGCCGGTCTTTTCTGTTCCAGCATTATTTGACGTCGATAATCGTTATACAAAGTCAGTCGAGATGAAGTATCAGGCTGTCGCTTTCGCCACTTCAACCATTCTGGCTCTCGCTGAGGCCGGACCCTACCACCGCCATCACTTTCATGTTCGCCGCGTCACCAAGCGTGAGGTTCCCCAGGAACACTCTCACGAGGTTTTCCTGAACATTACCCGAGAGTTCCTCAACAAGAATAACCCCAAGGGCATTGCCGACCCCGTTTTTGGTTTACTTGGTGATGGCGCCGCTGCAAAGGGTGCCGGCCAGGTCACCAACCTGGCCTGTCTGCACCAGGAAACCGCCGACCAGGCCTTTACCAACGCCAAAGAAGCCAAGGACATCCGCGGAATGTCTGCTGCCCTCGTCTACCAGAGCCTTGAGCGCAACACTGCCGGCGTTGGTGTGGCTAGCGCTGCCTGCACTGACAAGGCCGTAAACCCGGAGATCGCCGCTATCAAGCAGCATCAGGATCCTGCTGCCGACAACGCGGCGGCCGACAACAAGGCCGTCACTCTCGAGCTTGCCAAGCAGCTGGCTTCCATCGGAGGTGACCCTATGCTTGCGCTCGAAAGCGGCACTTTTGCCCCCGGTGAAAAGACCGACACCACTTTCAGGGGCAACGCGTGCGACGAGCAGAACGACCCCACCGGTTGCATCTTTACTCAGAAGAAGCTCGTTCTCGACGCCACCCCCGATGAAATCAACGCCGCTGTTGCCGGTATCACTCCTACCATCACTGGCGGCACTGGCGAGCTGAAGGCGACCCACATTGACTTCAACGGTCTCGCAGTTGCCGGCCAAGCCGGAGGTGCTTCTGGGGGTGCTTCTGGGGGTGCTTCCGGTGGTGCTTCCGGAGGTGCCTCTGGAGCTTCCAACTCTACTACTGGTACTGGATCTGGAGCCGGAAACAACAACGGCAACAAGAGTGGTAACAAGAAATCGGCCTGCGTTGCTCGTTCAACCCCCAACACCCAGGCCAACAACTCGACAGGCAATGCTGGCGGGAACAACGGCAACAACAACAATGGCAACAAGGACAACAACGGAAACAACAACAACAACAACGGCAACGGTAACGCCAACGAGGACAACGGCAACACCGGCGGCGGCCAAAACATCCAGACCTTCACCGGCTCTCTTGGCGGCACCGCTCCCCCAGTCATCCAGGGAACCGGCGACCGCCCCTTCAGCGTCAACGGCAACACCTTCACCGGCAAGGGTGCCGCCCTCGGCCGATCCTGCGACATCCAGAAGAACAAGTGCGCCACCGCCATCAACAGCGGCCAGCTCGACGGCGAGGTTTCCCAGTGTGACGAGCAGGCCTCCCAATGCCGCGCCCAAGCCAACCTCCGCAAGCGTTCCGTCAAGCGCCAGGCCGCCGACTTTGGCTCCTGTAGCGACCCCACCATTGCCTTCAGCAACAACCTCCCTGATCGCCAGTCCGCCGGCTTCATCGCCAACAACAGGAACGACTTCAACCACGGCTCCGCCCAGAAGATTGGCATCATCGCCGGCTTCATCTGCCAGCGCCTCCAGGACAGCTGCAAGGCCCCGGCGGCTACCATTGACAACTGCAAGAGCGCCCAGACCGCTGCCACCGCCGCCACGCAGGACCAGGCTGCTGCTGACGCCTTCAACAGCAAGCTTGTCGGCGGCTCTTCTGGCGGAAACGTCACTGCCCGCGCTGCATAAGGTAGATGCGCTACTAGGCGTTTCTTGGGTCCCGGTCTCACGGGCAGAAAGAGGATGATTCGGCGCTTTGGTTGGATTGTCGATGTTTTTTCTTTTTGTTTTTAACGGGTGGTGGCTTCTTGTTTGTAACCAGATATCCCAAGTATGAGCCAATGCTATGAGTGGTGCGCGTTAGGTTACATTGGTTCGGAGTACTGGTGGTAGTTTCAACAATGAACTTTTCAATTATTATAAATGACTCTTCAGCCCGAATGACTCTTCAGCCCAAATCGAGTGAAGACGCAATGCACTGTTAAGAAGATGCCTTGATTAAATTCTACTACTTGGAGAACTGACAGAGGAGGCTCAATGTGCAGTGCTACCAGTACAGGACTCAAAAAGCGATGAAAGCCAATGACATTATGGCCCCCAAGCTCGCGAATACTACTGCTCTTTGCGGTTTAAATGACAACGATGAGGACGAGTAGCCCTTCCCCATGCAACTGTAGTATTCAAGGAACACACCCTGGCGATTTAAGTCGTCGAACGGTGCACAATTCAGAGCTTTGTCACCCTTTTGCAGAAGCCAAAATTTACCCAACACCCGCTGACGAGTTGGAGACTTTGCCACACTGGCTTGGTATTCGACAAAAGACTTGCTTCAGGACGTCAGCCACAGGTCTCTCCGCACAGGGCTAACGAAGGATACTCACAAGAAACCATCGCCCAAGATGGCGTTGATGTTGACGTACTGAATGTCTTTCTGAGGCCAGTACCAAGATCTGACCATTTTCCCGCTCTCGTCAGCAAGGTATTCGGAAGACAAGTTGAGTGCCTTGTTATCGCTTGGTATTGTGATGCTGAAATTGGCCCATCGCGTGGCTTGGGGAGAGTTGGAAAGCCATCGGAGTGTTTCCGTTTCCTGAATTATTAAGTCGCGAAGCTCATCAAACGGCAGAGCCAGCTTTTCAAGATGGCCGCTACCATCCATTCGGAACTCGTTAACCGTCAACATTCCAAGGCTAGGTAGACGCTCTAGTTCAACGGTTGCATTTTGACAGTAGAACTCCCTCACGTGCATCGTTTTGGTCTCAGGGCCGCCGACCACGACAGTCGTACTACCATCGATGGCTTGGAATCGATTGCCGAGGGTTACGTTGGTGTAAATGAGAAGCTGAGTGGTATTCGCCAACCCGAAATTGACCTTCTTGACACGCGGGTTGAGATACAAATATACTTGGTCGACGCTCAGCGGATATTTAAGCACGCTGTCTATGGTTTCGAGGCCTACGGACAGGATGATTTCCTTCACAGTATGTCCCTCTCCTGTCAGGTTTCGAAGTCCTTCGTGCCTCATAGTCGTCAGATTTTGCGCGTCGATTTTGAAGCGGCCGACCGATTCGAGAAGACTAATGTCCAAGTACGCCAATCTTGGAACGGTGTGTAAATTAAACTGTCTTCCGACTGCCCTGAGCTTCGGGAGTGTGATGTTGCGCAGCCCGCCGCTCCAGCTCATGAGCAGTCGGCCACCGACGGTCGTCAACGTGGTCGAGCTAATGGTGTCCAGCGGCCAGTCCAGATTACATCCTGGTCTCTCCCCTCTGCAAATTGCGAGTGTTTCAAAGTTGCCATGGATCGTTTCGATTCCATCAAGATTGACGTGGCTGAGTTCGGTTCCGATGATGACGTCGCCGAAAACTTCGGGGCATCTGCGTGCTGCCTTCAAATCTTCGGCTGTACGGATCGTGAAACTTGTACAGTTCTGCGCCCATACGCCTAGAATAACATTGTCAGCAAGTGTTGTTTTGGTCGCATCAGTTTCGACTTATAAATTGCAGTGGTGAGCGTTGGCGCTGACCTTGAGAGATTATGAGGGTGGCGGCAAGTAGCCGATAGCCCAGGAATGTTTGAAGTCTCATTTTGGTGACGCCAGGGATTTAGATGGTAGAACTGGGAAAGTCATCTTGCATTTGGGTCTACTATTAGTACCCTGCTTGTTGGCTCTCTTGATTGTTCTTGGCAGCCTGTAACTGCGCCGTTTTCCGCCCGGCCTCATGGAAATTCTTACCCCTCAAAATACAAATTGGGCATGGCTCGATCGCTTCAAAGCCACTGGCAACGTTTAACGAAATGAATCGGCTGACAACATCGCCGTTGCCTTTCCAAACTGCCACCCCACTCTATCACAACAAGCTTGTAAGTATATCCCAAGACAACCTACTTACGGGGCTTTATTTTCACGACATTAAATCACAATTCAAACTGAGTTAGTCACTCTAAACTCATGAGCTTCATGCCCAAGTTCATTGTGGTTTTGTTGAGTTTTACTTCATTTCGTTGGTGCCTGGTATATGCCAAGTGTTAGATCCATAAATATCATGCCGGATCCGAGTTTTGCACGCCAGGGTCAAGCCTCTACCTTCCCAAAGCAGTTGGGTCACACTCTTATTCCGAGATTACTATGCCTAGAATGATCGTGCCAACACTGAACCCTTAAAACAGACGAGCTCCAGTGTGTTAGGCCCCTGACAAGTGCAGCTATCTACGCTGTTGTAAGGCTTGTCGTGTACCCGTCTGTTAATGGTGATTCTATGAATCGCAGTGGAATAGCCGCCTTTGCCATTATGATCATGATTCGCTCCCTTTATCCGTCCTTAGTGGGGTCATAGCCCTTTACAGTATTTAGAGAATGCTGTGAAAGTTGGGAAATTCACAAAGCGATGTTGCAGGGTTATTTTCTAAATCAATCAGGGACAGCATGTCAAGTTGAAATTATGGGATCTCATTTGGTTGGTCATTAAACTTTCATCATTTGCTACCTAGTACTGGCAGAGCACTTTCGGCCGCTTTTCTACAAAACGAGTGTTTCAATAAATCATTGGATCTCCTTCACAACCCTCTTGATAGTCTCATCCAAGCTCTCCTCTTCCAGACCAATCTTGCTCAGGTCGGTGACCTTGTCGTTGTAGTCACCTCCCCAGCCCTGTCTCATGTGGTTCACGTAGAAAGCAATGAGGCCAGCAAAGTGGTCTCCGTTCTTGGCATTCTCCTCTGCCTTGGCGACGACTGTCGCGGCGTCGGCCTCCTCAATCTTCCAGTCCTTGTCCGTGGTGCCGGTGGCGCGCTGGACGCTGTCAAGAATGTCACGCTGGGTGAGGTAGAACGACTTGAGGTAGAAGGGCTTGTTGCGGTACTTCTCCAGCTCGGCATCGGGGAGGCTCAGGACGCCAGCGGTACCCTTGCCGGTGGTGGGAAGGTTGGTAGTGACGAACTTGGTCTTTCCGCCATCGTACAAGGTCGCGGTACGGTTCTTGACGTCGATTCCCCAGAAACCCGAGGGCAGGGACCAGTCGAGCCAGGGGTTGTTAACGATAGCAATCCAGTTGGCGCCAAGCTCCTCAATCAGCTTACGGGTCTTGATCTTTCCTTGCAGGATAGGGCTGGAATCAAGCAGCTTAGAGGGGTCCGGGCTGGAGCCGAATTCGGTGGGGAGGATCCACTTGACGCCGGCTTTGGCGGCGGCGCGGATGAGGGGCTCCTGGCCCGTTGAATAGCTGGAAAATCCGAGGGCGAGGAGGACGACATCCTGGCCCTGAAAAGCGGAGACGAGGAAGCTCTCATCATCGTAGCTTCCCTTCTTGACGATGACCTTCTCGGGGAAGGTGGCCGATGACTCGGCTCGGGTGACGGCAGTGATGGTGTGGATGCCCTTCTCGAGCAGGGCGTTGAGGGTCAGGCCACCGACGTTGCCGCTGGCGCCAACAATGGCGATCTTGCGTCCTTGCTGTCCAGACATTTTGTATATGTGATGTTGTTCGATGAAAATGTGTTCCGTTTGTGAGTTGATCGAATCTTTTAAACTGACTTTGAAATCCGTTTTCAGAGTGCTTGGAGGCTTTTGGAATGCTTGACTTGTTGATGAGGGGTAAGCTGGAAATGGAATTGAGAGGTGCTGAGTGATGGCATATATAGTTGTAGAAATGTAGGATGCCTAATTCTTTTAATATCTATTTTGACTTGCCAGAAATCGCGTTATTCGGAAAGGTATCACGGAAGACCCATCACGGCAGTGAATTTGCTTCCGAGATGTGTCAGTGGGCTCAAAGGAATCGCTGTTTGACGCCTGTGGCGTCCAGCAAAGCCACCTGTAGCTGGCTCGGCACCAGTGTCAACCTGACAAATGGGGGCTGGGATTTCTAAGCTTCTGGTTCGATAATGCGAAACTGCGGGGGCCATCCATTTGGTACCGTAATTTGGCTGTGCACGTCCCCACTGAGCCCGGCCTCGGGCGCCTGTGGTACCCGGCCCGGAGGTAAATTAGTCATTCCAGGCCTTTTGGGGAAATCCAACCGGGGTTAATTTCTTACCCTTTTGGTCAATTCGTCTCCGGCAACTCTAGAATCTTCATAATCGATCCGGCGCTTTTTGCAGCCTGTATTCTGATTCGTCAGGACGTTTTAAATCGGTACTAAATATTAATTAGTGGGCCAAATTGGACAAGTGTCGTCTCTGGTTTGTTGGTAGGCTGGAATGCGACTTATTAACTGTTGGACCTCCTACTGTCGTGGTTTTTTTTTTTCTTCCATTGCATTGACGACCTAAAAAGCACCTTTTTTAAGGATGATGTGATTCAGAACCTTTATGGTCATCCTTGAACTCGCAAAACCCGACAACATGCACCTTCAATGGTTGTTTTACTCATTCCATGTTTAATTGTGTTGATCGAGTTGATGTGACTCTAAGGGAATGAAGATCCGGAAAACTACAACGAATCTTACACTTGTCTTAGCATCCGAGATTGCTATCAATGGAACAGATTTGAAATTAGAAAATTTCGAATCCAGTCTCTCCTAAATGAATACTTTCAGAACCTCCAGGACATTCTCCAGCTTGTTTGAGGTTGAAGACTATGTTTGTTCGCGGAAAAGGGTCCTAGCTACCTTACCAGTGACAGCTCAGCGGGTAACATATGACTGAGATTGAAAAAGGGAACACAAGAAGTGAGAGAAAGAGCAGTGAAGCTGGACTGCTACCTGTATAAGCTTTTTTAAGTTGCAAACTGTGCTGACGGCAGACTCGGTGGTTTCAGTTTCTCTCAACACCTTCAAAGTGTGTTTCTTAGAGATGCTGTATTGCTTTGCTTCCTAGCCTCATGGAATAGTAAAAATGATCAGTGCAGTACAAAGTCCGAAATTTCATACCAAAGGCTCACCAGGTTTACTTAGAGTCCCAGATTGATAAGCAACGCTCAATCCGGTAGCAAGAAGACAGGCACACGGTTGCAATTCGATTCCAGGTTGGCATTTCAACTTGGCTTGCTCATCACGCACCGAAAGGAAGTAAACAGCAACCAGAATACCTTCGACTGAAACAAATGAACATACATGACTCTTTCATCATGCCTGAAGCTCACTACATAAGCACAGGATGTAGATCCACAAATATTGTTAACTCATATCTTACAACTATTTAAGGGATTTCACAGTCCACGGGAGACTTGCTATTTATTATCACGGGAACAAGGGACTTGATTCATAAGGATCTCCCTAGAAGAGAGAACATCTTCATGTTTTGAACTTTTGTTTTCGATTAAAGAGTAATAAACTAGAGTCGCAGTAACCACTGCCAAAACACCGCTCGCTGTGTACCTGTCTCGTGAGGCTGTACTAATGTATCCATGCCCTTAAATCCCATGCGTCCTAAAACCAACCACCCAAGCAAGGTTCGGATATATACATACATATATACAGATATGTATCGAAAGGATAATAATAAATATGCGTAACCCAACTGTTGCCCATTCAATAAGCAACTACCACTCAAGTCTATCATCGCATTTCAGTTCAACGTCATATCTTGCGTCTCCCTTCCAAACCCGTCCTCCTGAGTTGCAAGACGCAACAACACTTCTCAGTTGTGAAATCATGGAACCAGGGCCACTGGCATACACGATACTCCGACCACGAACGGTCCCCTCCACGAAGCCTGGCACCACGACGTTCAGGTCGGGATGGACTCCGGCGCTCTGCACATCGAGAGAGGTGCTCTGCAAGGAGGATGCAGAGGACGACTCAGCAACTCTCTTCTCGTCTCCCGCAACGATTACCTCGGGTTTTGCGGAATCGTTGTTTCGGGTAACGTGGACCTGGATCTGGATTCCGTGCGTCTTGGCGGCGGCGAGAAGTACGTCAAGCTCAGGCTGCACCCAAGCGATGTCGTGGCGGCAACGGACAGCCCAGATGAGCTCAATCTTTCGTTCAGGGGCCGCAGGCTGTGACGCCAGATGGAGCAAGACGGGAAGAACATAGGCTATACCTGTGCCACCAGCGACACAGAGAACATTGACTTCAGGGTGCAGGTCCTCAACCAAAGATTCGCCGTAAGAGCCTGAAAGGATAACAGGAGTCGTCTTTGCAGCGCCGTCCTTTAGCGACAGCTTCTTCGTCGCGAGCTCAGCGACCTTCTTCGTCTCGCCCTTTTTGGCTCGGAAGACGTAGGCATGCTGAACGGTGCCGTTGCGCTCGACGGGTAGGCTCAATGGTGTAAAAGGGTGAGACTGCCAGATGGAGCACTCGGAGAAGCAAAGGTAGAAATGCTGTCCCGGGCTCCAGGGGCTTTGCGCGTGAGAGAAGTCGAGGCGGACAATGTCACCATTCTCCGCGTCGGGAAAGACAGTGAGGTCGGCGTGGGCGGCTTTGAAGCCCATCTTGCCATCCGGGAGGAACTGGTAGTGCATGAGAGCGGAACGAACGAGGCGAGCAAGGCGGTCGAATAGCCAGAGAGCCAGTCCGGGCACCACTGCGATTTTGTCAGTTAAATCGCTTCAACACGTTTTTAAAGATGAACATACTGAAGACTTTCAGGGGTTGCCAGTGACCCCAGCAGGCACCAATGTAAACCATAGCCAGGACGTAGTGAGACTTGCGGAAGAATTCGTAGCCTGTGAGGCGGATGCCCCAGGGAGTGCTCAGAACGACAAGTATCAAGATCAGGATCATTGCAACGCAGCCCCAGATCATGTACAGCTGCTTGATCCATTTGTTGGCAACCTGGGGCTGAGGCTGGTACATGGCTGTCTCAATGATTGTCCAGCCAATGGTGTGGGCCAGAGACTGGACGAAGATGATGTATCCTAGCCACCGGTGGAGGAAGTTGAAGTTTTGGTAGGGAATGCCCGTGAGCGCGGAGAGTATCGACTCGCGGTTCGCCAGCATGATCGAGAAGGGCGTCAAGGCGTAGGCCAGAACGCCGACACGGTCAGACCAGGCACCAAGACTTGAACGTGTCTGGTATACTCCCGGATACGCCTTAACTGGGGTCCTCCATGTCTGGTAGTGAATGCCCAGGAAACTCCATAGGGTCAGGTAACCCGTCAAGATGACGAGAATCAAGACCTGAAGACGAGTAGTCCTGCCAAAGATGAATCGAACAGAGTCGGGGAGGAGGTGCTGACGGCGAAGGGCAGCCACCGCCCTGGTAAAACGGGTGGTAGAAGATGCGGCAGCCGAGCTCTTTTCGTCGTCCACAACACCGGGAATGGTCTCTGCAGCTCTTGGTGATGCCCAAAGGTGACGGCCAATGGCGAGGATGAGAAGAATGCCTCCAATTGTAGCCCATAGAATACCAGTGTATGTCATACCAACAGCATGTGAGCCGTACACGACCTCAAAGTATTCGCATGTGCCTGGATCGTTGGTACAAGGCAAGACCCGAGCTGCGTAGCCCCAGTAATTGACCAGCGATCCCTCACTGATATTTTGCGACTGATAGCCCTGTCGGGCGACCAGGTGTGATGAAGTGTCCATCAAGGCTATGAATGCCCCTCAGGAGCAATGACGTGCGTTTAGGGTACCGGGTTAGTTGTGGCTTGCAGAGGGGGGGGAGGCTCGAAGAGAGTGAAAAAAAGGGCGAACTGGGTTTATACAGATCAGGCGGGCATCTTGTTTGAACACGTTTGGGAATTGATGGATGTGACGCTGCGCTGTCGGCAGCATATAAGTTCGAATGAAAACACCAATACAATCGTTATCGAGCCCAGACCGATATGGATCCCCCAAGACGATTGTGTTTGTAAAAACGTGCTCGTGTGGAGTAAACCAGCATCACGCTTGTGGTTAGTTTCCCCGAGGATGGGGACGGCGGGAAGGTTGGTGGAGGCAAAACCGCACAACCCCCATTCCAGAGCACATTTATGACCTACTTGGTAAAGAAAGGGTGACAATGCACTCCCGGCACGGCTAGTGGGGTTATCTTGGCTGGAGTGTGTGTACGGTTAGCGCCAACATGAATCTGAGTTGAGCAAGTTAATAGTCGACCATCCCATGAAGCTAATATCGGTAACTCTGAGGGGACGTGTAGGATTCCCTAAATGACTCACGAAAACCAGAAAAAACACCACCCGGCCGAGACCCCGGCGCCGGTAACATTCCGACAATGGAGTACCATAGTACGCAAGCCTGGCCATGTGTTGCCCTTGTGAGCCAATACCAAGCGATGTAGTTCATGTTGTGCCAGGTGCCAAGCAATGATCTCCCGTTTTCCTTTACAGTCGCGTCTAATGTGGGTTCGAGTGAGCTAGTTTCCATTGGCTCTTTCAGAACCTACGTCTTGGTCCCCAAAAATTAATCTTGGGACCACGGACTTATTCCCCTCGAGGCATTTTGACGCACTCGATTGGAATTGGGAATGTTTACTACCTGATTGGTAACGCCACCGTCTCGATCCGTTAGTCCAAGGTGTTGTCTGTCGACTTACTCCGGTGGGTCTGCCGATATGCGGTCGGTGGCTAGATATACCTAGATATATTGCAGGCTTTGCTATCCATGCTCCGCTAGGTCCTGATGTGAACTGTCGGTCCATCTCACATGCCTAAGTAGCCATTTTTTGATTGAAAGCCTTCGCTGTCTTCTTTTGAGCATCACTGCAAGTGCTTCTGTTCTCTCTACCGAAATTTCCGGAAACTCGCACACGACAACAAGCAAGATACCGTTTGCCCACAATGGATCACGGCTCAGCAGAAAGCGCAGCATGCAAGGTTTCCGTAAGTTGACTCTCTTCCTCTTATTTTCTTCTCGTGTTCTTCTGCCCGTGAGCATTCGAATCGCTGACTTGGTCTCTTAGATGATGTGGAATTGGAACACCATCGATGCGTGTAAGATCACCATCCACCGGCCACGACCCCAACCGGCGATCCCAGACTGATTTATGCTGCAACAGGTTTCCTTGCAGAATCATGGCAAATAGAGAACAACGGCATGATGGCCGCATCGTGCATTGGTGTTGCCCTTCTCGTCGTGGCCCTCGAATGCCTACGACGAATCGGCAAGGAATACGATGGCATCATCATGAAGCAGGTCCAGCGCCGAGCTGCCTCTCTCTCGGGCGATTCCCAGTCTTCTGAAAAGGGCAAAATTTCTTGCGCTACGCAGCTGTCCGACTGCGCCTCGACTCCCCAGATTCTCACATTCCGAGCCTCACCGGTGCAGCAGTTGGCCCGAGCCTTCATCCACGCCGTCACCTTTGGCGTAGCATACGTGGTCATGTTGCTTGCCATGTACTTCAACGGCTATATCATAATCTCTATCGTCATTGGCGCTGGCTTGGGCAAGTTCTTGTGCGACTGGCTTGTCGTCAGGATCCAGGTCAGTGGGCCAGGTGTTGGTGAAGGGCCGAAGGGCATCGACGAGACAACAGTATGTTGCAGCTGAACGCCTTGTCGACCATCGTCCCGCCGGCTGTGATATTACAATGGCCGCATTTCGTCTTTCTGCTCCTTTTTCTCCTACAGTCACGAGACTACGGCGATGGGGATAGCACAGAAGGCAGTCCGATTGTCGCAACAACCAATCGCATCCACAAACTTTGTCGCTGGAGGCCTGAACGCCAATGTCTGATTGATTAGCTTCCCGCACACAATGTAAATACTACGTACATACTGGGAAGCCGAGTCTATAAGCATTCGGCGGCAGATGTCGCCAATTCCCGTTCTGCTTAATTTGGGATAGAATCGGCGTTTGGTGGATTATAGGGCACGTCGTCCCTTTGTTAAACAGCGAAAAAGGTTTTTCATGTATCTCCATATTCATCATCATCTGAAGCCTTACTGTTTTCTATCCGCTTTCTGTAGCCATGGTAATCCCTGCCTTGACGTCCTAGGCAGGCTTAAGTTCATGCCGTCAGTTACGATCAGGCACTTGCAGAGGGGTACTTCAAAAGTAATTGCTTACGCCATGTCGGATCTATCGCCAAGGGTCTAATTGGTACTTGAAGTGATTGGCTGTTGAGGAAAGTTACCCTTAGGAGTGACAAGGCCTAGGGGAGATAGATCCTAGGGCGCCTGTTCTCCAGCGAACGTAACAATACAGCGACAGTAATTATGGGTTCTTCAATTGTTTGTCATGGGTAATAACTTTGACGGGATGATTTTGCACAAATCTGGCCCGAGTGAGAACAGGAGTTCTGAAGTGGACGTCCTCGAAACCAAGGTAGATAAACATTAGTTGATGCTACCTAATTCCACTCCAGTAATATACGTCAAGCAAATATTGTCGAACTAAATCACCATATTTCATACAACAGCCGCCGCACTTTTAACACTGCTCAGACTTTTCAACCTCGAGCCCTTGAAGCAAATAACATGTTTGGCACACAAGCTCTCCGCATTGCTCCACACACGGTTTTCAGGCTTCTAAAATACAGCGACCAAAGGCAAACGAACCTAGGCTTACAAACAGTAAGACCGGAAACTGTATGCCGGGTTTCTTCTATCTTGCATCTTCTGGGAAGAAGGCAAGCACAGGACTTAGAGCCTCGCGGTACAAATATCGTTCCCTCTCCTTCGCCATCTCATCTTCTAAAGAAGGACCATCCTCCTCTTCCGCGCTTTTCAAATTCACCGACACAAGTTGGTATCCGTTCTTTCGACTTGTACGGTAAGCTCGCACCGATGCCACCGCCGTGGCTATGAGCCTCCCACTGTAAAAGAGTGCCGCAAGCACCGATACAACAAAGCTGGCCTGCGCCACTCGGCACGCCGTCTCCGCGCTGTTTTGGCAGTGTCGCGTCAAGTACCATGGATGGGGGCTCGGGTGTCGAGGATCTGTAAAGTCGCCCGATGCCTGTGACGAGATGCTATGAATCCACAAGAGACCGAGGAGAGCGTCGTACATCATCGAGAACGTTGGAGACATTTGCCCAAAGTACATCATCATAACCCGTGCCAATAGAATGACCATAGACAATAGTGAGACAGCCAAGTTGGCGTCGGTTAGTCTACGGATGACAAAGGAGTTAGCTGAACGTTCCTTTCTCGTCCCCTGTGTCTCACTCTTTCTCATTCTTCCTTTCATACCGCCAAAACGAGTAGGAGGGGGAAGGCCGACCTTGGTGACCAGATCAGCGGAACCTCGGGCGGCTCTTCATGGTTTGCGTAGTAGTACACCCGGTAGTTTGGGTTAGAATTCCAGCCGTTGACGCCGCCATTTTCCCAGAGTTTCTCCCGGAAGTGTCCAACAGATGCCGACCCAAAAAGACTAACCGCCGTTAGGGAGATGCAAAAGTCGCCAACAAGGAATAGCTTGTCAGTTGTCTTAGCTTCCATATCTAGCTGTACGGAATGTTGAGAAAAGTAACGAGCTAAGAATCGTTAAATGGCTAATTCCGGTGGCTCAAAGTTCTAGCGGCCTCTTTTTATCTAGTCGCCTGCTTTTGGGTCCATGTCTGTTGTCAGCCGATGCCCCAGTTAGGGGGGATTAACCGCGCGAAACTTGCTCATAATACCGCAGGCGGCACTGTGGCGCAATGAGTGTATGGCTAGTCTAGTGAACCCCGTGCGGTCCGTCAAGAGGCCACCCGAATTGAAGAGCATGGCCTCAAAAGAGTCATGCATGGATGATATATGATGGGTGGCTAACCAGTATGCAGTTGTGTTTGTGTATGTTCTCCAAAGTCGTGGTGACCTGCAACGAGCCTTCGCTTCTCCACACCGCGACGGCGCCCTCTTGGCAATGACTGAGAAGTGCCTAGTAAAACACTCTAGGATGGAGGTCTGGCAGGGAATGCAGTGGCTGGGCCTCCCAAAAACAGATTTAACGCTGACAACGAGATGGTTGTAGGTTAATCTTCAGAAGAGGCTGCTGTCCCCAGTGTTTTCTGTAGAACTGCATTCACACAAGTTGACAGCACAGGACTTTGACAATGTAATCGATCTAGACAAGCTTGCTCCCTACTCATAGACCACTTAGAAGTTGATTCTGGATGCCGCCTCTCTTTGATTTTGTGTTTTCCTTGACAACAAAGACAGATAGGTCTATTACTTCGTGGCTCTTCACAATGTCTACTATGACTCAGGGAAAGACACATCTTTGCATATCGAGTAAACATTGAAAATCGTCGTCGCAGGGGCATGCAATTGTCTCGTCGGTGTAGGCATTCCGGTCGGGTTGGTACGTGACGGAAACAGTGTCTATCATTGACAGTGGCGGCTCGTCACTCAAACCTAATACTGCATCTGAAAGCTTCTTTGGCGCATCAGAAGAGCCCCCATCTTCGCTACCAACTTGAGACTCATTGTCTTGGGCTTCCGTCCCGTTTGTCTTTGCGACTTTCAAGTGCTGGGTTGCGGCGTGCGTGGTCTTGACTACATCGGTCGTTCCGCAGACGTCAAGCATGCTGTCCCACGCAGGTTGGACGTTGTCATTAGCCGCGTTATTGCAAGGCTGAGTAGCACAGCCAATACATTGGCAACTATCACTAAGCCTACACGAATATGATGTCGAATGGGGCATAGGTAACTTTGCCCTAACAGGCGCAAAGCCGAGCGGGACAGGAAGACCATATGCGGCTGGCAACAACGTCGGGTGCCCGTAGTGCAGAGCATTTGTTATCTGCCTGTAGTGTGAGAACTGTAGCGTTGAGATGTGAAATTCATGCGGTGTGGGATAGGTGAATGTGGTGGGCTGGGAACATGGTTGAAAGATGCCTGGTAGCGGCATAGCCATCGGTATCTGAATAGGCAACTGGCCTATGGCATTCGAAGGATGCGAGTGACGGTTCAGAACTTCATCATTTGCCACTACACTGGCGTTTATTGTGAGCGCCTTATTAGGGGGACAACCGCTTATATCCAATCTTTGCTTGGTGTTGGACTTGCTTTCGATGTTCGTCGACTCGGTGGCTGGCGGATCGCCACTTAACCTGCAGTCACACTTTCGTTTCCTGGGGACGGCGAATGTCGCACTGCTGCCGGCGCTGCCACGGGCGGGCGGGTGAGGGCTTGTACTCAGCGGGCGACCGGGCTTTCGAACGGGGACCATCAAGCGCTCATTTGCGTGGTTGCATTTTGTTGATCTGTGGCCACGAATACATGGCTCGCTAGAAGCGTTAGCCGATGGTTCCAAGCAAGATGCGTGGTTCGCGAGACAAGGAGTGATGTTCAGACGAGGCGCAGAGCTTGGTAAGAAAGGGGATACATGTTGAGAAAGCAAAGTTGCGACCTACCAGGCCATCTTCTGGTCATTAATGAGAGGCATATCTGGTGCAATAAGGATCCCGAGTCGATGTAGTTCCGTGAGGGAAGTGTTGTTTGGGAGGGGTTGGCAAGTTTTGAGAGAAGACCGACGATTCATATGAAGAGGAGCGAACTGGTAAGCCAGAAAATACTACTTATTATGCGATTCAAGCCATGGTGTGTATGCACGCGAGTGGCACAGCATAATCAACTCATTACCTTTTTGAACCAAAGAGACGAAAATGGCGTAAATTAGCCAGAGATAAATGATAGTTTTAGAGCGTATTTGTTCCATGCTTGTCTTTGATTTTCTCTTCTTCTTTTTTGTCTAGATGTATATAAAGCACACTGGACTATGAAGGTCAAGAAAAAGTCGCAACAGCAACATCCTTGGAATTACTCGTCCAGCACTTTGACACTATCTTCGGGTCGTCCCGCCGCACCGGGCCAGTCCCTGTGCTACCGCGTGTCTTCACAGCTCAAGCTTGCCTTAAGTACTCTTCTTCTGAGCGGGCATCCCGGCCATAAGTTTCTCGCTGGATTGTGGTGACATTACATATCTTATCTCGCCAGGTGAAGATTCATGACATTACTAGTTTACGCGGGATACAATCAATAAGAGGCCACCGGCGCTTGATTTCGGCCCAATGAACTGCCGAGGTACCCAGCACAGGCTACATGACAGTGGCTACGCGACCATCAACAATCAACCTCTTTTTTCTTAATACCCGTGGATCCCCCATCGGTTAAGGGCATTTATCTTAAGTTGCGCTCGCAGTTGCAGAGAAGTAGGAAATTGAACTGTGAAGGTAAATATTAGTCAGTCAATGAAACCTAATCACTGTGACTAGTAGACACACTGGAATTATTGTCCCCGATTCCTACGCCCTGAACCTTTTATGCAAAGTTATGCTAACTTGTGAACACTGGTCTAGCCAGCGTCTAGGATGGTTTGGAATACTCTTGGCACAGGCAGGCCAGAGAATGATAGCCCCTAGACCAGGGGTCTCAGGCATGGGGACCCTTGGGCACCACCACAACAGGTTTCGACTGTGGGAGAATCATCTGGGAGGCCACTGTGGGCTGTCGGTAGCAAGCTTCGTCTTAAGGTTCTCTGCTCCCAGGAACACCCTTTTCATGATCATTGGCTAGACTAGCCATAGCCATCACGTTCGTTCACCACAAGAGAGAAAGCAATAAGCCGGAACGACAAGTTGTTGGCATCATGGACGTTTACCCTACACGAGGGCTGACAATCGATAGGGCTTTATTTACTTTATCATCACAAAGAAGCTAAGTTTTGGGGCCCCATCAAGCCCAGCCGCTCAGTTAGAAGCAGTCTATGCTCAATGATCCCGTCTTTCCACGGTTTCACTACACGCAGCGTGCCCTAATCCTAGTAGACCCCATCTTGCAGGCATCCGGACTTCCGCTTCTTCTTCCCTAATTTGGAGGTGGTATTGCCGCCTTCAGCTATCACCGATGCTGCCGGCAAGTTACTGCAGAACTCACCAGGAACCATGTCTCTTGTAGCGTGATCATCACATGTAAGGCTGACAAGGGTAAAGAGCTTGTGCGTGAGCTTCAATAGTGTCTCTCAGACGTGTCTGCTGCCTCACCGCATCTGTAACTGAGATGATTCCCAGCACTTTCACAAAGGCCAGAATATAGAGACAAGGAATGGGTAATAAATTTGCATCATTCGGTTCGCCAGAAATAACCTTGACCAGACTCTGAGTGGTTGCTGCCCTTTTGCGAATGTAAAGTATTCAGTCCGCAGTAGATGGGGTGCTGCTAGCCACACAAAGAAGCATCCATTCGATCTCCCAGCCCTCACCCTGGTATTTCTCTCTCAAGTGCTTCTTAATCAGTTCCCTGACCTCTTCCACGGGATGGGCCTCTCTCGTCTCTTTGTCCCACCATTGGGTCAAAAACCACCCTAGCATTATTCCAAATGTATTGGAATAGTGTTCGGCACTTTTCACATAATACTTGCCAGTCGCTGTCTTCATATTGACATTTTCAAAGCCTTGATCTTGAAGGTGACTTATAACCCACTCCTGGTCCGACCAGTTTCCTTGATCATGCATCTGTGTGGGTAATTTTTCTGGAAACGGAGCGGAAAAGGGAAACGAGCGGAATGCGGAGCGCATGTCCGCCGTCCAAAAGACGCCGTCGGGGTGCGGCAAGGTCGCACCGAGCATACCTCCCGGCTTCAAAATCCGCTTACAATCTGGCGTTATGGGGAGTCAGAAGATACAACATCTTTTTCTTTATGCTGAACAAACTAACCAGCTAGAACTGCATCAGGATCCGGGATGATGTTTAGGGCCATACTGAGCCCAATATGAGTAAAGGAGTCGGCGGGTAGACCCGTTTTCTGATCATGTATCCACCTGAGTCCCTATTGAATTCATATTTTATAGAAAGGATTGACAAACCGTTGCGTCAAGAAGCCTCACTTCCGTGTTGAGCCAGCCCTCGTTTACCACTCTCTCTTTCGCTAGATCCACCATGTTTTGCGCCAAATCTGCGCAGAGAAAAGAGCTTTCTTCTAGTACGCCTTTGGGTAGACTTTTCTGAATCTCCTGGGTCAAGACACCGCTGCCGCAAGCATTGTCGAAGAAGGCCACCGGTCGGCTCGTCTTGTCTGTAAGGCCCATGTGCGTTATCAACGCAGAGCTCATGTCGCCCAGGAACCCATGTGATGCGGAAATGATATTGTCTCGCTGATCCGACATTGTCTAGAGAAGCCACTGAGCCAAAATATCTGATTCAAAGAGCTTAAAATTCGCGCAGTTGCAGTAGTGGGTGGCTTCGATAGAGGCTGACACAGGAGGCTAGGGGTTCAAGGTTCGAACCATCTTCACTATTTAACCACAGAAAAGTATCCGAGAAGTTCCCGATTACAGGGGTCGCAAGGTCCTGATTGTTCACGACGACTTGGGCGTGGGTGGCTGCTAGTCACATGTGTGTGTTCCGAGACCATGGCACACAAAGGTCGCAGTTGCAATCAAACAGAGCCGGCGACGAATAGTTTTTGGTTATTTCATCATCCCGTGCGGGGTTCATGGTCTTTCAGCCAATGAATCAAATAGGTAATTAACTCAAGAAAACGCCAGAGAGCGTGTTCTTTTGCCGTTGTTGGCTGGGTCGCCCCAGATCCTCTAGCACAGCAAAGGTGGCGCCACGGTGGGTGAGGCAGTTTGAGGCAGTTTTCCACGTACCCCGACTACAACGCTGGTGGGTTGGACACATGCAGCGAACGAATCGGAAAATTTAACAAAAAAGCTTTGAGACAAGATCCATTGTCTTGGTAGCGAGATTCGACTCGGCATCGAGGCTCTTTCAGAGATTTGTACCCTATGGTCAGGCGCTTTGAGATGAGGTAGACCAACTGTTTCAGTACGATATATAAATCCTAGATCCCCACAAAGTGAGACCTTATCATGCACACTCAAGGTCGGGATCAAGTCGGTGCTTGGGCTGGATAATGCAAACAATTTGATCGGTCTGCATTTGACAATGGAACTGCGATGTCTTCTTCAGCTTGTTTTCGCCGCCACCGGCGCTCTCGCCATGGGATCAGACGGGCGTGCGGGACATGGGTTGATCGGATACGGCATCAAAATGTTCGACCCAGCCTGTGCTTTCGCCTGCCGCGATGCCATCTCCGGAGCGACACTCGGCTGTTCTACCGTCAGTTCGGGCGATATGGGTGGCATGTCGGGAATGAGCGGTATGGTCATGACGGACGCCCAATGCTATGCCACCGACGACGCCTTTTTGGGAACTCTTGCCTGGTGCATTGCTTCCAGGTGTGAGGGTATCCCAAAATGGAGGCTAGAAAAGTACTGGAAAGACAACGTTGCTGGGACCGCCGCCGTGCAGCCGGACCCGAAGATAACGTTCCAGCAGGCACTGGCTGCTACCAACGGCACCCCTGCCACGGTATATGCCGCCACTGGACCGTTGAACAAGACAAGCTTGGTATCTCAAGATCTTTGGTACGCAGCTTATAACACCGATGTTGTGTTTGAGGGCCAGGAGAGCATGCAGGAAAAGTACGGGTAAGTTGGAAACACCCTTCTCTGAGTTGCCTCATTTTTGTTGATGTCTAACTAACTGGCCATAGTCTTGTCATCCTTCTATCCGGTGTTGCAGTCCCTATATTCTTCTCTCTTCTGCGCTTCGTGCCGTTTCCGGCCCCATGGCGCTCCAAGTTCAACGCATGGGTAATTGACCCTCCGCTATTTGGAAGCCGTCACGACACGCCTGTCTGCTTCGGCCTTTTGATGATGCCTAAAAGGGGTCAGGCTCTGTTCGTTTTCTACTTTATAGTGCTCAACACGGTGCTCTCTGCCGTTAATTATGAATACGCAAACCCCAACACGTGGTATCCCGACAACCGCTGGCGCTGGATGTGCATGTTGGTCTCCAACCGCCTCGGGCTGCTCAGCTTCGCCAACCTGCCGCTAGTTTTTCTATACGCGGGACGGAATAATCTTCTTCTCTGGCTTACTGACTGGTCTCATTCTACTTTTCTCTTGATCCATCGATGGATTGCTGCGATAGCGACTTTGCAAGCCATCTTACACAGCCTCATCTATCTAGACGTCTATGTCAAGAACGGCACGCACGCTTCCGAGTCAAAAGAACCGTACTGGTACTGGGGTGTGATCGCCACAGTGAGCTTGTCTGTTCTTTTCCCCGCGTCAGTCATACCTATTAGAAGAAAACTCTACGAACTGTTTTTGTCTTGGCATGTTGTCATTTCCATTCTGGTTGTCGCGGGCTGCTATTGGCATATAGTTTTCGCCTTCAGCCACAAATGGGGCTACGAGGTCTGGATATTCGTGTGCATGGCCGTTTGGGGTTTCGATCGTGTTTTTCGGTTCTTGAGGCTGGCACGAAACGGGGTCAAAACGGCCATGATTACCGTCATTGACGAGGAGTATTGTCGAGTCACGATTCCGGGGGTCTCCGCGTCCGGCGTCGCATACCTCTACTTTCCGACGCTCACTTGGCGCGTGTGGGAGAACCACCCGTTCTCCGTTGCATCTGCCGTCATATATCCGCAGAGGCCTCGTGAAGAGAGCATCGCAAAAGAAAGCAAAGATGATGAGAAACGCATCACAACCGTCACCTCGGCCGCATGCACTTCCTCTCGTTCCGATGAGCGCCACAGCAGCAGCTCTCAGTTTTCGAGAGAGCCTCCTCAACTAGGTGTTACATTCTACATTCGCATGCAGACAGGTCTTACTTCGCTGCTTCGTCACCGCGATTCAGTGCCTGTTCTCATAGAGGCGGGATATCCATCGCACTCACCCGTATCCGAATCTCTGCACAAATCACCGACCCTTGTTGCGCTTGCTGGAGGTGTCGGTATCACCGCTGTTCTACCACACTTACATAGCCATCCGGGCCAAGTTAGACTGTATTGGGGCTGCCGGACCCAGGCTCTTGTAGATGACGTGGAAAGCACAAATGCTTTATCTGGTGTTGACAAGCAGTTGTTCGTCGGCAAACGGATGGCCGTCAGGGAAATTTTGGAAAGCGAGCTTGCCGGGGTCAAGGGTGATGTCTGCGTGGTTGTTTCTGGGCCAGAGAGCCTGACTGATGAAGCAAGAAGCGTATTTTCCGAGATTGTAAGGAAGGGAAAGGGGACCAGAGCAAGACTTGTTGTAGAGTCGTTTGGGTGGTAGCCGGAGTGGAGCGTATGCACGAGGGGTCACTGCATCCGGTTGCTGGAGATCTCCGATCTGCTAGTTATTCTAGGCGCATGCCAATAAAGATTTGCCCCGGTGACACACCGAACGAAGGCCTCAAAACCTCTCAATGTCCCAACGAGTAAACGAATCTCGCAGACCAGATGTACAAAGCTCGCCTTGTACGGACATCCGGTTGAGATATACCTAACATATACTTCTCAAAAGTGACACGCACTCATGGAGACACTTTTCAGAAATCAAAAGTAAACGATGACAGGCGGGAACTTGATCTCTTGGACCATGGAAGGAACCTTGGGCCTCTGTCTGTCATTAGACCCGTGCTGTTCAATGAGCAAAAATCGAAAGGCTTGAGTGGGTGGGTTAGAAACAAAAGTTTGGCCCGTTTTTGAGACTGAGGGCTTCAGCTGTCGTTTTACAGCAGGCTGTATTATGACTTGAAATGACACTGGCCCTGAACTCATCTGCGCGTCCCTTTCGTAATCTGAATCCCGGGTCGCCGGCACATTCTAACGCCCTTTCTCATGCAGCGCCAAGCGGCGATGTTTGGGCCATACACTTTGCCCTCGATAGCTTAGCACGAGACACAATACAACACGACATTATGTTTAGCAGTTATAGCGTATTTTTGCTAATCGCGTTTTGGATCGACCAATCACCATTGTATGTTACTGCGAAGCGGCAATGCCCCGGCGTCTACTCATCACACGAAAACACAGCCTGCCGCCTAGCTCACTTCCTTTGTACAGCCCCTATTTTGTTGTGATCACCAGCTGAAGCCATTTTCCTCAAAGTCTATCTTCATTGCCTGAACTTTGGCACTGCCGAACAGCGGCTCTCACGCTGTCCGATAAGCTCCCCGAGCCACACACCATAACGAACATGGCACCAATTTGGGCTCCAACTTCTGCCTGCAAGATTTCTGAGACATCTGGTCGCTCGTATAGGCATGAAACGACGTTCTTGGTAGTGGACGATACAACAACAGGGGCACTCGAATGCTGGGGCCTCTCTTGGGTGACGAATGCTTTGACAGTCAACAGTCCCGAGGAGCTCGATAGTTCCATGATCTCAGTAAGCCACGGCTGGATCCATTCAAGCGCATCGCTGTGACGAACAATCCAGACGAGGACAATTCGTTTCGCTGCTGTCGTTCGTGAAGCATGTCCGAGGACGAGTCGTCTGACATATCCGAGCAGATGTGTGATCCCTGTGGCGCCGGCTACGAGGACCACATGGCCATAGCTATCAAGTGAGGTGCACCCGTCGTATGGCCCCTCAAATGTGGCGGTCGTTTTCAGCCGCCCTCCAGATGCCGAGACTCTGCTGAACAAGTCGCGAGTGAAGCCCTGATGAGCGCCTACGACAAAAGATAAAGACGTTGTCATTTTCATTCCCTCGGAGCCATCCAAGGACTCACGCACGATAGGTGATAGCTGGTGTTTGACCCAAGCAATGGAGAATGGGTGTGTTTCCCAGAATCTGACTGCTACGAGCCGTATATAGGCATGCGAACCGGGATGGATATCGACGCGGCGCGGAAGATGCATTGTAATGCGACAGACATCGCTGCTTCCACTGATCGCTTCGATGATTGCAACAGCCCGTCCCTGGCGTGTGAAGGTATGACGTACCAGCCGGATAGTTCTCAAAAGACGCTCAAGGGCCCAAAGAATGGCGACAGCAATAATCCAAGGCATCTGAGGTAGTTCGAATTCAGATAGCTTGCAGTGAACAATAGTTGCCGCGACAATGGCACACGCCGTTATGATGTGGATGATGACGAAAGCCTCGTAGTATGCGGAGCGGACCGGGTTGAGAGTAGAAACTAGCATTACGGCGAGACCGGCCCATCCGACGAAGCCGGCCGTGATGAATCCGTGGCAGCAAATTTCTTTCCAAACGCTGGCCCAATCTCGATCGGCAACATGAACGACGGCCCAAGCAATACCATGCAGAAGTGCTTCGAAGATGATGATTCGGCCTAGCGACAGTGTTAAAATGAAACATTGGCAAGCTTTTCCATCGCTTCAACTCGGAAATAAGTACCTATCCAGCGATGCAGCATAATGCAACTGTCGTATTTGAGATGCATCAAGCTCGTCAGGGGGTTGTTGTGTCCTATAAGCAAGACCAATGGGACCATGTTCGCGACAGCCAGGGTCCCGGTGCGGCCGCGAATCTCAGCAAGCAAGGCGTAAATGTTTTGGTTGCCGAAGTTGACGGCGAACATGTAAGCGATGTTGCTGGCGGCGAAGAAAACGAGAAAAACTGCATGGCTGCGTGTTGGCAAGGTTCCGAAAAGGGGTAGTCGTCGCGCACGCCTCAGTCTGAACATGGGAGCGTAAAAGAACCGTTGCTTCATGTTTGGCACCCACGGGAAAATAGGTCGGGACCAAACATCCTGATTACTCTCTTTCGGAGCGTCTGCCAGAGCGGCCTTTCGCCGGGAGCGTAACCATCGGAGCGTGAGATGAATGGAGACGACAATGGCTGTTAAGAGACCGAGACTGGCCCAGAGGATTTGTACGAATGCAATGTTCGCTGGCTGGTTGACGCCGTGAAGACCTTGGTCGTAAGGGTCTATCAGAGGGAATTCAAAGTCAGAAGTAGTGTCTCCCATGTTTGATTAGAAATTAATTTTCTACCCTGAGGTAGTGAGGTAAGTTGCAAAGACTAACAGCGCCGTTCACCTATTTAAAGGTCGACTATGGTACATTATCTACATGACAGAACCCTTGAGCATTGACGTCTGTTGTGCTTTCGTATCCGAATTATCGAAATCAGCTCACGTCACTGACTCACTCCAAGCTGAAGGCTATTCAAAGTGATCCGAGATCAAAGTGTGAAATTCTGACGTAAAATACGGGCCGAGTTGAACATGCATCTCATGGAGTCTTGATAAACCCTGTCCGTTCCTGAATACGTCTGTGTGGAACTGGCTTACACTTCAAAGAGATTCGATGGTCCAACACCAATCAACTGTGAATTTTGGAGACACACGCCATCGGACGTCCGTCAATACTTTGTTTGACCGGCCGTGAATTGGCTGGCTCGTACATACGCTGTGAGATATTTTGAGGCCGTTTTCCACCATGTGGCTAAAAGCTGACAGAGCCTCACCTCTCAGACACTCTATTTTAAAAGTGGAGCAAACGTCTGCTTTCGCATTGGGAGCGTCAATGCGTCAGGACGTCGTTTACACCTCTTCGGACTATTAAGAAACAACTAGTAACGGTTCTTGGTGCTAAAGGAATGAAACCACGATTGTTTATTTAAATTCAGGATCGACGCACTTGAGCGATGGCTTTTTATTCTGCTCAAGAGGCTTGTGTTCACACCAATATCCCCCATTTGTCCTAAGGCCCTGAGATCTAACCAGCGGAACCGAAAGATATAAAGGCATGGATATTCTCTGTCATTGAGTCCAACATAAACTGCACAGCTTCAAGTCGCTCTCTATATTTCCGGCCTCATAATATCCAATTCTACATTCTTTTTTCCAAAATAATTTCACCTCCACTATGGCTATCAAATCGCATTCAGTTGCCTTACTTGTGGCCTTTGGTGTCACGACATCTGCGTATCCTGGCATGCGAAATGGAGATTTCACCGTCCACCTACACAAACGGGCAGGTACTTCTGATGCTCAAGTGAACCAACAACTCATTGGCGACCTTGCACACATCGGAGATACATGCTTGACCCCTGTTGGCCTTGATGTCAAAGACATTCTTATTCGATCCGGCAACGCCATTTCGAATGAAGCGTACAATACGCCTGTCCCTAGTCTTGGTAGCGACGAATGTACGCGGGACAAATGCTGCGTATGGAAGCATATTGCCGATGACTTGGTCCTTACTTTCCACGACAGCAAGACGGGTCAATGTACCAACCCTGCGCGGTCCGCCGTGCGTCTTGGCTTCCACGATGCCGCTGGATGGAGTAAATCAACTGGAGAGCTGGGAGGCGCTGACGGTTCTCTTGTTCTGAACCCTGAAGAAATCACGCGCTCCGCCAACAGTGGTCTGCAGGAAATTGTCCGGCAAACAAAGGTTTGGTTCGACAAATACAAAGATTATGGCATCAGCATGGCTGATCTCATTCAATTCAACGCCAATCTCGCAACCTTTTCGTGTCAGCAAGGCCCGAGGATCAAGACCTTTGTTGGCCGCAAAGACTCATCGAAAGCGGCACCCGACGGATTGCTACCGGCGACAACAGACTCTTCGGATTTCCTCATTGAGCTGTTTGAGAACAAAACCATCTCGGCGTCGGGTCTTGCCGCCCTCATGGGTGCTCACACAGCCAGCAGACAACGTTTCGTGGACCCAGCTAGAGCAGGCGATGCTCAAGACACGACCCCGGGTATCTGGGATACGTTGTATTACCAGCAAACCCTCCGTGGAGCCCCGAAAGAAGTCTTTACGTTTCAGAGCGACATCGTTCTTTCCAAGGATCCTCGATCTGGGCCTGCCTTTTCAGCCTTTGCTGAAAGCGGACAAAATCTTTGGAATCAAGTGAGTCTTCATACGTGCCATTGTTACACAACAAATGCTAAACAGAGAAACCATAGGCTTATGCGAGAGAATACGTCCGCCTGAGTCTGCTTGGTGTTTACAACATCAATACTTTGATCGATTGCACGAAGGCTCTGCCTACTCGCAACTGATGACGACGCTGTATCGTATCGAGTACAAAAGTCAAGATGCTACGACAACTAAGACCATATAGAAGGCCAACTGCTTAGTGGAGCTCACTCCTTGTGTAAATCTTAATGAGCTGGTACGAACTACCTACATACCTACCGAGTGGATTGTACCTTGTGGAAACATTGTTTCAATCTACTTAAGCACATGGGATCGGATTTGTGTTTGCTCTTTTTTTTTTTAATTTGATAATATGGCAGTATAAAAGTATAATCAAGGTTGTGTTCTAAGAGTTGCGCATATTCCTTTTGAACTACGTCTTATTAGCAACCTCAAATGGAGTTCAATGAAATATTTGCATGGCCTCAAAATATTTGCTTATGTAACGGCAATGCTATAAACATTCATGATAATGTCCTACATTCATGCCACTGGGGTTCCGAATTTGTTCAGCTATTGGCCAAAAACTGTTCAATAAGTTGAGATGCAAGCATTTGCTGCGTTTGGTACTGCTTCTTAAATATTAGGTACTCGGGCTTAGCTGCAGAAAGAAGCTACTGAAACCAATCAATGCTGGCACAAAACTCTCAGCAACTGTCTGCTTTGTTGTCGACGAGCAGGACTGCCATAAAAAGAAATTCGCGTGATAGTGATACTCGTTGGTTAGCATCAGAACGGGTCGTGGGGAAGGAGTTTTCGGACTTCATCCATTTGAATGTTCTGCAAATAGTTGAGGAATCTATCTTGTTTGACAAGCGGACCTTGTTAGGTTCTTCGAAAGCATGATTCATCTTATCCATGTTCGCTAACGTAGGGTAAAAATGTTGCCAGAAGTCGACCTTGCTTACCCCGAGTCCTACACTATGCTTATGCCCTTGGTTGGATGGACATTAACATCGGAGCCCAAGGCAAGCCGCTTGCTTAGTACAAACCACGGTTGGACTACCTTGGATTTTCTGTTTTAGTTACTACTAAAAACACTGGCACGAGTCCTGCAGAGAAAAGTTGAGTTCTGTGAACAAAAGCCGAGCCCTGATTATTGATCCTTAGGCGACGGTATAAAACCCTATTATTGAGTTGAGCCAACGGGCTAATCTACACGGTCGGCTCCGAGAAAGTGCTGCAGGCTGATGTAATGGTTTTCCCGCGCAGGGATTGTAGCTCAATCTCACGGAATTTCTCCCGCCTCCTTTCTTACTAGCAGAGTTCGTGTCAGTGGCACAGGCCTTTACAGCCCCAACGAGTAAGAGATCTTCCCCGCAGCCACAAGTACTTAAAAAACGAGGCACTAGTGAAGGGGTTACCCCAAGGAGCAGCTACTGACACGTCTCCAGGCACAAATGACCTCGGTAGCGGTTGATGCAAGGGGGGCGGCTTGTTGCGGCCTTCACGGGTCCCCGGAGTATGATGCAGCTGGACCCCCGATCTTGATAACAATCAGAAATGCGGGGAAGTCCCGATTTACCAACACTTGTCCGTTATCTTTGAATCCTCCCTCAACATACTCTCTGCATCCAGATTATTTATCTTCTCAAGCCTTCTTCATCTCGCGTGCATTGAAGGCTCTGCTGCATCCGTAATTTCCATCTTCACCTCCCGCCTCCACTATATCTTATCTTCGCCGTCCAGCCGGATAGAGCCGGCTATCATACTCCTTAACTCCTTAACCTCTAGTTCTCTTTTCAGATCATCTGTAAAAGAACGAAGCCGTAAACCCGCGTCATAAATACTGCTTACCAAGACATCAACACCGTACAAGGCGCATATCAATATGACAACCATTGTTGAGAAACGTGGGGGCCAGACGATTTACCGTTCCCCCGACACCATTGAGCTCCCCAAAGTCGATTTGCTTACTTTCCTATTTGGTACGTGTAACACAGGGCGATCTCTCAAATGCTTTTATCCGAGTGGTTGGATCGACAAGATTAATTGAAGGATTAGATCACCCAAACGAAAGGCTACATGATGACACCGTCCTCCACGCAGAGGCCGCTGATCCGTCCAAATGTATAACCAAGGCACGATTGGTGACTACTCTCAAACAGCTCGCTCACACTCTACGCCACAAATATGGCATTCAGAAAGGCGATGTCGTACAAGTCATCTTCACCGGCCACTATATGGCGCCTGCCGTCTTCTACGGCATCATGGCCGCGGGAGGCTCTGTTGCAGCTTCTACTCCGTCATCCTCGCCTCCAGAAATCGCCCGCCAGATCAATCTTACCGAGAGTAAAATGATCATCTGCAGCCCTGACCTTAAAGAACTCGCTGCCGCAGGTGGGACGGCTGCAGGGTTGCCTGAAGATCGCATCCTTTACATCGGTGACAGCCATGATTTCCGGCTTTTTGAAGCCAAGTCGCAGAAGCAGGTTCCAGTTTCTAAAGAGCAACTGGAATGGCCGCGTGTCACAGATCAACACACGCTGGAAAACACGGTCGGCTGCTTCATATACAGCAGCGGTACTACTGGTGTTCCTAAAGCAGTCAAGATATCGCACGCAAACATGATTGCTCAGACCATGGTCATATCAACTCCGACCATCAATTACTATAAGACCCGCCCTGGGATGGAGTTCAGAACGCTTGCTCATCTCCCAGCAGCACACATATCGGGTTTGCAGGCGTACATCGTGAACCAAACATACATGGGCGGCACTGTCTACTGGATGAAGAAGTTCAACTTTGTGGAATTTCTAGACTACATGAAGAAGTACAAGATCACCAGTTTCTTCAGTGTTCCGCCCATCTATCTTATGATTACAAAGTCTCCGCTCGTCAAAGACCAGTTTGACAATGTGGAATTTGCCCTCACCGGTGCCGCAGCATTAGGTCGAGAAACTCAGATAGAAGCGCAGAAGAGGCTCGGCAAAGGGAAAGGTATCCTTGGCCAAACGTGGGGTCTAAGCGAAACAACTGGCGGTTTCACCATTCTTCCTCGACACCTGACCGATGACACTGGTAGTGTGTCTATGATAGTAGCCAACTGCGAAGCTCGGTTGGTGGATGAGGATGGCAAAGACGTCGAGGTCGGCCAACCAGGCGAGATGTGGTGCAGGGGCCCCATTGTTACGAAGGGATACTATAAGAACGACAAGGCAAACCAAGAGGCTTTTGTCGACGGTTGGTTCTGCACCGGCGATAGACTTTCTTTCAAGGACGGCAAGTTTTACTTTGTCGACCGCAAGAAGGTACATTTAATCTCGCACGGATTCAATTATCCAACTAATAGCTGTTTAGGAACTCATCAAATACAAGGGATTCCAAGTTGCTCCCGCGGAGCTGGAAGCCCTTCTCGTTACACACCCAAAGATCCAGGACGCAGCTGTAATCGGCGTCGAAGGCGAAGGCACGGAACTTCCGAGGTACGTGGCAGCGAATGCGATCCCCATCCTACCAAGCAGTTTCTGACATACACGGCAGGGCTTACGTAGTTGCGGATAAGACGAAGATTTCCGCTGAAGAGATTGCATCGTGGGTTGCTGGGCAGGTTGCGAGCTATAAGAAGCTGCGGGGTGGAGTAATCTTTATTGATGCTATCCCCAAGAGTCCATCAGGCAAAATTCTCCGCAAGGATTTAAGAGCTCTCGTGAAACGCGAGACTTCCGCAAAGCTCTAATTAAATATTTAGTGTATGTCTGCAGTTGGCCTAGTTCGCATTCGACAACTAAGACCTGTGAACTGGCTAGACTTTGGTTACCTAGGGTCGGGTCTTAGTTACAGTCCATTTTGGTAGCAGTCCCTACGATGGATACTGACGCAAGGTTAAGATTAGAGCATGTAATTGAATGACAATGTATCGTTGAAAGATCAAATTGAGAGTGGCCGTATCTGCTTGCCAAGGACAAAGTCTCACTCTCAAAAGATCATCAAATTAATTGGGTATACTTTGGTAAGCCTCGCTTAACGTCACAAGAATTTTTCTTCTCCATGCTCTTTCATCCGGTCCCACAACTACATTTTATCCATCGCAAACGCGTTGTTATGGCCGTTGAAACCAGGTCATACTTTCATCTCCCTGGCAAGATGATGCGTCTTGTCTGAATCCATCCAGTCCGCTAGGTGCCATCTCCCCCATTATTGACTGCCAAATATCGGAATCGATGCCCATGCCATCACTGTTGAAAAATTCACCCCCCATCGCAAAGAACATCTCGCTCATATCTTGTGGAAGATTCTGACTCCAGTAGTTTACCCCATCGTCGCTAATTTCTCCATGCATTTGGTCCAAACCCTGGCTGTGAGGCGTTATCGGACTGGAGTCGCCCAAGCTCGCCGTGTAATTGCTACTTGCTTGTGACGTACGAGCCAATGGCGATCTCTCTTGAAGCAGTCTTCCAATACAAGGCGGCTCTGCTGGCTCTTGCAGACCACCTTTCCTTGCATTTGCGATCCCTTGGCTCCAAGACTTCAGGGTGAGGTTTCCCAGCGCGCGGTGCAGCGGTTCATTCCGATTCTTGATGAAAGAAGGGTGGTGTTCGTAGACCTGATTGACCACATCCCAGGCAGCTTCGGCCGCCTGGCTGGTCGAACAACTCGACAAGGCGCCTAGAAGCAAGACGAAGGTTTCAAATGGGAAGAAGTTGGACACATGCCACAGAAAAGGCGCCATTGATCTCATTGTATGTGTTAGGATATCGTAGCGGATTACTTCAAGGCTGTTTTGTAGCAGCCCTTCCATCTGTTCAGGCGTCAAGTTCGTGCCTCTTTCTGGCCGGCGTAAAGGGTGACAAGCTGATATCCTCAATTGGCTGATTGCGGATCGGGCAAGAGCAAAAGCTAATTGGTTCAGAGGAATGTTGGTGTCAATATTCTTCAGATATTTACGTTCAATGTGATTCTCGAGGTCGTCAATCGTTTTTAGAAACTTGCTTGTCCCTTCTCCTGCCGCGGAGAAGCTTGGGAGTGTCTTTTGCTGCATCATCCAGGTACCAATATCGATTCGAATGGAGCAGAAGACCATTTCGGTGGTTATAGGCGACACTGGAGGAGACGCCCCCATCGAAGGGACGAGATCCGCATCGTTGACGTTGGCAGGTTGCTTCGTGTCGCCTAGGAGATATACTGCAGGGTTCATGGATGCCCCCGTGACTTGCGCCGCACGACCATCCAGAATGATAATCTGCCACCATACCCGTCGGCGCATTTCTGCATCAAACGGAGACAGGTCTTTGAGCGAGCTTTCACGGTGCAAACCCATTCGTTGTCCCATTCGGGTGGCTAGCCCTGTCAAAAGCCAGAGTACATCGTTGTCACATAGGTGTCGAAGAGCGAGCTATCGAACGTCAGCGCTTGGTTCGAAGTGATTTGCGGGTTACCTACCAGGTATAATGTGAATGCTTGCAGAACCCTAAGATCAGTTGACCTCAGAAAGTCCACCCTACTCAATGCTGCCTCTGTTGCATAGCGGTACCTGGCAAGGTGTTTTTCTCTAGATTCGTCGAGGACGTCTCGGCATTCCTGCTCCGTCAAGGATACAACTGCGATGAGGTATATAGAAAACAAGAGGCATTCCATTGATTTTTCAATTTTTGAAGGATCCTGGAGGACTCTAAGTATCTCTTCTTGAATTGAGGGGCCATGGACGATCTTCGTCAAGGGATGAACGTTGCTGAGGAACACCTGCCACAGCCTGAATGACTGTATAGCCGATGGTTGCAACATGTCGGGGAAGTTGTGTTGCTGTTGGCCGAATATGAGGTTGATGCCGGTAGAAGGCACTCCATCTCTTGCTGGTGAGGATTGTTTAGGGGGGCTCGTCGTGCGTGTTTCCAACTGCAAACAGTAATCGAGTCAGCTGTCATGGCCGCCCTGGATATTGCGCCAAGGATCCTTACCTCGTCGCTGAGACTTGTCCACAGTTTGTTGCTGGTTAAGTAAACATCAACATCCATTTTCCAAAAAAGGTTCACTTTGAGCACCCTACTCTTCAACATAACGCCGTTGGCCATCACATTCAACAACTTGTCCGCTGCTCGGCGAGTCGGTTTTGGGTGGCGTAGGGCGGCGTTGGGCTGCTCGTAGAGGCCGAATGCACTCTTTGTCAGTCTTGATGCAATATGCGCATGGAATATGCCCGTTGCATTTAATCTTGCGGTTTTGGCAGGGAACACAAGAGTGTCCCCTGGTGATTTTCACTTCGACCATGATGCGGAATTCGAGAACGCTCTGCCCAAGGATATTTATGATGGTTCAGCTGGTCGGACAAGCTCGTCGATAATATTGCCGGAACCGAAGGTGAGAACAATGTGTCGCCGACGTACAGCTGCTCGTTTAGAATCTTGTCGTCAAACGTTTGAAGAGAAGGGTCAATTGTTGGGCGGTTAGTTCCTAATATGAGCAATGAGTGACGGTCCAATAGCTTCTGTGGCTGCGCCATGAACGCACATACGGACAACCAACAAGACAATCCGCCCGTATTAAGGTCGGGCAATGTTGATCGTATTATTAGTGTATGGCGACAGTTCAGTTCAGCGTGGGGACCGCTTGTTGTGGGGCTGACGGTGGCACAGCGGCCTTCGGTCCCGAACCAGCCCTGTCAGTGCCCGAAGTGATGAGGCCGCGGCTTGTTTGCCCATTCTTAGTGTTGTTCACTATCCGCATTTGGTTTAGAACATATTGAAGGATTGGTCTCGCCCATGCAAGAATCAGCCATTTTCCGCATGCTTAATCACATAATCATACGAAGCAAGCCACTCTCGAGTGTGTCTTTATGAGCAAGACAGTGTCGGGACCGTGGGTGCGGGACCGCTTGGTCGGCTCCGTTCTTCAGCCATACTTCTCAACCGTGGGCTACCGGGACCGAGTCCCCTCTAGCGATGATATTGGAAGATTCTCGGAGTAGGCTTTATCTGTATTGGTGCTCTTTGTGATGAATTACCATGATGATAACTCACGATAAATATGCTTCAATCACCTGGGAGTTTAGTCTTGTCCCACTCACTCACCAACCACTTTTTTCTTTGAAACAATCTCACCATAAACCTTTACCTCGCAATTTGGTGTTAAACACGTCCAAAACCCCACGATCCACAACATGGCAAACACCCAAGACAAGGAGGAAGCCATGCAGCACCACGTTATGAACAATGCCGAAAAGGCCACTACAGAAGCAACCACGGATGACAAGGACGATACGCAGTATCCACATGGCTTGAAACTCGCTGTCATTATATTTTCCAACATGATTGCCATGTTTCTTGTCGCTTTGGATCGTACAATCATCACCACCGCCATTCCTCGCATTACTGACGATTTCCGTTCGCTTAACGACGTCAGTTGGTATGCGAGTGCTTATCTCATCACAAGCTGTGCCACTCAACTCATCTGGGGACGAATCTTTACATTTTATTCGACAAAGACAGTCTATCTCTCTGCGATAATCCTTTTCGAAGTGGGCTCCCTCCTCTGTGGCGTAGCTCCAAACTCAATCGCGTTTATCATTGGCCGTGCCATTGCAGGCATGGGCTCAGCCGGCATCTACTCGGGCTCAACGATCCTCATTACTAATGTCACACCTTTGTCGAAACGAGCGGGTTATGTTGGAGCAATGGGGGCTGTATTCGGAATTGCGTCTGTCATAGCACCCCTGATCGGTGGAGCTTTCACGGACCGTGTCACCTGGAGATGGTGCTTTTACATCAAGTAAGTATACCCCCTCTTCCCACTCTTATATACATGAACTTGGACTTGCTAACACTTTTCTCTAGTCTTCCTGTCGGCGGTGCTGCTGTGGTGGCTCTCATTGCCCTATTCCCTGAGTTTCCTCCCAAAAAGTCCACCCCAATCAAGCAGCAGATCAGACAACTGGATCCCCTCGGCAATACGGTCTTCTTGCCCGGTATTATCTGCTTAATACTGGCGCTGCAGTGGGGTGGAGAGAATTACCCCTGGAACAGTGGCCGAATCATCGCCCTTCTTGTCCTTGCCGCCGTCCTCCTCGTCGCTTTCGTCGCTATCCAGGTGTGGCAGCAGGGAAACGCTACTGTTCCGCCGCGTCTCTTCAAAGTCCGCAACGTATGGTTGGGCTCCATCTTTGCCTTTTGCCTCGGATCAGTGCTCATTGTCTTTTTGGTTGCCTTGCCAATCTGGTTCCAAGGCATTCGTGGTACTGATGCCATCACGTCGGGCATTGACACGCTTCCTCTTGTTCTTTCTCTTGTGTTCGGGGCTATCGTCTCAGGGGCCATGATCAACGGTGTTGGCTGGTTCAACCCTGTTTTCTTCGCCTCGGTCGTATTCATGTCCATCGGCGGGGGGCTGATATCAACATTCGATGTCAACACACCTACACATGCCTGGGTGGGTTACCAGATTGTTCTTGGTCTCGGCATCGGCCAAGGGATGCAACTAGCAAGTCTGGCAGCACAAGTATCTTTGGAGAAAGATGATGTTCCTACTGGTGTCTCGCTCATGTTCTTCGCCCAGTCACTTGGAGGAGCAGTGCTCGTGTGCATAGGCCAGGCGGTCTTTAACGATTCGCTGCGCTCTCGCCTCAGCAACTTCGAGGGGATCGATGTCGAAGCAATCGTAGGACATGGTATCACGCAATTGCGCAACGCCATTCCTAGTGACATGGTCGAGTCCGTCCTTACACAGTACAACGCGGCGCTGCGATGCTATTTCTATGTTGGACTTGCTGCGGCTTGCTTTGCCATTGTACCATCATTGGGTATTGAGTGGAAGACCGTTAAGGGCAAGACTTCTCACTAGCGTTTAAATGACTTTGAATTAGTGGCATTAGCGAAAACTTGCCCAGACTTTGATAGTAAATTACAGCGGAACTTGTGAAGGCTGAACGGGTAAAGGAAATGTTTTTCATTGTATATAGAAGTTTCAAAATGTAAATAAAGTTAAATTAGAGCGTCTATAAACAATCTTGTGTGTTGATTGATGAGCCTGACATATTGTCAATGTGTACGATGTTTAAAAAGAAATTGATGAAAATTTCGTTGCCACTGACCAAGCTCACAGGCCATTCTCCAACGCCCAATCCAGTCTATGCACATGCCCTACGATGTAAATCTATCGAAAACAGCATGCTAAGCGTCGATTTACTTATTATTTTGAACAAGTTAAGAGTGAACCGAATTGTATTCGTTCATGTACGCCACGCTAGTTAGTCGTGGCCGTTGAACTGACTCATGCTGGATGTGCCTGAAGAGGTAGCCCTGAGGTGCTGGTGACGTACTCAACAAACTTACACCAAACCACACCTCGTGATTTTAACTCAAAAAGTCGGTAAACTAAGCCATATAGGGGCATCTAACTACAGATTTGGCATAGACTGATTAGAAAGGCACGCTGCTTGCTTCACCAGCTTCTGGCTTGGCGCCTCAACTTTAAGTCGCTTATCCTGTGACTATGCTTATGCCAACTTAGCAATCTATGTTCATTCAACTTGGTATAAGCTAGGCTATTATAGAAATCGAAGACCGAAGACAGTAGCTAACCTAGATAATGCCATGAAAGATAGCTGAGAGGATTTCTCCGACAAAACGGTGCATAATAGTGTCATGCCACAAATACACTAATAGGTACGGCGGTCAATTGATTTGCCCTTTTCTTTCAATTTGACAGCTTATGAAAAGCTGGAGATAGCACTGCTTGGTTCAGGTTGCGGTTTGGTGTGTTCGCTACAGCGTAGCTACCCGATCGTCGTTGTTTGACAGGATTGAGGATGCCGCATAGGTCCCGCCGTCTTTCGCTGGCTCAATAACCAGTTGAGATTTCTCTGGAACCCTCCTGACTCAGTACATTCTATTACTGGATGCTCGTTGCATTACCGAAGCATCTATTCGCTTCTAAGCGGCAATGTAACTGTACGAGACTGAACTCTTGCCGAGGGAATCGCGGACCCACGCTAGCGGTTTCAACTACTCGGAACATTTACAATTCTGCAAGCTATTTTTCCCATGACAAAGAGGTGGGTTGATGCAAGATTGTCTCGATCTTGCAGCTGCGTCCCTGTTGATCTCCCTCAATGGGGACCTTTCAACCCTATCCACAAACCCAAGAGCAGGTGCAACCCCAAATCAAGCTAAGATCACGCTAGGTAGATGTCTGTGCCTGGTCATTTTGGCATTTTTTAGTATTACTGACCTCGCTGGACTAGACAAGATACCCTCGAGCAGTCTAATGATCGGTATGTTCCTTGCGATTCACCTGCCCATCTTGCTGGTTGCGCAAAGTTCGTCAAAGACTCGAAATCATGCTACTTGAGCATCTTATGTTCAAATTTCAGCACCAAAAACAGTTGCAGCTTTGATTTCCATCTCCATTAAGCCAAAATTCTGTTGAGTGCTCTGGGAAGACTTTCTTGTCATATCGTGGGAATCATCACCGGGGATGCCTCTGCCACTTCATCACGTAATTCTCAAACTAGGCACAAGCTGAACCATCCCAAGTCCACAGACGACCTCATCATTGGAGGAAATTTCTCGCCTTATGCCGGGCTAATGCTATCAACTCACCGACAGGCATGGCCAGAAGGCAGATGCGAACGAAAACACACGATGAAGAAGAGATTTCACTCAAATGTTGGGAAAGTGATGAGCTAGCGTTGATCACGGCCAAGCTGCAGTCTGCCAAGTCTTCTTCTCTCATCTCTAGTGGTGGCATCTGGAAGAAGCGACCCAGGCTTGCGGCTGTGCCACATATGCAAATGCATGTTCGGTGTGGTACTTGGCAAGCATATTGTCCCCATCCCCGAGTCCATACCGGAATGCCCTCCGTCATCCGAACTGCAGGGTAGCTTAGAAAAAGGACTACCCCAAACCGGCATAGCTATGCCCAACAGACGATAGAAAAGGCTTACGCACTTATTTAGTCTGACTTACTTCGAAAAAAATATTATGAACGGCTAAATGGTAGAGTGGATTGTCTGGTATGCCAAGTCCATCTAGTGCTTCGGGGCCTGCCAACGGCTGACACCAACTCTCCAGCGGCTCGGCGCTGGTGTTGTTCTACGCTGACCGATACTACCACAGGATAATATAGCAGTAATAAAAGGCCTGATATTGGGCACGGCACGGTGGCCAGGTAACGACCTGAAAATCCTAGTGAATCCTCACCCAGTCATTGCTTGGCCTCGCACCAGCGTACCCGACGACGTCAATACCCCGCAAGATCACCAACCACTCCAACAAACAACAACACAACTCCAAAGAGCCAAGCAAATCGAATTCCGGGGAAAATCCCACCTCTCCTGTCTCCGCAAAGGCGGAAGAGGGTGTGCAAGTCCGGGGTCGCGCCGCTGGGTCGGGATAGACTGCACAAGCGACCGGCTGGGGTAAAAGGACTATGGCCATAATGCCAAGCATTTGCCAAGCGATTTGTATGCTCATCCTCGAGCAATGATTCACGGAAAACAGAAAACCAATTCTCCGTTACATGTTTCCAGGTCTTTTACCATGTGTAGCTTGCAGCCACACTAAGGTCTGTGGCATCTGGGGCTTTTGCTAGCTACGTAATCAAGATATGACATAGCTTCGAGAGCTTCATGAGCTTGAATACTCACCAAGCGAGGGTTGACTGAGTGCATGTATATAAAGCTCAGGTATTTCCGCAAAAAAAATTTGTAGATGGAATGCTATCATCAGAGTGTGAGATCTCTTCAATTGAGTCAGGACAGCTTTGTTCCATCATTCCTCGCCTTCTCAGTTAGCATTTTACTCAAGGCACTTTGCAACAATAAGCCACAATGAAGTTCACCGCTGCCTCCATCGTCTCTCTTCTGCCAGTGCTGGCTCAGTCTGCTGCCATTGAGAGACGTCAATCAGGAGACGGACCTGGTGGTTCGGCCGACAACACCCAAGGTGATCTTGGGGAGAGGCCACCTCCTCGCTTCCCATTCCCCATCACCAAGTTCCCTGTCGCGAATGAAACCGTTGTCCTCGAGCAGGCAATGTACATTCTACCCGGACAGATCTTCGACGGAGGCATGAAGCGCTACGAGCGTGTCGAGGGTAGCTGCAACGAGCAAGCTGGTATGTGCTCACAATCGAAGTCGCCTGAAGCCGCAGAACTCTTCTGACAGTTGGTGTATTATAGAGGGTACCGATGCGGACGCTGTTTTCAACCTCCTCCCCGGCTCGACCATCCGAAATGTCATCATTGGAAAACACCAGGCCGAGGGCATCCACGCCCTGGGTGACGCCTGGGTCGAGAACGGTATGACAAGATTATCCCACTATAAGTATCATGCTAATTTGTCAATAGTCTGGTGGGAGGATGTCTGCGAGGACGCTCTTACCTCCAAGGGCCTCAACACCCAACTGCGAGTTATTGGTGGAGGTGCTCTCAATGCTACCGACAAGGTAAGGGCTTACCCTTTATGCGAGATTGTATCTCATGGACAGTCAAACATTAACACACTTGCAGATTTTCCAAGATAACTCCCTTGGTGGCAAGTACAACATCACTGGCTTCTACGCCGAGAACTTCGGAGTTCGTCAAGCCCACGCCCTTAACCTACGCACATTTGCTGACCACAGCTCCAGACCTTTTACCAGAGCTGCGGAAACTGTTTGAACCAAGCGAAGCGAAACGCAACCATTCAGAACGTGGTGGCCGTAAACGGCAACAGAATGGGCATCGTAAGTGTCTCACGCTGATTTGCAGACCTTTTTGAACTTTGTGCTAAGACTTTTGTGACAACTGCAGATCAACCCCAACTATGGAGACGAATTCCGCCTCAAGAACGCCCAGCTCAAAGACCTCAAGGTCATTGTGGACAAGGAGATTGCCAACAACGTCCAGACCGTTCCTTACACCGTTGGAACCGGCGCTGACGGAAAGTATGCCATCTACAACGAGACCAGAGATGCCATCACGGAGTTCGGCGGCGAGGTTTTGAACGCATACACACCCGAAGACCCTTACGAGTGGCTCGAGGCCTACTGGCCTGACGGATTCAACTGAGTGGCGTAACTTTGATGTTCAAAGGCTGGAATAGGAGGTGTTCTGTTGACATGCAGAACATGGTTTGCACTAGATTATATCCCACGAGTAATGATTAAATTGACTGTTTTTTGGCTTCTTAAATTTGTCGCTCATGTTCTTGTAGTGAAACTGTTAGAAGATCGGGTACAAGCCAAGCTTAGAGTACTCACCATCAAGACCGGCTTGGTTCTGAATGATATGGGTGTCCATCCAAACCGGCCCAACTGCTGCATCAGCCATGCGCATCGACGTCTTTCTCATGGCATAGGCACGTTCCCTCAAAAGCGCTCCAAGTCATTAAGGCTACTGCCTTTTTTTTCTTTATTTTTTAGCGAGCCAATTGGGAGAGCTAACCTGAAAGGCAGAATGGAAGGGTATGCACATGCTGTGCCTCATGCCTACGTCGTGTCAATCAAACCAGCCAGATCCATTTCCTGGAGCTCATCACAGAGATTGCAGTCTCCAACTATATCCATGATGATTTGGGGTAGAACACGTACAAATTCAAAACGTTCGGGCATTTATCGGTGTCTTCAATGTCCCCTTCTGACTCAAAATGCCGCTGCTGTTGCAAAATGTCTTAGTGAAAGGCTGGGCGTACTAAACACCTCGCAAATCGTGCAGAGGAAAGTCATTTGCATTCATCAAAAACGTAAATTAGAGACAATTTCAAAACCCCTAACATTATCCCAGTCACTTGGCTCCGGAGAAGTTCTGATTATCCAAAATTGAAATCAGCCCAGCCACGCAAAGCAACAAATACATTTTGGCGAGGTGGGTATCGTACAATAGGAGGCGGCGCAGGAAAACATGCAGATCAACCAACGGAAGCGAGCAGCAAACAAAAGAAAAAAAGGGCCGTTTAACCTGGCGTAATTAAAATGCAGTGGCTGCATGCTTAAAGGAGAGATTTGGGCTATCCGGTTACACTTGTCGCAAACAGAAGTGACATCATGAGAAGATGGCCAAAGAATGCCACTTATCGGAATGTAGACATCGCTTTGAAGCTAAAAGCGCTGGTTACACCCACCCAAGGCTCGTATTTGCGGACTGCAACGTGACGGCTTGCCCATCCCAAAGAAAAGGCGACGTAAATCAATGCCGCATCTAGTTTTGACGTAAAAGAAGTTGCCTCTCAAAAATCGAATGCGGGTGCCGTTTACCTTGCACCAACGACTTGGCGATGTCCCCTTGCAAATATTGTTAGACATGACATGGTCCACGCCCTCGTGACGAGATTTCAAGGGATTGCACATTTACCAATGACAACCCACCCCTCCGTCTCTGCGTGTACCAACCTCCCTTCTTGATGTCACCCAGCTGCGCCTTCGAAATATTTTTTCCCCGGCTTCCCACAACTAGGCTGAGTCGTCCAGGCCTGGGCAAGCAACAAAACCCACGCCATAGGACTGATTTTTTTGCGGCCGCCAAACGATCATGAGCGCGCCAAACGCATTCATATCCAACGGTACCTGCTATTACGGCCCTGGCAAAGAAGTGGGCGACTGGTTTCCTTGCGGCAATGCTGCGCTTGGTGACAAGACATGCTGCCAGGGCGGCGACATGTGCCTGTCGAGCCGAGCTTGCTACAACCCGCGCTATGGAATTACCTATCTAGCTGGCTGCAGCGATCCAGCCTACAAGCATTCGAGTTGTCCAGATAAGGGTGCACTGAAAGGCAAGTCCATCTGTTCCTGAATCTGGGAGCGGCAGGTCCGTAGCTAACGAAGGTGATGACATCCAGATCAGCCTTGGACTGGTCTCGTATACTGCAATGGCACATCAGAACAGTGGATAGCTTGCAAGCAGTCTGCACGGCCGACAACCCTCACTTCAGCGGACGCCTGCTGGTGTCCTCAAACATCACGCTCAGTCGCCTTCACCGATTCCTCGATTCTCGGGAATGTCGTACAACTGCCGACGTCGTTGGGAGGCAGTGTGATTTGGCAACCCGGATATGTCCCAGTCCCAACACAACCAAATACGAGTCCAACCGAGACTTCAACTTCTATAACTAGTCCTTCGATAACTAGTTCCGGCCCTATGCCATCGGCGACGGAGACGGGTGCGAGTGAAGGTGGCGATGATACGGGCATGACATCCGGAACCAAGATCGGCATCGGTGTCGGCGTCGGAGCGGGATGCACGGTTTTGCTCGCGGTACTAATATTTCTGTTTTTCGCTCGGCGAAAGATGCAAAAAAAGGAGATGGCTGAGCTGGCCAACACGAAATCCGGAGGTCTAAACGACTGGAGGCAAGACCATACAACACCTGCTGGAACCACCATTTCAGAGTTCGATCCCAATATAGCATATCAATGGTCAACAAGATCAGAGTTGGATGCAACTCCGCGAGGGTCGACGACAGAGATACCAGATGGATACGGCATCAAGCCGCAAGAGCAGGCTCAATTAAGCTTAATTGGAAAGCCACCTAGTACAAGAAAACCGGGCAAGGGCAAGAGGCCGCAAAGCCCAATTGCGGAGTTGCCGGGGTAGGCAACTGTTGGGTTGCTTGTCAGAGAGTTTCAATGCGTAAATAAGTTACATATGTTCTAAGAGTCGACATGGTGTTAAGGAACCATTTGGTTGACTTGACGATTCTGACAGTTAATAAATTTGATAATTTCTTGGTGATGGTGACCTTTCCCAACTACGAATCTCTGCCGTGGCCGAATTAACCCCTTTGTGCGAACACCTAATGTCACCGATGCTAATGTAGAACACGAACATCAAAGTAAAAGGTTTGTTAATATAGATTTTCTGCAGGTTGGTGACGCTCACTGGCTGTAACTATAATCCTTAAGTTCTGCTCGGTTTCCAGTATACGTTCAAATTTGCTCCCGCTACTGGTCAGAAGCTGCGGCGGTTGTGTTGTATGGAGCATTCCATTGTGTCTGTCGTGATGTGCCAGTCCATAGCAGGTGTTGACAATCAGACTATAGCAGTTCCCTGGAAAGTTTGACATCTCGCACTGTTTCCTAAGTGACCTTAAGTTGTGAGGGTGTGTAATCAAACCTAGACCCATAAGGCCCAATCTCCTATTTCAGTCAAAATAATGAAGAAACAGCAACTTTGAAAAGAGATTTTTCTTATTTTTCTTTTCTGTCATATCTTCTTCAACAAGAAGTTACAGTATTCATACTCGCATCCCAAATCATCCTAATCGCTTAAATTCCCAACCCAACTCCGGCCGATTCCCGATATCATAAAGCACCACTTTAGACGCAAGCGATGGTTTGGGTGCAGCTGTCGTTTTGCTTACGACCCTTGCAGGCCTCCTCGTTGGCCTTGGTAGCCTTGGCGTCAAAGGTGTCCGTCTTGCCCTTGGGGCAAACTTGGGTGTTGCCAGTGCAGAAGAGGTTGTTACCCTGTGTGCAGACGGACAAGTAGTTGGCAGTCTCGTATGTGGTTGCGGCGGAGGCGACGGCGGCCATGGAGATAATCGCAATGATGGGGAACTGCATTTTGAATTCTTGGATTGGATCTCAACGAGAAGTGTTTGGTTGTTTGTGAGGGGGGAGTTTTGTGAACTGGAGAGCTTGGTTGATTTGATTGTCTGGATGTTGAGAATAACAGAGTAAGGTGAGAACTTGCTCAGCCTTTATATAATATTATTGGCATGAGTAACCATTCATCTGTCCTCCAGGTGAATACCATGATTTCGCTCCGAATGATGTCCGAAGCCGTCGTAGCCGTTGTAGTTTCGAATACAGAGGGCTTCTGGGGTATTGTGGACCCGTTTAGCTGTGGTAGCCACCATGAGGTTAACTCTATCAAGCCACTATGGCGCCAAAGCGTCATCGGGCTCGCCGCGTGCTGCCCACGCAAAACCCTAAAAACAGAGAGTGAGGCGCGACCCTGCTTCATGCGTTCCGAGTAAATGAATAGTGACGTTTCACAACTCCACAAACTCCCAAACCCGCTCAATTGGATCGAACCTTATTCTGGTCAAATCACCTGGTATTTTCGAATGCTGTTGTGGAAATGGGTCTCGCTTACCATTTGAGTCTACTTCCGACCGAGTCAACCTCATTTTATCAAAGTAGAGTTCCAATTCCAGAATCTAGAACTATCGCATGCAGCATGGGCAACCTGTTCTTAGGTGAGGATGCTGACAAAACTTTGCAGACCCGAAGCCTAAAGCTGCTTTGGAGCCTCATCATCGCGAAGAAGGGTATGAAACGCACTACGCGTGTCTCGCGAAGTTGCACAGTTCAGTCTTAGTACATGGCAATTGCTGGCGAAGAAGGCTTGACAATTTCCCAGTTTAAATCATATTTCAAGTAGTGGCAGTTGTCGTGATGATGAGCGTGTGGTGTGTAACTGAAGAGAGCTCCAATTATGGCTAACAACGCGTACCAAAATAATTGTTTGGTATACGTGTTACTACGTAGTAGATTGCTCATATAATTATACTATGCTTGGCGTATTTAGTGAAGTGTTACTGCTATTATTGTGTATGGTCTTGTAAAAGTAGTCTCTAACCCAACAAGATACAATAACACATCGGCCATGTGAAAGTTGCCGAGACCGAGCTTTCAGACCACCTAATCCATGACACTAGGCTTTTAGAAGAGTTTCTTAAATTTTCAAAGGTAGAAAAACATTCAGAAAACCTCACTTGTTATCGGTCCAATTAGCCCACATTTTTATATGCAATTTCGCAATGAACTGATCAATCACTCAAACACCTTCTTCCAAACCCAAAGGCTTCTGGTGTTGGTGTACTGCTTGAAGCCTTCAATACCCCATTCCATTCCAATACCGCTCTCCTTGTGTCCTCCAAACGGAACATTCGGAGCCACATCAAAGTGAGAGTTAATCCAGACGCTACCGGCACTTAGACATCGACCCATTTTCTCCGCCCGTTTCACATCTTTGCTCCACACCGAAGCACCAAGGCCCGTCTCGAGTGCGTTTGCACGGTCAATGACATCCTCCTCGGATGACCACTTCAACAGCGGCACAATGGGGCCAAAAGGCTCTTCTCTCACGATGCGTGAATCCTCAGGCGGGTTGTCGATGATGGCAGGCTCGATAAAGTAGCCTTTTGAGTTTTCGCGCACAGAACCCTCAAGAGCAACATTCCAGCCGCTCTTGCCAATTTCTGCGTACATGTCCTTGACGAGTTCAAACCTGGCAGAGATAGTTAGGACAAAACTTCATATCATGATTTGGAAGTAGTAGGGTTGAGTACGCACTGGACACTGTTTTGAACTGGTCCAACGACAACATCGGGTTCGAAGCCTCCGCCAGTCTTGATGTTGTTCTTGGTAAACTCTACCATCGCGTCTCTGAACTGATCATAGATTTTCTCGTGAACATAAATACGCTTAACCAGCATGCAGATCTGGCCAGAATTCAGGAAAGCAAGAGTAGCGATCTTGGGCAGGCACTTCTGGATGTCGACATCTTCGCAAATAATCGCGGCGTCATTGCCACCAAGTTCGAGTAGACAACGCTTGAGAGTCTTTGCGCAGCTCTCGGCTACTTTCTTTCCCGTTGGAATTGATCCGGTAAAGGCAATCATGTCGATACCCGGGTGCGCCGTCATCCACGGTCCGAGATTATCATCGCCGCTGAGAACCTGGAACACTCCGGGAGGGAAGATGGACATGGCGATTTCGCCTAGCTTTAGATCGCAGTACGGTGTGTATGGCGAGGGCTTCATGATGATAGTGTTACCCGTCATCAAGGCTGGTCCGACCTTGCCCAGGCCCAAAAGCATTGGCCAGTTCCAGGGCACAATGGCACCACAAACACCCAGAGGAGGGTACGTGGAATAGATCGTCTTTTCGTCAGTGTCCTCGATCACCTCGTCTTTAACTTCCATGGTTGCAAATGCTCGCAACCAAGAGAGAGTCATGCTCATTTCATTGTTCGCCAAGCCCAATGGTTTTCCCTGCTCCATGGTCTGAAGCTTCTCGAGCGCCTCGCGGTTCTCCTCAATGGCATCAGCATATGCAAGCACGAGCTTGGACCTCTCCTCGTGGGTTGTCTTGCTCCATGACTTGAAGGCTTTCCTGGCATGTTGGACGGCAGTGTCAAGTTGTTCCTTAGTAGCGACTGGGACCTCATAGAGAGGCTGTTCAGTTGCCGGGTCGATTGAGTGTCGCGTTTCAGCAGTAGGGACGAACTCTCCATTGATGATATTACCAGGGTAGGTCTAGGGGCTAACGTCCCACACCCACTTCTGGGCACCCCCCACATTTGGGCACCCCATTTACACCAAAAACGCCGTTTTTCGAAATTCTATATTAAACTAAATACTTTACTTATTAAAGAGAATAAATATATGTTAAATAGATTAAGACTTAATTATAATACTTAAGTAGCTATATACTAGTATTATTAATAATAAGTATTATAAATTCAAGGTTTAACATTTATAATACTAATTTACCTAGCCTATATCTTAATATATAAAATAGGTAGAGATATTTAACTAATATGATTAGAATTTTTAAGTAAGATATAGTAGATTTATATATTCTTATACTTAGTAAAAAATTCTTTAAGCTTAGAATAATATTTTAAAATTTCCCTTAAGAAAAGTTTCTATTATAGAATTTTAACCCTTAATTATACTATATTTACTAAAGTAATACTTTTAAATCTCTTTTAGATATAATTATATACTTTTAATAAGTATAAATATTAATTTCCTAGATTTTTTAAATAAGTATATATAAGCGAAAATATATTTTTCTAATGTTAAGGAATACTAGTAAGTTACTAGTATCTACTAACATTTTAAAGCTTTTAGTTTTAAACTTCTATATTATAACTATTATTATATTTAAACCTTTATAAAAAATTAGATGGCTATAATTATACTTAACATAGTTTATATATATTTTCTTTTCTTAGTAAGTATAGTAGTTAGTTTAATATAGAATTTCGAAAAACGGCGTTTTTGGTGTAAATGGGGTGCCCAAATGTGGGGGGTGCCCAGAAGTGGGTGTGGGACGTTATCATATCAGTATCCGTCATACATAGTGTGAGTCTACGGGGCTGAGGTTTGTACCGTAGGATCAATTGTAGGCGCCATTGTCTTGAGCTTGGCTGGTAAGAACACAAAAAATAACACTATTTGAAGCTCTTGCGGGAATAGATACTCATTAACGCACACAAGCTTTGGTTGAACTGCAGATCGGTTCGTCTTATGAGGATCTGTTCATCCGACCCCTCACTGCTTTGTTGGGACGGTGTTACAACAAGTCTTGGCACCCTTACCCCATCTTCGTTCTTCTCACCCCACATGATCCGCATATCTATAGGGCTTTCGCAGGATGGTGGAGCTTTGGACATGGTAAATAGCGTCCTTCTCTCACTTCACCGCGTGTACACTGTACGTAGGATAGCCCCTTTTCTGAGATTTGGGCTGCTGATTTGTGGAGAGGAGAACACAATCAGGTAATCTCACCTCAGACAAATCTTGCAGGATCTGTATCCATGCCAACTATGCGTGGGCATTTAGCGTTGGAAGAAACCACGAGCCAATTGGAGTTCCAGGTTCAGAACTGAAGTTCCATTGGGAGATGATTGTTGCCTTGTCTTCCCACTAAAGATCCTTGACAATTACCTGCTTGCCTAATGTTTCCTAGTGGCTATCCTGCACCTGCTTACAAGGAACGGCTTTTGACATGGAAGACTATTCTCATAATTCTTTAGGATGTTGTCGGTAATTACATGCATTTTCCCAAAAGGGAATGGGGCTGTTGGTAAAACTCGGGCAGAGCGGGTTTAGAGACGGAGGTTGTGTCCGTCTCCACATGGAAGAAATCTGATTCTCAGGAAGAGATACAGAAACTCCACTCTGTGCCACGACAGTCCCACAATCATTGGTCTGTGGTCTTCTTGAGGTTTTACAGACCATGCTGCATACTGGGTATGCGTCTGAAAGCGGTTAGGGCAGATGGAATGCGGAGTCTGGACTTTGTTTCCGTATGGTTTGCAAAATAAGTCTGAAATTTTCGATTAGCGATCCAAGATTATTTATCTTTTGTTTAGTGTAAATGCCATAAACATTGGTCGGGCAAGTCATCTCTTCGCTTGACCTGTGAGAAGGCAATACTGGCCTTAGAGTGGCCGGCTGGTGTAACTTGAACTACCTTCACAGACAAGACAGAGCCATTATCAGAGAATAAAAGATCAATCGCAAACTCAACACAACTGGAGCTGTTCACCGTATCTTTTTACTGCGTCTCATTTCTTTACTTATTTGGAGTTTAGTTTATTAGAAGAGACTGTGTGATGTTCAATCACGCTGGTAAGGTGCAAATCTTGGATCATGCTCAGTCAAGCGATCTTACCACCATCTAGCAGAAATTCTGCTCTATGGAGCCTTTCATCCAGCTACTTAAAGGGATGTATCAGGAAACCAAACGGGGATGCATTCGGCGTTGACCTTTGCGCTTAAGTCGGAAATAGTATCTTTCAAAATGGCATAGGTTCGGCTAGATGCAACAAGGCTGTGGTCCTGAGAATGCACATCAAGAGGCTACACATCAAAAGTTTAGCAGTTGTGTTGCTCAAAGTTCATGTTGGTAACAGCATAAGCAACAAAACGAGATACCTAAGATCTATCATAGCAATACATGGAAAACTCCACCCGTTATGGAGCTTCCAAGCAATTGCTTGACCATCTAATCAAGTTTTGAAAGCAACTGCATCAACAGAAGTAGCATAAGCGTAGACGTTCCTAACTTCATATTTTCCATCGCTGACGTTTCTTCTCAGTCCGCCCAGTTGACCAAAGTCATGTTCAAATGGCCTTCCTCATAATAAGGGAGCTATGGTTGGGGAAAATCCTTCTGTGCCGTTCTGTTGTTCCAAATTTGCCTAAGAAAAGCAACCGCTAGTATCGACACTTCGTACCCCACCACCAAAAGAAAACCCTAAAAAAACATGCAACACCGGGCATTCGCCGGTCGTCACCGACCCGACTACTACTCCGGCCCTCACCGGTTTATCGATGGGAGAGCGGACGGGATCCCGAGTTCTCCGGTGGGTATGGTCGCATGTGGCATATTCCCACTGACAACGGGCTGATAACTGTTTCCCAAGCCTTGTGACGAGAGACTAGGGGTTCGATCAATAGAGAGAGCACCGGTCCTTCAAGTGACTTTGATAGAGCATTTATGCGTACAATCAGCAGTATCTTTTAGCTTCTGGCAATTGTTATCCGTATAGCAAGCTGCCTAAGTACCTAGGGTACAATCGCTATTATGCAAACTTGCCGAATACTACGGGTAACATCAACAATGGAACGCCCGACGAAAAACACTATTCACGAAGTCTTTTCAATCTTTTTAACAACTTTTGATTGCCATAAAACGGTTTCGATGCTATTCCTATGGTTTCTGCTTTCACTCCGCCAATTGCAAGTTGAACTCTTTCACCACGACGGATCCACCAAGTGACTTCGTCGCGTAGTTGAAAACGGCAAACCTAAAGGCCATGAAGTACTGCCAGCGGTTGTGCAATTTCCAACTGCTTCCCAGTTGCGTGAACGTCACTCCGTCAGTGCTGTACGAGAACTGGGCCGTGTTGCTGTTTTCCGCCAAAAGGAATGACGGCGTGACATCAGCCGTGGCTCGCAGCCAGATATCTGCCGTGCCGTTGGCAATTTCTCCCAAATCAATTTCTTCTGTGCTAGCAGTGGCCACGACAGTGCCATTGGAGGTAGTCTGCCATCCAGCACTCTCAGGAGCGAGAATATTGTGTACTGCAACGAGCTTCAGAGAGTCCCCTTCCTTCTGGAAACCAATGTACGCAGACTCGTCACGGAAAATGGCGACACCTGCAGTATCTCCATCCGCCAGATTGGCAAGGTTGAGGCGGAAGGTACCGCTGCTCTTAGGTCCCAAGATGCGATGAGTCAGGGTGTTCCGGGCCGCGTAAAGCTCGTCTGTCACAGTTGCCGTGTGAAGAGTAAGGCCGTCGGATCCCAATTCCCAGGCCGAGTTATCGGGGTTGTGGTTCCACTCCCACTCTGCCTTCAGTTTCGATCCGTCAAAGTTGTCCGTGTACTCGCCAGCTGGGTTCACGGTCTTATCGGTGGTAACAGGCAAAGGGTAAGACTTGCCCCAGGCCCCAGCATCAGTAACGATATGAGGCCAACCCTCTTCGTCCCAAGTCAGCGGGGCCAGGACGGGGATGCGGCCGCTAGGGTATGCGTCGAGGAATGACATGTACCACCAATCGCCTTCAGGCGTGTCGACAATGGCTCCCTGATGAGGTGTTCCCGAGTTGGGGATAGGCGACGGCATACGGTCTAGGACAGTGTGGTTCGTGTAAGGACCCCAAGGGCTGTCGGCCTTCAGCACGTGCTGGCCGTCAGCTGGCTTTGTCAACCAGATGTAATAGCTGTCGTTGATGTGGTAAAATCTTGCTCCTTCAAGATACCGTGTAGAGTCAGACCAGACAACCTGCCATTGGTCAGCACTAGAATTTTGTTGGAGACTTTTGAGTGATATCCTACCTCCTTTCGAACAGGCTGCAACCCGTCGGGAGACAGCTGGACTACGCTGATATTGTAAAGTCCGTATGCAAGATACATTGTGTCGTCTTTGTCAACCAAAAGTCCCACGTCGTAGTAACACTCGTCAATAGGTGGCTGCGCAGTCCACTCCCCAGCCGGATCTGTGGCTGTAAAAACATAGGTTTTCCCAGACTCGATGCATCCGTACCAGTAGAACAAGCCATTGCTCTCACGGTATTGGAGAGTGCTAGCCCAGATTCCGCCAACGTAGGCCTTGCCACTGCCGTTCAAGTAATACTTGTCGCCGAAGGTAAGCTCTGGCACAGAGTGTCCAATAAACTCCCAGTTGACAAGATCGTAGCTCTTCAAAACAGGTGCACCGGGAGAGTAGTGCATGGTCGAGGCAGTGTAGTAGTATGTGTCGCCAACGCGGATCACTTCGAGATCAGCAAGGTCCTCCCATAGCACCGGATTGTTGAAAGTGGCGGCACCGGAGCTCTGGGCCACCACGGCGGTGGCCGCCAGGAGCATTGACGGAAGTTGGAACTTCATGATAGCTTTTTCGAGCTTTCGACTTCACCTTTCCACGATTCAAGCCACTATTAGAGAAAAAACTACAAAATGGACCAATTTATACTTGGACATTACGGCCAATGCTCCAGCTTCCGTCTACCTCATTGAATGTCCGGAGTGTCCCGGATTCTCATCTTCCCCTCATCATTGCTCCATCAACCCACTAGAGGCATTACGCACTGCCAAGTCCCGTCACTTGCGCACAAATGATTGCTCTTTAACAACTTGGACCTGGTAAAGAATTGCGCTCTGATTGGTGCGCAACTCGGTTGATTGGAGTTGATCGGGGTCGGTTAAAGGTGGAGGCGGGGAATAAGCCTAAGCTGGGGAATAATCTCCAGTTTGTGCGGAGAAAGTGGGCAATACCGGATGTTGTTGTTAGCGTCATGCCGTAACTACAGAAGCTGCGATTTTTTTCACATCAGAACCCAAAGGGCCCAAGCTCGTAACATTTTCTGAGGGTAACTTCAAATTGTGTATGACAAGAAAAAGTGCTAAGGTAGTATGGGCAGTGATTGGGAGGAGAGGATCAGAATTGATGAGGTAGAACAGAGTATATTGGCCTAACATAATTCAATCTCGTTCATTCTCGGTAGATAAACTTATAGCAGTGCCTGCATTAGCAAGCTCTAAAGTTTAAAAAAAAAAGCTGTTAACGAAACATAAATAAAGGCGAAGGGTAGAAAACATTCGTATTGTTCTGGTATTGGCGTTGACTAGACGAGCCGATTTGCTCAAAGTCCATCTGCAAACTAGCTCCTTTGATGGGGGCCTGACTTGATTAAATATTTTCTCGCCAGTGCCGGACACTTGTTTTTCTTCCCCGTCTAAAGCGGAATGAAAATAGAAGCACCATTAATATTTGGATCATAATCAATGCCGTCGGAGATTGGCCACGGCTGTCAGTGTCGGGCACGGAAAGGAGTTGGCCGAGACCCGCATTCTCTATTCACCCCTGGACACCACGAGTCAATACCCTAATTCGTGTATCGGCCGGCTTAGCCGTCGTCGGGTCTTGTTGAAGACATCAGTAAGTAAAACAACAAATGGGCACACTTTACATTACAGTATTGCAGATCTGGGTATGTCTTCCTGGTAGTAGTTCAATCTCAAGAACTGTTCACGAAATTATCCCATGGCATCTAGCGCATGGTGAGTTTTGCCTTCACAGGGCTTCCAGTTTAAGCTTACTGCCAGTACTCGAACGCTAACAAGATAAAATAAATACAATTGTGTCCAGAAGGTTGACGAACAACCTTTTTCAAATAATCTCTCAACTACAACTTGAAGTTGGAGCCGCGCGGGCGTTGACGAAGCGCTGCATGAAAGCTAAATTAGCCGGCAACATCAAGCATCACGCTTCATATCCTTTCCAAAAACTCCTTCAACTGGCCGTATAACCGCCGGGCCCTTCTTTTTCCGCGCGGTCCAATTTATGGTGCCGAACCGAACCGATCGCATCACAAACAGTCCACTTCTTGCTGTACAATCACTCCACTTCACGGAAGCTCCTTGAATCTCATCCCAGAAGTTGTTTCGACAACTACTGAATGGAGAAAAATTATAGAGGATCTCCCGCCGTAGGATGCATACAAGTGAAGCTTGGCCTGAGTTAATGCCCGCGGAGGTTCTTGAAATAGAACGGAGAACCGCATGTTTTTATTGCAGTTGACTAGGATGTCGCAAGGAGCCAATGCTTGAATGAGAAGCAACAGAATGGTTGAACAACCGAGAAAGTTCAATATCCAACACGGACTATGGGTGCGGATTCTGGAAGGCAGGCCCGTTCATTGCCCGTCTATTAACCTTACGAGAGACACGAGGTTGCATTTCAGTTGACTGCTCCATCGCCCTGAATGCCTTCAGTGGGTATTCTGGAAACGCCGACCTCTCTAGTAGTATAGTAATCGTTTCCGTGAGACTGGAACCCGGTCGGGAACCCCGGGACTCATGGACAGCATGGCTTGGACAAGTGGGGATTGTTATCCCCAGGCCCAGACAAAGAGACTTCATAATTCCGAAACCGAACCGGGAAGTACCTGGAACAACACTAACAGTTGCCGGTGTGGGTATTATCTCTCTAAGCTGTGTTTGCCACTTGTCTAACACCATCATTGAGACAAGAAGAAACCGAGTACAGCCTTGTGGCAATACAACCTTTAGAGAAATGCAACTTTTGTTAATAGAGCTTGACTTTGTTTAATGAATAGGCCGTTAACAGTTCAGCCCAGCCCGGCACAGTTTAGGGATGGGACAGGCGAGTTCGGACGGTGAAGTGGGGGCATATCCACGAATGTTGATGAGGCTCAAAGTTTAATTGATTACCCTTGCTATCACTGTTGCTGACGTTGCCAATGGCTCAGAGTTGAGCCTAGTGAAAAAAATAAAATCTCGAGTTAACTGTTGACAGAGCTAGTAAACAAAATCGAGGCCATTAAACTATTTTCTTTGCCATTTTTAGTCGCCAAGTTCACCTTGTAGGTTCTTTCGTCCTTGCTTAGAACACCAATGTTGCGTCATGAAGGGTGCTCGGCAGCGCCAGATTGGAAAAGCCCAGGATTGCCACGTAATACATAGGACTTTTTGATGGCTGACGGGGCAAGTAAGTTTGGATAAATTGAGGGATTCTAGAAACGTCGTCCCAACTTCCCAGCATTTGTGGTCAAGTTGACAAGGATCCTCCCAGACTGCCGGGCAGCACGAGTCAAAAAAGGGGTCACGATCCCCAGAATATAGAGTTTCAATGCTTGGCCTGCCGGCAATGTGATCATGTCCGAGTCTGCCGGAATCCCGGCCGCGTGGCTCGGGTAACGAGCAAGTATCTCCATTCGTGGAGAGGAACCTTGGCCAGAAGTTATTCTTCTGCCAGTGTAATGTCTGCGGTTAGGCGATGTCTTCCCGGAGTAGCTTCACTGAACTCCTTTCGCACAGCCCCCAGTGCGCCCCAACGACCCACAAACAACAATTGACGGAGGCTCGCGAAATGCGGTTGTCCATGGAGTCTGGAGCGGCTAGTGGTCGATGTATTGGAACCCTCCCTCACTTGTCTGTCTCCTCAGGGGCTATCGAGTTTGTGTATAAGTAGCAGATTGATCATCAGTGTCAACTTCTCTTTCTGAATCATCATCAGCATCCAGCTCTTCGATCCAGTCTTTCGCTAAAGCCAATCACTACAGTCGTTTCATTCTACTCTCAAATACACTCGCTTCATTCATATAATTGATTTTCCATCCAAATCAGTCAAAATGCAGACCTCTTACATCTTCACCACCATCCTTGCCGCTGCCGGCCTCGTCGCTGCCCTTCCCGTAAGTATCTGACTTGAGAACTTTCCCATTGACACGATATCTCGAACAGAGTTCGAGAACTTTAGAGATTTTCTTTGTTATTTCGAAGTCGAACTCTGTTCGAGAACCATGTTTTGATGGCAACTCAATGCTTCATTCTTACTAACCCTCCCGAACAGCAGCAGGCTACCCCCACTACCACGGCCACCGCCACGGTTTCCGCCACCCCTACCTGCTCTCCCGGCCCCGTCGTCGACTACACCGTTGTCTCCGGCGACACCTTGACCATCATCTCCCAGAAGTTCAGCTCCGGCATCTGTGACATCGCCAACCTCAACAGCCTTGCCAACCCCAACCTGATCCTCCTCGGCCAGGTCCTCAAGGTCCCCACCTACGTCTGCAACCCCGACAACACCTCTTGCTTGGCCAAGCCTGGCAACGAGCCCTGCGTCAAGGACGGCCCTGCCACCTACACCATCAAGGCCGGCGACACTTTCTTCATTGTCGCCCAGAGCTTCAACCTCGACGTCAATGCCCTTCTCGCCGCCAACGAGGGTGTCGACCCTCTCCTGCTCGAGGTCGGCCAGGTCATCAACATCCCCGTTTGCAAGGCATAAATCACAGCCGCAGTAAATAACACCAAATGCGTTTATTGATAGTTCTGCCACCACAGTCCCTTGCGGTTTCGGACTATCGATAAACATTTGGCCGGTGGAAAGGCATAGTCGCTCTATTGCTGGCCTGGTGTGAATGATACCTTAGGATTTCACGGTGTTGGGATTTGGCTTTATAGAGTGGTATAGATGGTAGCTCGCTGCTTGAAATTGAATTGGATACAATCAACTCCTGTCTATGCATGTGACTATGTCCAAATGAGATTCCTTTGAAGTCAAAATGGTTACCTTGACTGCTTTGATTCTTTGAGCTTACCCCAGTTAATGTGGAGACTGACATGTTGATCACCTGGGGCGCTGCCAAACCCCAGACTTGGCTTTCGCCGATCGTGTCGCGGCAGTTGAATGCTAAACTGTTTTGCAGATCTGTTCTGGAGAAAAAAAACAGGGGCTCTATCTGCAAAGTAAGTCGCATAAGCCATGTGGCATGGGAAAGACTTTATGTCTTTTGAGAACAATTTGGCGCAGTCCGACTTTGCACACCAGAGGCTCCATATGTGATAAATTGGGACAGGAAACTAGTTGAGTTGGTTCATACACATTTACAGTACTCGGGAGGCTAAGAGCACTTGATTTGTTGAATTGTCATGTTCAAATTGAATGGTGTGGCTTTGAAAATGTAATTGTTGCTCGACTACGCGACATCGCTTGTCGAGTGTCGTTAGTCGACCTTTTCTTCGACAACTTCGCTATCCTCCCATACGCCAAAAACTCCTCGGAAAGGTGTATTCCTCGTCGGACCTATTTCTCATGCCGACTCCGTTTTCTCCACCTTTTCAACATGTGCCTGGGCTGCAACCCGAGCAACTCCGACCGCAGAATCCTTTCCGTCAAAGAGCATCGAAATCTCCTCCAGAGTGGGGCCTTTAGTTTCGACGAAGAAGAAATAAATCACCAAGACCTCAATCACCAAACTGTTTTGAATAGTTAGATATGGTTCAAAGCGTTGAAAAAACCAGTCTGGGCACTTACATGGCAATATAGACAAAGTAGAACCGCCATTCCAACTCTTCAATTCCGAGAGGATTAACCCATTGGTTAAAGACACCGCTCAGCGCCGTAAAGCAGAAGCACAGAGTAAGACCCTTGGCACGAATGTTGTACGGGAGGATCTCGACGGTGTAGGAGACAGTAAGTCCGGGCCAGGCTGCTCCAGCAACGCCGTAAAAGACGAAAATCATGGCAACAACGGCAATGCCGGCTGCGGATGACTCCGTTTGCGCGTACACTGCACTACAAGCCGTCCATACTGAGAAGGACAGCAGCATGCCGACACCGGCAAAGAGGAAAAGCACGCGGCGTCCGACGCGGTCGACGAAGAAGGCGGCGGTAAGTGAAACAAGCCAACACCAGATGGTGAGTCCTCCGTTGATATATGACTGCGTGATGGAACTGGCAAAGTAGTCAGCATAGTGGTATGGGTTTTAATGAAAGGTTTTTTGTGACATACTCCTTGATGCCGATGGTGCTGAGAATAACGGCAAGCTGGGTAAACTCAAGTTAGCAAACATCCACACAAACATCAAATGGCCGCAACTTACATAGTATGAAACCAAGCCGTTTCCACTGCACTGAGAGAAAATGGCCGTGGCAATAATCAGGGCGCAACGCTTTCGGTTGCCGGGCGTGCGGACCAACTCCATCCAGCCGCTGCTGGACGCGGCCTCCTTCTCCAACCTGAGCGTGCTGGCGATCTCGGCAAACTCCCACTGCGCAAACTCGTCGTTTTCGTCGCCGTTACCATGGTACTTGATCAGCACCTTCTTTGCCTGTTCCTCCTTGCCCTTGCTAATCAGCCATCTCGGGCTCTCGGGCAGTAACCACACGGCAAAAAGCTGGATGCCGGGCATCATGCATTGCAAGCCTGTGGGCAACCGCCATTGGATATCGCCGTGCTGATTCGTCAACGTGCCGAAGCACGTCCAAGCCGCAATGATGGAGCCCAGGTACCAGAGTGTATTGTAAAGCGTCGTAACCTTGCCGCGGTGCTGAGGGTGTGCGACTTCGGTAATGAGAAGCGGGCAGGTGCCGTTGGAGATGTTGGAGCCAGCACCCATGATGAAACGGCCGATGAGATACATTGCGTCTCTTCCTGATCCTTGTTTGGGGAATGCTTGGAGGAGGGCACCAACGACAACGAGGAGACATCCGACAGCTGTGCCGCGCTTTCGGCCGATGCCATCGGCGATGTAAGGGGCGAAAAGGAGAACGAAGAGACCGCCGAAACCGGGCATGGCACCAAAGATTCCGAGACGGCTACCGGAAGGGTGGTCGAAGTCTAGATTGGACAAATCAGTTGAGTACTATGACTTGACGATCAATCAAGTAGAGTTTTTTTCTTTTTCTCGGTTACGACGCGGTTGATGTCCAGTTCATAGAGGAGCCGGAAGATTATGTTTACTCACAAGCCTGCCATGACTGCATAGTCTGAAGTCCGTTCAACAAACTGCCGTCATAACCCAGCGTTGTAGAACTGAGAAAGAGAAAAATCATCAAGAGGTATAATTTCCTCAGCTCCGACTGCTTGTACCACGGGAGAGACGATCCCTCAGGGGCTTGCAGGTGCATGTCGTCCGCGCGGTCGACATGGTCGACGCCATGGCTTTCTGTATTTTTCAGCTCCATGGCTTTGTGGCGAATTGCCTGGACTGAACTGGGTGAACAAGATTGGAGGCACGGTTCGAGATGTCGAAGCGAGGCGTCAGTTTGTCACCCTTCCCATCCTCTTGGGAACCGGGACCCACGGCTGTACTTATAGCAATGCGGCTTGGGGGGGCTTGGGAAAGTGTCTCGATAGTGCCTCCGCCGAACTTGGGTGTACACTATTCCCGTATCGAAAGGAAAACCTGCCACCCAAGGAACAGCCGAGGATTGTTACCCGATGACGCCTGCAAGAGACTTGACAAGACAGACCACCTCCAATTACAGAACATAGGGTGAGTATCTTTACCCGGCTTTCTCCAGGGGAGCCAATGTACAGTCACGGGACTAGAAGCATCCATTGGACGAGTACATTGCACAGAGGATGCCCCCCATGGGGGTGGGGACACTTAGAAGAAGCCAGACAGAGAAACCGGGAGGGGGGAACGCCCCGGTTTTCGACTCCACATCAGCCTCCGGGGAAAGCTATCATGTCTGGTGACTTTGGATGCGGATACTTATGCGTTGGGACTTGGTATAGTTGATTGGTCAGGCTGGGATGAAAGGTCCGGAGGGGTAACCCAGCAGTACGGGTATGTGAAATGGATTGTCTGGGGCAGCGGGTAGCAACATCCTGACTTACACAGCGACAAACCTGCTCGTACATGAGCACGAAAAAACAAACACTCAAGAAGTGGGATAGAGTCTTCTGCAAAGTCTGGATGGGAGTTCTGGAGCTATGCCGTTCCAGTCCGGGCCATGACTCGGAGGTCCGCTCAGGTGCGGGGCGATGCCTTGTCGATTGGTCAAGTCGTCTTTAGTGTCCGGGATAGTTACTCCGACATATATGCGAAGACGGACATATTTGAGGCTAAGGCGTTTTACCCGACAATTCTCCTCGGATGTTTCGACTCTTGCTTCACTTCTTCTCTCTGATCACTTCCAATTCTACCGCCGGAACACCGTACGATGCAACCAACAAGGACATAACCAAACACTAACTTATGCGGCCCCGTTTTTGAATACTAAATCCATTTCCAAAACACCCTCTCAGCCTATCCCCGTTACCGACTGAGTGCCGCTTGGCGCTGGTGGTCAGGCCTTGTCTGATGGCTGATCTAACTAACCATGGAGACAAGACAACAACGATCGGATGGAGATAGACAACCCTCTCCACTCTCAACCTCCCCGGTGTCACCAGCTAGTGGCAGGTTGAAGGCCAAGATCGTAAGAAACCAGAAGGCCTGCGATGTGTGCCGCGCCCGCAAAGTCAGGGTGAGAAGATGACCCCTGTTGTTTTTTTGTTGTTTTTTCAGTTTACGCTGTTTAATAAACTCACTTCCACGATATAACGTCATTGAAGCCGTCAGATAAGTCCACCTCGACTGACTGATGAATAGTGTCTGTATGGAGCAGGCGAGATCCGATGCCAGGGTTGCACGTTCCTCAATATCCAATGCACACATGAACGACCACGGCGGAGGAGAGGACCACCGAACAAGTTCCGTCCAACGCCACATGCAATGTTACCCCTGAGTTCACACTAACCAAGTTCAACAGACATGCTCAACAACAACAACAGCAACTTCAGGAGCAAGAACAGCAGCAGCAGCAACAACAGGGCAATATAACAGGCACAACTAACCAACAGAGCCCTGCAGTGCCAAATGTCGCCTCTCCTAACCTTGAGCTTGTATACCAGGCCTCGCCCGCCTCCTCTTTGACCCCCACTCATCACACCCCCAGCTCACATTCGTACAACTCGGCGAGTTCAACAGTCGCCACCCCCTCGGATCTTGACCCAGGCGCTCTCGTCGGAGCGCCGAGTCCCATCACGGGACAACACGGCAACTGGCTTGCCCGCTTCGCACCAGAAGACCTTGTTCACCGCATGCTGGACGACTGGTTCGAAAAGGTACACTCTCTGGCACCCATTCTGCACCGGCGGCGCTTCATGTACCGGTTGAAAGCTGGCGAAGCAAGGACAAATGGCACCTTTTGCGGGCTCGTCGTGAGCGTGTGTGCGGCGACGGTAGCGACGCTAAAACGCGCAGACTACAGCCCTGTGACGGTTGCAGGCTGCCTAGACTTCATCGAGGAGAACCACTTGCTGTATCGAGGCATCAGGAATCCCGCCTACTCGGTCGACTGGTGCATCGCCATGTACAACGTCGGCACGTCCGCCAGCTCCATGAACGAAAACGGCCTAACCGACCTGCGTTCGTTCCATGCTATATCCGAGGCCGCTGCGGGGGCGAGGTACCTCGCTTATTACCACATGACCGACCTGGATATGCCCGAGCAGCAGATGCTCAAGCGGCTCTTCTGGCTGATCTTCTCGGCGTACTAGTACGTAGCTACCCGGTTGGCTCTACCCTCCCTTTGGGATGAGACCACTTTGACGGGCAATTTTCCGCATGAGCGTCATCTAACAACTTTTTTCGCGTATCTACAGCAGCGCAGACTCGTTCGGGAAGTTATCCGTGATCATCATCTCCCACCAGGAGAACTGTGCCCACCTGCGGCCGCTCCCTCTAACAGACTCCCAGCTGGACACGCGCCCGCAGCTCTCGGTAACGGAGCTGCCGCCGTGGCATGGCGACGACACATCCTACATCCTCGGCCTCAATCACCTGAGCGACCTGTGTCTCACATGGCACGAGGCCCAGACGGCGCCGTCGAGCACATACGACGGGCAGGAAGGGGCTCTGAAGCACTACCTCAACCGGATCCAGAGCATCATCGACAGCTTCCCGCCGGAGCTGCGGTGGCGCGGTGGGCTGTCGCGGCCGGTCCACGCAACGGAGGGCCACGACACGCAGATAGCCAATTTGTTCATCACGAGCCTTCATATCCGCTCCAATCTGCTGCAGAAGTTCAGGTCCACCGTCGAGACGCGCGCGTTCGAGCATCAGCGTATCGTCGACGACCTCCTGGAGATCCTGTACCACATGCCGGAACACGTACTGGAGCAGAACGGGAACAGCCTGGTGCCGAAGCTGCGTGACTGCGGGGCGGCGTACATGGAGCAGATGACCATCGGCGACGGCGAGGGAGGAGAGGGTCCCGGTATGCTCGTGAGCGAGAGCGCGAGGTTCAAGTTGGAGAAGCTACTGAGGAAATTGGACGATATTGACTACTGGCCGGGTCATACTGGAGTAGAGAGTCCACAGACTATGAGAAAGTAGCACGAGACTAAGTAACATGTGGAGAGCGCCATGTGGGAAGGAATTAGGACGTTTAGTACTATTCCCGTTTGTTTGTGGGCAGATGTCTTTGGCGGCAACCTGAGCATAGCATAGCGTACGGATACATGTATGCATACTACCTAGGTATGTATGTATCTGCAACGGTGGATCGCCGGGGCCGGGGTTGGTGATGGGAACTCCACACATCCACCGGAGCGGGGGTTACATTTCGGAGAAAGTGGGTTATGGGGAGAGCTGAAAACTCTACGGAGTATCCGCAGGTGTTTAATGCGAAGTATATCCGAAGTCTTCTCGGGTAAAAAGCAGCCTACTGCGTATTCGGCTGCAGACTGCGGGGAGGAATAACTCCGACTTGCATCATCGTCCCGACAGCCGCCGATGTTCGAATCGGCTTTCAGTCGTCTACTCGCTTTCACGACTGTTGCAGGCGGACCTATTAAATGCGAAGAAATTCCGAAATCCAAGTTCCCCAACATACGCTAACACTAAGCCTGTATATCCGATGATCCGAGGCCAACTGAACGAATAACATGCGCTCGTTTGAGCTGACAGCCCGCAGAATACAACGCCGTCTGAACCATACAACGAAGCCGTTGCTCCATCCCGATGCGGGGCGCCTTTTTGGAGCGGCTCCGACTGTGAGCTCCTGACCGGATTTTCCGAAAGAAACCCCTCCGGGATAATGTTCTTTCGAAATCCCGGGGGTTATATCAACCTCTTGACGACGACGTCCAGGCCATCACGGCGTCTCAAAACCCCCCCATCGTCTCTTCTCTCTCTCTCTTCCTCCCAATCTCACAAAGACACACACCAATCCGCCCATCATGACTGAACTAGACGCCAAGAGACCCCCTCATATCCACCGCTTCAGCAATGGCAACACCCAGCTCATTGTCAAGGGCAAGCCATTCCTCATGCTCGGCGGCGAGCTGCACAACTCGTCTCTCAGCTCCGCCCGCTTCATGTCGGAGGTCTGGCCCGAGATGAAGCGCAACCACATCAACACGCTCCTCGGCTCCGTCACCTGGGAGAGCATCGAGCCCGTGGAGGGCCAATTCGATTTCGCAGAGCTCGACGCCGTCCTCGCCGGGGCCCGCGAGCACGACATGCGCCTCGTCCTCCTCTGGTTCGGCACCTACAAGAACGGCATCTCGACCTACGTGCCGCACTGGGTCAAGCGCGACACTAAGCGGTTCCCGCGCGTCCAGGTGCTCGAGGCCGGCGGCGTCAAGCGCACCATTGAGATGGTGACGCCCCTCAGCGAGGAAGGGTGCAAGGCCGACTCGCGCGCCTTCGCCGAGCTGATGAAGCACCTCGCCAAGGTCGACGCGGAGCACAACACCGTCATCATGGTGCAGGTCGAGAACGAGACGGGTCTGCTGGGCGACTCGCGCGACCGCTCGCGCCGCGCCAACAAGGCCTTTTCCGAGCCCGTCCCCGAGGCGCTGCTGAAGCACCTCAGCGGGCAGGGAGACGCCCTGCACCCCAAGTTCAAGGCCCGCTTCGGCGTGCCCCCGGCGTCCGGCAGCCACTCCTGGACGGACATCTTTGGCGCCGGCCCCACGGCCGACGAGGCCTTCATGGCCTACCAAATCTCCTCCTACGTCGGCCGCGTCGCGGCGGCCGGAAAGAAGGAGTACGACATCCCGCTGTACACCAACACGTGGCTCGGCTTCCAACAACCCGATGAGCTCGACCTCCGCGGCGTCCCTGTCGTCGTCGGCGGCGGCGCGGAACCGGGAATCTACCCCTCGGGCGGCCCCTGCCCGCATGTCCTCGACATCTGGCGGCACAACACCATCTTCACAGCTGAAAAGTCTCTCGACTTCCTCGCTCCCGATCTGTACCTGCATACCTATGAGCCCGTGTGCATCGACTACACGGCGCAGGGCAACCCCCTTTTCATCCCAGAGCAGCGCCGTGACGAGCACGGCGCGCGGAGGTTGTGGCTGGCTTACGGCACCTACGGCGCCCTCGGCACGGGCCCGTTCGGCATCGATACGGGCGCCGAGATCATCGGAAAGGAGTACAAGATCCTGTCGCAAATCTCGCCGTTCCTGCTGGCGGCGGCGCCCGAGGACAGAATGGGCTTCTACTTCGACCCGGAGCAGAACTCTCTCGGCAAGGGCGAGAAGTGGACAAAGGTCTTTGGCGACATCGAGGTCATCATCGAGAGGGCCTTTGTGTTCGGCAAGCCCGGTCCCGGAGGCGGTCTGATCATCCACCTCGGCGGCGCCAAGTTCCTCGCCGTGGGACGGGGTTTCAACGTCTCCTTCAAGAGCGTAAGAAAAGAGGCGACGTTCACTGGTATTCTTGCCGCTGTCGAGAAGGAGGTTGGTGAGGACGGACAGCTCAGGACGCTGAGGGTGTTCAACGGCGACGAGACTCGCAGCGGCGAGTTTCTGATCATGCCCAACGACGACCCCGACTACGGTGGTTTCCCCATTGCTGTTACGATCCCGGCGAGAACATGCATTGCCGAGGTCGAGGCGTACTGGGTCGCCGAGGACGAGGAGGACAGGTGAATTGGATGATGCTATCCTCGGAGTGACTTGAGGAGGAAAAAACAGTGTATAGAATTTCGCCAGCCATTTTTTTTTCTGGTGTAAGTCGGTATGATAACCCGGCGTAGAATAATGCAATGAACTCATGACTTCATATGGTACCTTCTCGATGCTTCGCCAATGCAGTGTTCCGCGAATTTGGTTACCCGGCCGATTGGATGCAATTTTGCCACAGGGCGTCATTGACGACCTTGACCCATCAGCTGAACCTCAGCTCCAGTCATGTATGGGACGAAAAAGAAATTGAGAAAAATAAATAAATTAAAAACACTCCCCGCCTTTAGACGATGGTCTTTTGACCAAGAACATCAATCATTCATCTCATCTCATCACGAACAAAAGCAAACGCTTCAAAAAATGACCGACTCCGTTACTCTCGGCCCGAAACCAACGACGGTGACGGGAGGCTGCTTATGCGGCAAACTCCGATACACGGCCACGCTGCCGTCCACGCACGACTTCGTCACAAACGCAATGACATGCCAGTGCACGCAGTGCCGGAAGCAGTCCGGCGCGCTCTTCGTCGCCTTCCACCGCGTCCCGATGCTGCAGTGGACGACGAGCGACACGTCGACGCTCGCGGAGTACGGCGCCTCCGAGTCCGCCAAGCGCGGCTTCTGCTCCGCGTGCGGGTCGTGGTTGTACCACCGCGTAATCGGGATCGAAGGTGTCAGCCTCTGCGTCGGGTCGATGGATCTGGAGGTTCTCGTGGGGGAGAAAGGGGCTGACGGACAGAGTGGTGAGGGGAAGGGTTTCGGTAGGGCGTTGGTGAATGGGCTTGGCGGGCATGAGTTTTGCGAGAACGAGATCCCCGGGGTGACTGACGATATCCCGTTGTTGAACAGGGGACAGAGACATCAACAGGGCATGTAAAAGACGGAGTCACTTGGGTTTTAGGTTGGAGAGTTGGCAGTAGCAGATTGTTTATACACAGCCGTGATGGGATGAGCCTGAAATTGCGTCTGAATTTTTTAGTATAAACGTTTGAAAAATTGTGAAGGAATAACACCAAGACCCTTATTACAACATCGTGTTAGTGACCAAAGTCATCGCCATTTCCGTAGCTTCTTTGAAGTCAACCCCTTGCCGCTTCCCGCGACCTCTTCATCCTGCCTCAAGTACTCCTCAGGCCTCACATCCTCCATCCGTTCATTCGCCAAATTCCATCTCTTGAACCCTGCCGCAACGAGCTCGCCAACTTCGTCTCTCGTACTGCCGACAACACCAAGAACTATGAGCGCCTCCGTCTCTTCAATCCAGTTCTGCAGCCTCCGGAACTCGGTCTCATTCTTGCGGAGTTTCTCGGGCATCCCTTGGCCTTTCATGAACGTCAGTACGCCGGCAACGACGGTGTTGACGGCGCCCAAAATGGTAATGCCGAGGCGGTGTGTACCGGCGGAGGGTCCCATTGCCGTCAGGACAGCGCCAATGATCAGCTGAGCGGCATGGCAAACGTAGAGCAATATAGAGACGAGAATTCGGGTTATGCGAAGGCGGCGAGCGGTGGCGATGGTCGCGGCATATATGCCGAGTGCACTAGCCCGGCCAGCTTCAAGGTTACACTCGTCGTGAGGGTCTACGTTGGCGTTGATACCGATGGCACGGCGGAAGAGAACCAGATTGGAGGGGTTGGGTGAGTTGTGGGGTCCGACTTCATCGCGGGGTAAAAGCGGAGAGGCCTCATCGCTGGGAAGGGCGGTAATGGTTTTCGACATGATGGCTCCGGCAGTGGTTTCGGTACTTGTCTTGATATTCTCGTGTTGATGTTGAATTTCATATTCAGCACCGAGGCCGAGCCATCTTTATCAGATGCTGAAAGCCAGTCCGAAGCAGCTTCATCAAATGATCTCTGGGCTGAAAGATGCTCATTTTGACTGAAAACAGTCATATGAGCCAAAACAGCCAGGTTTCTGGCGTTCCTGTGAGATCTTTATTGGCCGCCTTCATGATGTTTAACGCCTTTTCGAATGAAACCAGACTGTGGCCTAGCACAAGAGCTGAAGCGGGCCGCTGGAGGGTGTAGTGGTGAATACAACCATTGGCCCCAAATGAGTTTGGATGAGACCCAAGTCATCTGTCACTGGTCACACCAGAGTAAAGAGGTGCTAGGATGAACAGGAGTTCATGTCCATGTTTCACTAGAATTTTGGCACATCAGATAAGGCACGCTATGAATGCGCAGCCCAAGGCGACAGACGGGCTTTTTTTTTTTTTTTTTTTTCGAGTTTGAAGCCTCGGTGTGTTTCGGTATGCTTCGGTAAGTATCGGTGAAAATCTGGTCGGAGCGACGTTTCAAAAGACTAGCAAGCGTGACGATCAACGTCCGCCAAGTCATAGTTTATTTTGAAAATTGTGTTGTTTTTCCTTTATAAAAACTGTAGCATTTTCCTGGCGTCTTTTTCAGCAAAGACACCAAGGAGTGATGTTGTTGCAGTTCGGGATACAACGGCCAAGCTTTATCTTGGCCTATTCCGCACAGCATCGCTCGGACTATTCAATAGCACCTAGGGGTCTGTCTTGTGTCTCCTTTTCCACGCAATAGAGAGCTACGCCGTTATCGCTGACGACAGCAGCGGCGTTGGAAACACGCGACTGTTGACAACATGGCTTAGTCTGCCCGCTGGTGCCGTCGATCCTGACGTCAGATATCGGAAGGGCCGCGCGCATGTCCAGGCTGCTACGTTCCTGTTCCTGTCAGTGTCGCCATGGTTTCTCTCTTTGTTAATAGCGCCAATTTTGGACGGTTTCTGTCGATGAAAAGAATCCTTCGCGGTATTAATGGTTGGGTCCTCATCTTAGAGTGCGAACCGAACAATAGGAGTGAAATTAGAAGGCTGAAGTGGGTAAAGCGACCTCCACCAGCTCGAGGCTTCAATTGTTTGCATGGCTTGGAAAAATGAGCAGCCACAATAGCCGAAGAAAAAAAAGCGAACGGGCGAGTTAAAACCCAGAGGAAGAAAAAGAAGAATAAACAAAATAAGACGAGGCTTGATGCGGCTGTGTCTCTAAGGTGAAACTCAATCGTCGTCGGAAAATAATTGCTTGGGCCAAGAGTTCGGGACCCTCTCAACCTTTCTAGGATTTACTGCAGCACATGGCTTACTTGGGCAAGTCGTAAAGTAGCGTACGGTAGTTGAGGCATGTTTAGGTCAGGGGTATGTTAGTCGGTGAAGCCTGCAAGGTGACGCCAAAAACAGAACGTCGGGGCCTATTCAGGCTCTGATCAGGGGCTTAAAAACTGCCCCAGCCACTTTCTCCTTTTTCACAGCTTTTGAAGTGGAAAATCAAGAAGGCAAGTTTGAAGGGATGGAGCCCTTCACTCCAGCCACGTAGACCTGGTAGATCAAGCCATTCTCAGATCGGTATTTTCATTTTATTTTTTTGAGGAAAGTAAGGAAGTGACGGCACTAAAACAAATGACAGGTGCGTGTTGCGTACTCGGCCTTTCCTCGCAAATGACAGCAAGGTTTACGGGGAGTTGCAGTAAGGAAACAAGCCCCCCCCTCCTGCCTGTCGTCCGTAGCACTGTAGGCAGTAGCACAGGAACGGAACATGTCGAAGCTTCCCTTTGCAGTGACTGCACCCCGTCGTACCTGCCTGCTTGCCGGTCGCTCCTGCAGGACCATCTACGTCTTTCTTCTTTTGAAGATGACAGTCACGGGCGATGAAATGGAAGGAACATGTTTTGTGTGTGTCCCAAACGTCTAATCATGCGTTGTGCCTTCCATCAAATTTCCTCGGTAGGCAACAGCATTTGGCACCTTAAACCACAAAAAACGGGAATAGCAACACTGCCCTTCCTTCGCAATGCACCTTCCTCTCCCCGCGCCTACTTTCGATCCCCGCTTTTCCGCTCATTGTAATTCTCTTCTCGAATGCCACCATTCCTGCTCAGTTCAATCGACTCGTCCTCGTCCTCGTCCTATCTTTGCATCCTCATTGTGCTTGCAGACACCACTACCACACTCCGCCTCCCATCTAACCTTGTCATCCAGACCTCGTCTCATCCCTGTCCGACCCCAGTGTCCTTGCACTCCCACTGACTTGGACTCGGACTTGGGCACTTTGACGGCATCCAGCGTCGGCACTCCTCTTCCCGCCCACTCACCATTTCCAACCTGGGAATGATCCAATGATCATCCCAATGACCCGTCCAATCCCTCCAAAGGGGACTGCCCACCCTGTACCACAAACATGATCCCCTCAACCGTCGCACTAAGGCGGCCAGGTACCGGTCGTTCCAAGGGGTAACCCTGCCACTCAATGCGAAGCCCGTCCATTGAGCTTATTCCCTTGGCTGTTTCTGTTCGTCACGGACTTGGGCACCTCATCTTTTAAATCTCACTGACCCCCGATCATCTCGCAGTCGGTTTTTGATCTGCGCTCACAGCCTCTTCACGACATTCACCCGATTTATTGATCGACTGGATATTCTGCGTTGGACTTTCATCAAACATCCCCGACACGGTACCGCTTTCACCATGTTTTCCAATCTCTATCTCACAGTCATGTTCTTGGCGTCCGGTGCTGGTATGTCTCTGCTCTTTGCCAACGTCTTGAATCGCTCCAACTGACTTACACCCTCCAGTCCGCGCCGCCCCCACACAGCAACCCCCTGTCATCGACGCCAGGTCTGACTTCAAGGCTCTTGTTGGCGGCAATGTCTCGCTCCGTATTATGCCTCTCGGTGCCTCCATCACCTACGGCCTCACATCTTCGGACGGAAACGGCTATCGCGAGAAGCTTCGCAACGCCCTCATCGCCGACGGTAACCCCGTAGACATGGTCGGTTTCCACCCCAATGGCACCATGGAAGACAACGACAACGAGGGTTGGGCCGGCTTCCGCATTGACGAGGTCCTCGCCAAGGCCAAGATCTCCGTCCCCCAGACCCTACCGAACCTCGTCTTGATCAACGCCGGCACAAACGACTGCGTTCAAAACCGCGATATTGCCAACGCCGGCGCTCGCACCCTCGAGATGATGGAGTACATCTGGGAGACCTCTCGTCGCTCCTCCATTGTTCTTTCCACCCTCCTTCCCAACGGCGTTGCCAGTCGTGAGGCCTGTGTTTTGCAAGTCAACGAACAGTTCAAGAAGCTTGTCAACGAGCAGCAGGCCAAGTCAAAGAAGGTCGTCCTCGTCGATATGCACTCCGACCGCGGCCCGCTAATGAGTGACCTGGTTGACGGCACCCATCCCAGCGACGAGGGCTATGCCAAGATGGCCACCCTTTGGTTTGAGGGTATCAAGGATGCTGCCTCTCGCGGCTGGCTCGAGGCTCCTGAGGCTCTGCCCGGGAGCACCGAGTCCGCGTGACTAGATCTGGTCGCGGCGCAGCTTTGCAAGGCCTTCAGGCCCGCCTTTGCGAGTATTAGAAGATGATACCCATCACAAAAAAATGCACCGAGAGTTGGCATATTGTACCATAATATATACAGCATCGTCTACGGAGTTTTGTATCAGTCGCTGGGAAGAGGCCTTCAAAGGCCCGTAAGATTTAGTTTCAGTTCACATAATGTTCAAATTATCCACAAAAGCCACATCAGTCGATAGAGTTTATTTCGGTTAAACATCTTACCGAGGGACAATCGCCAGTCGGCCGAGGACGTCTCCGGATCTACGACTTCAGATGAAATCCCGAATACTGATCAAGAAAGCTTGCTCCCCCTGCTGTCCGCTAAAGTGACCTTTTTTGTGGTGTCACTCCATCCAGCCCCACTTTCCACTTGGGAGCCATGTCTTTGAGAACTTTCCACTCCCACTTTCTTTATACATCTCCATAGGCCCGTCAACTAGCTCATCATGGCACGAGCAGTATTCACAGTCGTATTTCTCTCCATATTCTACCTTGCCAAGGTAGCCATCAGCGACCTCGGGGCCGTTAACGGTCTCAATGATGCCCTCGGCCGGCACCTCGAGGCGGAACCGATCCCCTTCACCTCCGTGAAGCAGCTGGACGCCCTGCTGACGTTGCTCGTGCGCTTCTTCCAGCCCATCGTCACCGGCAATGATCTCCCTCTCACCCTGTTCTGCGTCTTCATGGGCGGACAGGTCCTCGCGTTGCACATGCTCATCTTAATCGAGGGCATGCGTTTCGGGAGCCGCGGGAAGATCATCTCCTAGTAAGTCGTTTTCACACCTTCTCGCGAAGAGCCGTAATCTGACGACCGGAAAACAGCACATCTGCATGGGGCATTCTCTGGCAACTCATAACCATCGGCGCCACTCTCCCGGTGTACTTTCTGGTCTGGCTCTGGACTTCCGGTGTTTCCGGCGCCACTACCCCGGACGCCTATGCGGCTGCTATTTCAATTGACCAAGTCGAGGCCCGGGCCATCACAGGCGCATGGACCTTTGGCGTCTTGCTCCCGAGCATCTTTGCCGGTTTGCCATCGCCGCGTATCATCTCCCAGCAGATGCAGGAAGTCGCGCTGGCCGTGTGGCAAGGTTTCCCGCTGTGGACTGGGTTATGGCAGGTGTTCCTAGCTGGACTGGTTAGGTTGCTGGATCTCATTCCCGAGGCGATCCGCGATAAACCGGAGACCAAGATTGGTAGGTTTCACAAAATTTACGCTTACACGCTCACGTTCGTGGCCCTTTCGTACTACGGGACGTTTGGGTACGTGTACTTCAAAGCCGGGGCGTCTCCAGTGGAGTTGTTGAAGGATATACTACGGCCAACGTCGCCGTGGGATAGTACCCCGATGGCGAGCGTGGAGAAGGGGACTCTGACGTTGTTGCAGTGGGATCTTTACTGCTCCGTTTCGGCTACCTGGACCTGGATCGCGTATGTAGCGTATGCGAGAGCGGGTTTCGGGCAGGTGATTGTGGATCTGGTTAAGGGGGCGCTTTGGAGTGTTGTTGTTGGGCCTGGAGGTGCCGCCTTGGCGGTTATTTGGGGGAGGGATGTCGGTGCCATTCGGGCTGCTGGTGGGAAGGTGAAGTCTGGATGAGACTTATGAGGGGTGCGATGGGAAAACTAACATCGTGGTCATGCACGTTTGAATTAGGATTCCATTTAACGGGGACGAGTTGACACCAGCTGAGATCACGGGGTGGGGAGATCTTGCCGCAAAGCTCTTTTGCTATGAGTCTAGCGTATACGGTGTCTCAGGCAAACATCAGTTTTGAACGCAGTGGCAGGATCCATCGCGCTTCATAAGATGGCTAGTGTAAGAATATTGCTGCGATAGTGTATAAGATTTGAACAGAATGATGTATTTTTTTTTTATTTTTTTTTTTATTTTTTTTGCAAATTGGAAGGTGTTGCGCCCGCATTGAACAATCATTGAAGAGTATTCCAACCTTGTACCAAGTCCTTACCTGGAAACATCTTCCTTGGAAGACTCCATGTGGAAAGGCTGGCTGCCGGTCGGGTTTCTATACATGTCGGGATTACAGGGAGCATACTATCAGGTGAGAAGTAGATTGGGAAAGAAGACAAGGGACAGGGAAGTCGTCGTCTTCATGAACTAGATTTCCTCAGTCTTATTTGCAGATCGATAAATTATGGGTTGCGGGTGATGATGTCTCTGGTCCGTTGAGTAACCCTGGAAAGCCATTTACTGGTATTTACGACTCCTCCCTCAGTGGGAGTTTAGCCGTGCCTCAGATGTTACAGGCCTTTTCTGCAGCTAGTTCGCATGATGGCAACTTGCGAAGACATTAATACCGGGCTCGCCATGTCTTCTGAGTCTTAGAAATGCCTATTCTCCTCAGCAACTGATCACGTCTGGCGAGTATGTACAACATCGGTGGGTGTTTTTTTTAGAAAACACGTGAAGCAATGAAACCGAAACGAATGCCTGTCCTCGAAGCCAGGCACGCGAGATAGATTTGCTACTAGTTTCTACTTCAAGTAAAAGGCCACGGGGCTTGTTGTTACTTCCTGTATATAGAATGATACTGCGCTCTTCGTAGATGATGAATACGTACATCTTGGGTGTAGCCTAACGATGGGGACCAAGGAGTTAGCGCTATTACCATCAAGTAGGTCCTAAATGTGGCCGAGACCATTGGCAGGATCGCGTCTGAGCTTTCTTTGGGGTTATAGAGGGTCTTTTGTTCGGGGGAGGTTTTTTGCTGTGAAGGAACGAAAAGATTTGATGCATCTTCTGAATGATGATATGACCCCTTGAGACTAAAGAAGGTGGCGATATATTACTACTTTCGTTGCAGGTGCTTAGTGAATGACTCCAGTGGTGGCAAGTTGAGAGACTTCATATCCCGTTATATACATCATAGTCTTGGGTGTCTCCCTGTTTCTGAAGTACTCTCTAGCTTGCACGAGATCTCGTTGAATGCTTCGTTATATAGATTATGAGGATGTCGCGGATCCTATCACCTCGGTGATTTTCCTACAGTGAGATGATGAGTTGAATATCGTGCGTTAAAGCCTTCAGTGTCATTTTTTGAGAGATAATCTCGTCTCCAAAAATAGCAACACGATGAAGATGCGGGTAAGACCGACCAGACACTCCAAGACCGATTGGGCAAATGTTTCAGCATAACCTGTTCATTGTATGTAATTTTCATCCTGCAGTTGGTTTTCTGTCGTGCATGTTCACGGTGAAAGACGACTCCCCGTCACTCAATATGCAAAGGTCTCAACCCCAGGGCGTCTGGACAGCACTTAACATCGTATAACTTATTATGCTAAGAGAAGCAACATTATCAACTTTGAGCATTTGTACACGTGTCAATGAGTAAGTAGCCCTCCGATGTAACCGGCAAAAGGTCATGATGGATTGGCTAATGGGATAGATAGGACGGAAGAGTCACGGTCGGCCACTTGCGCTTGTCTGCCATAATGCGTGCTTTGAGGGCATGAAATATCACAGCGAGCATCAACAACTGAAATATGGAACGCAGAACTAAAGCCGCCAGTCAGGTGTTATGCCGAAGGCGTGGCTCTTGGACGAGGCAGACAAGTCTTGTAAACAGCAAGGGTGTGGGCGTCATTTACATTGTTCTGTCAGTAACCGCATTACAACAGCAAGATAATACGTTGAATGCTGATTACTACTGTTGTTATTCGAGTTAAAATGGACAAAAGTAACGCCAAGTAACTGTCGTGAGGGCAACATTACAGTGAAGAGCCAGAACAACAAGAGCACCAGTAAGAGTGGGCCGCGATGTCCTCTGCCAACAGTCGCCAGCCAATTGTCACACGGACCACTGCATATATCGGGGCATGCATTCAACCCATGCACCCGGCTATTGTTTCCCATATAAAACTAACGGGGATGTCATTTTGTGCATGAAAACCTTCAAATCGGTAATTACCGAATAGACGGTTATATAATCAACCCAATAACCCCTAGACAGTCTCTAATGAATGGAAGCATCTTTTTTTACCCCATAAGTGGTGGGCAAATTGACTGCGTGACAGTTATGAGCCCAGTACCTCATGGTGACAATTACCAATTGAAAAACCGACTTCCAGAAGGGAGCAGTTCAGACTTATGCCATAGACAAGGGCACTCAATTGACGAAGTTACCGACCCATGAGACTTTGGCAGTCAAGTCCACCAAACAAAACATCAATTCCAATCACACAAGGCTGAACGTTGAAGTGTTGAAACATTCAATCACAAAAGAACTTCTGGTCATCAATTCATATCATCAACACTTATCAAAAAATCACAAAAAGTTCATCTCAACTCAGGGGGACTTACCACATCTGAGGAGTTGAACCCAGGACTCTTAACTTGAACCTTATATAAGTTCATGCTCGACCATACCACTGATACGCAGCCAGGAGGGTTGGAATTACGAAACGGAAGAGACACCTAGTTGCTCATTTTATGCCTCTGAAAGCTTCGGGCAGATAAGACGAACAGGTGGTTCACTTTATAGTCTTCGTGTAACGGAACCGATAAGACTTTTTACAAATTGCGAAAACTCCACAACCCTGAATTGAACCCACGAAGGGGAGCTTGCCAGTCTTACGGTCCTTGCGAATAGCTACAAGTTGGGTGGCTAGACCAACTACACTAAACGGCAGGTTCATTAGACAAGGGGGGCGTCTTGCGTTTTGTTGAGAATTGAGGCGTTGAGATTGGCTATATACCCTCAAACCTCTAGGCAACAATCGACAAAATCACCAACTTGAAACAAGAAGTGTCTAGTCACGAACTCAATCTTGGCCACGGCGAAAAATCAACTGCACAACGATCAGAAGAGAGAGACCAGTTCTCTTTTCAAGAGAGATCATGAATTCAACTACGGAAACTGCAAAATACACACAGCGGCTACAGACTGACAGCGACTGGAACCACTGGTTCAACAACTTACAGATGCTGGCAAACGTTCATGAAGTCTGGGACTATGTGAATCCAAAAGGAACCAAGATTAATACTAAGCCAAGATTGGAATTCCCAGACCCAAAAGACCTCAGACAAGAAGAACGAGCAAACTATAGCAACGTTATCAGCTATGGAAAAGCTATCTATCAAGAAGAAAAAGACCAATACAACCAGGTTCGGCGAAGTCTTCTAGAAATTCACAGTTGGATCATGAACACTGTAGCAGCCACTTATATCAGCCAAGTCAGCAAGGAGCAAACAGTCAGGGATATCATAAAAGCTCTTGAAAAACAGCTAGCGCCAGACAACTTTGGGAGACAACAAATGGTATTGGAAAGATATAACAAGCATATGCTATCAATCAAAAGAGCAAAACTTGGAGGATGGCTCATAATCTATCGAGAAATCATGGATGAAGCCCAAACAATCGGAATCCCTGCTCTCAGCGATCCAGTTACTCAAGTCTCTGAGTTCTTGAAAGCAGTCAAGCAAATTGCACCAGATTACTACACATCTGCCTCTTACGACTTCACAAAGCGATACAAGGATGACCCAACCTACAGTTCGATCAGCAAGACTGCTGGAATTGAGCAAGCTAACGATTTCCGCAGTTGGGTGAGAACTTTCCACCCAGACTGGCTGAATGCTGCTCCATTAAAAGACACGAGTTTCGCTACTTGGCAAGGAGAAAACGAACAAGGAATAAAACAGGGGGCAAAACGAGAGCAAAAGTGTGCAGCTTGCCCAAACGAAAGTCACCGATTTGTTGATTGCAAACATGCCAACCCTAAGAAGCGAGGCCCAAACTATCATGAAGATAATCCAGAAAATAAGAAAGCACTGGAAAGATTGAATGAGTATCTCCAGAAGAAACCACACTTAAAGAGAATAGTTGAAAAACTACGAAAAGGGGCAAGCGATCAGCAGTCTCAAAAGTCCCCAGATCGAGCAACATCTTCCTCAAACTGGAGAAACACTACACAATCATCATCCCACTATACTCAAGAAGTGTCTGATGGAGAAGGATCACTCTCATCTTTCGTCACTATCGTCAATCAAGGAGAAGCAAGTCTCTATTCAGGATTCCCACTGTCAGACAGTGTGATAGTAGACTCAGGAACAGGATTCCACATCTGCAACGACTCCTCAAGACTTCATGATCTCGACTACACAGTCACAAAAGACTTCACCTCTGGAGGAGGAGATGTACATGCAATTGCGAAAGGCACAATGATCATCAAACCAAACCAAGGCGGCAAATCCAACAACAAGGAGATCAAAGTCAGAAATGTATGGCTTGTGCCTGGATACCCAACATCGCTCCTTGGGACAGAACCGCTGAAGCAAAAAGGGATCATCTTTACAACAGGAATACCGGGTCTTATCGACTCAAAAGGCAGACTTCTATTCAAAACACCAAACCGATATGGTCAATACATCATTGAAGCTGGCCCAGCTCTGCTGAACAATACCTCGTTCAGCAATACCGAGAAGACTGTGAGATTCAGCCCAACCGTAGAAAGGAAACCAACCAAAGGTTTTCAGTCAACAAGACAACCACTCCCAACATCATCAGCAGAAGCCAAGTTGTGGCATGAGAGACTTGGTCATCCAGGCGCTGAGGGACTGGAACAGCTACTTAAAAC